CCTAACCCTAACCCTAACCCTAACCCTAACCCTAACCCTAACCCTAACCCTAACCCTAACCCTAACCCTAACCCTAACCCTAACCCTAACCCTAATAAGGGTAGGGGTGTTCTATTAGAGCCTTCTAAGCAATTTGGATAGGAGGTTGGAAGTAGAGTGTAGAGTAGAGGGAGGTAAAAGGGTAGAGAGAGATAATAGAGCTTAGCGCTATTATATAAGCTTTACACTCGTAAATGCTATCTAGCTATAAATTAAATATAAATCTTAACATTAGTTTAGTAGATTAAAACCTGAAGTGAAATATAAAGTAAAACTTTAAGGTAATATTAGAAAATAAAGTTATTGCGTTTCTAGTACTAAGATATTTTAGCGTGACGCTAGCGCGGGACGGGCCGTAGGGTGTAGAATAGAACTAAGTCTCTTTCCTACTATAGCCTAGCTGTTACCGCGGTGCCCCTATAGAGTTAGTTAAGGAAGCCTTTAATAGGAGGCCCCTAGTTAATAAAGGCCGCTCTTTCTACTATTATTAAAGTAGATAGTTGCTGTAGAGAGGCTATAGTAATAGTAGCCTTCTTTGACTCTTTTAATAAAGCCTTCTATAGGAGGACCCTTCTATACCTCCGCTCTAGCGCCTCTCGCGCTAGTTATTCTAGTTCTATACTACCGCCCTCTCTTCCTCACCTATCTCTATATTCTCCTATTATCTTCGCTTTAACCCCTTACTTAGTTAGCCCCTTCTACTTTCTAGCTCGCTAAGCGGCCTCTTCCTAGTAGGTAAAGAGGCGTGGAACCCTAAAAAGGTGTGCTACTCCTTACTTACTACCTAATACTCCGCCTTTTTAGCTTCTACGTGCCTAAGCGCCTCTTTAATCCCTCTCGCGTAGATGGTGCCAGCCGTCTATATAGTGTAGGCCGCCTAGTTATTAGCCCTTAACTCGTCCACGCTATAGTTCTTCTTAAAGCCTCCGTACTTAAGGTGGGCGCGTGAGATTGCGATAGTAGCGTGCTAGTAGGTCGTGATATTAAGGTGGGTTTTAAGGTACTTAGTGGCCTTCCTCTAGAGCACCTTAGTTAACCGGCCGCTAGCCTAGCTACTCTACCCTCCTCTAGGCGAGGGCTATAGGAACGGCGAGGTAGGCTTCTTCTAAAATAGGGCGAGGATGTTGAGATACTACTAGAATAGTAGGATGAGCTAGAGGTAGTATATAACTAGCTCGCTAACCTCCTTTAGTAGATAGTAATAAATAATCTTAGTGGAACCCGTTATACTATAGCCCTTATAGTAGGTCGTCACGGTACTAATTAATCTAGCCTTAATAAAGATACTCCTATAGTAGCCTTATACTATATTTATGTGTTATAGGCTTAGGATCTCTGTCCCCTAAGCTAGCTAGCTAGAGGTGAGGTAGATAAGTAGTAGAAGCCGCTCGAGGAACGCGTTAATATAAGAGATATATCCTGTAGCTATATCTTCATTCTAGACGGCCTTAGCGCTAGCCTAGTCTAGTTTAATAAACTTATCCCGCAGCTACTTATTCGCTAGGACGCGGTCTAGTAGCTAGTGTCTACCCGGCACTAGGACGTAGCTGTTCTAGGGGTCTTTTAGGAAGCTTAACCCCTTCTCGTTCCGCGATAGGTTGTCTTTAAGGTTATTAAGCTTAAGCTAGGGCGCGACATCCTCTCTCTACTTATCCTAGTATATAAGGAGGAGGTCTTCTAGCTATAACTACACTAGCTATAGCTAGTTGCTTATAAAGTCCTTAAAGTCCGCTATACGCAGCTCTAGCTCCTTATATAAGAGCGCCTTTTTATTATCCGACTAGTTAATAAAGCCTAGCGCTATAGTATTATTCCGGATCCTCTTTCTATAGGAGCGCATCTATAGCGCCTAGTTAAATAGAGACTTAGTGCTATAGACTAGAAAGCGCCCCTATAACTTCTTAAGGACGTCGCCTAAATAGGTAATATAGCTATTATTAGCTATTATAACGGCCTACTATATAACAAGCATCTAGGCGATCTTAACGAATTTGGATAAAAAGGGCGTATATTTATATGTGTCTCTAAAGATACTCTTTTTTAGCTCTATAGCAAGCGCGGCAAGAAAGCTAATAGCAACGCTCTCGAAGAGATCACCCCTAAGATTCTAGTTAAGCACCTTAATATAGAATAGAAGGGTCGCCTAGTCTAGGCGACGCTTAAGCTCCTTCTCACTTATCGCGCCTAGGAGGACGACGCTATTATCCGGGTAAGCCTCTAGCTAGCGGCGCTATAGTATGCGCTATAGTAGGTCTAGTGACTCTACGGCTAGGAGTATCTTATTAAGGCAGGACCGCTAGCCTATTATAAGATAGTGGGAGAGCCTAATAGGCTGCGCTAGGTCGGCGGTCCGGTAGGTAAAGTATAGGAGCCGCTTCTATATACTAGTATATCTTTAGTAGATAGCCTTTTATAGCTTTATTAGTAGCAGCCGGTCCTACGATTGAGCCTATTAAAAAAAGCTATTAATCTTAGTCTAGTTAAAGACATTAATCCTCCTATTAGCAATTAACTGCCACACCCCCTTAACTAACTACGCGAGGCTCTACCTAATAAGTTCTAGGGCCGGCTTACTAATAAAGTTAGGAGCCTTAGCGAGCTATATAATATCCACTATACTATAGCCGCGTAGATAGCGGGGCCACTAGGTTATCTTAAGCTAAGAGGATACCTCTATCCTAGTAGAGCTCTTCTAGATTATACTATTCTTAACCTTAGCGTCGGTGAGGCCCCTCGCTAGCTCCTAGTCTACCTAGACCTTAATTAAATCTGCTAGGGGGATTACCCAAGTCTCCTGCCGCCTGTGCTAGGCATCCATCTCCTTATTATTCTCCTACTACTACCGCTAGGCGGGCGATACCACAGCGAAGTAGCCGCTACTGTAGCTAGTAGTAAAGAGGCGCTAATAGTAGATAGAGCGTAGTAGGGGCTTAGCGACCACATTCTTAACATGTGCTAGGGGCTAGCCTCTATAGCTAAAGCCAATTATATACTAAAGGTAGAGGTGCTTTTAAGTAGATTTCTTAGTACGTACCATATAGTGGTATTCCGGGTATAGCAAGCCATCCTTAAAGATTAAGATATCTAGAATAGCGAGGGAGAAGGGATCTAGAAGCTAGAAGAAAGCTAACTTAGAATTAGTAAGAGGATACTATACTTAGAGGGTTGCTAGTAGCGCGTTAATAGTAGTAGTAGGCTATAGCTATAGTGCTATATAGCGGCGATAATACTTAAGTAGGTGAGTCTTAATAGTTTTTAGAGCAATAGCGCAGTAATACGGGCGATAGATAAGGACCTTAAGGTCTAGCACGTAGTTAAATAGATCTATAATACTATTAATAGGAAGTTAGTTAAGGAAAGGTGCAGGCGACGGGCGGTAAATAGAATATATAGAGGTAGGAGGACGCGTAGGGTGGCCTAGCAACACGTGGTTATCGCTAAACGTGTCTAGGTTCGTGTTCGCGTTAGCGCGGCTATAATTAATTTAGTTAGTTAGTTAGAAGGGTCGGTGGACGAAGGCTTCTATGGATAGGCCTAGCGGTATAGAAATCCAAAGGCGGGAGATTATATTATTACGCGGGGGGCGAGTAGTTAGTGTTAGTGTGGGCGCGGGCAGTTAGTGCGGGTAGGGTGATGGTGTTAAGCAGCTAATGGGAGGGTCGGTTAATTGGGTTGAGGGCTGGAACTCAATCGGCATGGAAGTGTCAGTCAGTCAGTCAATCAGTCAGTCAGTCAGTCAGTCAGTCAATCGGCATGGAAGTGTCAGTCAGTCAGTCAGTCAGTCAGTCAGTCAGTCAGTCAGTCAATCGGCATGGAAGTGTCAGTCAGTCAGTCAGTCAAGCCGGGTAGGCGCCGAACCGTGCAACACCTGTATATTAATAAGCGCGTCATTGATTGTAACTAGGTTTCTACGGAGTACGCGACAGGCCCTCCTCTTCTCTTTCCTTCTTATCGAATTCTTCTTGTATCTAGCGGTCCTCTATAGATCGTACGTATATAGACGTTCCCGTAACAACACTATACGCATTCTTACTGCCCGACATGTCCTCCTACGCTGTCTTAGGCGCCACTGGTAACGTTGGACAAGCTTTGCTCAAAGTCCTTCTCCAGTCGCCCGACAGCCAGATCCACGCCTACTGCCGCTCTAAGCAGAAGCTCACGAAGCTATCGCCCGGCATTACCGAAAACAAACAAGTGAACGTCTTCGAAGGCAATCTAGACGACATCGAGCTGCTGGTCAACTGTCTCAGCGGCACTCGCGCAGTCTTCCTCGCTGTTGCGCAGACCGAAAACCAACCCGGCTGTACTATCGCTCAAGACACCGCACACGTAGTTGTCTCGGCGCTCGAGCGACTTGAGAGCAAGAATGAGCGCCTACCAAAGCTCATCGTCCTTTCATCCGCGTCCCTGGATCACCGACTCATGTCCGATTCGCCCAAGTTTTTACTCAATACACTCTACCGTGCTTTTTCAAACATTTACGACGACCTTCAGGAAGCCGAGAAGTTCCTTCGCTTAAAGGACTCTCTTGTTACGGCTACCTTCGTGAGGCCTGGCGCCTTGTGTTCCGACATGCAGAAAGGCCACGTCGTGAGTATGGAGTCTGCTAAGATGCCGCTTTCGTTCCTGGATCTCGCTGCTGGCATGGTTGAAGTTGCGGAGGAAGATGGCGACCGATACGATATGAAAGGCGTCACTGTAAGTCCTACGGCGAAGGATGTCTCCTTCCCGTGGGACGCGCCTCTGGGTTTATTGAGAGGGCTTCTTTTCCATTTCTTGCCATGGACTTACCGATTCCTGGGGTGATAATATCGCACAAGAACTTGTAGTAGTACTTAATCCAAGTCTTGAAGTAGGCAAAGGCTGATATATATCAATTGAGATCAGAGCAAGTCTCTTAGGTCTCCTAATGCAAAACGGAAGGCAGCAAGATAGAAGACGAAGCAAGAGCCTTACCGGCGCTAGCGAGATTACCGGAAAGACTTACAGCAGCAACACGATAACATAGTAGTGATATCAGAGCTCCAGATCGAGCTTGACCCTCTCTCTACCCTTATGCCAGCTTGCCCTGAAGGTATTGAGCAGATTATAACGCCTAACCGTGGCATTCGGGCGGCAGGGTTCAAAATTCCCACAAATGCAGAGCAGCGGGAGAAACTCTATGTAGCTATTAGGTTGCGCTTTCTTTAGATACAGAATTCTTATTCGTAATCGGACAGGTCTGCAAGGCCCTTTACAAGATATCCAAATCTTGATCCTTTTACTCTCTACGTTCCTATCTACTACCACCAGGCCAGAGCATGTTGTTCTCCCCGACCGCTACTGTCAGCACCGCGCAACCTCCTCGCCCAATTATCTTCCACGTTTCACTACTCGACAGCTGCGCGCATAACTCCATGCTATGGCTTCTTGCTCACGTACCATAAAAGGATCGGCATGTTTGTCTTCCGTGTCTCCGCCGAGTTCGACTGCGCAGGCTTGCATCCCAAGGCTCGTCGGCGGGAGCAGGCTGGACACTATGGTTATGGATAGGCTGGAGTCGCATGGGGAGTAGAAACGACTTAGAACGGCAGAAGGATTTACGCAAGTCGAAAGTACTAGCGCTCTGAAGACTTCGAGGCTAGGGTGGTGGCATAGAGCTATCTTTTCCGTCGAGCCTCTCGCCGTTACATTGTTTCAGTGGCTACGATATGATGGAATTGTGTGCCTCATCAGTCCGCCTCTAGCGTGCCCTCCGCATCTGAGTTAAGGCTTCAGCCTCCAGCAGTCCATCTCGCCGGTACATCTTTGCCGCATTCTTCGGACCTGAAATAAGAAATCCTAACCCCCAACTAACCTTTATAGCTGTGTTCTGAATCCTCCGCTAAGTTCGTCTGCGAGGTCTCGCACTCTGAGGGGGCTTGCATCTAAGAACGTTCGCACCCAAGGAGCCTTGCCTTTGAGCGCTCGTTGGCGGGAACAGGCCGGGCAATCTGTAGCTATATATGATAGGCTGGACTTGGGCGGAGAATAATACGAGATGGGACGGGCAGAGATCTGCGCAAGTTAATAGTAGCTACTATACGAGTTTTGAGGTTCGAGGCGCGGCGGCATCTACTCTCTCCCCAGTCTCTCTTCGTTGTATCTGTATAGGTGTACTACAACGATTCTGAAGCGGAATATTCCTTACCGATCCAATCACACTCTGTGCCCAAGGCTTCATTTGAGTTAATATCTCCAGCCCTCAACTGACCTTTACTCCAACAACCTCCGTTCCAATCCAGGTTTTGATTCCAGACCAGAAACACTCATCCCGCATCTCTCCAGCCGAGTGGTCTTCTCCAAGCCTCTATCATCGAGTAGCTGTCTTCCAACCTGCAGCGATCTCCAAGCCTGCATCGCCTGGTAGTTGTCCGCACAGGAAGACGTCCGCGAATTCAGGCAGATCATCCAGGGTTTCGAGGGCGTAATGACGCAGCACCTGCCGTTTGCCGTTAGAGCTATCAGTGAATCCAGCCGGGACTCCCATGTGGCCGGGAAGGGTCATCGCGACCCCCTTCCACTCGACGAGATGCTGCAAAAGACCGAGCCCGTTGCGGTCAAGGCTGTCAGGAAGGATGAGCTGAGGGACTGGTGGAGCAGGCGTGGAAAATTTACTCTCTCCCAAAATCTTACTCTGCAACACGAAAAACACGAGAGCTTACTATTACTACTACTGATTCAAATTGTCACGGCGTGGAGAAAGAAGCCTGATAAATAAGCGCGGCGTGGCACTAAGCTTATAACACAGGCAGCTTACACGGTTACACTAAGAATGCAAGTGGAGGGAGTTGGACTGCTGGCACCAACCTCGGGATCCTAGAAATAAATACACGCGTATGCAGATGCGTATGCGTATGCTTATTCAGTAGTGCATGAGCCAACCGTACCTAGCACCTGCAGGCTTGAAACGAACCCCTTGCCATTCTTCCCGGACGAGCCACGCTCGTCTCGCATGCCTAGCCGCTTTCAGATCTCACTCATTCTAGGCAGCATGCACCTCGCCTTGTTTCCAGTACTTCCTCGATTTTCTTCTCAAGTTTAACCAGATCGCATTATGATCTGATACATTAATGTCCGTGGACTCTATCACGTCTCTAGGTTTAGGTAGTTCGCCCTCAGCCGTGCCTTGGCCATGCACTCTATCTGTCGCTTTCTCTAGGTCTTCGGTGGATAGAATCCATAAATAGAGTCATATCTACCTCATGCTGTCGAGCTAGTAGCGAAGAAGTTATGCTCTTTTTCGGGTAGGGATCAAGGCGCGATAGCCGGCGGTAACGCGGCCCTGCGGCTCGGCGTCCATAAGCCGCAGCAAACGGGGGCTGGCGATCTGAACCTCGCGAGAAGACCTCGCGATGCTAGCTGCTCCTGGTCGCGACTTTGAAACATGGCACGACCTTTGTCACTTCGTGGCCTCCGTATACAAAGGCCGCCTGACGCTGATCGCAGACGGGGTAAACACATACACATCTTTCGGCCCCGCAGCCTTCCTCTTCTTCCCAATCCTATCAAACATGCTACCATTTCACCGTTCCACAAGATGTTCCTTCTCGTCATTCGGTCTTCTTCCCTTACTCGTTACTCTCTTGCCTCCTGCCGCTCTCGTGGCCGCACAGGCCGGGAATGACCTTAGCTGGGTCCTGTTCGATCGCGAACAGTTTGACGGAAACACCGTTCTCGACGCAAAGGGAGATGTCCAGCTCTTCTGGAAAACCGGGGACGAGTATTCGACATACGGCATCGCCTCTCGGTCTGGAGGCTACCTGGCTCTGGGCTTCAGCGAGACTGGTGCGATGACCGGCGCCGATATCGCTGTGGGCTACAAGGACTCCGCCGGCAATTTCGTGCTTGAGAACCGCTACGCCGCCGGTTTTACCGCCCCTAACCTCTCCAATGACCAAAAGAACAACATCCGCCTCAAGGAGGGTGACCAGAAGAACGGAGTGACCGCTTTCGTATTCGAGAAAAAGAATAAGGCCGACTGTTTGCAGAACCAAGTCGACGTCACCAAAGACTCCTGGCAGTGGTTCATCTACTCCTTCTCCGGCGAAAACACTTTTGGCATACACGAGGCCGGCAAAAAGGGCAAGAAGTACGTCAAGCTGGGCACTACCAAGACTATTTCGGTCAATGAGATTCGGGACGTCGATGACGCCAAGGAGTTCACTATCGTTCAGCCCGAGATCACCATTCCTACCGCTGAGACCGCTTACTGCTATACGCTCCATAAATTGCCCGCAGGAAAGAAAAATTTTATTCTCAGCGAGCGGCCGTCCTCGTCGAGCAAGTTGCTTCACCATCTGGTCGTCTATTCCTGCTACGGTCTGCCCGAGGAAGCTAAAGCAATGGTTGGCCAGGAGCCTAACTGTGACTACGAGAACTTCTCAAATCCTTGTAACGGTTTCGTTACGGAATGGGCCCCGGGCATGGCTGGTCGCACATTTGAACCAGGTTTCGGCAAACCCTTCGGCTCCGACAGCTTCGAGTACGTGATGCTAGAGATCCATTACAACAATCCCGAGGGGCTTGAGGACGAGAAAGACTCTTCTGGCTACACGTTCCTCTACAACGACAAACAGGTCGAGACTGAAATCGGCACCCTCACACTGGGCGACCTCCAGGTGACTGGCTGGTCCCTCGAGCCGGGCAAGGAGATCGTGGCGCGTACAACCGTTTGCACGCCCGAGTGCACTAAGCGTTGGCCGTCTGATGGCATCACCGCTTTCTCCGTCTTTTTCCACATGCACCAGCGTGGTCGCAATCAGCGTGTCCAGATTATCCGAGACGGCAGGGAGGTGAACGCTCTGTCCTCGATTCGCAGCTTCGAATACGGCTACCAATACTCGAAGAATTTGGGCGAGGTCAAGCTGCTTCCGGGCGATCGTCTGATCACCACTTGTGAGTTCGATACCTCCGAAGACAGGGAGCCGGTTCCCGGCGGTCTCGCGAGCAAGGAAGAAATGTGCTTCGCCTGGGTCGACTACTACCCTGCCAACAAGGTCCTCGCATGCACGCAAGTCGATATGGGCCAGGCTCCCGGCTCCCCATTAAACGGAACGGCAGCCCTTTGCCTCGAGGCCAACGGGGACTCGGCAGATTCCGTTTTCCCCTCTGAGTCCCTCACCGCCCCGTTCCAACGCCTTCCCGCATCCGGAAATACCTGTGCCGCCCCGGCTACCGCAGGCGGAGCCAACTCTAGTACCAGCCCTGCCCTAGCCGCCTCACCAACCTCATCCGCCTCATCCGCCTTTTCCTCTCTCTACCGGGCTTTGTTTACAATTGCAGCCCCTCTCGCGCTCACGATAATCTTGGCGCTGCAATTTTTCTGAGGATCCCGAAGAGTTCTATTACTCTTCCCGTTTATTTCTCAACAACTAAGATCACGGCAAATCGATAACTGGAACTAGAAACGCTATATCAGGGTTCGTTGGAACCACGAATAAGCTTTATTGAAAGGAGCTTTGATTTCCGCCTGTTTTATCTTCTCTTTTGTTTTTCTTAAGTAGTACTGTGGTGGTGTAGGAGGTTCATCACGTGGAAGGTAGTATAGGTTAAGCGCGCGGAGATTCCAGGGTCTTTATGCAATCAACCACCAGTTGTATTATAGTATTAGCGACAATAGCATCTGTTCTACCTGCCGCGTAGCCTCATTAATCTATCGCTGTGGTAATATCGCTGCCTTAATAGTCCTGCCTTAATACCTCGCCTTCGCGGTCGCGCACGACCTACTCACCTGAGTCTATACTCAAACCACTTACCTATGAGTTTGTGCGGTGTCGGCTGGAGTTGTCGCGTAGGCATTACTATAATCAATTGCTGTTCGACAGATTGCATTGGGGCGTTGAGAATTACTACGAAGCGAGATGTCCGGGAATCTAATATACGTGCTCAGTAATAGATGACAGTTCCTGACTCTCGAAATCAGAACACAGAGGAAACAGGTCGCTGAAGTCGGTAGCCGTGAGAGGTTCTTAGGCAAACGTTGATAGATTGTATGGTCCTCCCTTCTCTAACGCCCGTCTGTACGCTGGCCTATTGATCACCGTGTAGTGCCATTTAGCTAGCTTGGGATAATTCTCCAGCTCGATGTATCCTCTGCCAATCGCCATATCCATAGGGAAGACCATGTTGAAATCCGCTAAGCCGAGCTTCTTGCCTGAGAACCATGGTCGTTCCTCGGACAGCGCATCTTCCAGGATCTGATAAATGACTCTCAGATCGTTCGTGAAGTGGTTTCGGATGGGCATCACCATCAGAAGAGTAAGTTGTCGTAATGGGAAGAACAGCATTGTTGGGATGACTTCGAACGTGACGACGTTGTCGACCTTGGTGACCAATGAGCCATTGGCGAACTCTTGGAAGAAAGTAGTTCGAGCTTTGTCTTCTTCTGACTCTGGGACAAGACCCCGTCGGTGTAGTGGTCAGAGATGAACTGGAGGATGAGTCGCGCTTCAGTCAAGACATTCGGCAGGATCTGATAGGTGACTTCTGGTTCTCCATCGACAGGCTCCAGCGTGACTATTGGCGATTTGCCCAGCGGGAATTGTGACTTAAGGACTTTGTATGTATCGGCGCCTCGTCGGAGGAGGTTCACTACGTTGTATTTGATGCCGGTGTCAGCAAGCTCCTCAAGCGCCCAAAGGACTTCCCGCGCTTTTGACGAGGACATGTTGTACACGGTTGGAATGGTCTTTTGCTGCTTGTTTCCGGCCATGGTGGTTGATTGGATGGGTTGGGCTGAATGTCGTGAATGATGCACAACATCGTAGAGTTGAAGTTTATTTGATAACGACCAAGGCGCCCCGCCAATGCGCCGATCGCCTAAAAAGGCAAAGCGGGTGCCAAGCAGAACACGCAGCCGTGATTCCCCGCAGTCTCTTCGCAATCTGATCACTGGAGCCGGCAGAGACAACGGGGAGTGAATAGAAGCAACACCATAGAGCGAGAGAAATGATCGGACATTAGAAAGAAGATAGTATGGGATGAAATGGCCCAAGCCCATGTCTGAGAGCCCTCTGCTGAAAGTAGCTAACCTCTGATCCTCCGCTGCACACGGACTTCAATCGTGGCGTGAATACACTATGAACCTTATCCATCTCGCAGCAACCCTCCAATGCTGCTAAACATCATCCACCTCGATCTCCTCAGTCTCCTGGCTGGCCGACACTCCGCTCTCACGGGCAGACGCTCTGCTCTCGCTGCCATCATTCTCCCCATCCGGCCTCGTACCCAGCTCCTCATCCTCTGATTTCGGCGTCGGCATCGGCATCGGCATCGGCGTTTGCATTAGGAAGGGTTGTTACATCCAAGACTGCGTCTGTCCAGGCTTACATCTCAGCTATTGCTCGAATCTGCTCGGCACTTAGGAGCCACATACCGTCACTCTTCTTGCGGCCCCGAGGATAGGACTTCATGATGCTTTTGTGCATCTCCGGAGTCAAGCCTTCCGCGGTGAGCTGATCTTCGGCCAATTGGTCCAGTACAGGCGTTCCACGGTTCGGCGCCTGCTCAGATCAACCTTCAGTTGATTTTAAAAGACCGGAACTTCAATCTTACGGTCGCAAAAGAGGTTTGAATTTAATAAATCACCACCATAATAAGCTACATACAAGCTGAGATTAATAAGATCTTATATTCATATATAACGCTGTAATATGCAATATTAAAAAAGCAATATTTTCATAGTTGTGAAGATGGGTATTTGCCTAGGGAGCATCGTTTGCAATCAACAGAAGGCGGGCTGAGCAGGCGCCGAACCGTGGAACGCCTGTACCTCCGCCAAGGTCTTGAATGTGGCTTCTCCACCACTGCTGACGAGGCGGTTCTTGATCTTCTCGGAGTACGCATTAAGGGTTTAGGGTTTCGTCCCAAAGAGCATTTTCGGGCGCGGAAGTAAGCGAATGCCACATGCAAGTTCACTCATGTTTCAAGGGAATGCATCGGGAGGTACAGCACGGTCCTGGCGTTGCGGCAACCAGCAATCGTCTATCGAGCTTGATGACTAACAGCCAGGAGACACGAGCGGCTATAAAACTAAGTAGCTCACTGAGCGATATGCTCAACCCTAACCGCATGTACATCAAGATGAGACCTAGCAAGCCATCCCTCATCATCGATGCTTGCCGCTGCTCACAGTACGCGCACCCCCTCGTCTCATACAATCAAGGTAGCTCAACAAACAAGATTTGCTCATCCGAGAACCGTAACGCTTGAGATGGCTGATACCTGCTCCAGCTCCAGCTTGCCACCCGCCACTACAGTAAAGGCCGCACAGCCAGACCTTCATCATGAACTGTAAAGTCAGCAGCAAAGCCAGATTCTTGACCGTTTGCAATCGCCGACGGCGCATGATAGCTACTCCTAACCCGGTCCTTCACCGCTTCCACCCGCGATCTTGGCGTTATGGGCGTCGACGAGTTCTCTATACTCCTCCCCTAGGCGGCAAGCTTCCTTTAATATGTAGAGGTCCTCGAGCAATGCGACGTGATCAGCCGCGAGTTCCTGCAACTCCCTGTCCTCCAGCTCTTTCAGCAGCGCCTCCTTTTCCTGCAACAGCGCATCCCTCTCCTCTATGAGGCCAGGCAGCTCCGCCTCGAGGCGTTGGAACTCGGCCTCGTCACGGATCCTGCGTGCAGTGCTTTCTCTTTCGATCACCTCCAACTCCGCCCTTAAGGCAACGTTTTCCCTATTATAGCGCTCTGTAGCTTCTGTGACCCGCTCCAAGTCCTTCTCGGCGTTATGCTTGAACGGTGAACTAGTCCAGGCATATTCTAGATAAAGATTCCACCTGAACCCTTCTTTATCGTAACACCTCGAATTGCTCTGGCCGGCTGGATGGTGGCTGAAACCACCGCCGTGCTCGATGTAGCCACACCCCAGCCGCGTGAAGAGGATCTCCGCCACTACGCATTGTGGCTTCCGGAAAACAAGATAAACGATGTGCTGCCGGATTGCGTAGCGTTCCTTGAACATAAGAAGGCGGACGGCTTCTGTCAGGTTCATCAGATAGTTGGACCTGTTGTGCGACTTGTGTTGCTGGAGCCGGACGGCGGCGTTGCTCGCGAAGCCGTACTCAACGAGCGGCGCCTCCAAAGGCTGATCCGCTTGGCTCTGAGGAAAAGCATCCAGGCGTCTTGACAGATTCTCGCAGAATCTGAGGACAACGTCGCTATGTGCGGCAAGCACGAGGTACTTGCGCCGCCCGCTCTTCACCTTTTCCGCCGATACCCTCTTTCGCCCCTTCACTCGGTCCACACGTAGAGCAAAGTCACTGTCCGTACGTCCAACGTACTCTCGGAGCCTGACAATGACTGCGCGCAACTCCGTTGGGGTTGGGGACAAGCCCTGGCTGTCAACCAGGATGTTTTGGTAAATGGTCGGCTGGTGCTGCATGCGCCGTGCCATTCGGTTCACGGCTTTAGCCGTCTCGGGGTTCCGTTTGACTTCGAGGGCGAGGTTGCCCTTTAGGATAGCGGTGAGAACACGTGTGTTCGTAGAGGCTAGTATCTCGAACCCCGCTGATCGGACCATTAGGCTTGCAGCTTGATTGAGGAAATTGGATTTCTGCAGCTCCTCTGCCAGCAGCATGTCAACCAACTCCAAGTATCCTTCGCTGTTGAGAGTGTCGATGTAGCGCTTCGCCGTCGCGTCGCGAGCGCTCAGCTTCGTAGTGTCGAGCGCTTCTTCGTCGCCTTCGTCCTCGGCTTGAAGCTCCCCGGCATCCTTCGGAGGGGCATCACCAGTGGGCGTTTGATCTGGTCTTGCGGTGAACTGAGCCTCCGGTACTCCCTCGATCTGGGACGCAATCTTGTCGAAGAGCTCGTCTTCATCTTCACGAGAGTCAACTGTTGTAGCTGACGCCTGTCAGCGCCAATGCAATAGCTATCCACAGGAACGGGGCCAGCCTTGCCTTGAGGGGGTGCGTCGCTGCCCTCTGCGGTGCCTTCCATCGCCTCGCCTTCGCATGCAGTGTCTTCGTGGGTGGGGGGTGGGCGGCTGTGGATAGGGTCCCGCATGCGATGAGGTCCGCGCGCATTCTGCTCGGGGGCCATGGCGATGAAAGAGGCCGGTCTGGGGACTGTCTGGGGACTGCCTGGCGGAGATGGCTGACGCGTGTTTCGACTGGAGATGGTTGATGCGCGTTTCGGCGGGAAATGTCTGAGGAATGTTGGTTGACGTGGGGAGAGTCCAGTGACGCGAGGAAAGTCAATATAACGCGTGGACAACTGAGCCGGCGCTGGTGGGGGTGGGGGGGCGTGGAGTCGTGAAGTGGACGTACGGGAGAGGTCGGAAACGGCCCTCCGATCCGGAATAATCAAGCACGAGCGGAAAAAGCCCCAATGTACAGTAGACACAAAGAGCAGTCACGATTGTCAACTTTACGGTGTTTGATAGCCATACGGGCAGATGGACTAGCTAGACATATGAAAGCGCCCAAATTGTTAGCGAGTACCAGCGGTTTTCCGACTTGTCCCCCCACAGCTGCTGAATTACGGCCTTTGGCTACTGGGCGAGATAGCATCGTAAAAGCGTAACGAGCTTAAGGAACGGGCAGTGATAGATAACGGATGAGAGTTCAGCGATGCGGTGCCTACGGCGTACAGGTTACATTGATCCCATCTGCTTGCGATGAGGGATGTTGGTTAGCACAAGCGAAGGGCAATACGTGCTGACTTGGACGGGCAACGAGCGTTGAGCGATGAGGGGAGAAGCTAATCAATAAGAACCTGATTGATGAGAACCTGCTTTTGATGCTTTTGATAAGACTAAGAGCGGTCTAGCCGCTGGAGAGGATGCTAGCCCCGCGACTTTTACAGATGAGTGTGACAACCGCCTCGAAATGCAAGAGAAGTCTCACCCCTAGCTTGAGATGAAATGTGAGAAACGGCATCAAGCCCTAAAAGAAAATAACCACCTAGGTTGAGATGAGGTTCTGAAGACCGCATCAAATTGCAAAAGAAAGCCACCATCTGATTTGAGATAACGTGTGAAAAACTCCATCAACCCGCAAGAGAACCCCGCAATCAAAATGTAGGGAATGCTTGATATATGCCTATATTGCAAGCAAATTGATAGATCTCCGCGGAGATCTATCCCCGGACAACAAGGAGATTCAGCGAGGTTTGTTAAGAATGAGGAGTGGCAGGAATGCATCCCTCATCACCTGTAACTGCTCCAGAGTCACCCCAAGGCTGTTCGCAAGGTCGGCGGTGACCGGGAGTACGCGAACCCGTCGGACCATGGGCATCCGCCGCGTGTTGGTGTGGCGCCTCGTGCGTCGGACCCATCGCACGTACGCACCAGTCCCGTCGAAGGGTCTGCGGCCGCGGTGCTCGAGGTACTGCTCTCTCATATTCTGAAGCTCCGCCAGGGTAGGCGGTGAAGTGAAGCGCTCAGCGAGCTCATTTCGTAGGACCGTATATTGAGCCTTGGTCACGCGGACGGAACGATCCAGCGAGTGCATCCGCTCGAGCACTACCGAAACGTCGAGGGGGTTTCGGCCTGCAACATTTTTGCGAGTCTCCGTGTCGTGGAAGTCAGGGGGCTGGGATAATTAGCGGATGAAAGCCATGACACTGGAAGAGACGTACCAGAAGCACGCTTTCCTCTGGCTTCGTCATGAAGCTCGACTGAGCAGCCGCGCCTTCGTCATTGGCTGGTCTCTTGCTTTCAACGTACGTGTCGATGACTGAGCTTAGGGTTGGTGCCGCCCGACCATGCTGACGGGCTTCGGCGACGGCATGCCACCAGTCGTGGAGAAGTTGCTCTCGGCTCCGCTTCTTGGGCACGCCGAGCAACCTCTTCCAGGGCAACCAGTATCCAATGTCATCGTACTTGACGTACTTGTGCTCTTTCTTGATTTCTGCCCACTTCACCACGTTTCCTTTGCCTGCTCCTCCATCCGGGTTCATGACGTAGGCCGATTTTGGCTTGCCGTCGCGCATCGCGTATGCACGGTACACCCCCTCGGGGAATTTATCACATGGCTGGACGACCAACAAGAGATTCATTGCTCCTGCGAAGACGTGTTCGATATCTTCCATCTTGATTTGCGGTTGCGGGGGAGCTGCGATGAAGGTGCAAGGCGCGCAAGGCGCGATGACGGTCGGGGAGCGGCGCACACCTGACAGCTAAAAGTGATGCGCGTTCGGAGCCAGGGCGGATGATGAGTGATGCACGTTTTGTGGAGGAGAGGGCGGTGTAGATCTGATGGAGCTGGAGGAGACTGGAGGAATCTGGATGGAGATAATAATGGGTGAAACCGTTCCTAAAGCTAAAGGAAAAACATAGCGCCGCACCGAAAGGATTAGAGATAGCGATTAGCATAGTGCGAGATGATATTCTAGGGAGCATGCTAAAGGATTGACAGTCTATGACCCGCGTCCATGGCGTAGACTCTGGTCAGACGTCGCAGCCAGCGCCCGGAGCCGCCAGAGAAACAACACCCTGCCCTTGGAATACCGTTTAGCGCACGAGTAGCCAGTCAAGCAATCGTAGCCAGGCGGACCCGGACAAGGGTAGCGAAGCAACCGACAATGACCCAGTGCACGATGGGCCGGCCTGGTTCGCAGTGGGAGAACTAGAAGGGCGGTATATTAGAGTGCCGTCCACGGGTGTCGAGGAGAGTGTCCAGACGCGCGTCGCCAAAGAGATGCGATTCTGGGCCATCAGGAACTGTCACTGGGCGCGCGACGCGTACGAGACCGGAAGCTGCGTCCGGCTGCGCCTCTCGAGTATGGCGTGCACGCTGGGAATCGATGGAGGCGACAACGTTGCGTGTAGGACGTGCACTAACAAGCGTATGCCGTGCATGAGAGTCGTCGACGGGGACCTGTGTTTGATGCCGCTGGAAGCGAGCATCCGCGGCGGTAAGGACGGCGACGAGGCGAGAAGGTGGTTCATGGCGGCAGGAACATTCCGCAGCCCGAGGGAGCTGTGGAGTTGAGACGGCGGCGGCGCGTGGTAGTTCTGGAGAGCATAGCTTAGCACGTGGTCTCAAGAGGTTGCTGTCTGAACGAGACTTCACAAGAATGGTCATCTGCTCCTTACCTCCCACTCTGTACGCTTAAGAGCTTTCGATGAAATGATACTAGGCTTCCTCACCATATGTCTTCGACTTGTACCCGTATCCAGATAATTGAAAGCGAAGTACGAATTGAGAGATTCCAGCTGCCATAGCCTCCGTACAAACAATGATCTGGATCCTCTACTTTAAATCATAATGTCAGCCGCTTGAAGATGACATTGAAAAGTAAAGAGCTCAGCTGCCAGAGGCTCCCTGAACTCCACGAGTTAGATTCTTTGCTACGCATAGCTGGCGGTACCTGTATCCGGTGGCTTGGAAGTGAGATCGAGAAGCGAGGGACTCCAGGTATTAGAGCTTCCTTAGCTTTACAGTCTGAAACCTCCGCTTCGATTCCTGTGCGGTACCCATTTTCAGTAGCATGAGTACGACATCCAGAAGTGAGGGGTTTCAGCTGCTGAAGCCTCCGCAGACTCCGTGATCTGGATCCTGCGCCTCAACTCCTGTGCGATCGCTAAACATAGGTATCACAGTGAAGCTTCCAGCGAAGGTGTCAAACCCACCAGCGGGCGCTGAACCAAGTTGAACGCTGCGTAAAGGTGTCACAGCATGACTTGTCACCGTTCCGCGATCTGCTGATGTTAAGCTCAATAGCACGGATACCTTGCAGACTTGACGCTACATGAGCTCCCAGAATAGGGATAAGAGGGTCTAGGTGCATGTGCCCATCTCAAACGCTTTTGTCTACGATGCTAGATGCTGTGATGCTGCAAGCTTCGCGGGATGTTGAACTCTGTGAGCGGGCGCTGTCAGCCCGGAACATTTGATGATCCCCCCGAAAAGCCGCAGCCGCAGAGCCGCGGTGCAGTCCAGCGCGGGCCCATACGACTTCAGCTGCACTTCATGAATCCGCACGACATCCACAAACGCGTAAGACACGAGCTGGTTCATAAGCTAAATACTCGCTCAATCCCACTTCTCATAGTCAGGAAGGTACTTGCCGTGGATCCTTGTCGCATAATCCAGCACGGCAGGAAGATTGCGCACGAATTCCTTCGACTCTGGAGAACTGATCGTCAAGCGTCAGCTCGAACCTCTTAGGACTTCCAAGACTACCGTAGATTCACCTTTTCGCAATTAAAGCCGAGCAGACGAAGCCAAACACACTCGTGTCACACTCCGTCGGGCCATCCCCTCCGAGACACCAAAAGCAAGATCCATCATCCGCTCCACCGCACCTCTCGAGAGCCTTCTTCCTACTCTCTTCCAAAAGCCCGTGCAAGCTCGTCCAGATGTCCTCTCGGAACCGTCTCGCCTCGTCAGCGCTGTATCGTCCGGTGCCCTGCCCGTGCAAAGTTTGGCAGTGAGTGCGATGGATCATCAGACCCACCACTACACGCAGTGGGTATGAGAGGGCTGTCAGGACATGATCACGCTGGATATAGAAGTTGTCTATCCAGCGTTCGCGCATCTGGGTTCCCGTAGATACTATGGTGAGAACAGGGTCTGCGCGGCACAAGAGCAGACGGGACAGTAAGACATACGTTGAAGAAGTAGAGGCGATCTTCTACCAAGGCTCGCATAGCGAGATCCTGCGCTTTGACGCTTGCGTCTAGATTCGCGTTCAGATCGTCGATGACCCCGCGCTCTGTGAGATACTTTGCTATCAAGGTAGAATCTCCGACAGCACTCGTGGGCAACGACGGTTGGTCTTTCTCCCTGACTTCAACATACGGGATCTTCCCCGTGGGTGCCGCCCTCATTGAGCCAGCGGCAGTCTGGTATGAGACATTGGAGAGACGAAGGCGCAACTCAAGTTTCGTTACGAATGGCGACCAGACGTAGCAGCCTTTGTCTGACCAGCCTCGGAAGAGAGTGATCTCGAGCGACGGGGTGTTCGAATCGGTCATCGCAAAGGAGAAGACTGATGCGGAGGATTTGACATGCAGAGCAGTTCTTCCAATAGAGACGTGAGGTCAAAAATGGAGGAGCTGAAGATGAAGCGATTATCTCTATATAACCTGCCAGGCATGGTGGGCCCTCATATAGCTTTTTAGTTGAACAACCTGCCGACTGCATATTTCCCTTTGCAGCTCCTGAAGCACCAGCAGTGACTCACAAAGGATTGCATTCCTTGTAGCTCGCCCGTTCGGGCAGTGAAGGAGGCCGTGCTGCCGGGATTCTTCTCCAGACAGCTGCGACAATGCCGAACCACCCCCGGATCCCAGAGACGCCGAACCGCGAGAGGCGCTGGGCATCCCTCATCACATCGATGTTTGGCACACTCGCCGAACCATCACAGTCATGCATCACGGTCGGTGTGGAAATTACTAATCTCCGAGATATATTACTGCAGACCGATGAAGGCAATGCACAATCTAGTCCGCGCCGCAAAATGCTGCAACTGTGCTCGCCCCAGGGCCTACCAAGCCATCAATGTAAGCAAGCAGCACATCAACAGGTAACATATCCACAAGACCCAAGCTCGGATTCGAGCTGCGGAGGACCTGCCCGCCCCACAGTATCCTGACATATCTCTCGTCACCAGAAGCCTTCGTTCTGTACAACTCAAACACCAGTTCTGATCCCATGCCAGGCCACACCATCACATCAACCTGGAGTATCGACAGTAGCCTCGACACTGATCCATCGTGCGCGATGTTGTGTCGATATATCACAGGGCTCTTCCCATTCATGTGGTCGCGGATGTTCTGCGCCAGTTCCGCTATCCAAACCCCGAACGAACCTACCGCCGCCTGCAGCGACTCAGGCGCATCTCTGTAGATGTAGGAGTACTCGTATTGGCCCAAGCGATAGACGGCGTTCGCTTGCTCTTGTGTTACGCAATCCGATAAGTCCCCTATCTTGCAAGGCAGCGGTTTGGCGTGGCATTGCCGTGCCGAGAGATTGTCGAAGTAGTGGTCGAAGGATCTGTGGAAACCCTCATCGTCTGACGGAACGCTGGAAACGCCATCAAGGGCGGAGAAGAGGGGCGCAGATCTGTCTAGATGGGCTGTCCAGTTCGAGCGATTGCTGCCGACTCCGTAGGTGCTGTATAGAGATGAAGCAGGCGCGCATGCATAGCCTGGCTCAAGGGAGTCGATGGAGCTCGGCTGGATGAGAAGCGGAACGTCGCTGTCTGGGCTGTACATTCCCTCTACGAGCATGCCGGCAACCTGACTTGTGATAACGTTGTTGGTGACCCGGTACGTCACCCTGCCGTCCATCGAATCAGGGAGGAAGCGCAGCAGGTCGTGGTACACGCCGTAGAGGTCTTTCCCGTGTTGCCATGAGTCCTCCGAACCCTCGCGCGTTATCTGTGGGAACTGGCATGTCCCGTTGAAGCCTGAAGGCGCGAACGGATTGGTGCTTGTCGTGTAGACGCTCCAATATGTCGCAGCGGAGGACTTGATCACGTTGCCGAGTGGCTTGCCGTAGAAGAAAAGGCCCTCGTCAGAGCAGTACCACGGGTAAGCTTCTTGAGGGAATGTGTTGCTTGCGTATGGAGTTCGCTTATGGTGTCTGTGAATCTAACTGCTGTCAGCTGGGAGTGACATCCGACGCCCGTGCCGTGACACGCACCACCTCGACATAGGTCAGCTCATACTTCTCGTCGGCAACCGGGTATTCCTTCGCCCTCACATGAGGCATGTTGCACCAATTGTAGGTGCCGTATGGAGTCCCTTGGGGCAGGTGCGAGCTGTTGAAGATGAGGCCATGGACGCCGTTCCCTTCAATCACGCTGTCCAGGCTGTTGATCCAGGAAGACCGAGGAGCATGCCACTCGAGATCTGCCTCTACTGGAGGCGAGAGCGTCCGCGCATTCGAGCTGAAGGAGAACAGCAGAGGCAAGAGGTAAGACTTCAAGAACATGGCTAGCTCACGGATCTGGAGAGGGAGGAGGATTATACCCGCGGACAACGCCACGGCTGCGGCGATGATGCGGGCATTTTGCATCTCTTATACCCTCTGTGTCGAGTGCGGTCGTAGTCATCGTCTCTGCACAAGAATGCCGAAAGGTTGAGGAAGTTGAGACGGGATCCGCAACGTGGAAGAGACAAGCTTGCCAATTCGCCGCCCATCTGGGGATCGCTCTTTCGGCTGATCTTCGTAGCTTTGTTTGGGACGTTTGTGAACATGGATGGCTATCTACCGTTCTCCTCTGCACCAGGAAATTCAAACGGGCGAAGCTGCTAACGATGTCGCTCACCATGTTAATGATAGGGCTCGACTGGGTCCCTCGGATTTGACACTAGCTACCTCATCTCCTGAGTCAGTCTACAACTACAAGTAAGAAAACCAATCCCTTTGACAATTTGACCCAAGAAATCAACTAAACGGACCCATTCCTCTGACATGTAAGAAAACCATCCCCGCTGAGGCTCTGCAGTTTGATCCCTCCCGTCACAACACAACAAGGCCGCTTCGTAGACGGTTTGGTCTCGCTAGTGAAAACTAGAACAAGGTGACAAGCTTGTAGTTTAGACAGCCGGCCGTGATCATCCCACCGCGACCCTTGTTGTTGCCTGGACCGGTTAGTAGGTGATTGGGAGAGGCGGGATGGAAACCTTACATTCTTTCCAAGCACGATAAAGTATATCGCTGCATGTGTTCTCCCCGACAGGCCTAGCGACATTATACTCACTCGAGCATTCGGGCTCAGCCGCGACGGTGACGTTGAAATTGTAGACATCATCAGTCCCTTCCTTTTCGCTCCAATCGTACGCTACAGTAAGGTCGTCCTCAAACACGACCTCAACGTCCCCTGTGATAGAACTTAGAAGTTTGACACCGTCAAAGAGTACCGGTTTGATTCTCGCAGAAGAAGCTAACAGCATTGTCCAAAGCTTCCTCATGAGAATCCCTGATAGTCACGTCATCTGGCAGCGTAGGGACACAGCTTGGGGCGGATGGAGGTTCGGGGGTGGGAACGTTGTTGTGGCGGGTGGAGGGTCCACGGGTGAAACTGTTGGGCTGGATGGGGGTTTCTTCAGATTGATAGTATGAATATTTCCTCGCCGGCCTGACCCTCGAATAGGGAGTTCTTCAGATCGCTAGGTTAGGGAATTATGCTATTCAATTCATCAACTTGAGTGAGAAATGAGTGGGACGAGACATACCTGGACTGATTGATCAACACCGGCTCGGATGCGGCCGAGGCCTGAGTCTTGTACTCGAGTTCTCTCTTGAACTTGGTTGGCGGCAAGTCAGATAACTGGGCCGCGGCGGTCATTGACGGCTGTACAGCTTGTTCTTCGTCTTCGATATTTTCCTCTGTCTCTAGAACGCCGTCGTTCTCTTGAACCTTGCTCAGCTGCGAACTAGTAACATTGGCCAGCCAAAACATAAGCTCTGTGTTGAAGTCTCGAGCGGAGTACACCTTGGCGGACTGGGTAACCTGCTTGAGGAATTTCTCGGTCTTTGAGAGCGCAACTTCGTCTGTGCTGTCCTTCGGGAGAACAAGGTACTCTTTAGTGTCCACGGTGCCGAATTCGCCCGTTTGGGTTTCGCTCCTTCCGCCCTTCCGCTGATCTTGGCGGCTTTTGTTCAAACGTCCCTGCTACGAAATGCCAGGTGAGGATCGCTCAGATCGCTTAGGTTCAATGAGCGCGTGAGGTCTACCCTACCAATAGGTGGTCCGCAACAGTTTCCGCTGCTTGAAGGCTATATTGTGGCTGAAGATAGCGTTGTGGCTATGTTACGAGCTTTGCGGCTGTGCTCAGCACCCCCGAAAGCCAGCTTTGGGAAGCTAACTTCCTCGATTTCAATCGTAGCTGGAAGGTCTCAAAATCATTTATTCGGTCTCCGGCTTAGTATGCTTTTAATCATACAAGGTTTGCACAACCGAAGCTGCTACTACAGATGTCGCATACGTTAAGAGGAGCGAAGCTCGGGCAGTTTGTCAGCCTTCGCTTGAAGCAGCTTTGGGCACAAGTCGAAGACAGATGCCGAACCTGGTCCAGAGGCAATCAAGATTGCCAAGAAGTCGAATCGGAAGTCTCAAGCGACGACGACGACTCCCAAGCAAGGTTGCAGAAGTCGCAGGACACGTTGCCTCAAAGGAAGGTGTCCTACGACTTATGCAACCTTGCTTGCGCCGAAGCCGATTTATTCGAAGCCATCCGGGCCTCAGATGAAAAGAGAGTGAGAGGTTTGATTGCGGCCGGTGTGGACACCAATGCGGTGGATCCTAGTAGCTCCTTCGAATGGGAGGCAGAATCCGCTCTACAGGCAACTCTTTACGCAAGAAATGAGGCTATCGCGGCACTGCTTGTTCTATCAGGAGCCAAGATCCCGTCAGGCTTCAGAGGCGAACGCCTGATCTCGGAGACCTTGAGACGCAGGAATTTCTCACGGCCAGCGGTTCTGCTTATCAAACTGGCCAACGAGGTTGGTGCTCCCCGTCGGCGAAGTTCCGTGGTTCGTTTGGATACAGGCTCATAGGTCGTCCAGACAGCTGAGAACGAATTACTCAGGTTTCTGTTCCGAGCGACTGAATCCAATGATGCCGAAATTACTAAGTTCCTGCTCGACTGCGGGGTAAATGTTGATGCAAAGAACTATACTGAGTGGACTCCCCTTCATATCGCCGTTAGGGAAGGGTGTAAAGACGTCACAAGAGTTTTGCTCTCCCACGGAGCTCGACTGGATCTTAAGGGGCCTGATGGCAGAACCGCCATCGATATTGCGATCTCCAAAAATCACCAGGACACAGCTCGCATGCTACTGGACAGCCTTTCCAATGTTTGTGAAACTGAGTTTTCTGCAGGCGTTTCGGTAGACAAAGAGTATTCTGCGGACCCTTCAGTAGATGAAGCCATCCGCAGCTGGGACCTTAACAAGGCTCTGCTGCTCATGGAGAATGGGGCAAGTTTAGCACTCCGAGAAACGCGCAGCGTCCAACTGAGGACTCTTGACAAGACACCCGCAATCGTAGGATCCGACAACGAGTATCTCAAGATTCTGTGTTTGATAATAGAGGACCTCAGAATATCTATTGGTCAAACACAGGCCAGCGGCGATGATCATACCGGCTCCGATCGTGCTTTCTTAAACGGGTCAAGATGGCTGTTGACGTGTCTTACGCAGCATTCTGATTGCATAAATTCCGAGGGTCCGCTTCCTGTTCTTCAGTCTCGAGTCATTGACGTCGGACTCCAGGACGGATCACAAGACCCAGTCCTGCTCTGCACTAAAGGGCAGCGAGGTCGCTATGTTGCCCTGAGTCATCGCTGGGTAGGGTCTCACATCACGAAAACTACTACGCGCAATTTAGCCGAGCGGATGAAGCGAATCGAGTTCGGTTGTTTGACAAAGACGATGCGAGATGCTGTCACCGCCACAAGGAGATTCGGTGTGCGCTACCTCTGGATCGACGCGCTTTGCATAATTCAGGATTCGCACAGCGACTGGTCAGTGGAGGCGTGCGACATGGCCAACATCTATCGAAATGCTCTGTTTACTATTGCAGCTGCAGCTGCATCGGATCACTCGCAAGGTTGCTTCACCAAAAGACGTCAAAGACGTTGGCCCGCACACAGGAGTCAACTTGACTCAAGGGCTTGGATTCTCCAAGAGCAGCTACTGCCTCCACGCATCATAGAATACTCTGTAGGTCACCTTGAATGGGAATGTATATCTTTTTTCGTCTCCGAACATAATAGGGGTGAGCGGTACAATTACTCTCCAAGAACAGCACTTTCCAGAATTACATACTTCAAACGAGCATTAGGAGGTTTCTGCCTCACTGGCATGTCGCTCCAACAGCAAGCACATGAGAGATGGCAGCAGGTGGTAGAGATCTACTCGCGTCGCAGCTTGACAAACGAGGCAGATAAACTCATGGCTGTCATGGGCATTGCGAGGTTCACCGGGGATATCTTGCAAGACACCTTCCTTGCTGGGCTGTGGAAAGACCGGCTCTGGCGCGATCCTCTCTAGACGTCGCAACTGGATTCAGACGGACAACTACCCAAACGGTTAAAGAAGATCAAGCTGCCGTCGTGGTCATGGGCCTCGGTTTGCGGACCAGTCTCCTACCGATGGCCTGCGAACAGCGACCTGGCTTTTGTGAAGGGCGCTCTGGAGCTCGTCGCCGCGAATATGGACCAAGATATCTCGAATGGAGACGTCCACGGGAAGCTGGTTGTGAAAGGCAGGATGAGAAGCGTTTTCCGAAGAGACCATGACCAAAGCTATTCGTTCACCCGGCTCCATCACACCTTATCAAGGCCGTCCATCGCGTACCGAAGCCCTCCATCCAAATTCAAGGACCATGAAGCCGAGTCTCTACAACCCGGTAACTCAGAAGGCCCCTCCGAAGCGTTTTGGCGTGATGTGGGGGATGAGGATTTCAATGTAGCGTGGCTCCTACCTGTAGCGTTTGAGGACAAATGGATTCATTGTCTTGTGCTTGTTCCTACAGGCATATGGAGGGAATATAGGCGCGTTGGAGTTTCCCGTGTGGCTCTATCGAAGACGAGGGGCTTCTTCCAAAAGGCGGGAGAGGAGATAAGATAGTCGATATCGTTTGACATCCTGGAACGTTTACGAAGACCGACATACCGGCAGTGTAGTAGTGAGGAAGTTATGCTCTGTTCAGCTCGGTTCATGGGTTTCATGGGCCTTCTAAAGGCAGCAATAGAAGCAACTATATACCCGGGATTATACCAGACCACGAGATAACTTTCGAACAGCATCAATTGGACACAAACTGCAACCTGTCCGCGCCCCGCTTTGCGCGCAGCGCATTTGAGTGCTCGACAACGGCCCGATCCAAAGCCCACCACCAATTCCGAAAGAAGGCTTGGCCAATCTCCCAGTTGCCTCCGTCGAAGCCGTCGGCGCCAGCAATTCGGAAGCCTTCTACGGGATCGTCGATGTCGTACGCCATTTGCAGGACAGCGAGCGGATCCCGAGCGGAAGGCGGGCGTGCTTCAGGAGGCTGCGCGAAGATGCAGATCAACTTCGACCTTATTGAAGGCCACGGCAGGATGTCGAACAGCGGGTGGTGCGGAATACGCTTCTGCACCTCTGTTGGCTCCAGGTTAGGAGGCAATATCAAGCCTGGGATCTCTCCGATGTCGAAGACACGAAGGGTATTGGGATCCCACATCGAGTGCTCGCAGCCGAGCATTTGAGCGATGCTGATACCGACTTTCAAGACTTGTAGGAGTGGCACGTCGAGGATTGCGTCATCCGGGAAAGTGAACTGCAGAGTCTCCAGACTGTGCAGCTCCTGGCCGAGGTCTGCATCGTTCGGGGATAGTAATGTGTCTATAGCAAGGCAAAGCACGGGTTAGAACTGCGAGACGTTCCATAGCACAGCGCGTAGAATGCGTACCGAATGTTATCAAAGCACTTCCTTCGAGACCGTTATCAACTTGACCCCAGGATGAGCACCCCAGGCTGCCGTCTATATTACCAGCCCATGGCACAGCGGCGCTACACCATCCACTCACAGGCATGGCAGAGGTTGCTGCATCCATGGCTGAACCAAGCGGAGAAGGCGTGTTGAGGGTGATATCTTGACTTGCCGGCAAAGTGCTTTGAGGAGTTTCCATGTTTTCTTCGGGTGTAGATTCTGCACGCTCTTCCAAGCTGGAGGGGACCTCTGTCCGGCCATGCGCCTCCGACGATGTAGGTGCAGCCCTCACCTTGCCCTCCAACGCTAACATCCTGTCACGTTTGCGCTGGCCTGCAGGCATATGTCAATCACGGCGGAGCTGCCACAAGTGTAATTGGGTTGTGCCGACATACGGTATCTGCGCTGCGCCAGAACATTCAGCGCACGCTTGCGGTCTGGATCACCGCGGTCTGGGACGTTGTTGCCGTCCAACATCTCTGCTTGACGCATGTTCCCAGATTCATGAAGGTCTTATCCGCAGTAGATGAGACCATCCTTGGTTGCAGTCGTCCTGATGCGCCCAAGGAAGAGCAGTAACGTTATGGCCAAGACCGCAAGGCTGACGCTTCCCGATTCGGTTAGAAAGCATAACGTTATGGTGGCTTTCCCAGGCCGAATCTAAGGCACCACCATGACAACTTACGCACTGCGATGGGTAAAACGAATGAGGGCTTTACGACTTAAACCAAGGCAATCCGCTCCGAGATGTAGCATTTTACCCACGCCACAATTGACAGTTCCGCAATCTCTCCGCTCCTGCCTTCTCGTAACAACTCTCTGGCATTTTATTGAACCCAGATCTTGTATCACAAAATGGCTTCAACCAACGGCCTCTCTAGCAGCGCAACCAGCACCATAGCAGTTCTGCGTGTACTCATCGGCGGAGGCGTCCTCATTGCCCCAAGCCACGCCCTACCCCTCTTCGGCATTCCTCTAGCCGCGCAGACCACTATCCTGGCCCGGATGTGCGGCATCCGTGAGCTCATACTCGCAGGCCTTCTTTGGAGTGCGCGAACAGCTTCCAACACTACGTCGAAAAGTGCAGCTTCTGATGGAGAAGTGAGGCGAGAGCTTAGGCGCGCGCTGATGGCTGGGCTGGTTGCTGATGCAGTGGACGTGTGCAGCGCCGTTGTTGGTGTCATGGAAGGAACTCTTGAGGGAGCCGCAATCGGGTGGGTAGGAGGAGGGGCGGCGTTCGGAGTTGTCTTGGGAGTAGTGGCGTTGAGGGGATTCTGAGTGTTACCGGGGGTACTGCGACGAAGCCCTGTTGTAACAAACAGTGTTGCTGACATGGTGACAGAGAACGTCCTCGATCAGGCCTGACTAGTATTTGCGTAGATTATTGCCGAGATTGAGTTGGCGGCAGCAAGGAAGGGTTAGAGCCTGTTCATATTTCTATACTAGAAAGAAACCAAAACGCCAATCATAAACCATAGTCCCTATATACTGTCGCACGAAGTAATAAAGGACGCGCCTGCGGTCCATCGGATTTGCCCGAAAGTAGAACGTCAACTGAATGACCCACGCCTGATTCTAATTCAGAGCGGAGCTTACATAGCTGCCGCCTTCCCCTCTATACCTCCATCAAAGCCAAAGTGCTAACATCATGACTTACCGACTGTACAAGCCATTCCGCAGCCAATCCAAAGACGCTCCAGCATCCTTCTCCCTAGAACACAGCCTCGCTATTGCCATACATACAAAGCATAAGAACAGACAAGTCCCACTCCACAACTGTACGGTCAGGTAGCTCTGGAAATGACCAACTAAGTAACCTGCAATGACTGGTCCTGTGAGCGCAAAGACGGCGGATCCAGTATACATCATACCGGTCCACTGGCCCAATTTAGCCTGCTGGACGTGATTGTGACCGAGGATAAAGGCGACAGAGGCAGGCGGGAGGCCGATTACAGCACCAGAGACTGCACCGAAGAGAATGACAAAGGCAATTGCGGCGGCGACCGTGGAGGCAAAGGGCCAAAGGAGGAGGACCAGAAGCGACGCAAGAAGACTGGCGACCATATGCACATTCAAGGCTCCGAAGCTGTGAGAGACACAAGACGTGTCAATCTCAATTTTTCATGTGGTAGGTAATGTAGCAAAGGGCTGGAAGATATGCTTACTGGTCGCTAAGATAGGCAGAGCTGATGCGGCCGACGGTACTACAACCGTTCATGATGCTTAGAAGGTAAAAAGTACGGATGGCGTTTTTGGGGCGCTGCTCCGGGTGAGTTCCATCGCCCTTGTAGCCGATGCCCTTGCTTGCAGCCCACTGGCAACCGATATTAGCGCTTGTTTACCCAAGAGAATGGGAGCAGATGATGTACCTCTTCAATCTCGAAGAAGATAGCATAGAAGCCGAAGAACATGAAGGCAATAGCAGCCATGAACCAGCAGAATGCCGCATTCTGGAACGCATGCTTATCGATCCAAACACGAAGGTCGAGCCACCTCTCCGGCTTGCGGAACGTATGTGCAGGGTTTGGAGTAGCCAGCCAGAATGACAGGAAGGAAGTGAAGCACACAACTGCCGAGACGTATTGGACCGCCTTATTGAATCCGACCTTGCCAATGAGGAACTTGACCATCATTGGGTAGACGAGACCGGCTACAGCGACAGTCTTAGCACAACCTTCGCTAAGTAGGGGGATGTGCGACTGAACTCGAGATGCTCCAAGCTTCTTTACAACTTACAGATACTAGCCCCTGAGGCCACGATGCCAATTGCAGCGCCTTTCCTGGAAATAAACCACGTCGCCACAACTGTGATGATTCTCAGCAAGTGCTACTCGACAAAGTCTGTGGAGGGTGGTAAACGAACTCTGCGAGCTGGAAACGAAGAAGCAGGCCATGCCTAGGCCCGTGACGAAGCCTTGAGTGAGCCAAATAAGGCTATAGTTTCCGTGGCCAAACTGACCGTCGCCGTTGCAGAGGCTCAGCATAAACATGCCGATGGTGACTAGCACCCATCCGACACCGATTAGGTACCGACTATACCCGGCGTCTAACAGTCGGCCAACAATGAAGGACAGTGCAAGCACAAAGAAGGACTGCGTCGAGCCAACAAGATTCAGCAGTAGCATATCGTGTCCCGGCAGCAACTGATCTTCGTAGTAGGACGCAAACGTCCCATACGCATTGACGAGCCCCCAGCTGTTGAACATGAGGAAGAAACAGCCGACAAGGGTAGCCCAGGCCGGCCATTCCTTTGGCCACGTACGAGGGTGATGGTGAATGAGAATAGCAGGTCCGGCCAAAGGAGGGGTTGGTGCTCTTTCAAGATCGTTGGCAGCGCTTGAGCTTGGGGACGATTCGAAGAATTTCTCGTTGGACGGTTGGAAACATGAAGTGCTGTTGTTAACGGAACTCATATTTACTGAGTGGAAAAGATCAAAGATAGCGAGTGATGTGGAAAACAGCTGTACAATGATAGTTTGGAAGAGTGGAATAGAACGAAAAAATATCTGGAGCAACCCTCCTCTTCAAGGTCGTGAGCATTACTAGACAGACATAAGAACGTAGCAAGCGCTCTCTCCTCGACCTCGATCTCTGTTTCTGCTACAGCCTATCTAAAAAAACGGGGTGTCAATCCAGGATTCAGGATTATGATTGCCAGCATTGTTGAGTTTCATGGGTGAAAAGTGAGAGGTTTACTACAGGGGGTGAGTTCTAAAGATAAGGTTCATGCGTGGTCAAATCAATTCGTGGGTCTAGAAGACGTGGCTAAGAGATCGCGATCGGCAACAGGCCGACGAAACTGCCCAGTATGCTACAAGCAACGGTATACTTGTCTGTTAAAATGAAAGGGGACCCGCCGGGCATCAGGGCGGAAGCAGAGTCTCTTATCTGACTCGGCCAGGAACATGACATATCGTGGTCCAATGCCTGTAAGGTGACTAAGTAGGAAGGCAATCCAAGCCAGTCATCCCCACAAAGGCCACCGTCGAGACCCTCATCGACTCCTCAGTTGCGTAGTCCCAACATCACCAGCACGATGACAAACCTGATTGCTAGCTTGTGCAGAGGAGCTGATGCTAGTAGACTTCTTTCTAGCATTTCATCCATTTCGTGCAAGGAGGATGGAGCTGCATATTCGGTGACGTCGATAGATAGAGGCGGGTACGATAGGATTCTAACTAGCACTAGGCCTGAGATTTGATCCACTTCAATGTTCGAAGGATGACCCGGGGGGTTGGTGACGTCGATCAAGACACGCGGCCACGGTAAGGTACAGGTTGACACTATGTTTGTATCAGCCAAGGGACCAGAGATATGGGAACACGTTGTGGTGGAGGTGTGTGCCACAAGTGTCCCACGACTTATGCCATTATAGCACGTTTGGCTGGCATCCTTCTGATGTTCCTCCAGGCGGCAGGCTGTTGGCACTTGTACCCAGCTGGCACCCCAAAACTATTTTTCGGTGGAGAGGAGCTCAACGTTTTGGGCCACACATTCTGTACATGGGCGTTCAGCAGGTGGTGGAGCGCTGTGGGCGATATGGACGGTTGGTTCAAGCTTAGCCAAGACTGCTGGGCGATATGGATCGACGGCGGAAAGCGGAAGCCGGATTGACCGAGCCGCTCCGGTCCGTGCGTGCTGCCTCACGACCTCATGAGCAGGGCTGTACCTGTCCGGTACCTGTCAGGTCCCTCTCCTCCCCTCCCCGCTATTGTGTCTGAGACAGCTGCCAGGCGCATGTTCCTCCAACCACCTGCAGTCGTCGCCACCTCCACTGCGCCCACCGCACTCCTTGAGTCATTTATCCCCGGCCCCACCACGGCTGCTCTCCCGCACCGCCGGGTCCCTGTACAGTGGCACATGTAACACATGTGAAGCAGCGTGCTTCGTTTCCCATGCTGGATCGTCCTACTATCACAAACCTGAAATCCTGTACCTGGCTGCCACCTGGTGAGGTACACACCACGCGCTGAGCCCAGCACGCATCAGCTTTCATCTGTACCGAATCCCAGTTCAGGAGCTGCGAACGTGCACAAGGCCGCGATGGGTCGTTGGGCGCTCCGTTTGACTGAAACCAACTTTGGGCGGACGGCGTGCTTCAGAAGCGCTGGGACGAAGTCGTCGCTGTACTGACTTCAAGTGGCGAGTTCGCGATGCTCATGGTTGCCTTTCCCAACTGCGCGCACAACCTGTACACCCTGGCAGCCTGCGGCAGTATCTCACAAGTTGATCAGATCGAATGCGTCCAATCATTGCAGTGCACCACAGCCTTAGTGGAGGTACCCTGGTGGGCGGCACGGCTAACCGTTGACTCTCTCTCTCAACAACAGTGCCAGGAACATGGACGAGGAGAAGAACAAGAACATGAACATGGACTAGGACAAGGAGACGGGGAAGAACTATCGTTTCACCATCCTAGGCTTCTGGTTTCCATGGACAGCCTCACTTTGATGGTACTTTCTACTAGTTCGTACTGCGCGATCTTCAAATCTGCGAGGGATCTGGCAGTTCATTCTTCGAATGAGGTAGTCGCGCGGCAATCGAGCTACGTGTGAGTTGTGATTTCCAAGGCTCAGGAAATCGCGCAGTCCAGAGCCGGTAACACATTGATTGAGCAACCCTAGCGGTGCCTCAACCTTGTATGAAACAATATGCCAGCATGCAGACGGTTGAAGCCGTCCTTGAATTTCAGCTATCGTTGCATCCCTTAGATATCTCCTGGCAAGGGAGTTGATTATGAGGCGACCAGCACATATATATCAGGCTGTGGGCTGCTCCTGCTCAAAATACCCAGCTACACATCCTCTGTCAAACTTCGTTCTCACTCGTTATAAATCCCCCAACCGCTGTTTCTGATTCGCAGTCTCTGGTTCGTTGTCTTCTTTCAAGCAATCGTTTCTACCAGCCCTTACGTAGCGATGGGACGCAGCAAGAAAAACGATGTGGAGGCTGGCCCTCCCAAGGAACGAGGTTACTCACAGTACGAAGGCCTTGACGAGTATACCGCCCTACAGAAGTATCTCGCAACCTACCGTGACCCCCGCGATGCAACCACGGACGATTCAGACAAGCAGATGGATACTACAGTTAAGAAGAAGAGTTGGGCATTCTGGAAGCGTGGAGACTTCGAGAATGGCACTGGCTCCGATGCTGGTGTAGTCCCCGAAAACTGGCTTGATGCGCACATCAGGGGGGGCATCTCGACCGAGGATGTGGAGAGCCGCCGCAAGAAGTTCGGGTGGAACGAGATCACAACGGAAAGCACCAACCTGTTTGTCCAGTTCTTAAGCTACTTCCGAGGACCTATCCTCTACGGTGAGCCTCCTCATACAACCAGAAGCGGCAACAACTAACATGTCAATAGTCATGGAACTCGCTGCAGTCCTTGCTGCTGTTCTTCGCGATTGGATTGATTTCGGTGTCATCGGCGCTATCCTGTTGCTCAACGCTATTGTCGGATGGTACCAAGAGAAGCAGGCCGCAGACGTTGTGGCAAGTTTGAAAGGCGACATCGCAATGAGAGCCACTGTTGTTCGGGATGGCAGGGAGCAAAGTATCTTGGCTAGAGAAATTGTTCCCGGAGACATCGTGAGTTCATGCTATACTCTGTGTATGGCGTGTACTTACATCTGCAGATCATCGTCGAAGAAGGTCAAACTGTCCCTGCTGATGCCCAGTTGATCTGCGATTATGCCGCCCCCAGCGACTTTCACAAGTTCAGACATCTGAGATCTTCGAACAAGTTCAGCAAGGAGAGCCTGAACGACACGGATGGTGAAAAGAAGAGTGCCGGCGGCAGCGAGGATGAGGTCGGGGACGATGCAGTCGGTAGGGTGGGTGACCCCATCGTCGCCTGCGATCAGTCGGCCATTACCGGAGAATCTCTCGCAGTAGACAAGTACATGGGGGATATTTTGTACTACACGACCGGCTGCAAGCGTGGTAAGGCCTACGCTGTCACCATCACCTCTGCAAAGCACTCTTTCGTCGGCAAAACTGCCAGTCTTGTCCAAGGCGCACACGATCAAGGTCATTTCAAAGCCATCATGGACTCTATCGGGACCGCGCTGCTTGTTCTGGTTGTCTTTTTCATTGTCACCGCCTGGATCGGAGGGTTTTTTCGCCATGTCAAGCTCGCTCTCCCGGAGCATAGCTCTGTCAACCTGCTCCACTATGCCTTGATCCTGCTCATTGTCGGAGTCCCGGTCGGTCTTCCGGTCGTCACTACCACGACTCTAGCTGTTGGCGCTGCTTACCTGGCAAAGCAGAAGGCCATTGTCCAGAAGCTTACGGCGATTGAGTCGTTGGCTGGTGTTGATGTACTCTGCTCGGACAAGACGGGTACGCTTACGGCCAACCAGCTTAGCATTCGTGAACCATTCGTCGCTGAAGGTCAGAGTGTCGACTGGATGATGGCAGTAGCCGCGCTGGCTTCATCTCACAACTTCAAGTCCCTGGATCCCATAGACAAGGTCACCATCCTCACCCTCAGACGGTATCCCAAAGCCAAGGAGATCTTGCAGCAAAGATGGAGAACCGAAAAGTTTACGCCCTTCGACCCCGTCTCGAAGCGGATCACCGCTGTGTGCTGGCTCAACGGCGACAAATACGTCTGCGCGAAGGGGGCTCCAAAGGCTATCCTGAATTTAACCAATTGCAGTAAGGAAACTGCAGACTTATTCAAGGACAAGTCTACTGAGTTTGCCCGTCGTGGGTTCCGTTCACTCGGCGTCGCGTACCAGTTGAACGACGGGGACTGGATTCTGTGCGGATTGCTTTCCATGTTCGATCCTCCGCGCGAAGACACGGCACAAACTATCATGGAGGCACAGCAGCTTGGTGTTCCGGTTAAGATGCTTACAGGTGATGCTATCGCTATTGCAAAGGAGACTTGCAAGATGCTCGCCCTTGGCACCAAGGTCTACAATTCCGAAAAGCTGATCCACGGTGGCTTGACCGGAGCTGCGCAGCACGAGTTCGTCGAAAGGGCTGATGGATTTGCTGAAGTCTTCCCTGAGCACAAGTACCAGGTTGTGGAGATGTTGCAGCAGAGAGGCCACCTGACGGCTATGACTGGGGACGGCAAGTGTGACTAGCTTATAGTGTCGCTCACCACCACGCTAATCTTATCTCGCAGGGGTTAATGACGCACCTTCCCTTAAGAAGGCCGACTGCGGTATCGCAGTCGAAGGTTCATCAGAAGCAGCCCAAGCCGCCGCCGACATCGTCTTCCTCGCCCCAGGTCTTAGCACAATTGTCCTCGCCATCAAGACGGCACGAGAGATATTCCAGCGGATGAAGGCGTACATCGAATACCGCATCGCACTCTGCCTGCATCTGGAGATTTACCTCATGACCGCCATGATCATCATCAACGAGACTATCCATGTCGAGCTCATTGTCTTCATCGCCCTCTTCGCCGATCTAGCCACCGTCGCTGTCGCGTACGACAACGCGCACTCCGAAGATCGACCGGTGGAATGGCAGCTTCCAAAGATCTGGATCATTTCTAGCATCCTAGGCGTACTGCTCGCGCTCGGAACATGGGTCGTCCGTGGTACCATGTATCTGGAAAACGGCGGTATCGTTCAGGAGTTCGGCTCGGTGCAGGAAATCATCTTTCTTGAGGTCGCCCTCACAGAGAACTGGCTTATCTTCGTTACCCGCGGCAGCAAAACCTGGCCATCCTGGCAGCTTATCAGCGCGATCCTCGCTGTTGACATCCTGGCAACTCTCTTCTGCGTTTTCGGCTGGCTTGCTGGAGAGCCGATAGTCAACAACCCGGTCGCTCTTTTCCACCAGCGCGAGGATGGTCGGACTGACATTCTCACCATAGTTGTCGTCTGGTGCTATTCCATCGGCGTCACTATCGTCATTGCCATCGTGTACTACCTCCTCAACAGCATTCGTTGGCTTGATGAGCTGGGCCGCAAGAACCGCAGCCGCAAGAACGCGAAGGTGGAAAACCTTATTGCCCGGCTATCACAGCTTGCGATCTTTCATGAGCGGGATGGTACCGGAAAAGATACGTTCACGATTGCCCAGAAGGCAGCAGACCCAGAAGAGGAGGATTGATCGCAGTTTAGAAGGATTGGTGCAAGGGGTTTGCCGATGAGGATTGCTGAGCGATGGCAAGCCCGGGGGAATTAGTGAATACTTTGTCGTCGTGACTGCCATACATTGTGGCCTTTATTATCGTCCCTCTTTTGCTCTCATGACTCTTTGGCTGGGACGACATAGTATGCTAAGGTATGTTGGCGTGTCGAGAAGATTCCGGTTTCTTCTGTTTACCCACTGATGTCGCTCGTTTGCCCGTTATGTATGTGTAATTAGACATGAAAACCTTCGAGCAACTCCACATGACTTCAAAGCGATGCTGCCATAGTGCCACTGATGCACAGTGGCAGGGAACACTCCATAGCGCAATACCCTAACCTGCGATTGCCGGTAACCCTCGCATGTTCAAAGAGCCATACGGAAGGCATGCGTCTTTACAAATCTGCTCGAGGTCCCACATTTCAAACCCTTAATAGGATTGCAACCAATTAAGGTAGTTTCGCCATCGAATCATACCTCATCGGGTACTCAGCCCCTGCTTAGCCCTTTTTGCACCGATTTGCAGCCGCGTCAAAATGTGCCCCTGAAAGCCGCCGAGCGTTGTTTCACAGCCATGAGTGTCCATGTTTCCCGTTTACGCTTTCTCGATGTGGTTATGGATAGCCACAGGCTCTCATGCCTTGGCGGTTGAAACTTGGACACATGAAACCAAACACGTGATTGTGCCAACAGCCGAGACAACAGGTTCACCTCCCCGCAACCCGCCCTACCTTCTGAAGATCCAACTCCGCTTTCCTCCCCCAGCCCTTCTGACCAGCGCTTACTTCAGGTCTGAAGCGCTCATAAAACCCAAAAGCCTTTTCGTTCAGCTCTTCCTCAGCTCCCTTCCATGCCTCCAACGCCTTCTCAAAGGCAGCCTTTGTCCTATTGTATGCCTCGTCTCCGAACTTTGCCTTTAGCGACGCCTCTGAGCCAGGCTTGCCCTTCTTGTCACTTCCCGCAACGACTAGTCCATTCTTCACCTTCAGCTTGAATCCCATGACTTCCATCTCCTCCAGGTCCTCCTGCTCCTTCTTAGCACGCTTCCGTCTCTCGGCTTTCTCTTCCGTCTCTTTGGCAGGCTCGATTGTGCCGATACTCCGGCCTTTCGAGATGGCGCAGAGTGATGATATGGCGCTGCCAGCGGAGAGACATGTTGACCACGCAAAGGAAGGGTGGAGCAGGTGCGTGACGGAAGCTGCCCACAGCTGGAGAACCGGTGCGCGGTTTATGATGACCGGCTTATCATCCTGCTCCTTCTCGTCTTGCTTTGCTGAAGGTTTCGAGGCGGATGGCCTTGTTGTCTTCGGCTTTTTGGCCGGAGGCGAGGATGGTTCGTCTGTGGGGTCATCGGGGGCTTTGCGCTTGCGGGATGTCTTGGGCGGGGTGGGAGATGATGCGCGTGGTTTTGAGGTGTTCGCAGCTGGTCTGGAGGGTTTTGCCTGAGTTTTAGACCCCTTGGCGGCTGCGGTGCGTGGTTTTTTCGTTGGCGATGACTTGCTATCTGTGAAGTCTTCGAGGTGAGTTTGGGCGGTTCCTCCGCTGCGCGTGGTGACCATGGTGGCTTCTTATAACGCGCCAGCTTGGGTAGAATACTACACAGATCTGTGCGATCCGATGAATTCTTTTACTAAAGAAGATAAGCGCTGTTACTCGGCGCAACAGCAAGAGGTGATCTTGCGACGCTTCGCGAGCTTGTCACGATGCATGACGTCACCCGGGGTTTGTTCGGCAACCCAGCCTCAACCATTCAAGCCTGGTCACGTTATCCATACTCTGAAGACGGGGCTACCTTTCGACTCCCTCGTTGAGATTAAAGAGTACAGAATGCCGTCTACTCACACATCCTAGTCAGCACCCGCTTCGTTGGCTATGGGGGCGAATTGGAAAGCGGATCCCAAGAATACTGGCTCGCATCTCAAGGGCATGATTCGCTAGTCCTCGGCGCTGTGGTTTCCTGAGGCCCAACATGGTCAAAAAGATCATCACGTTGCAAGCAGCCCGTCCCGACCCTTGTAGTGCTGTTTGCAGGGCAGTGTTCTGGATAGAAAACACCCTAAGATAGGTGGTGGTGAGAACGTAACGCATCACTCAGGCTAAGGCATGGAGGCCTTACGAGAAGGTTGATTGTTACATGGAAGCTGCCGATGAGGCGCCACTGATTGCTGCCACCAGGCTACCGAAGCCTACGGAGGAAGATGAGGCGACGAAGGGGAGGCCAGCCGGACGACATGGCGTGGAGGGAGGATAACTTAGAAATCCGCGAGAAATATAAGACATTTCGACGGGGGCGGCGATCGATGCCGTGACCTATCTGTGCTGCTCTACGTCTGAAGGATCATTGAGGAAGGGTTCGACGAGATTGTGGTAGCTCTTGAAGACACCGAAAGCGCGCGGAATCCCCGCGTAGAGTTAACACGCCCCAACACATGCGGAGCTGCGAGCCTGTGAAAGGTGAAAGGGGTGTCTTGCGCAAGAAGGAGAAAGCGCCTAGAAAGTTCTGAACGAAAGAGGAAGCGGTATGGCCGCGGCCTGGTCGTCCACAAGCTAACGTAGATGTAGTTCATGCAGTATACTAGAGCCATGCCATGCAACTAGAAGCTCCGATGGCCAAACGAAAAGGCGACGATGATTTTTCGTACTACACAACTTCGGACACGTGTTTACGGAGTGGGACCGGCAAGTAGAGGCGTATAATATGGACCCAACAACGAAAGACGAACTGCACAGAAGTGCAATGTACCCAAGACCGATAGCTACCATCAGGCAGGCACGCAGGAACTCCCACGCTTGTCTCCGCATCTCGCCGTGGGCATGACGAAACGTTCGGCTTCCTATGTTGGTACTGCTTAATTTCAACCTTCAATCTTCAACCCTCAACCTTCCACGGTGACAGTGTCAAACACGAGGGACTTATCTTGAGACACTGTAACTCTGATGAAAAGCATGACTGTGGGCCGACTAAACAAGAGTCGATAAGACCGAAGCGCATTGGGGAAATGGTATTGACAGAGCGTGTGACGGTTGGGAAAGTCCATCCTCACCTCAGCCTCGCTGTCGAGAACACGTCCATTCGCGCCGAAGAGCGTGTCACAAACAAACGCGTCTGCACCTGCGCGCACTCAAGAGGGAAACGAACAGGTGAGGGCGAACCAGTGAAGGGCCGAGCATGTCGTGTGGTGTCTGGACTGGAGGTCGAGAATCCGGCCCGCATCGACGACCGCTCGGGCGGGCCTTTGCAGGAAACAGCGGGCCAACCAAGGCGGTTTGTGAGGCTTCTTGGGCGCGTGCAGGGCGCATTGCCCCTGGCGCTCCCCTGTGCCTTTTCTGTGCTCCCCACCAGTGAGGGGCTGCAAGGAACGCCGCTCTCCCCCACCGGAGCACCGCAGACGGTTAGAGAAACGGGCACCACAGGGCATACCTGAACTAGTTATGTAGAGTATCATGCCAGATAACAAGCCTCTCCCCTCTCGGCTGGCGAGAGTCATAGCTCTCTGCTCTCTGCTCTTACACACACCCCGAGCAGAAACGCAAAAATGTCCAATGCCGACGTCTCCGGCTCGGTGCTGTCGATAATCGCGGCGTTTACCAGCGGACTCGATATCTTCAAGAAGCTCGCCGAGAGGCGGAAGAGCAGGAAGAGCAAACATGCCCATCCGCGGCCCGTGCAGCAGAGCCATGAGGAGCTGCAGCTGGCCAACTCGCTGAGGAGAGGGCCGATAGACATCCAACGGGAGTACGAGCGCAACGTCGCTGGAGCTGGATGGCGATTTGCCCAAGGCGATGGTGAGTGTCGACGTTGCTGTAATCTAGTAGCAGATCTTGAAAGACTGACCATCTCCCGGTCGCAGCAATTGCGCAAGCATCGCTCGCCGAAACCCTCCTCAAACTCAACACCGGCCTCGTAGGCATCATCACATCCTTCCTAAGCGGCGACAAAAACGATGTACGCCTTGACTACAAGTCGCTGGCCACGCTTTCCGATGACTCCAGGGTGGACGCTGTCAACACGCTGAGCCACCTATACCATCGGCTGTCGCAGTCGGATCTCATGCTATACCAGCCCAAACCTGGCTGCGCACAATGTGGCAGCCTGAAGCACGATGACTGCTCCCCAAGCGCAAAAAAGCCCGGCGCAGGGCAGCGGACCAAGAAGCAACCTGCATTTAAGCCGCCACAAGCCCGACCGCCGCCCAAGAGTATGGTAAAGACCGAGTATGTCATAGTTCGGCGACCACGCAACAAGAGGGCTACATCATCGTCAACTGCCAGTTCAAACGTCTCCGCTGGATCTGCTCCATCATCCAAGTCTGCCGCGTCAACAGCACCAACAACGCCCTGCACATCTCCTCTCCCATCCCCGGATATCGCAACGAGCTACCCGTTTCCAGCTCTACCGCTGAGCCCGCGGCAGGACACAAGACCGTCCAACCCTCCACCAGCCTACTCTCGCAACCCCATATCGCAGCAGCGCACCGAGACCTGGGCGGCAGCGCATGCCATCTCCGAGCTGCCCGCGCACACTGCAGCCCCCAGCCCCCCACTACCAGAAAAACCACTCGCGCCAATCGCGCACCCACAACCTCATCCCATCGTCCCCCCCAAACCACCAGAGCTGCGCTCAACGCCTACTCAGCCAACAGGTATTCCGCTCGCCGCCCGCCGACTGAACAAGCAGACCCTGTCCACCTACACGTTCGCGTCCGACAGCACAAAGCTCGGCGAGATTCCCATGCGGAAGTGGATCGAGCCATACGACTTCGTGGCGATGGAGAAGCTGAACGAAGAGGCGAAGGAGACGGGCTGGGTGCCGCCGCACGCGGTTCCGGCGCCGAGGCCGAGGAGGGGTTTGTTCAGGTTTTTCAGACGGTGAGGGGGGTTGACAAGGCGGGTTTTGTTGGGTTTCGTGAGGCAAGAGTATATATAGAGCCATGAAGTTACGAGTCACGCATGACGGTTCACGATGAATGACGGAGGATGTTATGCGTATACCCTTAGCAACGATTGTAGCGAGGCGTTTGGTGCGGCATTGGGGGCGATCGGTAACGTTTTCTTTTGGTTTCGGTTGTTTCGGCAGGGTCGTGCCGCTATTGTAGCTAGAGTTCAAATCACTTCACCAGCGGCACTTTTCCTGTCGTGTGTTTTCAGTGACTTTACGCACTATCACATGACGCTTTACCTTTCTCCATTTGCGCGGAGCAAGCGAGTTATGTGCGTATCCGGCCCCCTCACGCCTTGATCCCCTTCTGCTGCAAGGCAGGCGAAAAAGAAAGGCGTTCAGATCACACAGCAGCTCACATAGCAGCTTACACAGCAGCTCACACGGTTTGCCCCGACTGCTTTCGGGCGCGAGGGGCGAAGCAAGCCTCAATTAAAACACGTGAACAACGTTCACATGACCAGACCTGTTTCTTGAATGGAACTTGATCAGTTCGGTAAGGGTTTGTCAAATATTGGCTCCCCCAGCCTCTGATAACTGAACAGGAAATGCGCGAAAGAAGGAACTTGTGCTTCATGGCCTTCTGTTTTCCTTTTTTTTCCTTTGGTGTGGCTGGACGTTTACAGTTTGATACCTCATTACGCGCCAGGTCCCTTATCTTCTACTCGCCTGCTAGTAAGATCTTCTTTTCTGTGAAATCTTCTATGCCTGTGACTCTTTCTTTACCCACTCGTTAACAACTAACCTCGCAACGTTCTTACCCATCAACGCGCTCGTCTCCATAGTACTGATGAAGCTCTCAATCCCACTCGTGTACCACAGGTTCTTGTCAAGCTTCAGCTCCTCGAACGTAACCCGCGGATACTCGTACGGGTACGAGTGCCAAACTTTGCGGTAGATCCACGTGACAGCAGGATTACCCACCTCTTCCGACGTTGACTCATCAGGCGGGTAGCCAGTTATCCGGCGGAGGAATGAGTCGTCAACCGGACGCGGCGAGAAGACCTTGTACAAGTACTCGCCCTTCGCGGTCTTGCGCAGCGTGCTGATGCTGAAGAAGCCTGCGGCACCGACGCCGTCTGGGTTGGTGCCGGGATGCTCGTACGGCTGTAGAGTCGTGAGGATTGTGCTCGGGAGCGGCTTGTCTAGCGGCTGGTTGAAGACTGGAGGATAAAGGGGATGCTTGCTTGTGAAGAGCGTCACGTGGAGCTGAACGTAGGGGATTGCATCCGGGAGATGTCTTGGTGGGGAGGTAGACTCAGTGCCCGCGGATTCGATGTCCGAGATTTTGATGTTTGAGAACTGCAGTGGACCAGCAAGGACGACGGAGTCGAACAACTCGACGGGCATGTCATCAGTGCGGGATATCTCTTCTGCCATTGTTGGTTTTGAGTGCACGGCGTATGTACCATCCTGCTGTTTCTCTATAGCAACCACCGAGGTGTTGAGTCTGAGGTCTGCGGATGCAGCGTCTATCATACCGGAGAAGATCCGCCAGTTCCCGCCCTCTACAGACATGGCACCATCGGTAGCCATGCAAACCATCGTCTCGAGACCGTGAATGAGCGGGAGGTTTTGTGCGTAGTTTACTCGAGTGCTTCGGCTGGTCAGCGTTCATCGCAGAAGCGGCGGCTGGAATTCAATACCTTGCTTGAACAATCTCTTCCGCGAACCGGGAGTCGATGTTGTTTTCCTTCAGATACTGCTCGCCAGTTGCAGCGGTCACAGCCGTGAGGCCCAGATCGAATGCAACTTGAGACAAGGAAGGCCACGGAAAGTGCGGCGCTTCATACATCTGCAGGAACTTGCCCACAGTCCGCTTCATCAGGTTGTTCGTCCGGATAGGCGCGAGGCCGTACTTCCACAGCAGCTTCGCTATATCCCACCAGCTGCTTGAACCGCTTTGAATAAACACAAAGTCAGCTCCATTCCAGACTCCTAGAGCATCTGAATCCTGCGACCGTGGCCGAGCATTGCGGATAGAGCTTGTGCTCAGGTTGAAGCTCTCCGCCGCGTCAACTAGTATCTTGTTGATCTTGACGAAGATGGACGCGCCAAGCTCGACAGGTTCGTTTGGATCATCGTAGACATTGACCGTAGTGCTTCGACCTCCGATGTACGGATTGCGCTCGTAAACGGTAATGTTGAGGTTGATGCCGGCTTCGGTAGCGTAATGCCTCAAGTGGTATGCTGCGGACGACCCGCCGGCTCCTGCGCCTAGACGGGTTCAGCACTTTCCGTGGGTACACAGATATCATGCGAGTAGGAAGTTCCTTCGCAGTGAGGATTTCGCTCAAGGCCAAAGGGATAACTGTAAATGGACAATGGAAATGGTTGGTCTTGACTGGCTTTCGCCGATATCAACATAGACTGGAACGAGTGATCTTTTCGTCTGCTGCCAAAGACTGAAGAGGAAGACGACAGCGAAGAGAGTATGCAATGGAAGCGGACTCTCGGTACAGCATCAAGGAAGCTCGCATACCTACCGACGATGGCTGCTCTCTTGGTCCCGGTTTGGATCGAAAGCGGCTCTTGTCCCCCTCTCAAGTTGCGGCCATCGGATGCCTGAGCCAGGCTTGCCGACCAAAGACCTGCAAAGGCGAAGTTGTTGAGCCGCATTCTGACAACTGGTCGAACGGTTCGTTGAACGCGTTGCGAATCTTGCAAGGTTAGGTGATATGGTGCTGTCTATGTGCAAGCATATCGTTCCTTAAGTCTGAGTATGTAGATGGAGCAGACAAAGGAAGCCGATCAGTGTTGCCTGAGCTGCTTGGAGGTCAGCCCCGCGTGGCGCGTGCCAGAACACCCAGGCGCGTAACAATTATATATCACTTTCATGTAGAGTAGCTTGTTTAAGTAGACTCGTCCTTTCTTCAATGCACGCGAACCAGCTTTAAACGCTCGTCAAAACGCCGCCCTATGAAGAAAGCCCCGCTGGAATATTCCCGACACACTAGCAAAGACGAGGCACACAGGATAGTCTAAGCACCTTCACTGCCGAACTCCTTTGTCCAGTCTGCATTCTTCTCCAGATCTACTTGACTGACCGTAGGCCGTGAGCTCTGAATAGCCCTCTTGAAATCTTTGAACAGCAGAGGCGGCTCAAGCAGCTTGTCTGACGGCACTTCGGTCCATGCCATCTCCATCGCACCCGGGTCACCGGGAGAGCAGGGTGTGAGCTTCTCCTCGCCGTCCACCATTACCTGTTTTCATCAGCAGTGTTCATGCAGTGGCATAGAGAACGGAGTGTGACTGCGCATACCTTCTTGTAGTGCGTCGCAGTTTGGATCTTTCGAACGGGCTGCATGAGCGCATCCTGCACTGCGATACTTATATCGCTGCCCGAATAGCCCTCGCTTAGCCGACCAAGCTCCTTGATGTCTGCCTGCTTCAGTTCGCAAGGCGTGGTCCCTATGGCGAGCTCAAACATCTTCATCCTTGCAGGTAGATCTGGTAAGCTGATGTGCACTCGTCGCTGGAAACGTCTTCGTATCGCCGCGTCAAGTTGCCATGGAATGTTCGTTGCACCGAGGATGAGCACGCCTTTCGAATCTTTGCCTACGCCATCCATCTGTACCAGCAGTTCCGTCTTGATACGTCGTGATGCCTCCGACTCGCCCTCGCCTCGCGGTCCGCATAGCGCGTCGATTTCGTCGATGAAAATGATGGAGGGCTTGTTTTCTCGCGCCATCGCGAACAGCTGCTTGACTAGCCTGTACAAACCCGTTAGCACTCACCCGCGCGTGAGGATGGTCGTACTCACCGTTCACTCTCACCCATCCACTTGGACACTAGGTCACTGCTGCTGACGCTGAAGAATGTGCTGTTCGCTTCTGTTGCAACGGCCTTTGCCAGATAACTCTTACCCGTTCCTGGAGGACCGTACAGCAATATCCCCTTCCACGGCTGCCTCTTGCCCGTGAATAGATGCGGAAATTTGATGGGCAGAATGACTGCCTCCTTCAGCGCCTCCTTTGCCTGCTCCAAACCCGCCACGTCCTCCCACCTGATATTCGGCTTCTCCGACAAGATCGCCCCAGCCAGCGCCCCTCTCAGCTTCTTGCTTTCCGCATCCTGCTCCTCCTCTTCATCACCCTTGCCCTTCCCACTCCCCGGCGCGACCTTCCCATTCGCACCCACCGCGCTCGGCTTCTTCTTGTCGTTTTCGGCCAGGTGGTTCTTCAGCTTCTCCGCGCGCTCCATATATTCGCCGGCCTTTGCGCGGATCATCTCCTTCGACTTGGCGTTCTTCTCCCACTTTAGCGCCAGCATGAAGAGCTCGAGGGCTTGGTAGTAGAGCTGGTAGGCCTTTTCGTAGTCGCCGGCTGTGTCGCGGTCGATGGCCTTCTTGACCACGTCTATGGCGCGGCCGAGAAAGTCGGTGTTGCTCATGTCGGCGGTGGGGGTGGTGGCCTGGGAGTGGCCCTGGAGCTGGGCGTCTTGGAGCTTGTGTAGGGTCTGGGTATGGGCTGAGCGTCGGCTGTTGTACGCCCTGTAGTAGGTTTGCTGCGAGGACGAGGTTGAGCGATAATAGGCTTTTAACCGACGGGTTCGGCGCCGTTAGCCAGATCGGTGGCCTCAGCAGATATGAGAGGCGGCTGTAGAATCGAAGTGCGCGGGGCAGGGCACGCAGATGTCGGTTGTTGTGTTTTGAGGTAGATGCCACTGCTCGGCGGCCACTTCGGCGTCTGGCCAATCCCACAAAGCGCCCCGCTAGCGCGAAGGAGGTGAACGCGAGGAAGCAAGCCGCCCCGCTGAGCCGCGAGCGAAGCCGGCTGTGCATCACGCTCACAACCTGCCTTTAAGGATGGGAGAACTACAGAAGCAATTGCAAGATCTATCTGACGAGTTCCAGAAGCTGCAAGGAGGTAAACTCAGCCTCGTGGAAGGGGTGTGCGACCATGCTAATTCTGACCAGAACTTCAAACCGCAGTCGACGCCCGCCAGAAGCTCGAGTCCCAGCAGCAGGAGAACAGAGGCGTCCAGAAAGTCAGCAATACTCCGGTCCACTATCAGTGTTCGCGCTTAATAGCCCTCATAGGAGTTCACCTTATTGTCCGACGATGCGAACATCTACAAACTTGTGGGTCCGGTGCTCCTAAAGCAGGAGAAGTCGGAGGCGGTCATGGCAGTTGATAGTCGTTTGGATTACATTGAGAAGGAAATGTAAGGGCCTCATCTCGCAGGTCTCCCGATAGGCGAGCATGAGGACTGACTGGCGATGCAGCAAGCGCATCGAGAAGCAGATCAGCGACATCCAGGAGAAGAGTGAGAACAAGAAGCTTGAGGTGTGTATGAGTGAGTTGTAGGCCAAGCTGCATCCTGATAAAGTGGTCCAGATTTTCCAGCTGCAAACGCAGATGCAGCAGCAGCAGCAGCAGCAGCCGGTCCAAGCCGCCGCCTGAAGTGTCGCGGATATGGGCTTACCCAGGTAACGTAAGGCTAGGGCTTGCGGAAATCGAGGCGTGTTTCTGGTCACTGGTGAACGACGCTTCTTGTGTGGTCAGGGGAAAAGGTGGCTCGATTTGGAGCAGCTCCAGCGCTTGCGTGAAAAGATGGCATCGGTCAGCTCATTTGCTGGGACGGAGCATTGTCACGTTAACAGCCCGTCTTTCTCGGACTATAACTTCGCCGGACATCCCCAGGCTCTCACGAGGTTCGTCCTTGCCAGGAGTCTCATCCTATAGTCCCGCACTATTAGGAAGATATCCGCTGAGGAAGTCTCCGGGCGCCTTTCCTTGACACCGCAGAGGCTCAGCCGATGATCATCCATACTCCGCACACTGAACAATCAGCATTCACCTTGCCCTGGAGAGTGGGCTTGATAGGTCAACGGGATACCAAGTCGTGTTACGTACACCGTCTATGGGTATCGAAGGACCAATTATGCTGTGGAGGCCTGCTGAGTGGACGGCATTATTGTGGGGTATTGAGTCTGTACCTGTTCGCCACGAATGTCGGCTCAGGGATTCGTGGTTCGCTGCATCCATGGATTCTTCCATCTCGGTCAACTAGAATGACATATGGTTCCAGAGCTGTTGCACTGGGTATGGCTTACTGCTGGATCCAAGGTGGCTGTTGAAATTCAATCAAGACACAGCCAGTCACATTACCACTGTTCCGCAGATACCACCTGTTCGTGAAGGGACTTGGCAATTGTATATATGCGCCACACAGTAAGCTGCACCTGTGATGTTCTAAATGATAACAGCAACAGGTGGAGTTGAAACTGCTTGGGCATACCCGGAGAAACCCTTGTGTTGGCGGGCCCGCTCTTTGAGAGAGATACGATCCTCTCCAATTTCCTTCTTCCGTCCGTTTGCCTTTTATCTTCAATTTGCCGCACATCGTCGAGAGAGTTGTGCCCATCACGGCGCGAAAGCCTTTTGAGTGATTATCTTAAGAGACGGCCTAGCGGGTTTCGCGATGACACACCCTCCAGCATGCGAGCATCAGCCATATCGTCATCGAGAAGCGTTCCAGTCTTCGTCGCCCCTCCAGTTCATGCCCCGGCATATCTACTCACCGCGTTCGATCTCTGGATCAGACAGGTCACTCAACAGCAATGAAGGATATAAGTTCGTCCATGCAGCAAGTACAGCGGTTCTTACCAGCTCGCTTCTGTCTGTGTGGTTGCGGCTGACGCGCGCAAAGAGTCTCTCACTGGAACTCTTTACCAGCGAAATTTCTGGACTTGAACGCAACACATGCAAAAACGTCTGGAGCTGCCCTGGGTTGGCGATCCCGTCCATGGCCGTCCGCGTTGTGTGTGTGACGAGAGATGTGCCCTTCATATCACCTTCTTCCGATCCAGGCTAGGTTTTTCTTCGCTGCGGCCCGCTTGCATGGGGCCGGCCATTACCCTACGCATGCTCTGTCTCCTCGTGCTGCTCTACCGTAACCGGGCCCCCACCGCCGACCTACACCGTACCTTCCGTAGTCAACTCAAGGCTGATGCCCTCTTTGCGGACTGAGCCTCTGAAGCTTTGATACAGACGTTGCACGGATCGGCGCTTCCTCGCAGCTGAGCATTTGCGCTGTTCAATATCATCGCTATACCCTCGGATGTTCGCTCTCATGTGATGCACGACTTCGTTTGAAGGAAGCAATCCAAGACAAACCTTGAGAGCTCGCGCGCTTGGCTTTCGAAACAAAACAAAACTCGGTCACGCATCGGAAAGCTGATCCCGAAGATGACTGTCAACTCCAGCCATCCTCTCGAGCCGCATAACGCATGGCGAACCAGTGTTATGCCAATTGGCAGTCCACAGTACTCCGTGAGCGCAGTTGCAATTGTTTCAAACGCGCAGGTCCAGAATCACCAAGAGTCCCCGGAAACCGCCTCGACCACTGTTCGGAAAGGAGGTCGATGCGGTCGAAGTCAATCCAGCCGTGCTCTGTCAACAATTCATGCACCTCGTCATATTTCCAACGAACCACTGGCCGTGAGACAGGATGTCGCAGTACAGACCTACCTCCTTGAGTGGACGGCCTCCTCCTTCAAGCCGAGTCCGCCCCGGTGTCTTGGCTCGGGAATCGATCCACTACACAGCCTCCCACAGCTCCCAGATAAATCAATCAACATTGAAAGGTTGAGGACGCATTGTACGAGACCCCGGCGTGACACAATGTCACGCGCACGTCAGCTTCTTTTACAATCTCCAGGGTAAAGTTTCGCTTAGATTTTCAATCTGTGTTGCGCACAGCTCCGTTCACTGCTCGAAACACGTAAATCAAATTTATCCAGCTAGATCACGCAGGCTCTCTCTGGGTCGGAACTGAAGCACTTAACCGTCTGTGGATTCCGGTAATCCTGAGAGCAGGACCTAGATTCTTGAGCTGCATGTGGCTCGGGGCGAACCACCTCGACATCATGGGAGGACTCAAAAGTGAAAGCGCAACCACTATCACCCTCAGGACGGCGGTGATCCAAGAAATCAACGAGCACTTAACAGGACCCGCAAGCGAGGCCAGCGACTTTACTATGCTAGCGATACTGCAGGTTATCGCCGCCGAAGTCTTGAACGGAGACGTACTCGCGCTCAGATGCCACATCGCGGGGCTGACAACAATTATTCACTAAAGGGGCTTACGGAAGCTAGGATTCCGAGGGCTTGTTGCAGGCGCTCTTCCGCCGTAAGTTCGCACGTCATCGAACGCGTACAGCAACTTGAAACCCATTAGCTTGCAGATCCTGCGGGCCTCGGTACGCTTCGCTCATCCAGCAGGCAATATGGTCGTCTTAGCATCCATAATGCATGCAGTTCGGCCTCACGACCTGTATCTCAACTTCGTCTCTTGCCCCTTACCTTCCTTAGCGAGAGTTCTAGAATCCCCTCTATATTGTCCTCGCAGCGGTTCCTTCATCGTTGTACGGAGCACACGATGCTCGGAGTAGATTCGCGATATCCTCTGCGATATGTGGGATGTGACCGCTATTTCACTTCAGGCCGCCGAAGCTGACTCCATCGGACCGCTCGAGGCAACTCATGTATCCTTTTCGTCCGCAGCCTCGATCTGGAAACGTGCCACCGCTCGGCCGTCCGTAGCACTCGTCGGTACACCTGTCTCAACCGACTGGATGTACGAATCCTGCAGATTGGCCGCGCTGATCTACTGCCGCATGGTGTTGCCCCGCATCCCGTCGGCCGTTACCGGAGCCTTTCCTCCTCTTTCCGTGCTTGGTCGAGATCTCTACCGTTCCCTTACAGGAACTGACGCTAGCGACTGCTGGGGTGATATGGCCGGCGTGCTGTACTGGTGTTCACTTGTCGGTGGGGCCGCCATGCGCCCTGTTCCCGATACCTCCGAGACGGATCGATGGGAAGATGTTGAAGGCAGCGACTTCGAGGAGAGCGAGCATCGCAGGAGGTGGCCCACTTTGTTGGCTGTGCGGCTCACCATCTGGCTGGCATTCCAGTATGCGGACATGGTAACGACTACTCTGAGGAGATTCATCTGCGTGTCTCGACCAGTAACGGTGTAACACTCACTCTAGCACTTGGGGCCTGTCTGGGATAGGAAGAGAGGCAAGTGGCATCTATTCGGCAACCGCGGAAGAGGGCGGATCCAGGGCCTGGTGTTTCGTGTACTAAGGGCCATCCGGAAAGCTCGTTCCCACATTGAAAGCTGCTCATAGCCCTAGAGCTGGATAGCTCTTATGAATAATTCACAAATTAAGGCACCTTAGGCGATCGGTGCAATCAAGAGCTAAACTGCAAAACATCTCTTACTTTCTGTGGCATAGAACCGATCTGGCTGCTCCACCAAGACTACGAGCCCAGTTTGACGGCGGATCTAATTGGAAAAAGCCACCAACTGAGAAGCGGCAACTAAGCTTTTGGGTAGTCCTTCTACGTCGTCAGCAGTCGTGTCACAAGCAGTTAAGATTGTAGACGGCTTGAACTTGAAAGGTCCCACAAAACGCCGCCTGGTATTCAGTAGTGCGAAGTTCTGTGACAAAGATTACAGTACAAGTCGTGCCTCTTCTGTCTTGCACTTGTCCCATAGTTGAACGCGACCGAGTTTAACCATGCATCTGACTGCTACGATGACCCTGCAACCGATGGGACCACATCGCATCAATACTCCTGCATGTCCAGACGACTACCATCCTTCCTGATGAAAAATCCCACTCAATCACCTCCCCGCCGCTCCGTTTTCCCAAGGGGTCTCCTCGCGCTCACAATACCTGCCGGACTTGGCAAGGTTGATCGGGTTGGAGCTGCCACTGGGTGGGTGTCTGCCATCGAGGAGAGCAACAGCCAGGTCTACCAAGAACTCATTCGACTCGCCCGCGTCGGTAGCATCCCGCGCAAGCCAGCTCCCTTGCCCATACCAAACGTAGAAGTCCACTAACAGACGTCGCACAGGAGATTTCGGCGGTGTATTCTCGTACAGATAACGAACAACCGAGCCCGCTGGATACACGGAGTGGCCGCCTGGTTGAACTTTAGTTTTGGCCTTTCCGAGGATAGCGCCGATGACTGCGGTCTTGAAGGCAGTCGCTTGAAGCTTCTCTCCCAGAACGTAGAGCTTCGCCAGCAACATGTACTCTTCGTTGCCCTCGGCACTTCCGACGTCGTTCTTGGTGGGGAATTTCCGGTTGTAGAGCCAGCCGACGAACAGGTTGAAGACTTCAGGATCGTCCACTGGCAATAGAACAACTCGTTCGGTAGATTCTTTCCAGCCGCCCCTCATGGCCGCATCGAAGAATCGTGAGGCGTCCCGGAGAAGCCGCTCGTGTACATAGAAGGATATGGGACTGGGTCCCACATCGACCTTGATTGGTAATTCAGTAAATCTACGCAGTCGAGTCAACGAGTGTAAATCGGAGAGGTCTTGAATGTCTTACAACTGTAACTCGTTCCTGTTCACCCGCTTTGAGTCCTTGGATGGATTGGTTGCGGAGTCTTTTGCCGAATTGGGGGTGGAATTGCTCATGGTCACCGATATACTATATGACGCACGCAATCAGCTTCGAGTCCGCCGCGAGGCAGTTATAAAGTGCAGAGCTGACCAGGGAAGCAATATGGCTCAGATTGACGTAAATTCTCCAGTTTCGAGTTGATGTCCGAGTTCAATGCGCAGTGCCAGAGAAGGGGAGGTTGTGTCAACAAATCTTTATGTACGCCAGAATTGACTCGCTTGATGCACTTCGTGAATCTCCGCGATTTCACCATCTAACAGGAGTGAAGAAATGCAGTTCGCTTCTTGGACACGCAGGCTGTTGCCGAGCCATTAAGGTGATAGGTGAGTTCACAGCGGTTAATGAGAACCAAGAAAAATGCCTGTCTAGTGCTTCACCGCTAGACGGGATGAATAACATGGCTAGTACACTTACAATGCTGCTTCACGGCTGTCCCGCTGATTTCAGCAGGCCTTTCGCCGTGTTCGCGGTGCAACACGTCCGCTGGGAATCTCGCCATGCTCTTCAAGCTCTTTGTGGCTGAGAGTCCTGTTCGCTGTACGGCTGTACTTCGCGGTATTTAGTCAGTAGAATCTCCGTAATATAAGGCCCGGCTTGGTGCTAGTTGGCAAGGATAGATTTTAGGCTTCACCCTAAGGCACGGAAAGCTGTCTCGTCTTAAATTGCCCGGAATTTCTTGTTTGATCAGAAAGCGCCGTTCCTGCTTTGTTTGCGATCTCCGCATGACCCAGTCTCTACAGCTTGCTTTGTTGTTCCTCTTTTGTCCATCTGATCACACCTGACCATGGGATGTTTGCGGAACTCACAACGCCCAGGCGGGGAGCAGGTGCACAATTCACAAGCTAGATGATTGTTTCTCGCAGCCTTAGGGTTTTCGCTTTTATAGCACTTGTGTTGGTTCGCCGATGCATCGCGAGGATCGAAGTAAATATGTACATCGCCGCTTGTCTGAGCCTTCTTCCTAAGCATTCTTCATTTCGTAACGCTACTCGGAGAAATCGCAAACGTCGGTCGGACGAATCTGAGACAAAACGGGTCAGCCATAGCCACTTCATGCAAGCCCTCGCCGAAACAGTATGGACCTACCTGTCGCTGTTATAGACCTTCGTCTCACTGCCCAATAACTCCTTCTCCCTCGCCCGATCCGCCAGCGTCCTCCTCACCAAGTCTCGGTCCTCCTCTGCCTGCAATAGCGGTATGAGATATATGCGCGACCACATCTTCTCTCTCGCGAGCTCACTATATCATCAAGCTCCGTTAGCGCTGCGTCCGTTCCATGCTACCCTCCCAGCTCCCGTGCTTTTCCGGTTCTCCCAAGGCTCCACTAAGAGCTGTAGACCTACTTCTGCTCCCTAATCCCCTTCCCGACCTTGTAGAACCCATACGTCATGAGCGCGGCCACGCCGAAGAGGTAGACGGACGGTCGGAAGCCGCGGGCGGGGAGGTTGCGTTTGTACTGGACTGGCTCGTAGCCGCCCGTGGGCGGCATGTCCTGAGGCATGATGGCGGTGGGGTGTAGAGCGTTCAATGGGTGGTGGACGGGGTCGCTGTCGGTGGTGTTGCGGAGCTTGAGGTTGCGATGCGGGATTCCTCCGGAGCTGGGTTGCCAAGAGCGATCCGCGGCGGGACGTCGAAATTCCAGACACCACACGCACGATTTTCTACTTCTCTACGGTAACCACCAGTTCTCAAGATTACGGCAAAATGGAGGCAGAGGAGCGGCCCACGAAGCTCCAGAAGCTACACCACGACTCTGAGTCCGAACCAGCCACCTTCGCACCGCCAGAACAGCCCACCAACGGCACCCACAAGGACGACATGGACGGTCAATCAGCTCCACAAACCCCTCAAGACGCCGAAGAGCCCGCCCTACCCTCCGCCCCAGACACCAATCTCCCTGACCCCGAACAAGAACCCCCAAAGCTCTCCAAAAACCAAGCCAAAAAGCTGCGTCGCCAACAAGAATGGGACGCCGGCCGGGACGCGCGCAAAGCAAAGCGCAAAGAGCAGATCAAAGCTAAGAAGGAGCGTAAGCGCGCCGCCATCGCCTCAGACGCCGCCAACGGCACCAGCACCGCATCCACACAATACAAAATCAAACCTCAACACCCTCACGCCCAACAACTCCCCATAACCTTCGTCTTCGACTGCGACTTCGACGACCTGATGCATGACAAGGAGCTGAAATCGCTGGGGTCGCAGCTCACAAGGAGTTATTCCGACAACAAGAATGCGCGGTTTAGGGCGCATTTGGCGGTTGCGAGCTTTGGGGGTAGGCTGAAGGAAAGGTTTGAGACGGTGTTGGCGCGGCATCATGAGTCGTGGAAGCGGGTGAGGTGGTTCGAGGAGGACTTTGCTGAGGTTGCTGAGAGGGCGAAGGAGTGGATGCGTGGGCCTGGGGGCGGGAAGGTGGCGGGTGCGTTGGTGGGTGCAGTTGGAGAGAAGCGTGCTCCAATAATTGTGGATACTGAGGACGCAGGCGGAGATGATGTTGGTGGAGAGATGGCTGAAGACCCTCCAACAGCGCCCGCAGGTACAGAGTCGAATCCGGACGCTGATTCGGGTGCCAATACAAACGCCCGGACACTTGAGAACGAGGGCGAAATCATATATCTATCCAGCGAAAGTGAACACACGTTGACCGAACTCAAGCCACACAGCACGTACATTATCGGTGGACTGGTAGACCACAACCGGCACAAGGGCATATGCTACAAGAGAGCCATGGACAAAGGCATCAAAACTGCCAAATTGCCAATCGGCGAGCTCTTGCAAATGGATAGTCGGAAGGTACTCGCTACGAACCATGTTTGCGAGATTATGCTCCAGTGGCTAGAGCTGGGCAACTGGGGTGAGGCGTTTATGAGAGTCATCCCGAAGCGGAAGAAAGGGGCGTTAAAGGGAAGTAAAGGCGCCGGCGCTGCGAAGGAGAGTGGGGCTGCCACAGAGACCAACGAGCAAGGGCTGGAGGATTCGGACGCGGAGGGCCAAAGCCAGCAGGAGGAAAGCAGCGACGATGGAGGGGTATCTCTATCTACTAATGGAGAGCAGCGGGTAGAAGCCACGGAATGAGAGTAATTGTACATCTCAAGGCTGTTGAACAAAACATGCAGCCGTCCTAGGCCCTTCTAGCAGGATGACCCAGTAAACACGCCGCGGACAGTTCCTATCCCCTCTGTAGCAAGGAGAGGTCGCACTCGGACTGGAACAGAGACAGGATGGGTATAATCTTCTTCAAAGCGTTGGCGGCAGCCAACTCTTGGAAACATCCGACAAGGCTGAACTAACCCTGCTACCGGCACCCCGGAACTCCTAGATGATGCCCCCCACATGGACTCCGTGCTACCTCGCCAGCAAGATCACAGAAGCGAAGAAGCCTCATTGATGAATCACTGATCAACAAGCATCTCTTCCACACCACAGCGCCACAACAAGTTGCGCCAACAGCGGGGAGCAAAGCAAGTAATCCGTGGTAAGGTGGTACATAGTAGATCAGAGGCTGGCGGTATTATCGGTCCCGAGGCTCCGTTTGCTTCGCGTCAGTGTGCGCAGTGTATGTTCGCGTCCAAGCACCAACATTACGAAGGTCGTTCTCGGCACGGCGGTGAAGCAGGTCGTACGGGTCGCTGTGTGTCTCGGGTGGCATCCATCTCTTCCGATCGTTGGCTGACACTGCTTTGGCGGGCTTCTTCTCGGGCTTGACCGGGTCGCGCTCTTCTGTGTCTGATCCCATGTGGACTTCCATGGAGTCCTGAGGTCTTTCTATACGCTTGTCTAGCTGTAGTGGCATATCGAACGAGCCTGTTCGATATCAGTCACGGTGTTTTAACCCCGTGTTCTGGATTTGAGTGCCTACCATTGCAGCACATCAAGTCAATGTATGAAATCGATGCGCTCTTCCTCTCCCGATTTCCTCTGGTTTTTGGCAGCTTGCCCCGAGCTCCCTCACGATGCATGGTGGACATCTTGAGTGTACCTTAGAGCGTGAGAGTTGGGCCGATTGAAAAATGAAGATGATTGCAAAAGTGTAACGCTGCATATTGGAGTGGACAGCTCAAGGCTGAGAAATATATATCAACAAAACCAAGTATTAAGAGTGACAGGTAGTCCGTCGTTTTTAGAGTCGGAGCTTCCATTCTCAAGCCCGTTGACAAGAGTCACAAGACTGATATTGTCGTAGCTTCTAGCTCTCCACGGTCCTGAAGTCATTGCCGTGCCGGGCACTTCTCACGACGTGGCAAATCATCTGGAATCCCAAGTGCATCCGTCGAGAAATAGCAAATCAGCGCTCATATCCGCGTTCATCAGTGGAGGCGGACTTAGAAGAACTCGCAACGGTTGCCTCTTAAGGCTGACCTGAACGTTGGGCTCTCAGTTCGGCGCAATATGAGGCTCATTTGCACGCGCCTGATTCGTGGATCGTCAGAACCTGAAGTTGTGTAACCCCATTCGAGCAGATCCCGCTGCGACATGTGTTGTCAGTCGTTGATAGTCCAATCAGCCTCCAGCGGCGTACCTCGGCCGCAAGGGGTAGCCTTGCAAGGTGTGGTTGAGAGGCTGAAGCCCGAGGCGCGCCATCCGCAAGACGCGCTACACTGCACAAGACAAACGGTTTCACCGGTTGACTAGCTCGAATACCAGTCCTATTAGACGGTTGCTAAGCCGCGCTTCGCAGCCAGCGGCCTCAGTCAGACGTATCCTATACAAGAGGGACATTCTTCAGGTACAGAGGAACATGTTGCGAGCAAACTTGTGTGTGGACACGATTTCACGTCCACTGTGGCAATCAATGCTAAAGCCATAGCACGTCTTCTCCCTCAATCGCTCTTTCTTCATCTTGTTTCTCTACTGCAAGGAGCACGAGGAGACGGACAGTATTCTCAATCGCCCGCCCAAGATCTTGTAGAGATCGCTGGACGGTCGGGTGATTGGGAATACTGGAGACGGACTCGCCGTCATTCGGAGACAGACGGCCGTGGCGCGACATCGCGGCCGAGAAACGGAAGGCAGATTTTGACAAGATCCCTAAGACGTAGGTTCTTTCTCCAGCGGTTCTGGACGAGAGTAAGAAACGATGAAAGGTTGTAGGAGATTTTATCGAAGGACTTCTCGACCCTACGACACGCGGTATCATCGGGACTCAATGTCCATTCTCATTCAAGTATAACTGAATATCATAGTATGACCTCTTCGCACATTGTAGCCATAAACGCGAGAGATTCTTCTAAGAAGAACTACAACAGTACTGAACAACATCTGGAGTTTACAATGCTCAACCTAGCTTGATATTCACCTCAAAGTGACCAAGCGCCCGCTATCCGTCGCACTTTTGCACGCATTTCTAGCACTGGTGTACTTGGCGCTCTTACTCCCTCCAGACGCATTACTTCCGATGGTTCGACCGGAAGCGTTGTTCGCGCGATCCATTCTCTTCTCCGCCTCTGGTCCATTGGAGCCGTCTTCGTGGTTGTCACCGATCTTCTTCGCTTTGCTGCTGCCGAGATCAACCGTCATCCGGGCGTTCCAGTAACAATGGCGGAAAGCATCGCCTTTGCCGTTGTGGAGGCTGGAGGGGTAATACGTTGCTGCTTGACTGCCAGCGGTGTTCGCGTGCTCTAAGACATACCATTAGAAGAGGTTGGTGCTGAGAGCAGTCAACTGCATACTTTGAGCTTTGTAGCAGTCGTCGATGTTCCAGGGGATGAGGCACCAGGCCATTTCCCTTATGCTGGGGAAGTAGCCTGTCGAACTCGACTGGGGCATTGGCGATGCGCTGCCAGCCACGCCGAGGAATGTGAGAGCGATGATAGTGGAAGCTCGCATTTTACGTGACGAGGAAGACACGTGAGTAAGTTTAGGGATGAATTGAAGTACTGGATGAAGTGTGGAGGGTCTTTCTGCTTAAGGACTCGATGGACTCGAGGGATGTGTAAAGACTGGCTATATATACGTCTGCCTCGGTAGGGTGAGAGATGAATTTACAGAACAGATCTTGTAGCATGCATCATCACAAGGCTGAACTCTACAATCATTTCATGCAGGCCCCGTATCCTCGCTTGGGATGGCCCAAGGTAGATTGCCTTGAAAGCAAGGGATGGATATCTATTCAAGGCATCGTCAGGCTGTGGAACTATCCTCCTTTGAGACTCTGGAAACTGGAGCAGCCTATGAGTGTTCAATTGTGCCTTTGGCGTAGGCAGATGAGGCGCTCTGATCGTCAAGGTGGTTCTGCAACCGGTGGGGGCTGAGCAGCCTCGCAGATCTATTTCAGTAACTTGTACTCCACTCGAGGATTTCTGTATCCGAACATCAACGCTGGATTTCGACTTGCTGCTTCTCAACGACAACTTGATAGCCCGTTCCTAGCGCCATAGGCTAACGCAAGGGCCTTACGGGGGATGATTGGGTTTCATACACCGAACAGGCGCTTTCCACCGCATGTCATCTACGTAAAACTACGCGGCCCCTTTTCTCTAGCCCGAAAGTGTTCGTATCATCTCGTGTGATCGTCCAGATTGTGTGCCTTGTCTTTCCCAAGTGCTGCGGCCTAAATATGGTATCTGGTGAATCACGTGCATTAGCTTGTCTGGTGATACGGCGGGAACACAATCTAACTCCCCGACGACGAGTAAGTGCTTAAAACTACTGGGACAGGTCGGATATGATTACAGCTTTATACCCCAGAATAGGTCCGCTTCCAGCAGACCGAAAAGACATTCTACGGGGAGAGGTACACCGTCGTGTGCAAAGGAAATCCTACTCCGGCTGATTCGCCAGGACCATGAGTTCCTTCGCTCCCTGTCTTAGTGACTAATCTTACCTCTTGATTCCAAGGCGACCTGCACAGGTCTCGAGGTATCGTCTGCTTCCTCGCGAAGCTGAGCCTCGCTAGACAAGCCCTCAATACAGTTCTAGACCTGGCGTCAAGCGAGACAGGTTGAGCTGATTCGGCCCGGATCACTCCAAAAGAAGCGTTAGCTTCATACAGGTTGTCGAACAAATCAAAACAACGAACGCCTTCGAACGAGTCGATCAGCCCCAACACAAGCGGGGATGACTTCTACCAAAGGCTCAGGACGGTGGAGCTACCGCACGCTGAAGCCCGTACAATTACGTGAATTGGGCCGTGGTGTGTAATTGCCGCCTAGTCGTGCTTTTCCTCATCAGCTATACTATCTCGCGCAATCCGCCGAAGAAGCGAGAAGAATGGCTCTTTATCCCGTGCTACGTTTGTCGAAGCTTTTACCGGATTTGAGATTGCGCCTGCTGCCTCGATTCTATCGTCTGGTGTCTGGGTTCGTGTAGATAAGCTGTTGGAGGTCTCTCGTTTGGACTTATCAAGATCCGCTTGGTATCGCCTATCCTCCGTTTTCCACCAGATGCGCCAAATGAAGAGGACCACGGCTGTCAAAGGGATGGCGATGTATGGTGACATCACTCGACTATCTGCGGACGAAGCAGTCCAATCGAACATCGTCATGCTGAAGAATGTCTGAAGCCAATTAGTCAGTGCTGTTTGTTTCCAATTCTGCGACTAAACTTACTGCAACGAAGGTGGGTGGAAGGAAGAGAATGGTCAGAAGCGCCGTAGTCTTCGTCGCTGAGTTATCTCGCTTGCATGCTACAGTGATGATTGCACTTTGTTCAGTAACAGAATGGCTGGTTCGGTTCCCTTCCTGCGCTACAAGACTGAATGTCCTCTTCAGAGTCAGTCCATGGAGTGCATCCTTTTACGAAAGGTAACTGAACTCACGAGGTTGGCATGACTTTGGACCGTTTCTATTTCAGGGTTGAGCTCTGGGACATTAGATGCCCACAAGTATTGGTAGATATGTTGATTTGGTGCATAAGAACATCAACATAATGGCTGAAGCTACCGCCTATAGATCCTGAGACAAGATCCTGATGATTTCGAGACTCCGACGCTACAGAGACACTGCACCGAGCGTATTATCGACTTCAGTCCCAAGTCACATTAATACGCTGCTCCGCTGCGGGCTTTGTTCACTGCGCGGCCGTCTCCGAGACTCTGGTATGGCTTCTGGCATGTATTTGCGGAGTGGAATCAATTCGTCACTGTCCTATCTGACTACATCAGCGAGTGACTATCCAGCCTCCAACGCTCCTTTTCAAGCCTGAACTGCGTCACCAGCCTTGGGCTTCGCTTTCAAATTCCGCCTATCAAATACCACAACCCCAACACTAATCAGGACCGCCACACCGCCAAGCGCAATAGCAAGGGTAAAAGCATCTTGCAATCCAGCCATATAGCTCTCGATTGCACCCGCAAGCTGCGCAGCCGGTATCACCTTCCTCAGATCCGTCGCGCCCGTCCCAACCACAATCGCCGGATCCAGACCTTGCACGTTCTGCTTAACCGCCTCAATCAGCCTATTCGCGAAGAGCGACTGCGAGACGGAGATGAAAACCGCGCCGGCCAGGGACTGGAAGAAGAGCGCGAGGGCCGAGACGGAGGAGATGTCAGAAGCGGGGACGACAGCCTGCCCGACGATGATGGGGATCTGGATGCTCAGGCCCGTACCGATGCCGCCGATGATCTGGTAGCCGATCCACTTTGAGGCGGGGGAGCCGACGTCGAGGGTGTAGACTAGGGCGGCGCCGATGGTGTTTAGCACCGCGCCGATGATCATCAGGAGTTGGTATTCGCCGGTTATGGTGATAGCGACGCCGGAGACTATACTGAAGAGCGCTATTGCTCCGTTAGCGAATGATCCAAGACAGGCTCGCAATAGGGTGGAACTTACAAAGTCCAAGGATGTAGGGAATGTTGCGGACGCCTGACTGAGCAGCTGAGACGCCTGACACAACTTGGAAGTATATCGGGAGGTAGTACAGCAGGACGAAGAACGCGCCGTTGTTGAAGACTTGGAAGACAAAGCCGAACGCAAGGGTCTTGTTCTTCATGAGGCGAGGTATGATCAACGCGCGCTCTCCAAGATGGATTTCCAGGGCGATGAAGACAATGGAGATGATGCCGAAGCCGACAAGCATGCCAATGACATCGGCAGAGCTCCAGGCCTTCGTGACACCGCCCCATTGCATTGCGAGGAGGAAGCAGACGACAGCTCCCATGAGCGTGAAGGTTCCGACGAAGTCCATCTGGAGGATTTTCTCACGCCATGACGCCTCGACAGGTTTCGCTCGCTCGGGTGTCTGGAAAAATACAATGATTGCGGCTGCCGAGGCACCGCCAACAGGAAGGTTGATGTAGAAGCACCATCGCCAGCTCAGATTGTCGGTGAAGACACCGCCGAGCAGCGGACCGGCGACACTGGCGATTGAGAAGATAGCTCCTAGGATTCCGGTGAGGGCTGGGGCTTTCTCTGGCGGAGCGCTGAAGCCGATAATGGTGTAAGCACCGGCCGCAACACCAGCACCTCCAGCACCGGCAACTGCGCGGCCTACAATCAAGGTCTTGCTGTCTTGGGCAACAGCTGTACGTCGTTAGCATCATCGTCCGATCGTAGTAGGAAAAGGTGGCACTTGCCGCATATCAGGCTTCCAATCTCAAAGACGAGGATTGCCGTCAGGAACACAGTTTTGAGTGAGAAGTACTTATAGGCCTTGCCCCAAGTCGATTGAAATGCTGCGACAGTGATGAAGAAAGCCGATCCGTACCATCCAATGTCTTCAAGGCTATGGAACTCGTCGGTGACTTTTGGTATCGCCGTTGCCACGATGGTCATGTCTAGCGCTACTAGAAACACACTCAAAGCGACCCCTACGAGGATGATGGCAAGCTTCAGAGGTGTAGGATACGGAGCGCTGACCACTCGTTGGAGTGGTGCACCCTGTGTCTCTTGATCTTGGGCATTGTCCGAATCGGATGAGATTGCTGAGTTCCGGTCCTTCTCACGGTCATCCTGGGCTGGTGCCAGACCGACACTGTAGGTTTCCTTTGAGTTCATGACTTCTGCTGGCATTGGAATGGTTGTTACAATTCTAGGCTAGCGTGGAGTTCGTGCAAACCGGAGATATCGATGACCGAGTGCTGGGGGTGTACAGAAGACAGCAATGAAGCTAAACTTGAGATTGAATGGAAAGTTGGTTGGAGATGGGGACGATGAGATAGAGGCCTGACGGAGAGATCAAGGCTTTTATGAGATGAGGGATGTAGCAGAATCAGCTTCATCGCCATATCGTGCAATTCTCAAAACGAATTGTTCCGAGTATACGGTATGAGCGCACATACTGACCGGCCAGCGCGTTCATGTGTCAGCACATGCAAGCCTAGAACCTTGCTTTGGATTTTGACTATCTCTCCGACATAACGTTAAGCAATAGGGACTACGCGTGAGTCACGGCTCGGCGCTGGTAAGCCTCCCGGTCGCATTTCCGGAGTCACCGTCTCGGCCGACTGAACGACTCAGAGTCGAAAGCCAAAGCATGCCCGTAACGTCTTGTGGACGGAAATACACGGAGGGAGTCAGCATAGCACATGCACACCGCGGCCGTCTTCTCGATGGATGGAGGTTGCATCCCCGTGCATGTCGTAGGGCTGAGGAGGCTGCTGACGTAATCCGGTGGATTTCGGTCAATTTACAGCATCCGACTTTCGCCAGCCTTGATGTGTATATCAAGATTCACTGCTATGGAGAATGACCACTAGATTAGCGCCAAGACTCGTACGGCGGGACAGCGCGTTCCTTGCTCGCTACGCTAGGTGTATCAGATAGCTCTAAACCAGTGGTGTGCTTGGTTGGCGTTGGACGGGAAATCGTGAGTTGTGAGTCCTCCGAGTGATGTCAGCAGCATGGTGTGTTGCATTGTCAGCCGAAAAGATGCTCGAGGGTTGTGTGATTGTCGACCATACACGAAGAAGCTCTGCCTGACTTGCAACGCCAAAGAAAGTTGGCAAAGATACCTAGCTGTTCTGTGGAAGAGTACAACCCTCCAGCATCAGCCATCTTTAGTTGGGCTGCAGATCTGGACACCGCTGACTCTTGTGATAGAGCACCTGCTATGAGACCCTGCGTTAGGCTTTGTTTCCCTTGGTGTACGGGGTTATCCGCTTCGCGTTGTTCAGCACAACCGTTTGGATGACTGCTCACCCGAGATACAGAAGGGCGAATCGAACACGATTCAAGCTTCTTGCCTACTGGCTCTGTGCCGACCAGCCTAGACATGTATGGGGAAGCCCGTTCTGGCTCCTGGTGGCTCGATTACAAGGGAAACATACTGTTAGTATAGGATGAAAGTCTCCGTCCCTGTTTCGAATCCGGGGAAGTGATTTCTCAGGGAACTCTCAAATGCGTAGGGAGTTGTCAAGCTGCTGAAAGAGAAAACGTCGTTTGTTGTGCAAAGGGGCCTGCGCTCGTGAATAGCAGCAAGGCTGCTTCATCCCTATCTCCGCGCCGTAACAATTGGTCTCCGCAGAAACGCGCTCGTCACTTGGAGTCAGTCTGACACCAGGGCCCAATGCCGCTCATGAACATCTCTTGGATTCTTCCAAGGCGCCCCGAGATTCTGACTTCGTGCACCGCGCCTCCAAATCGGCTCGTGCCCCTTCCAGCCTAGCGGAAAACTCACGTGATGTTCCATCTTCCTGCAGTAACTTTTCCATATCTGAACGTCGCCTGGTGGTATCTTAGTTTCTCAAATCGCCTGACGCCAAAGCTCCAAAGCCTGATTATGCACTCTCCATATGCTGTCTGTCACTCTGCCCCAAGGTACCATAACTCCACCCCCAATACCCCGAACTTCGTACCCTCATCACTGAGCGGTTCATTTCCGAACGTCGGACATGAGTTCGAGACGCCCTTCTCCAGATTATCGTTCAGCCACAGTCCGTAATGGCCGTCCCTGCCAAATTTTATTAGCCAACCCACGTGTCTCCTCCTTTCCCCTGCCTGCCCGACCGGCAATCGAGAAGAAGAACCACTCACCCAGCCCCAAGACTCAAATACCCCGCCTCACAAAAGATCATATAATCATTGACTCCACTGTACGGAAACGCTTTAAACCGTATTCTTTCCGGCGTGCTCGTCCCGCTCCTGCTACCCCCATTGCTAGCCGGCGGACTTAGCGCGCTATTGCCATTCGTGCTCTTCGGAACCCCGATCGTCGTATGCCGCTGCGCGTACGTCGTGTCCGCGGACGGCGGAGGAGGCAGCGAGGACAGGTCCGGGAGTGCCGGGAGCACGGAGGATCGCCAGAGGAAGCATTCGCCTGTGCCGTAGAAGTGGGGGTGTGGGCGGGGCGGGTCGGAGAGATATGCGCCAAAAATCTGAACAGGGCCGGCAGCTCGTCAGCCCTCTTTTGTCCAGAGCGTATAGGGCGTGAAGGAGAATTTTTGAAAGGGGGGGGAGACTTACACCACCGCCACTGTCTCGCACTACAAGGACGTAACCTCCGCGCTTCCCGCGATACTCCTCGCAGCTCTTGTACAGCGTCGCGAGACTCACGCCGTTCTGCTCCAGGCTGTATGCGAGCTTCCACTCGTCGACGAGCTGCAGCCGCGGCGGAACCAGCAACCTTATCTCCTCTGCCAGCTGTCTGGATAGAAGCTTTGCCGAGTCTTTCGTGCCGGGTTTGTAGCCCTCAAGCGTCAAGGGCGTAAGTGGTGGCGGCTGGAAGGGCGAGGCGTACCGGCGCGGTGGCGTGTATACGCCTTCCATGGTGAGGGAGCTGTCGAGGGATGGGGGGTTGGAGGACATCAGTTTTGGCAGAAGTGGTTCGGTAGATAGGCGGCGGAGGAGCCCGGATACGGCGTAGGTGACTGGGTAAGTGAAGAAGGAGCCGGAGGATAAGTTTGGCGGTCGGGCGTGATGCGAGGTGTCCGGTACGGGGGAGGAAGGGGTTTCAGAGGTGGACGCCATCTAAGCGGCCAGAGAAGCCTTGCGGTTACTGTAAGACTTGATTGGGTATAAGACGTGTAACTCGTGTCTACGGAGGTCGCGGGTCTGACGGCGGAGCTGAGGTGGAGTGATTCCACTTGAGCATTCCGGGGCGTAGGGCTGAAGTTCCACCCCTGACGTGGCGCTGACAAGCGCTCCCTGACATCATCCCGTTAAAACCCGTTAGATGTCTTGCATTAACTCCCGTCCATTGCTTCTAACCATATTGGAGCTGTGATAATGTCATGGACTTCTGAGAAAGCCCTCTTCGATGAAGATGGGATTCGTAGAAGCAGCCATCATGATTTCGCAAAATCAGCTCGGCTGGGGTCCTGTCAATCGGGAGAGTGGAGTCACTGAGACGAGTTGACCAACAATACCTCCTTGAAAGTTAGGAGTACTCAAATTCTTGACGATGTGATGATTCTCATCCTGCGCCCAATCGAGGTCTTCCAATTCATCTATATATAGAAAAGACAACCCTGGGTCCTTCCCGTCTAATGCCTGTGTTAATCATCTTCAGATCATTCTTTCATGCTTTCCCGAATCCAGCCTGCCAAGGGTCATAGTCGTCTGCTAGGAACAGCTTCTGCAACTGCCTGCGACGGATACCAACGTTTCCGCCATCAAAGATGGGAAGTGCTAGTGCATCGGAAAGCATTCGTGCCAAGGGACAGGATGCGTCATATGAAGAACTGGGAGAACGGTTAGTTTATGCCTTGACGAAAGATGACTGGTATCAATGGATCGGTTGATAACGGAGAGAGAGAAAAGCGGTGTAAGACGTACATCCCAACAACCCTCATCGCCTTGGTAACGACTTCTACAGCCGCTTCCGAGCACCAGATCTTGGCTTCGTACGCATTTTCTGCACTAACCATATGCTCCAGAGCGTGAGCAGCCTTCCAGGTGAGGCACCTCGCCGCTTCTACGCTCATCTTAATGTCGATGAGCGAGTCCGCAACACTCTGGCGCTCCAACAAGAGGACTGTGCCTCCAGCAGTCCGGCTCTTAGCGAAGTTCAAGGCCGTTTCGAATGCGTGGCGCATAATTCCTACGGACATTGCACCGACTATCACGGCCGACATTGTGAACGCGGCTCCGATGAGACGATGCGCATCCATTGTACCGGGACGAGCGAGCACGTGGGAACCAGGCACACGTAAGCCATCGAACTTGACGTGAGGCCCTGAGGATGCCGTATGGCCGGGAGTGTCCAGGTGTTTGACAATCGTATAGGCGTCAGCTGGATTCTGCTGAATGATTTCTCTAGTAACGAGCAAAATCATCGTCGATTCTTCCAGGCTGCTCGCTGAGGATGTTTCCTCCCTGCAGACGACGCATTGAAGTGTCGCACCTCTTGAGTCCCAGCCAGCACAGTTCGTAGCCCAGATCTGATGCGCACAGTCAGCTAGTTCCTGAGGAGATTCGGCTCGACTAGAGCGGAGGCACGCTCCGGCAGGCCCTTCAAGCCCATGCGATCGGCTACTCGTTCAGAGTCGCGGCGCCTTGAGCCTTGAGCGCTGCCAATCGTCCGAAGAACGCGGTTGTGGGCGCTCCCTATGCAAACCATACCTTTTCTCCATTCAAGATCCACTCATTCCCTTCCTTCGTTGCCGTAGTCTGCATGCCCCTCGCCCCCGGTTCAAAGAAGTTTGCAGTTCCAGCAGGCTCTGAATACACAAGGCTTGCCAACGCAGGATCTCGACCGTTGAGGAAAGGAGCGAGGAACTCCTGCTGCTGCGTGCCGGTACCTCCTGCAACCAAGGGGTATAGTCCAAGGGCGTTGGCCAGGATGGTGAGCGCAACGCTTGGCTCCACCGCGTAAAGCTCCTCGACGACGAGGCAGACGTCAATCAAGCTCCCACCAGTCCCGCCAAGTGGTGCAGGAACTGCGCTCTTGATAAGACCCATCTCCGCGGCCTTGCGGACGATCGGCTCTGTGGCTTGAAAACGCTCATGATTGCTTTTGTGCTTGGAATAGCTCGCGTAAGCGTCCCTTAAGACTAGGTCTGCAAATTTACTCGCATCCTCCCTCGTCTTATGTTGCTCTGTCGAAAGAGCGAAATCGATCATGGCAGCGCAGGACAGGTAGAGAAACGGGGAAGATGCGTTAGACGTGAATGGGGAAATGGCAAATAGCCTTCAAGTGGAGCAGAGTGGGAAGATTATACATCTTCGAGTTAACAAGCTGCCCAGGTGGTTCGGGGGCCAATATGGCATCCTTGTAATTGCAACTCCGCATTGTAACCCGCATATCGAGGCTAGCTCGAAGGGCGAGGACTACGGTCAGCGTCGCTGTTGTTGGCAGCGAGGAACTGGCATAAGGGTTTAAGCGGCTTCTTAAGCGAGTCAGCGTCCAACTGGGCTGGAAGGACGAGATGAAGGCGGATATGTAACATCCGTTTGTTAACAGTCACGTGCGGGGCTTCCCGAGGTTGGAACGAATTCTCTATCCTTAAGCTCTTACCGATAATGAGCATCAGATTTTATCTTGCGGTGTTGCGATGCGATCTCGGCAGCATTTAACAGATATGTTCATAAGTCGCAGCTGTTTTGTGGCATTACTTCCAGAAACAGCGGTGCCCGAATTTCTTCGTTCGTCCTTCCAACTCAGTCTACTACAAACCTCTGAAGCTCACAGGTTCCGTTCTTGAGAAGATCCATGGCTTGGCCATCCATGAAACCATGAACGTAGCATTCGCCGACAAGATGGAAACTCTCCCCAGCAGGGCGCAACACGTAGAGAACATGACCTCCGAGAAGGACACAGATATGATCGCCAGGCTCTGTTTCACCCGGAGCCAAGCACAGATAGCCGCGATCCGACCGAACAAAACTACGGCCAACTGTCGCATAAAGAAGAGACCCCCATCCCATCCGCTGCTCGGGTCCTGGAGGTGGTCGTGAGAAGTCTTCAACAGAACGCCAAAAATTCCAATCAACAGTGTAGCCTCGGTGCCTGAGACGTCCGGTTTTAGCAACATCGGCGACAAGAGTTCGGCTGAAAGCCTCAAGAACTGTCTCTCCTGTCGGCCTGTAGAGTTCTGCGAGGTTGCTTGGCTCCCATTTCTTGATGACGCTTCCACAGCTATCAGAGGCATCGAGGTAGTTTGGCGAACCGACAGCTACAACTTTGCCGATGCAAAATCCCTCGGCAAGCAATCTCCGCTTGTCAAGTATGGAGAAGTACAGATGATCTTTCCGAAACGTTTGATCAGCGCTAGCGGAGTAGATGAGTTCCACGTCAGGGTCGAAATCGTCAAGGTATTGTCTGTGCTTTGTGTAAACGGCGAGAGGATGCCTAGTGCTAGAATTGCGCCAATCCGGGACCCAAGAGGGTAGTCCTGAGTCTCGTAGGGAGGGACTGCAGTAGCCAAAACATTCGAGAGAACCTTGACGCAGTATGCAGTGTTCAGCCACTTTGACATAAATATCTGAAACGTCCAGAGAGTAATCGGGAATGAGATCATGCGCTGATGATTCGGTGACCAAACCCAGCAAGGCATATACCTTATCCCTTGCGTCTGTAGCCTTATAGTATCGATAGTTTGCAAGTGTCCCAAGAAGATCTGTACGATATCTCCCAGTCCTAATCTTTCTCTGTAGGTTATCCAGGTTGCAAAGTCTGCGCATAGAGACCGAGCCGAGAAGTCGTGTATTCGGAAAGTAATCATGCAGATCTGGTCTTGTGACCGCATGTGAGAGAAATATCGCAGCGGTAACGAAACCCCACCAATTGATTGTAGAATCTCCGCACTGTAGAGTCTTAACATCCACGGCTGCCGTTGCTTCTTGAATGATCCACACCCGTTCGAACCAATCTCGAGCAAGCAAGCGTTCAAATGCTTGTACCGGTGCAGCATCGGCTTTGCAACCGCACTGGTCTAGTAGAGCTGATAGATCAGCTGTACTTCTCTTCCGAAACTCTGCCTCTGCACCGCGGAGATCAAGTCCCTGATTTGACCAATATACCGCAACTTTTGACGCGAGCGCAATAGCCGACGAACTCTCATCTCTTTCGGAACCGAGCCAAATGAGAATTTCACTAGACCGCGCGTATATCTCTTGCATCTTCTGTACTTGGGCGCTTCTCTCCACAACATCCAGCTGGTTGATGCACAAAGCGTCTATCCAGAACGTTCGCGCCTTCTCGCGCGATCGTATGTGTAGTAGAGCCATGAATAGAGCTCGCGGGATGAGCATCTCCTTATCATCCACGAGTATCGGGAATTCTCTGGAGGGATTGCCCCAGACATATGAGAGTGCACAGTATGCCGGAGGAGAATCAAGGGCTACCTCCCTCATCGTGCACTGGACATCCGAAGGACAGTCTCCTTCTAGGAGACTGACCACCCTGATTGTATTCATCGATGACTGGAGCGGTAAGTATTCGAATCGACTTCGCCGCGGCATTTTAGCAGATAGTCCGGTCGACAACCGGCAGTAGAACTGTAAGTCGAATCCTCTGGAATTGAATATGTCCGAACAGCGCTCGACAGTAGATAGCAACCGAAAAGACGTGATGGTGTGTGAGGTCACATCAAGGCTGACTCGGAGGATAAGCACTAAAGACACGACGCCGCAGTCGTTGGCGGAGAGAAACGGACATGGCGTAAGGCGATACTCAAGCCGATACTCGAGTGCAGGCCGACTTGAATAAGGAAGAAGAACACATAAGGTAGCAACCAAATGCGTGACGTGGTAGCAAGCAGGAAAGTAAGTCTACGACATGATTTGACAACCACGACAACTTCCTGTACATATTGAGTTCTTATCGATAAAGCGCGTATCCCGAAATTTTTGTCCTTCGATGGGAGTTTGGCACTTCAACACTCACGGCTTACAACTGGAATGGCCTCATACGACAGTGACTCGTCCGCTGACGAGGACCAGTACACGCAAACGAATGTCCTCCTGGGTTATGCGACCAAAGAACCCACCGATGACCCGGTCAACCAGCTAGGCGGCCATCCAGTATGTGTCCTGCCCATCACCGGATGCAAGATGTCTGACAAGTGATAGACATGGCTCGATGGCACTACAGCCCCTTCCGGCGCGCTGGCAAAATGCAAGGTCTGCAACGGACTCATGTCTCTCCTCCTCCAGCTCAATGGCGACATGCCCGAACGCTTCCCTGGCCATGAACGGCGGCTATACCTCTTCGCTTGCCGGCGCAAGACGTGCAGACGAAAAGATGGCAGTGTGAGAGGCATACGGGGGACAAGAGTCGCCAAAGGACAGTCAAAATCCATCAAGAAGACAGACAAGACGCCAGCACCGCAGCAATCCCCCCGAGAAGCTGAAGAGCCAAAGGCAGCAACCCAAAACATTGGCGCATCCCTATTTGGCGTCGCCCCGTCCAGCGCCGCTTTTCCCTCCAGCAACCCCTTCTCCACCGGCACCTCCACAGCCAGTAACCCCTTCTCATCTACCGCAACCACATCCGCATCCGCAAACCGCTTTTCGACCGCCTCCGCCCTCGCCGCCAAACCCGCCCAAAAGCCCGACCCCGCTGACACATCCACTCTCCCCGAAACCTTTGCCCAAAAAGTCCGCTTATCATCCCCGCCCCCCACAACCCCACCACCCCAACAACCCTCACGCCCGCACGAGCCCTGGCCCCCCGAATCCGCCTTCCCACCTCCCTACCCGACCTACAACCTCGACGCCGACTACGAAACGCTCGACGCCCCCTTTACACTCGCCATCCCCGCCTCCGCACGCATGGACCTCGACACCGAAGCCGGGAGCAGTGGTGGCGGAGGCGACGAGAAAGACGCCTTCGAGTCCAGCATGGACAAGACGTTCCGGCGGTTCGCGGACCGCCTGGCCCAGAACCCCGAACAGGTGCTGCGGTATGAGTGGGCGGGGCAGCCTTTGCTGTACAGCAAGACCGATGCTGTCGGCAAACTACTGCTCTCTTTTACACAACAGCAAGATAGGGCGGAGGGGAAGGTCAGGACTGCCAGGGGAACTGGAGGTGGGAGCGGCATGCCGCGCTGTAAGAACTGTGGCGCTGAGAGGGTGTTTGAGGTGCAGCTTGTGCCGCAGGCGATTGCGGAGCTCGAGGCTGAGGAGGTGGGCGTTGAGGGCATGGAGTGGGGGACTGTGACTTTGGGGGTTTGTGGGAGGGACTGTTGTCCCGGGGATGTGGAGGAGGGGGAGGCGGGGTATTTGGAGGAGTGGGTGGGTGTGCAGTGGGAGTAAGCGAGCTGTGGATGAGGAAGTACGAGACTTCTGTCTCCTTGTAGCTTCGCACGGCTGTCCATGTAAAACCAAGTGGGACGCCGGGAGCTGCATCGTTCGTCCAATCTTTGTTGTTCAAACGACGCTGCCTTCGACAGCTTTTGGATTCATTCCCATGTCCCTCCACGTCCTGTCGTAACGCCGTAGCCAAGCATGCCTCGTGCAGTGTGAATGCAATGTAACCCCCTCTAACAGACCCGTTCCGCGCAGCGCCTGTACTCATGCAGGTTGCTCGTACGCCCTGCGGATCAGTCTTGAGAACTCTGTCGAGCTTGTGTCAGCCCACGCCCCGAAGGAAAGAGGATAACAGAACTCACGATTAAACTTCACATTCTCCCTCACAACCGTCCCCTTGGCCTCATTCTCCTTGTTCAGCGGCACCTTGACCCCGCTACCCTCAACACTCCACCCACAAACCTCGCCCACGAAATGCTCGAACTCCTGCCCGCGCAGATTCAACCAGCCCTCAAGCACCCCCCTCTCAACCTCCCGAACCGCCTGGCTGACCGTAACCGCAATCCGCACCCGCATCAGCTCCTCGAAGCCCGACACATCGGCGTACAAGTCCGCGTACAGGTCGTCGGAGTTCAGCGTCTCCCAGAAGGCCTCGTAGTCGGCGCGCTCGAGGAGGTTGCGCAGGATGTTGAGCTTTTGGACCGCCTCGGCGAGGGGCGCGTCGCCGGTTGCTGGGGAGGAGGAGAGAGGCGCGAGGATGTGCGAGGGGAGGAGCGAGAGGCAGAGCGAGAAGTCGGGAGAGGGGAAGACGGTGAGGGATTTTGTGAGGATGTTGGTTATGGTTTCGTCGCGGGTGAGGTGGGGGTTGAATTGGTATCTGTGGGTTGGTAACAGCAGCGTTGTTAGCAGTGCGCTGGCGGGCAGGTTGGAGACGTGGAGAAACATTGGGAAGAGTGTATCAGATAGAGCTAATAAGTAGGCTTCAGCGGGCTGGAGTGATTCAAGCTCCGGTGCCCTCAGGTAATAGGAAACGTGTTGTGGTTCGTTGTTCATCATATATACGATTCGGCAGGTGCGCAAAGACACCCTTTGCATGGAAGAAGACAGAAACACACGTACAGCTTGAGGAGTGCCAGATTCGCATAGCAGTCGTATGTCTGGTTCTCGCATTGCTGCATCACGTAGTCCTGGAATACGGTCGTCGTCTCGGGGTTGTACCGGTCGAGCCCGTTCAGTATCACATCGATGTGCTCCGGCCGCTCCGGCACGTAGTCAAAGGGTACACCCATCTTGGGCGGGACGAGTGTGTTGTGGTAGTGTCGTGTCGCCGGCGCAGAGGTGAGATCGATTTGGGAGGTTTTCGGTGTGGAATTCTCGAGCCAATCAGGTGAAGGCGAGGCCGAAATCTTGGCATCCACTGTGGCCTCGAAGCCCCTGGGCAGCCTTATATTCTTACTTCTCCTGCAATAGTCCTGGAGATCTTACAATGTTTTCTGCTCGCACAGTGTCCTCTCTCATACGGTTGAAGAAGCAGTGCAACAACATCCTCCGATCCCTAGCATAATCTGTCATTGTCTGTCTGGGAGGTTTATTCTGGAAGCAGATGAGCCGCCTGTAGCGTCTCACGATTACTCCTTTTAGTGCACCAGGTGGGGCTGAACGTTTCTGTTGCTGCTTTGGATCTTGAGCCGGTGTGCAGAGTACCTCCAGGTACAGTCGCTGCGCTCCCAACTCCATCATGGTGTTAGCATTACCAAGCAGTGACTTTCGCTGTCTGAACATGAAGGATAAGTTGGAGAACACGTGAGCATCATAAGGGCGAGCTTAATCTGGAAAGGCTTCCGAGAACCCGCTGAGCCAGGTTCTGATAGCTTTGTGTGGGCAGAAACGGGAGTGCATGCTGCCGCAGTGCATCTGGGCCATCAGACTCAGCCCCAAAGCGTCGAATTGCTTATGGCAGATTTCCCGACTTTTTGCCCTTTGAAGGCCATGGTCGTGTACGGCGGGAGCATGAGCTGCAGTCGTGAACAACAGCACTTCTTCGATCAAGCCAGTGTCACGAACTCCCAGGCGGTCAGAGTAATCCACCATAACGCAATGCGGCTACGCACGTCATGCGGCCCGCACACCGGTGTCTTATTCCAGGAATTGCACCGAGTGGGGGCTGATTCTATTTTGCTGACAGCGGTGTGGCTTGGTGTTTGTGAGACAGCGAAGGATCATGGCCGCAGTTGGTGCGGAGTACAAACCAGAGGGGACTTGGTTCAAAGTTGTGGGGCTTGGTTGTCGCGTTTCAAGCAGGCATGTTAGCTGTCGTGTTTGGCGTATCGATCGTTTCGTGAACTGCCATAGGTATTTGATTTTCGTTGGCCCGCACGGCACAGGTTGGTTTCTGCCCCCAGTTGTGTCTATTCTTGTCAGTCTTAAGCAAGGGGCAGCCGACGCGGTTCGTATCCGTATTACGGGCGGAGCAAGCCGAGGCTCTGGATGAGTCTAGACTTTGCACCGTTCTAGGGGCTCATGAAGCGATGACATGGTTCAGAAAGCGGACGATGCCTGAGGAGAAGGGTAGAGTGCGTCCGCACTGCAGCGAAGTTTGTCTGAACGAAACCTCTGAGAGGAAATCTTGTGTTGTTGCTCGCTAAGAGCGGCTTGCTTGAACGAACGTATCTTGGTATCCGCTATAACCCACCGTCCAAAGCATGGACTCTTCAACAGGCAATACAAATGCCGAAACGAGGGAGATGCTGGATAATCTACAAAAAAATGCTGGCTTGACAAAGTAATAACACAGTCCTCAAGCCATCCAAAGACGTGCAGATGCAGCCACGAGGTGAGCCCGAAGTCCGGCTTGCCGCAATGGAATGAAAAGACCGACTGAACGACCCCGAGAGAGTAGCCGCACGTGGTCATGCTGACACTGTCTGCTGCATAGGGGACTGCCGAGAACTCTTCAGGTGTATCCGTTTTACATGGTCTCGCTGTGGGACGACTTAGCATAGCTTGTTCGGATGAGATGCGGAAGACATACCATATTATCGACCCTGCTAAACACTCTATCACACCCGTCCCACTCACACATGACGTCCGGATTATGCTTGGCTTCATGCCTAGCTAGATCTTTCCTGCTCGAGAAGCCGCCGCCCGTGGACTGCGGACAGCCTTCAAGCCGGCAGAAGAACGACTTCGTGTGTCGCTTGTAGTGTTTCCGGAAGTCACAGCCGCGGATGAAGACAGCTCGAGAACTGCAACCTGGGTATCCACAGATCCAGCTCCCGTTCCGGTCGGGATATCCATATGCCTGAAGGTCTGCAGAGCCTGGAGAGGTTGCTCTTGACGCCCTGGCACTAGCGGAGACTTCTGTAGCCTCGGTGATGGAGCTTCCTACGGAGGTTTCAGAGTTTGAGCGGGAAGACCTTGTTGACTGGACATTACAGGACTGAAGACTTGAGTTGGATAGCAGGTCTCCGCTCTCAACAGCTGCCGCGGATCCGTTCGAACTGGTGGAGAGGATCGACTGGCTGAACCCGGCGGTAACCGGCGGCGTGCAATACGAAGGATATTGATATAGCGGGACTGTCTGCAATGCTGTCGTCTGTTGCGCACGATACATCTGGTCCCAGCACCCGTAGTCCTGAGGGGTCATACTGGGCCAGTGTTGACCGAATAATGAGGAAGTCGCTCCATTGACTGGCTGTTGCTGGATGTTTTGATGATACAACTGTCGAAACAACTCTTCCTGTTCTGACAACACCTTATGCTCGGTGGGAAAATAGCTGGACATGATGAATTACATGAGCTCAAGCAGTATTCGGTCGATTGCAGGCAGTTGCTACTACAATGGTAGCTGTCCGCAGTTGAGACTGGGTATCGCTCGAAGATTGAGAATAAACTCGGAGAGACTATGAATGTAGCCAGATTTAAGGAGTCAATGGAGTTGCACAAACTCGGATCGGAGATCGCATGCCCTTGAAGCGAGTGGACATGTTCGAGAATATCTTCAGCTTTATTTGGAAAGGGATTTGGTACGAGTTATAAGGTTGAAGGACGCATGTGTGTGTGGCGAAGCTTTTGCAGGCTATTTAGAGCAATGCCTGGTTGGCCAGAAAACTGCTTGAAAGCTTGTGCCGCTTATGCGATCCCGTTGGCCGGCCCCCAAGGAGGACAAGGCTTAGTCTCATCGTGAGCTTTCCAAGGCGGAGAGATTTTACTAGGCTGCACTCCTGTCTTACTGGAGGCACGAGGCATGGAAGTATTCTGTAAATCCTGCGGTGAACACTACTGCGCTGCCCAACCTGGTTGATGGTGCCGATTTCCGCAGAAGCGGCGCGTGCTTCTTCGGGGTGGTACTGACCTACCATCATCCAACTGCAGGTGTTGGCATGGCCGGTGCGAAGGCAGATGGCAGTAGAACAATACAGGAACGTCGCCAGAATGGTTCACTCCTTTGCGGCTGAAGGGTGTGGTGTTGCCCCCGGCGATTACCTGACCTTCCATGTTCGGCCTCCGCTCTTGTCCGGGGTTTCACCAATCTAAGAGCTGAAGGCCTTGTGTACCTCCACGGGCGCAAATAGTCTCATGGCCACAAGACGATAGGTAGAACGTGAATCGCATAAACGTGATGATGCCAGTATACATATAGTCCCGAGAGCTTCGGAGCTTGGAGCCTTTACTCGGTGAGTTGCTTACGACTAGGATCCTTCGGGCTGCTGCGGCAGTCTATACTTAGGTTTAGAGTTGCCGGGTGAACGCGTGACAGGCAGACCGACTGTCGAGAGGAGGCGGTCGCGATATTCATCTTGCGAGGCAGACGACAATGATTGCTCTCGCTACTGACTGAAACCGGACGTAGTCGAGAGCAGCCTGTTGAAAGTGAGTTGGGAGATGAAGTCGATTCAAGGTTGCTCGTTGGCGTCCCGGGACGCCACTAGACCCTTTTCGGCTCATGAAGGGCCTCCGCGCTCGATACGCCTTCACGTCCACCTCTGTCCCTACCTACCTTGTTCGTATACACAAAACCATCAACCCTCTCTTGTCACTCTAGTAACTGTTTCTGCGCCTGGCTCTCTATCTCCAGCGTCGAGCTTCCATCTCGTCGTGAAAAGAACTGTTCCACTGCACGATTTTGCGCCCTCTCGAAGCTGACCATGGCTCGATTCCGACCGCGACGGCGTGGTAGCGCTCAGCGGAACGGCACACGTATCATGCTCGAGACATAGTCGATGCGGTTGGTACATTACAGTTGCTGTTCTCCGTCCTGTGTGAAGTTTTCTATCATATGCAACACGTAACGCCCTGTAGTCCAGCTAGCGAATAAGCCGGTGACAAGGAAATAAGGAGGGTGCGTGAAGTGTAGGATGACTCCAGATATGACCCTCTATGCTTCCAGCAGGACTCGAATGTCGGCCTCTATCGCATGCCTGCGGTTCGGTTATTGGCACCTCCGTTGACCCGCGCACTTTATTCCTTTCCCAAATCACTACGCTAACTGAGAGCTATCCCATGCACGTCAAACCTTCTTTACTTCCATCTCGTGATTGATCGAGTACAGTGGGCCTCTTGAGTACGTCACTCGGTCCTTGACGGCGATATCAGGGCTGCATGTTGGTCGGTCCAACCGTAGCCTCTCATCTTCCACACACCCTCTTCCAGCAGCCCGTAACGAAACATTCTAGCAGTGGCGACAATGAGCGCAAACGCCAAGCTGTTTGCAGATATCTCACCAACGAACCAGAGGAAGAAACTTCAATTGATTGACACAATTCGCACCAACTGGGGCTGCGACGTTCAAGAGTGTATCCCAGTGGCAATTCGTCCACGCAAAAACACCAGCGACGGGAAGAGACCCAAGACAGGAGCTGCTGCATCTCTTGAAGACGATCCCAAGGAGTGGAGCTTGTCTCTGTTGGCGGATCTTGCGATGTTGTCACGCTCCACTATTGGGAAGCTCACCTTAGCACAAAGTCTCCTCCAGACCGCAGTGCGCGAGCGACAAAGCGGCATGTTCGCCAATCAACCTCGGACCATCGCTGGACTCGTCCGTGGCGACGTTCAACGTGCTGTGGAGTCCTTGAAGCCTTCTGCACCAGAACGTAACGATCGGTACGTTTGCAGAGCCTCTGCTACCTTATTGTCGTTGACCACATCATGCTATGTTTCCTTAGCGTTGAATGAGTCCCATTTAGGTCTGAGCATTCTGAGTGCTTTCCCAAGGCGGGTTCTGAGCTTAGAAAATTCACGCTTTTGGTACTAACCATGCTACTTTACAGCCCGCCTGGAAAGACAGACGCGACACAACCCTCAACAAGCGTCAACCCGGAGGACGCTGACTCAGATACCAGCTCGTTATTTATAGGAGCACCAGTCACCCAACCTGCTCAAGTAAGGAGTGACTCGGGAGAGACTACAACACAATCACCTGAGCCCGCAAATCTACTAGCTCAAGCTATCGAACGGGCACCTCAAATCACGAAGCTACCGCCTCAAGCCATCGAACCAGATCCTGGGGCTATCAAACCAGCTCCTCAAGGCATGGCCCCACCTCCTCAGGACATGAAACCGCCACATCAAGTAACGGAGCGGTCAGTTCGAGCTACTACCTCACCAGCCTACGACGGCGCCACTCTGGACTTGGAAATTAGCATATTGGAACACAGATCACGTGCTTCGAAGCTGAAAGCCGACGCCGAGAGGCATGAAGCGGCCGCGAAAAAGCGTGACGCTGAAGCTGCTGAGCTGGATTCGAACATCGACGAGCTGCGCTTGAAACGGCTGGGCCTTGTGAAGTGATCAGACTTCTACGGGAGTTTGGGTTTTTTGGAGTCGTGGCTGGCCAATCTGGTCACACGCGGAATGCCACACTGCGGGTAATTGAGGCTGGCGGAGTACAGAATTTCTCACACTGAGAGGGTCTGGCTGCGGGAGTTTGGGGAAATGACTCGTGTTTCTGCTTTTCGCAGGAATTCCCATCAAGGGCGGCATCGCCTTTCTTTGGTCTTCCAATCAATCATTGGTAGCTGCTGGCACTTAAAAAAATTCGGGCGGGGATTGTGAAACACAGCGTTGCAGTCAAAGGGGGCAAGTCTTTCACCTTCCTCAGCTTTCCTTCGTGTTCGTGAGAATCAAAGCAACAACTTGATGCTCCTCATACCGCCAGCTCCAATGTTTCGAGCCAATCTCAATGTCTCTCTTATCATGTGAAAGCAATCTCGTCCCGTTTGAAAGTCCTGCGCAGATACGTTATCGCCTTGCCAATTCACCCATCTTTAATTTTCTGCACGACGTCCCTCACTTTAATTTCATGTCACATGTGTTGAATCTCCGTTCACACAGCAACATGTATATCTTCGAGCTCATGCCTCTGGTTCAATGTTTGTCAACCGACGCAAGGATCCAACTACAAGGACTTCAAGTGAGCAGTCCTCACAACAAAACTCAGTCCATGGCAAGCCTGAACCACTCCATCGGTGCTGACAGCCAGTACAGGAAGTCCACAGCAAGATCGATGCCTCCCATCACCGCACGTACCAACCAACTTGGAAAGGCTGAGGACAGTTCACCGGAGAAACCGCGCTCCGGGCCCGTACCTCAACACCCCATACAATTCGGCCTATTGCCGCGCGAGACCCAGGAAGCCAAACTCAAGAACATCAGCAAGATCGAGGCGAACTGGGGCGCGCCGCTGCATCAATGCATTCCAGCGAAGATACGTCCCCGGAAGCCTGACGGACACACAACGAAGGTAAAACGTCACGAGCAGAGTGCTGCCGTTGAAGATGACCCCAAGCAATGGGGTGTTGAATTACTGGACCGGCTCGCGGAGATCTCAGACCTAACGAAGAACGATCTCGCTACTGCCCTTAAGGAACTTCAGACTGCAGTAGCCGACCGCCATTACTACCGCTTGGAAAGCAACCATAATATCGCCGAACTTCTCTGGGTTGACTGCAATAATGCTCTTGTTCAGCTCCGCAGCATACAGAAGAAGACGATTGAGGCGGCTGGGGAAGTCCAAGACCAGCCACCGCGATATGGCGGGACGGCTAGTCCAAGCAGCACTAGACAGTCTGCCAGACCATCGGTGGCAGAAGGACATCAGGACAAGTCGGCCACTCCAACGCCGAAGACCGCCGGAGCGCAGGCAAGCAGATCCCAGGCTTCCCGCGCTGTGTCTACGCCTTCTCCTTCCAAGGTTAGATGAATAACTCCAAAGTTCTCTGAGCGCATTTCGCTGATCTGTCTACAGGCCAAAGCGACGCCTGAAAAGCCTAGAGCCCGTCAAGCTGTTCAGACACCCTCTGCTTCGCCGAACAAGGCGCCAACGGCGCCGATGATGCCGTTCGCGGCGCGCGGCAAGCGAGCGCAGACTATGGAAGCGGTGTCCACGCCTTCGCCTCTCAAGGTCAGGCGACCAATCTTACAGTCACTCAAAAATTCATCACTGACTACCCTGCTAGGTAACTCCACCTGTCGCATCTCAGCAGTCCACCGAGCAGCAAACTCCGGCAAAGCGTGCAGACATTGGAGCCGCCGAAGCATCGCTGTCGTCTTTCTCATCCAATGCGCCGACAGCTCCCACGATCTCGGCCTTGACTGCACAGACCTGCGTCGTTACCGGGTCTCCTTGCGACACGCTGAGCGGCCTCACCGGCATCGCGAACCTCTTTACGTCGCCGAACCGCAAGCCATATATGCCAACTTCGGCTTCTCCCATGTCGCGGAAGCGTCAGCGTATGGACCTCGACTGGGAGATGCTCGAGGCCGAATCCAGGATCGCGGAGGCGAATCGTGTAAAGGCTGAGGTCGACCACAAGAAGCTTGAGTTCAGGAAGAGAGTGATGATGGATCTGGATCGCGAAGGGAGCGAGATTTGATGCGATGGAAATGGTCTGTATGATGTCTGAGAGCCCTTGGGCTTCACGTGAGGGCTCCAGGCTACATTTGGCACGGTACGGGTAACGACTTGGGATCTGCGCGGATGGTTCTCTTTCACATGGCTTTGGTACGAGAGGTTATGTGGGCTTTGTAGCGCATGGTGGTTGAGCTTCTTGTCTTCCCGGTTTGGCGGAAGTTATCCTGTTAGTACGTGGTGGGATGGACGCTAGATTTGACTTGGATTCTCACTTGGCACTGTTTTCTACACTTGAGAACAGCTCATCGGCGGCTGTTGTTGGTTGGCTTGGGTGCGGCATCTCGTCCATAGACTTTTCTTTCAGATTACAACTTGTCACGCTTAATCCAGAATGATCAGACAACCTCTGAGCAATATCTTTCCTTCTTGAAAGTGCGAAGCTTGTCATGAAGGCTGGCTGTGGGGCAAAGATTCATCTGACATCGCTTCAAGAGATATCTCATTCAATGTTCTTGTCTCGGCGATTCTAGCATACTGCAAAACGAGAGAACTCTGTTCCGCCAGGTTGCAGCTAACGGCGCAGCCTAAAGACACTAGAACAATTTCAATCCCAACGACTTGCCGATAGCTCTCAGGCAACGAACCCCTACACCGCAAGCGCCAGGTAGATGCACAGCAACGAACGACACGGCACCGCAACACCTCCACCAATGCAACACCCACGCCAGCATATAGACACTACCTCACAACGCTCCGCCTCGACTGTCTCCGAACCTGCTCGAGCTTCTTCAGCAGCGAATCATGCAGTTTCTTGTTCCCACTCCACTCATCTCGCATCCTCTTCATCCTGACACTCGCCACAACCATCCAGCCAACCGTCCGCAGCGAATGCTTCTTCTCCCTAAACGACTGATCCGGCGTGATGCCCATCTCCTCCAAGAGCTTCAAGTCCGCTTTGTTGCTGTTCGTTTCGTCAGTGGTTGTCCCTTCAACCTTCCAAACCCCCCCACAGGAAGTAAAGACTCACCAAGCCCCAAACATCTCAACCTGCATGAGCAGCCACCGTTTCTCCCACACCAAGCCCTCCCTAAACCCGCCCTCCCTCTTGACACTAGCCCTCAGGTACTGAATCTGCTTCGCCAGCCCCCCCAGCTCCCGCGCGTGCTTCTTCTCCTTGTCCATCATCTCGGCCTTCAGATCCATCACCTCGTCCAGGTTAGCCGTGTGTTGTTGTTGCTGCTGCGCCGCGGCGGCCTGCAGCGCCTTCACCGCCTTCTGGTGCGCGCTCTTCAGCTGCTGGAGCTGCGAAGCCGAGGCGCGGAGTTGACTTTCCTGCTCTGCGGCCTGGGCAGCCAGGTCTTCGGCCTCGAGCTCCACCGTCCGGAGCTGCGCCTGCAGTTCCCTGATCTCGCGGTCCTTGGCCAACGTCGCCGTTTTAGCCGCCGCATCCGGGCCGCGCTGGCCGCGCAGTTTCAGCGCCGAGACCTCGCCGTCCTTTTCCGCGAGTTGGAGCTTCAGCTCGTCGGTCTCGAGCTGTGCCGTCTGCAGTTTCTGGCTCTGCGTCCTGAGTTCGGCGCGAAGCTTGGACTCGAGCGACGCGCGCGCCTGCTCTGCGGATGTTAGGCGCGCTGCCAGGTCCTCGGCATCCAGCTTGGCGGCTTTAAGGAGGTCGTGCAGATCTGCGCGCTCGGAGGCTATGGTGCGGTCGGAGGCGGCATTGGAGCGGAGGTCATGGAGTTCTTTGCTTAGTTTTTCGAGGCGGGATTGGAGGGTCGTGCGGTCGTGGGATGCGGTGGCGAGAGAGGCCTCTAGATCGCTGATCTGGGACTGGAGGGAGGCTTTTTCACGAGCGGCGGCAGCCAGGTCGCGTTCCAAGGGGGCGTGCTTGGATTGCAGCTCTGTCGAGCTGGCGGCAGATCTTTCGAGAAGTGAGATCTTGGTGAGAAGGGAGGTATTTTCGGCTTCGGTCTTGTCGAGCGTGTCTTCTAGGACTGAGATCTCCTCTTCCAGCAGTTTTTTGGTGGTTGCCATTTCTTCTTTGAGGGCGTTTACAGCGTTGAGTCGCTCGTCTGCCTTCTTCTGAAGAGCCTCGAGATCAGAATCTCGCGCGTTAAGCTCCTTGCGTAGGGTCTCGAGATCGTGATCCCGATCTGAAACGAGATGGCGGACAGCTTCAAGCTGGGAGTCAGGCTCGTCCATCGTCTGTCGCAGGACCTCGACCTCTGCTGTCCGCTCACCGAGGCTCTTACGCACGCTCTCGAGGTCGCGGTTGCGCTCGTTCAGTGTTCTGCGGACTTGTTCCAGCTCCTCCAACGCCGATTCTTGTGCTTTGACGGTCGTCTGCACTGCCGCAAGCTCTCGGTCGCGGTCGCGGAGGCTGGATTGCAGGGTTTGCAGCTCCTTGATAGCAGCGGACTGGTTCTCGCCAGCGCTGCGCAGATTCTTGATCTCCCGATCTTTGGCGTTGACCGCCTCGCGAGTTTGCTGAAGCTCCTTCTGCGCGGTGTCGTACTTGTCGGCCGTCTGCCAGAGCGTCTTGATTTCTTTCTGACGTGCATTGGCGGTGTCGCGAAGCTGCCGCAGCTCGTCTTCTCGGGCGGCTTCTGCAGCGCGACTCTGTTTGGCGGCCTCGGCCTGGTCGTGCAACTGCTGTCGAGCCTTCTGGAGCTCGTCTTGTGCGCGCTCAGCGGCGTCAAAACTCGTTTGTAGTGCCTCGATCTCGGCATCCTTCTCGCGGGTGGCGCGTCGCAGCGCATCTTGGGCGTCACGGGCAGCTTGCTGAGCGAGTTGAGCCTGGTTATCGCCCTTCGACTCCGCCAGTCGCAGCCTGTCTTGAAGCGATTCGAGTTCGTCCTGCTTGTTGTGTTCAGCATCCTGAACCCTTCGCTCCAGTGACTTAATCTTCAGGCTACTTTCTCTTTCTGCGGATTGCAGGTCCTCCCTGAGCATCTGCAACTCCGCATCCTTTGCCTGCTTCGTTGACTCCATTTGACGCTGCATGCTGGTGAGCTCTGCCGCTTTAGCCTTTTCGGATGCGTCCAACTGATCCTGCAATGCACCAAGCGCTTGCTCCTTGTCTTGTCTCAGCTTGCGCACTTCCTCTCGAAGGCTTTTGAGCTGCTCGGCTTGCTCATCGATCAGACGCTCCTTGTCTTCGAGGTCAACATCGTCTTTCTCTTGAATAGACTGCGCCTGCGCCAACTTCTCCCGCAACGCCTCCAGCTCCTCGTCCTTCTCGTCGACAAGCCTATCTTTTTCTCTGAGCTCTGCCTCCAGATCCCCGACATCGTCTTGAAACCCCTGCATCTCTTGTGTCCTGTCCTCTATAGCCTCCAGCCGCTCCTGCAGCGCCTCGACCTCTGCCGCTTTCTCCTCGGCTACCCGTTTCAGCTCGTCCATCTCTTCCCTCATGCCCTCGTCCATGTGCCGCCTCTTGACTTTTTCCGCATACTCCTTCAGCTGGCGTCTGTATTGGTCCAACTCGTTCTCGGCGTGCTTGACCTGCTTGCCGTATTTCTTGATCTCGGCCTGCAGCGTGAACTTGTCCACTTTCAACTCCGCGTTCTCGCGCATGGTCTTCTGGTTTTCTTCCGTGCCGGTTTTGGAGAGGTTTTGCTCGAGGAAGTGGATCTTGAGTTTGAGGCCAAAGTTTTCTTTGTCTATTTTTTCGAGCTTCTGTTGGACGTACGCCGATTAGCATCTTATCTTAGCCCAATCCCACGGGTTTCCCTCTCGTCTCTAGACTTCCAGGTTGTTGATGTGAGAGAAACACAAATGCAGACTTACAGCCTCCTGCTCCCTCAACGTCAAAACATTCCCCCCCTCCGCCCCAAATCCCCCATCCCCTCGGGGCAACGCCATCGGCGTACTGACAGCACTACTACTGATCGCCGGCGGCATCGGCGTGCCCTCACCCTCTCCGTACGCACTACTCTCCACATCCTCCGCATACATAAGACTCGGCTCCGGCAGCGCCGGCGAGCTCGCACTCTTCCCGCCCTTCAACCCCTTCGGCGTCTTCAGTCTCCCGTTAGGGTAGTAGCCCGGCTCATCGAGCGCGCGCTGCATGCGGTTCCGAGCTGCGCTTTTCAGGAGGGGCGTGAATTCGTTGCGCGCGTTGGGGTGCCGGGCGTTGTTGGCGAGCTGCTGGCGCGCCGAGGGCGTTGCGAGGGCTGGGACATGGCCGCCGCGGATCTGCGCCAGCAGGTCGGGCTGGCCTTTGGAGGGCGAGACGAAGGTTTTCTCGGGGGAGAAACCGAGAGTGTGGGCTTGCGAGGGGAGGGTGTTGTCGGCGTAGGCGGTTGCCGGTGAGGAGGGGAAGTAACCGGCCATTGTTGCTTTGCGCGCGACGATGCGATGGGTATGTGATGTTTGGTTAGTGGCTGCTCATGAGAGGCGAAAGAATGGAGCGTCGTGGGTAGAAGGTGTTGTGGCGGCGGACGCGTTTGTTTACTGTGATCACGTGAGCTTTTGTAAAGTCCGGAAAGTCCGGAAGTGGGCCTCGACTTTGACGCCAAGACATGACGAGGCGCGCATCTCGTCGAATTTATTTGATTTCATGTCAGCAGGCGACTGAAAGCAGAAGGGAAGAAGCTTGTGAGTAAAGAAAGAGCAAGGAACTGAAGATAATCAAGATTGTGGTTAGAAGATTAAACAGCTGTTGGATTCTGTCAGTGTATACCACCACTACCGTCAACCGAAGCAAGAACCATCATGGACCAAGGTCATCTCCCTCGGGATGACCTCAGGTGGTTCGGGGAAGGCTTCTCCGGCTTCCCAAAGCGCCTCCCAGAAGACTGCGTCGAGTACATGATCTTCATCATCGACACCAAGTCAAGCGAAGCACAAATTCGCAGCCGCCTCCAAGCCGTCCAGCGAGCCTCATCCGATCTGACGAAGAAGCTGCTCAAAGACTACATCTGGCAGCGTGACGCCTTCAATCTCGATCTTGTCCGAGGAGACGGCTCCTGGCTCCTCCGCGGCCGCACCGATTACGGAGACTCGGTTGCGGATGAATGGCTCATTGTTTACTTGCTCCGGGGGCTGAGCAAGCAGTTTCCAGACGCCTGGATCAGAGTCTACGACACGGACGGGGAGTTCATCCTCATCGAAGCCGCCAACGTGCTGCCCAAGTGGCTGAACCCCGAGGTCGCTGAGAACAGAGTATGGCTGCACGCCGGGCAGCTGCTCGTGATTCCGCTCCAGCCCACCACCGACGCAGCATCCCAAAAGGCTCCCTCTGCATCGGGACCCCTCACGCTCAAAGAAGCACTTTCCCTTGTCGCCAACCCCTCAACCACCCTCATCCACTCCCCCCTAATAGAAGCCGAAGCCCTCCACCGCCTCCTTAATTACCCCACCGCCATCGTCTCCAACCTGCACACCTCCCTCCTCACCATCCCTCGGAAACTAGCTTACATCCTGCACCGCATCCCCGGGTCCATCTCCCCCGCAGTAGAGGCTTTCTACCTCCGCGACCCAATCTCCCTCCGTCCACTCAACACCAACGACGCTAGCATGCTGTGCTTTCCGCCTGCAGATTTCGTGACGACCAGCGTACGCTTCACGAAAGTCGGCTTCGCGCAGCTGCAGAGTCAGGAGTTCCCCCCTCCAGCCGCGTGGAAAGACCGGATGCCACAGTCAGCGAGTGCGAAGGAGGCTAGCCGCGTGGAAACGGGCATGAAGCTCACGTGTGCGTTTGAGATGCTGGTTGCGGACCCGCAGAACCAATCTAGGAAGACGGTGAGGGAGATTCGGGTGTTACTTGAGGATGTTGAGAGCGGAGAGGAGAAGCTGCCGGGTGATGAGGAGATTAAGGGATGGGGGGGAGGAGAGGACGATGAGGCGTGGTTGGATATCAACTTTGAGGACTTTGAGAGGGAGCTTGCTGGCAAGGCTGGGGGAAGGCATGGCAGTGGCAACGCCACTGCTGATGGGCAGGGCGAACGTAAGGAGGGGTTTGGCGACAAAGCCGCGCAGGAGAACCTACGAAGGATAGTAGAGCAGTTCGGCGCATTCCTCAACGACGACGACGCTGGGGTGGAGGGGGCAGAGGTGGACGAAATGGATTACGATGACGACGATAACGAAGAGGAAGCCGAGGACAGCGACGTCAGCAGTGAGGGCGAAGACAAGGATGTCTCGTTTGATGAGGTCGAGTTTGCGAGGATGATGCGCGAGATGATGGGGATGCCACCGGACGATGCGCCAGTCGTGACGCACGACGTGAGGCAAGATGTTGGCAGGGTGGTGGAAGTGGAAGACAGCGACGAGGAAGAGGAGAAGTTGGAGGATGTCATGCAGAGAATGGAGGCTGAGCTCAAGGAAGCGGGCGCGCTGAATCTGGATCCCACCCCCAGGGAGGCTGCCCTCAAGGGCATCGACAAGGGCAAGGGACGCTCGCTGATCGAGGAACGTACACATAATGTGGAAGAAAGCTCGGACGAGGGCGAAGTCGACATCGACTTTAATCTCGCTAAGAACTTGCTGGAAAGCTTGAAAGGACAGGCCGGTATGGCTGGACCAGCCGGAAACCTGATGGGATTGATGGGCGTCAAGATGCCGCGGGATGAAGGGGGCATGAGAGCCAAGAAGGACGGATGAGAGACCAGAACAACCAAACCCGGCTGGAAATTGAAAGCTTCTTTGCCTCACGAAATGAGGATAGGACTATCTGCACAGATCGAAGGCTTGATTATGTCGTGGGCTTCAACACATCCTCTATGACTTTGAGCACCTTCATGAGTACCTCATCCCGCATCGGTTTTCCGACAACCTGGATTCCGCACGGCGCGCCCTCAACTGCATCAGCGTCGTCTGCAAGCCTGTCAGCCAACCCGAATCTGTTCAAAGCTGGGACGGATCACTTACAAGGAGGTAAGTATTCTATGTCACTGCGAACGAAGTCCTTGTCCAAATCTTTGGACGCTTTCAAAAACGGTATTGCCGCAGCCGGATACTATAAGCGTCAGGAGGTTGTCGCCGCCTTTCAAGCAAGGATCTCGGTGCGAGAACGTTGAACCATCACTTACATCGATCACATTTGGCAGTACCGTATATATCGGCAGCCCATACGTATCGTGCGGTACAGCCGTCGCCTGGTACATCGGCATCACTATAGCGTCAAGCTGATTCTGCACGACCAGGTCGTGATACACTTTCATGATCTTCCTGCGCTCAACATTCATGTCGAAAAGATCATTCAAGTTCGGCTCGTAATTGTCCAGCTCCGGGAACCTGCTCGTAGCCAGCGATGCGACGAATGGCTCATTGCCCTCTTTCATATACTTCAGCGGCGTCTTTGCCGGGTCGAGGAGGAAGAACTTCCACGCTAGGATGGCGGTCTCGTAGATGGAGGGATATTGGCCCTCCAGCGGGATGATGGCGTGTCCAGCGTCTCTCAGCGCGTCCGTTGCCGTCCTCATAGCCCGCATGATGGACGGATGAAGTGGCCTCTTCGGATCCTCCAGAATCAGCCCAAGCCTCAGCGGCTTCGAAACTGGCTCAACCCTTCGCCAGGGCACCGCGAGACATCCCTCGTCAAGCTGCCACGGATCACAATCAAGGACCGTCTTCATAAACAGCTCCAGATCCCTCGCAGAGTGCCCCATGGGTCCAATACACGGCAGGATGCTGCTCGGCGAGCCCATCCTCCCCGGCGGCGTCTTACCACTGAACGGGATACGTCCCACCGTAGGCTTGAAGCCCCAGACGCCGTTACAATGGGGAGGGATCCGGACGGAGCCCGCGATGTCGGTGCCGACGCCTAGCGGGGAGCCGCGCATCTTGAGCAGGGCGCCTTCGCCGCCGGTGCTCCCGCCTGCGGTTAGGGAGAGCCTGTTGGGGTTCAGGGTCCGGCCGAAGACGTTGTTTTCGGAGTCTGCGGTCATCATTGTCTGCGGGAGGTTGGTTTTGCAGTGTAGGACTGCGCCTTGGCTCAGGAGGATGTCGACCAGGGCGGAGTTCTGGGATGCGGGGGGGTGCGAGACGAAGGATACGTAGCCGACGGTTGCTTGTACGCCTTTGACGTTGAAGGAGTCCTGCGTGCCATGAGCGGGCGTATTACTTTTGTCCCTTTTTTGAATGAGGTGTCTACCTTGAGACTAATTGGCAGCCCATGAAGAGGCCCCATTGGTTTACCCTTCTCTTCGAGATGTTCATCCAGGGACTTTGCACGTGCAAGAGCCTCTTCGAACATGATCTCAGTGAGGCAGCTCGTCTGAGAGGTTGTCAGTCAAGTATAAACATGGTCAAAGGCGCATCAATTGAGTCCTTGTTTACCAGCTGCTGCGCCAAAGCAGCCCTCTTGCAGAAAGCGAGGGTGACATCGTACGCCTTGAGTTCCCCAGCCGCCAGCTTCTCAAGAAGTGCTGTAGCATCGTGTTTCTCCGTGATATCAATCTCTTGATCTGTCAATATGCCGCAGGTTCGCGGTATATCTAGGACGTTTTTGTCTGAGGAGTTGTGCACGTCTTTCAAGATGTCTTGCGGAAGCCGCCATGCTTCGGGGATCTTGGCGGCGTTGGACTCTCTTTTGCTGGCCGCGATGGCTTGCCAGTTTTTATCCGATGCCATGGTGGAAATGTAGCCGGATAGATAATTCTAATATTCTATGTGACTCCTCTTGGGAAAAGTACTGCTGAGTGCTAGATATAAGTACTCGGTGAGCACGAGGATGAGCATCCGGAACCCCGCTCTGGCCGCTTGTGAAAGTCGGCATTTTCATATGCATGAATATATCAAACTGCCAACATCGAGCACATTTATAATGAGGCAATTTTGTTCCAAGTGAACAGTAGAACAATCGCTATGTGAAGTGTAATGTATCTTCATCCATAGAGAAGTCTATGTACCCAGTACTCCAGCAAAGCCGGCGAATAAGCCCATCGATTCACTATCCCGAAGCCCAAGTCAGAACTTTATTAGCCCAGAGTCAGATCCAGCGTCCGTCCTGTTATGTAGCATAAGGCCAACAGGACGACTTCCGCCAAATGGTGAATATAGATTCGAAGCTCAAGCGGTCTCCAAATCCAAGCATAAGCCGTGCATAGTAGAAAGGTTCCCCTTGTTCGCATCCGCCCATCCCAAGTGCAAATCCAGTGTCCGTTCTGTGAAAAAGAATACTTCTTCTTTTTTTCTATGGAAAGGCGTCCAGGTCAGTCGGCTTGGAGGATCTCAAGAGTGCTATCCAGCTCTCAAGCATCGGAATCGTACTCCGAAAGATCAAGCTCAAGTATCAAAGACCGGCGTCCCGTGGCTACAGAAGCTGTCGAGTTCTTGTAAGAAACATACCGTGCCGACTCCTGGTTAAGATGTTAGCATAAACGCGTTGCGTGACTCAGAAGCTGGTTGTCCAACCTGTAAGCAACAGAAGGCGACGGCGATCCCCCTTCAGAATCCGCCCTCGGTTCCCGCTTGATACGGTGTGCCGGGGAACTGGCGTGTGAGGCAGCTGCCCCACTCTTCAAGATACCAGCCAGCCATGTTTCTTCCTGCTTGACGCTGACCTTTGGCGTGCTGGCGCGCGAAGTGGCGGCACGTGAGGTTGTGGCGGAGGAGTTGGAACACCTTCTGCTGAAGCGTCCTGGGAACAGACGAGGAAAGGCCTCTTCGCAGTCGCAGGGGAGAAGTTCGGCGACGTACTTCACACTGGTGGAAAGACGGGTGCGGCCGCTTTGGCGGCGACGTACAGCTCGAAGAAGCAGTCGTTGGGCGCCGCGAAGGTCATCTTCAGTCTCGGATGAGATTTTTTCCAGGTAGTGAAGGAGGCGGGGACTCCATTGTTCTGTGTTGTGTTCGAGAGGAGCGTCCTTGTGGCATTTCTGCGGCTTAGAGCTATGTCCAGTAGGGACTCGGGGGCAGATGGCCGCTGGAATGCACTCGTTGAGCGGTCTGCCCCAGTTCATCTCGATCACGTCAATCTTGTTGAGCTTGCGGTTTTGTTTTTTCTTCGAGAGGTCCTCAAACTTGGTCGGAAATGGACTCCGGGACGACATGATCTGTCAGTTGTCAGCCAAGGGCTTTGTTAGAGGGTTTGATGACAATACGAACGAATGCCCCTCTTAGATGTTGCTGAAACTTGACAAGCCTTCGAAAAATGTGACTGGTTCAAAGCCTTGCAGAGGCTGTGTTGAAGGATGAATGAAGGAGGGAGGTGGTGGACGTGAAGAACTTTATAGACCTTACGTGAAAGACGTCCGACGAATGTATGAACTAGGATCAGAGCGCAGGCTGGCGATGCCAGAGTATATAGCCGGAGATTGATCACATGCGTAGCCACCGATCAGCAAACGAAGATAGTTCTCCTAGTCCAGGTTCGAGTTTCTTGACGCCACATCCTGAAGCCAAAGCTTTCCTAGAACTCAAATCGCCAGAAGATACTCTTGTCCTAGAACAGCCATTTTCACGTATGCAAGAATCACCGCCTCCCTATCCAATCCATCCAACCCACCCTAAACATCCCACCTAACAAACTCATGCCCCGGCGGCTCCTCCGGCATAACCCCCCCAAAGAACTCCCCCTTCCCCCTAACAAAATTATACGCCTTCGCGAACCCCTCCCCCCAGCGCTGCGGATCCGGCGCCGCATCCAGATTCGCTGGCGGCATCCCCTCCGGGAACCAAATACGCTCCCACTCGCCATTCTCCGGGCGCTGGTAGTGCGGCACAGGCGCCTTATCCGCGCCCTCAGTAGCCGGGAGGGGGATGTATTGCACCGGGCGGCCCTTCCAGGTCGTGAGGCGGTTGTTGCGGTCGTGGGTTGCGTAGGTTGAGAGCGGGGGTTGGGGGAGTGGGGCGCTGGGGAGGTCGTCGAGAGACTTGGCGGTGCCGTTTGTGGTGGCGGCACCGTTTGTTTGGGGACTGGGGAGCGGTTGCGAGGAAGGTGCGGTGGGTGGGAGTACAGATGCGGCGCTGACGGGGTTTACTGACGTCGGGAGTGGGGGCTGGCCGAAGCCTCCGGAAGACAGGATACCGTTTGTCGCGGTGCTGATCGAGTTGACGGCGCCTGCTAGCGCTTGGTTCGAAGGCTGGTTCGAAGGCTGTCCGAAACTACTTGGTGCTGGTGCCGGGCCTCGAGCGCTGCTGAAGGGATTCGGAGGCGCGGGTCCTGAAGGCTGCCCAAACCCACCTGTGGATATTGAGCTGGGCGCCGCGCCAAACGGGTTTGGGGGTGCAGTGCCCAAAGGCTGCCCAAACCCACCGGTGGACGTTGAGTTGAGTGCTGCACCAAATGGAGCTGACGGCGCAGACCCGGAAGGTTGCCCGAACCCCCCCGCGGACATAGGGGTGAATGATGTGCTCGTTCCTGTATCCATCGGACTTGGCTGCGGTTGACCGAATGCATTGGTGTGTTGGACATTCTGATTCGATTGCCCAAACCCTCCAGAAGGAGCCGTACCAAATGGCACGGTAGGTGCGCCGCCGAATGCGTTCGAGGATGGCTGGCCGAATGAAGATGGCTGAGCGGGTAGGGTTGGTTTACCAAATGAAGGTGCGGACGGTTGCCCGAATGCTGGTACAGACGGTTGCCCAAATGCAGAGGCTGTAGGTTGACCAAAGGCAGCAGCAGATGGCTGTCCAAAGGCAGGAGCGGATGGTTGCCCAAGCGATGGCCTGCCAAAAGCAGTCTGCGAGCCTGGTTGCGAGGGTCGGCCAAAGGCTCCTCCCGATGAAGTTGACGGACGGTTATGCAGAAGTGCACCTTGGTTCGGACTTTGTTGGCTCGAACTCATGGACTGCTTGACGATGTCAAGTCGGTTTGGATGCTCTGTTTCGCCCCGAATGACATAGTCGAGCGCGCCGTCCAGATCGTGGAGCACCTTTTGGTGCATTTGACGGGCTTGATTGACGAGGTTGTTCTCATGTTGTTGCTGCAATATCTTAGCAGGCATCCACGAGATGTATAGAATGAGTCAGTCTTACTGCTTCTTGCACGTTGCCGTTGGCCATACCGAGATAGTACAGCGTACGCATCTCCTCAGGACTCATTTCGACGCCACTGCCAAACAGACCCCTCGGAGGGTTTCTGCCAGGCCCGTACTCCGAGAGAATCCATGTCGGGAGGTCGTCCCTCAGGTCGGCTTCTATGACTTCGGCATTCAGGTGGTAACTGCGTGCGTACCCCGTCAACACATCCGCCACCCCTCCTAAGCAGGCTGCTCGACTTACGGTAGTTCGCGGTTGCGCGAGTTATAGTTCCGCCCTAGGGGAAGGCTTCAGCACTGATGATCTGGCGGGTAGTGTACAGGAAGAGGCCGGGATGCGGTAAGAGTAACAGTGAGGGTGGCATAGCCTATAACAACGGCCTACGCTAGCAACTACTCACCTCCTTGTTGGCCTCTCGGACCGCCTGGCGGATTGCCCGAACCGGCCTGGAAGGCGCCATATCTGTTCTGGTTTTGACCTTGATTCTGATATCGAGGTGGGTCTTGGCTCTGGTTCCGGCCTTGATACTGGGGCCTGGGTTGATTCTGGTACTGATTGTAGTTCTGTGACTGCTTCGCGCCAGGATGGTCGAATCTGCATCTATCTGGGAACAGTGGTCAGAACGACATCAACAATCGAGGTACTGCCCTTGCCTCCGAATCTGCATTCACCCTGCAGATAGAACTTGCATACGTTCTGGGGCATTGTTGGCCTTGCTGGCGAGCACTAAAGTTCAACAAAAGAACGGTCTCGTCTCCAGCATCGTGTCAAGCAAATCGTCCTTGACGCGTGCAGAACTTCGAGGACGCGTGAGATATACGTGATGCTCTGAAGCTGTGCCCGTGTGAAGTCTACCTAGGTAGGTACCCACTAACGAGCCAACGGGATCGGTATTTGGCGATGGGGGAGGGTTGAAACTGCCCAGGTGGATGTTTACCCACGGGGCAGACACAGAGATCTCGACTTGCCAGACGGCGTGGGCCGAGATCAGGTTTGTCTGCTGGAGCTACGGATGCTGTGTTTGTGCGTGGAGCGTTCAGACAAAGAAGCAAAGAAGCGCCGTGGGAGTGCGTGCAGAGCTACCTAGGTATAAGGCTGTAAGGCATCAAAGCCGTTTTCGTGCAATAGCGATGTGGCGCACAACTCTTCAGGAACGCGCACTCCAAGCAGAGCCTCACCCCCACGAAAGAAGGTCGCTATTGCACTTGGTAGACTATCCAATCGACTATGAAGCGCGCCGTCCTTTTCGCTCATCGGACTGACCTCCTTAACCGCCTCTGCCGGCCTTAGGCCAACTTTGATATCCCTTCGCCGTCCGCCTGTGACTTTCGCGAAAACGCCAGCGGCCCGCCGTCTTCGTTGCCGGCAGCTTGTCAAGGGATGCTGCAGCTGCCGTGACCCAATCTATGCACCCCTTCTCCATCCTCACCCTAGGCATCTTCGTAGCTGGCTACATTACCGCCCGCTGGGACCTTGTTACGCGCCTCTATGAACTGGCCATATTCGCTTGGGATCACGGCGTCGTCGTGAGTTTGCTTGCCCGCCATTCCCCAACTGCGCCGGTATCACAGAGGGCTAACACCACGATCTGTGTCCAGACACGAGCGGCGAAAGGCTTTGCGATCCTATCCATCTTCTTTTTCCTCTTCATCCTGCCCATCGAGCGCATTGCGGCACGGGAGATCGACTTGGTCAGTAGGGCCACGCCCTGAACGACATAGGAGCGAATCACTGATGGCCGCCAACAGCACCCACGTACCGGAGGAGGTGGCATATCGGCACGAGAGCAGCTCAAGCGTCGAGGATCCTTCTAGTCCGCCTCGCTATGTGATATGGTCACGAACAATGGGTTGATGCGCGTCTTTTGGCCGTCCGACACAACATGCGGGCAACAGGCTGGAGTTCTTGTTGGATGGAGAAACTCAGAGCTTGACGTGCTTGTGGTGACAGTGCTTCGGGATGTTGAGGTCAATATACCGCCAAAGTTCCGCGGCCCAATGGCTGACAATGGACAAGGCTCGCAATGTAGAGAACGCCTTACGCTCCGAGGCGCTCTTGCGCAACAGCCCCTATCCCATCCACCAGATACTCGACCGCTGTGAGCAATCAGCTCTGCAGGTTCTCGGTGTCGTCAATCCTCCAACGCCGCCTACGCATTTCAACCCGGCGCATCTCGCAGCATCTAATCATGCAGGGTCTCGCATGCCCCACGTGTACTGCCCAGCAGAGAGCAATACAACGGCCCAAATCATACTGTTCGATAGACCTCAACCATCTCGCATGCAATATCTTTCTCTGACACCCATATCCTTGGCACTGGGAGACAAGCCGGACAAAGCTGGAAGAGGCATACCCCCTCTAGACGGTATAGATGCGGAGGAAGAAAGAGAGCGGAAGAGGAAACAGGCGCTCGTGGAGAAATTGAAGCTGCATACTGTTGTGAAGCATGCCCCGACGCAGAAAGAGTTGGCTCTACCGACAATCATCAACCAGATAAATTGCTCTGCCGAAATCGCTGCGTTGCTGCAACAGAACGTCGGCATTGTTGGCATGCGGCTCAAGCGAACATTAAGCGTCAGTGAGAGAGTTGTTGCGTCTGCTAGTAACTTATGGGATCACATCCTCCTCATTCTCTGGCATGTCATAACCATCTGGATCTATCCGCTTGTGGCCAAGCTCTTTGTCCTCGGACTTATCGCCCATCGTATCGCTGGCGAGCTGCTTCTCCGAATTTTAGAATGGAGATTACTTCCCGAGTCCGCCGCGCTGAAGGATGTCTCAGCTACAGCGCAACAAGTCGACCTGCGGCTACAGCAGTTCTGCTACTGGCCCATTCAATACATGACCTTGCGAAAGAGAAAAGCGAACTGGCAAAGCATCACCAACAGTCATCCGGAGTATATCCGCTTCTACAACAGCTTGTGGCTGGTTGCCAACGATGTGATCATCGGGATCGCCCTGGGTTCCTATATCATCGAGAACTCGGACTTTGTCGCTTCCCAGGTTGACAATGTCTTGAGTGCTTGGTCGATTGAAGGACTCCGGCGGATGATTACTTGGCTCATGGATTGGCCAGCCGGCCTAAAGCTCAACACTGAACTTGCAGCGTTCTTGGGAGATCTCTTCCTGTGGGTTATTGACTACTGGGCAAGTAAGTGGAGGATACCTCGTTTCTCACGAGACGCCCTGCTGACCACAACAGGCTGTATGACTGCGCTAAGACCAGCGTTACCTGGCATCGTGCACTTCATTGGTTTTTCCAGCTTTGCTGGCGCTACGATGCCGATCTCGCTGTTCTCAGACCTTGTCTCTGTGCTGAGCCTGCACATATACTCCTTCTACATCGCGTCTGCCCGCATCTTCAACTGGCAACTGACAATCATCACATCCCTGTTCCATCTCTTTCGGGGCAAGAAACGAAACGTCTTGCGTAACCGGATTGACTCATGCGATTACGACCTGGACCAGTTGCTGCTCGGCACGATACTGTTCACGCTACTCTTCTTCTTGCTGCCCACAGTTTTTGTGTTCTACCTGACATTCGCATCAGCGAGGATGGCGATCATCACGCTGAAGGCGTTCCTAGACACAGCACTCGCTTGTCTGAACCATTTCCCGCTTTTTGCGCTCATGTTGCGTATCAAAGATTCCCAGCGGTTACCAGGTAAGTGCCTTCAGCCACAATGTATCTAGCTATGCTAACGGGCAGTGCGCAGGTGGCATTCGTTTTGATCTCCAGGATACTCGTTGCGGTCATATGGTGGAACAAGCAGATTCCGCTCCCATGTCTTGCATCTCACTCAAGGTAAGCTGCACCCTGCCGGAGTTCCGTCAGAAAAGCTTAAGCGAATGCAATCAGTCCGTTCCTCTACCGCTCGACGCAATGTTCAATGAGTACTTCCAGCTCGGCAATCGCATACGGAAGCACTACATATCTCCCGGCGTTTTCCTCTGCCTTGTGACCGGCCGCTTCGTTCCACCTATCCACCGCAAGAACCTGTACAGTCTGCAATACAGTATGCTGCCTGCGAGGCGGGCGGGCATCGTCGAACTCTGGTCGCGGCTTACTGGCCAGGGTGCTCCAACTGCTAACGGCCATGTCAAGAGACCTTCCAATGGTTATGTCAGAAAGGGGCACCACTAGCGGCGGATATACTGAGAACTAACCTGTAATTTAATGTATACTGGGTTTTTCAACCACATTGGTGGCTTTCCTTCCGCGAACCACTGTAGATCCCAATCCGGGAGTTGTTGATGTTCCTCCAACAGTGCTATTCGAAGCCCTCGGCTTCTTTGTGTCCGGCGAATCCAGTTGCAGACGCTGAGCCGGCCACCGACCCTCTTTATCCGAGTACATTGCCATTGTGCAGCTCACACTTTGTTTGCCAATCAGTCTCTTTGTCTTTCTCACAATCCCATTGTCAACCCTAGACTGTGGAGCGATGCTCTGCGGGAGCAACCTTCACAGACTAGCCACAATGTGGACTCCTTTCATAAAACTACTCTTGGCCCCAGCTAAGGGAAATCAGAACTTACTCGCTTAGCCGCCGTACTGATCTGTCCACCACCCAATCCAAACATCCAGCTTCGACTTCGAGAATCGCATTTCACCTCTGAGCATTTTACCATGAGATTTCAGAACTCGAACACAGCGAACCTCGATATCGACATGGATCTCGGAGGAGATTTTTCCTTGGCCGGTCCGGGGACGACAGGTCAGAGTCAGTACGCGGCGATGACAGGACAGAACGGGAGCATGCAGAACTTCTCTAACCGGGACAGTATCATGAGAGGTCGGGCCGACATAGTCATTGACCCGGCCTTGCTGGCTCTCAGTGGCCCAGGTGAGACTTCCAATCCCCCTGCTAACGCTTTCCAGGTTCATCGAACGGGGGATAATAGCTTCTGGGCTGTTCGGGGAGCGAACAGCAACTTCGGCTTCAATGCTCCAGGACAGGGGTTGAACAACAACGTCGACGCCCTTGTGAGCCCGTTCAATGTTGGGAACTATCAATCTCGCTACCCTGAAGTCCCGGGTAGCAGCTTCAACGCTACTGCGCAGTCAGGAAGCGATGGACCCCATCTAGGTGAGATACCCGATGCCAGTGGCCCCTACTATATTAACCCAACTCAGTTCGCGGCGGGCGATGTCGATCCAAGCCCAGACACCGACATGGAGACCGAGCTCCCCGGCTTCACAAACTTCGCCGCAGGCTATGAGGCAGGCTACCACGACGGTACGGCAGCCGCCCTTGCAGCGCCTCCCGCTGCCAATCCTCCCGCACCAACAAAAACAGGTAAGACCGCCAAACCCTCCACCCGCTCCACCCGCCGCGCAGCGCCCTACCCACTTGCAGCGCGTCCTCCCCCGCGCGCCTCCGCCCTCCCTACCATTCCCGATGCAGTCCAAACCGTCGTCGCGCGCCTCCTGCATCCACCCCGCGACGCAACACGGAAGAACGGCCATCTGGAACGGCGGTGGCTTGCGCTGACCCTTCCCGAGCATTTCCCCAAGTGTGGGGGATATCGGCTGCGCAAGAGGTCGCCGCTGTGGAAATACGGCGCTGAGGCGCTGCGCATACCGCCTAGGTACTGGCAGTGGCTCAATGGTGGGTTGGTTGACTACTCGGTGCAGGAGCTTGATGCCGACACACTTGAGATGGAGGGGTTGGTGCCCGCAGCCGAAGCTGAAGCAGACGACGGAGCCACGGCCGCGGAAGCGGCGCTTGCGGAGGCCTTGGATGTCCAGCCCCCCGCCTCCACAACCCCGCCGAACGACCTCGAAGTCTCCCCCGAGATCCAAGCGGTGATGCAGCGCATGCTCGCCCCGGACGACAAGGCTCTCTGGCACGGGTCCGGCCGCCTCAAGCGCTCGTGGCTCGCGAAGGAGTTCCCGAAGCATTTCCGCAGGAACGATCACCATCTCAAGCCGGGGTCGATGTTAAGGACTTATGGGCCTGCCAGGCTGGGGATTCCGGAGGAGCTGTGGCGGTTTTTGACGGGGGAGGCGGAGGTGTATGTCTGGCCAGGGAGGGAGGTCCTGGGTAGGAGGATTCAGAAGAAGAAGAAGAAGGGGGAGGTGGGTGAGTGCTAGGTTTTGAGGCTGAGGGGGTTGAGTAGAGAGGTAAGTTCTGGCAGTTGCTCCCTGAGCTAGGTATGGCGTTGGCGTTCGGTGGTTCATGGAATTGCGATAACGCCAAAAAAAATTGGGTGGTTCTCTGGAAATGACTTCGATTTCCATATGCACATGTGATTACTCTTGCTTACCTCAAGATGTGTACAAACTCATCGAGCTACTTCAGCATCATCCTTCCCATGCCTGCCTCGAGTTCTTGGACCTCCCGCCGCACATGCGTTGGACACTATCCAACCACGGTGAAGTGCCCGTTCTACCTCCAGACCAAAAAGCGCTGTTATACTCAAGCGCGGAGCACCTTGTAAACATTGCGTCAAAGTGGTAGCCGCAGCGGCGCAAACACAACCAACTACTTGATTATTCAGCTGTGAGGCTGCACAGAACCCGGTGGAGATCCGGTCTGCTCGATGCTCTTCCAAGCGGCTTCAACACGCCATGAGCTTGTCCTTTCCCTGGCAGTATTAGTCTTAAACCCGTATTGGAGCTGCCAGGAGCACTTGGAGTTTACGTCCGTGCGGCATTCGGACTAGCGGTCGGCCCGGAGTTTGTCCGGCCAGAAGGCCGCAGGATATTCATGAGTTTGCAAGAGCGGGGTCATCGCCGCTGAGCAATTTATCAAATATATGATTTAAAACAGCCACGTTTCTTCAGCAACCACGGTGAGATGGCCGAGTTGGTTATGGCGCCAGGTTAAGGTCACACCTTAATACAATACGCAAAATTCCTGGTGGAGAAATCCGCGTGGGTTCAAGTCCCACTCTCATCATCATTCCTTTTGTGCTTGCTTTTGCGGCTCTCTCCCTCTACAAAGCACTCCGCAGCATGTGGGAGCGCTTCCTTATCATCTTCTTTTGCACGAAACTGTTCGACTTCACATCGTGCAGACGAGAAGAGATCGTGTATGTCTGTCGTGATGAGGTTGATAGAGGCGACGAGAAGGCGATACTAGGCCCAAGAGCCATCCTGAAAGATCGTTGTCGCATCTTTACTCTAGCTGATTCAACCCCAGATTCGTGATCAAACTGGCCTCCTAGTATTGTCCATTGCAGAGCAGCTAGACGATCTTACCCGCAAAGTTCGTTGTCGCATCTATGCTTCGGCTTGTCTGGGAACTGATCCACGATCGAAGTGGACTCGTGATCTTGTCAACTGTAGGGCAGCTTGATACTCCCGCCCGGAAACTCCGTTGCCGCATCTATGCTTTAGCTTTTCCAACACTAGATTCTCCATTAAATTGGACTTGCGGCCTTGTCGATCATAAAGTAGCTAGACCGATTCAATGCGATAGAAATCAAAAGATGCTCAGCAGTCTGGCTCTTCAATGCATCGATCATGTAAGGCGTCTTTGACCTGTGGACTGTATGCTTAGGCAATTCACTTTCAAGGCTACGAGCGGCTTTCAATGCGCAGCTGAACAGAATTTCTTGTAACCATAAACTATACAACTCCAACGCGATCCGGGTATCATCCTAACAACGCAACACCACAACACTCTCACCACCCCATCCCTCCACCAACCATCAACCCCACCTCCCCCATCAAGCCGCCCAACCCAACACCCTTGCCCTTCCAGGCGTTCTCCTCCTCCATGCCGCGCCACCATAGTGCGGTTTCCGCATCCACGCCCAACACCCGTCTCCCATAAACCCTCAGCTCCGAACTCTCCCTCATTATTCCATGGATGTTGAAGTGTTTCGGTGCTGCCTTCGATAACCACTCGCGAGTCGCACGACCCGTGGCGTCCCGGCCCCAAGTTGGCGGATGTAGGAGCTTGTGGACAAGGCGGCGGACAGGGGTGGGGACGACCGGGCGCGGGCGCGGAATGCGTGTTGGTTGCGATGGGCGAAAGGTCTGCACAATGCTGCGAACAGAGCGGCATGTAGGTTTGTGGCAGCCCGCGGCGCCGCTGTCGTAGCGAGGTAGTGTGCCGGTTCCGTCCCATTCTTCGTCTGGTTCCTCGATTTTTGGAAAAAGCGCGAGGCCGTGCCGCATCTCCGATTCGAGAGTTGCGAGCTTTTCTGGAGAGATTGAATCGTGGGTAATGCCGTCTAGCCAGTTTGCGAGCCTCCGCTCTGTGTGTCCTTCCTCCACAAAGCCGATGTTGGTGATGATGTCTTCATGGGTTGGATTTAGGACCAGCACTGCGCGTAATGGTGGCGAGGATGGAAATTCGATAAATACGCCTTCATCGGTGATTTGAGGTAAATCGTTCAGTAAGTCGGTCGGATATTGAATAAGCGTAACTTGGCGCAATTTTTGCGTTTTGTGGCGGTATGACCGTTGGTTGAGGACCGCGTGCTTCTTGGCTTGATTCATCGTACTTTACGAGCAGGTGGTGTGATGGAAGTGGAGGAGGACGAGAGGATGACGGAGGTGCCGAGGGAACACTCTGTATTATCAGGATGTCCGGAGTGTTGTGTGGGGTGTGAAAGAAACGCAGACAACGTTGTGTCAATGTTTGGGGTAATGTATGTATGGGTGAAGCGCGACAGACAGTGCAGCCTGGATTATAGTGATGTTGGGAGTATTGTGTGCGATGGTGAAAAGATGAAGAGAGGCAGAGAGCGTGGAATATTGATGTTTTGGTCGCGCACAACCTACCTCCATCTGCCAGTGGTCGTCCAGATATTACTAATTCACCAACCTTGGGTTGCTATCTTCGCTTGCCCGCCAAGCGGCAAGGTTTCCATACCTGAGCTGCGAAAGTGTTGCGGACATATAGCTTGATCATATGATGAGCGGGCTGCTCCCATGGTATAAGATAACTGATAATAATTGCAACATCGTCGTCCTGTGCCACCTCTGTTAAAATTGTAGAAGGACCGACTCAGCTAAGGACAGTATGGTGCGTGTGAAAAGTGATAACGCTGAGTTTAGGTCAGCTCGGTGCCACGCTAACCCTACCAGGCAGAACATAGATCTTCGACCAAATCAGGTCTGTGAACACGGCTCAGGCATTCGGCAGTGAGTGTATGATAGCACAGTCGCGGTTCTTGACACCAAGAGTCTAATTACGATAGTGCTGGACACATAGTGGTATGTTTTGGTACATCGTTCGAGTAGATACACTCATCGCTTCGTTACTTCGTCTTCGGCAAGATCTTCTCGCTCTCAAGATCGTCAAACACCTCCGACAAGGAGTCCCAGGTGTCAATATATCTGCAATACGAGTGTTAGCGATCTCAGACTCATGTCTACCCGCAATGTAAAAGGATTCCCGCAGGGATGGTGGGGCTGTGCCAAGGAAAGCCAGTGGAGTACTCACCCAGTCCACCCAAGCTTCCTCGCTTTGCTCATACTAATCACCAAGTCGTAGTTCCTGCCCAGCACAAACCCCAAGAAGTCCCAAGTGGCCTTTTCGAACGCATCCTTCTCCAGTCCCTCGCGGTCCGCAAGACTCTGCCATGCCTTCTTGACCTCCGGCTTCTGGCTCCACTTCGTGAGGTCAATCCTCTGCTCAACTTTACTCTGCTTGACCTTCCCCACAAGCCCGACCTCCTTCTCCACCTCCGCCAGCGGCGGTCGCTCCGCCAACTCCGCAGTGCTTGCATCGGGCGCGTCCTGCAAGAATTGGTCCTCCTTGACCTTGAGCCCAAAGCGAGCCGCTAACTTCGGCCACAGGTTCTGCCAGCTCTCCGCGTCCCCATTCACAACATTGAACGCTTCGTTGCCAGCGCGTGGCTCCAGGGCCGCCCAGACGCAGAATTGCGCGTGTAGGCGCGAAAAGGTGAAGCAGTCAAATCTGGTGTAGAACGTCTCACTGCCTGGGAAGACCAGCTCCTGTCCCATCTCCTTCGTTACAGCGGCGTAAAGCCCAACGGACGTGCCGAGATTCATGAAGTTGCCCTTCGCAAACCCGATAACATCGTTCGGGTATGTAACGACCCAGTCGATAGGCTTATCCTTGCAGTATGTGTGTAAGACCTCTTGCTGGCGATAGTAGAAGTTAGGGGGCCGGTCTGGCCCGGTGAGCCAGGGGTCTGATTCGACCATCGGGTTCTTGGGCTGCCCGAGATGGACGCCGTATTGTTTTGCGCCGGTAACGAGGATGATGCGCTTGATTTGCTGCGAGGCGCCGGTTTTGTCAAGGGCGGAGAGGAAATTCTCGAGCATGTCGCCTGTGGGAAGCGGGGATTAGCGTGGCTGTTGCATATATGGACGCGCGGCTATGTGACTATGGGTTGTTACCATTAACGTCCCAATTCTCCTGTTCCGTCTCTTTTTGAAGGTATGCGGCGAAGAAGACATAGTCGGCTTTGACATTCTCCAGCTGTTTCGCCATGTCGTCCGCTGACGAGGTGAGGTCTATATGGTTGTGGACAACACTGTCGGGGTAGGCATCCTTCTTGCTGCGGGATAGGGCGTGCACGGTAGGCCATTGCTGCGGATTCTTGCCCAACTCGAGGACGATTTCGCGGCCGAGGATGCCTGTCAGAGAACTGTCAGCTATGGACGTTAGGTAACAGGCGGGGGGTGATGTACCTGTGGCACCGGTAACAATTGCGGAAGGCATTGTGGACGTAGGACTGGATGATACTGCCGCAGGACTGAAGATTGAGAAAGGGCAGCCTCCAGAAGCGGCATGCCTTTATCAGGAAGCTGAGCGGTCTTCAGAGGACTAGTACATATGACGTCGACTATTCGTAACCCCGGAACGACGTCCGAAACCGCCTTGGTGTTGTTCCCCACTCCATCTCGGTGGAGGTGGTTTGGCCTTCCCGAAGTCTTCAAAGTTCTGTCGTCAAGTGGTCGAGATATATCACGCAGTGGTCAGGAGCTGCTCGCAAGGCCGAAGGAAGTGAAGACGCGACGTTTGCTCAGCAGCTGCTGCCTTCGAGGATGGCATGGAACGGCTCGTGGAGGCTGAGGTGGGCAGATCAGTATATCGAAATTGTTTCGGCCCGCCGAAGGACGGCTATGCGCCGCTGTAAGCCTCCAGAGAGGCGTCCTCGTTCCATTTCAGGCCTTGGATATTAGATTCGTATTCTCGGCTGTCATGTTTCGACCACGTGATCCAGCTACAGCCACTACACCTCGGAATAATCTACAACCTGGTACTCTGCCGTGAGATACCTTACATATAGTTCCCCGCGTTTCGATTGCCTTTTTGGTACACATTCATGTATCCAGTAAATCCCAGCACGCGGCTCCGTAAAAGCATATTCACGCCGCCCATACCCCCCCGTTCTCCGTCTGCTCGAGTCCACTAGGCCTTCCTTCCTGCCAGACGTTTCCCCTACTCAAAATCAGTCTTCGAGACGACGGGCGATATGGAGGAAAGGCCGCCGAAGCGACATAAGGTTGCCAAAGCGTGCGACGAGTGCCGTATCAAGAAGGTCAAATGCGACGGCACACAGCCTGGTAAATCATCAATTTACCATCCCCTCTGCGCTTCCTTCAATGGGAAGAAGCGCTACATATCACGTGGACGCTGGCTTAACCATTGCGTTGGATGACAGTATGTGAGCCTTGCGCCCTCAGAGGTGGGCTATCAGCGAAGTGCACCTGGGGCGTGAGGAGGACAAGAGGGTCGGCAATCTCCCAAAGAGACATTTCGTATCTGGAAGCCCGGATCGAACGGTTGGAGAGCGAGAGACAGAGTCAATCCGCTGCAACCGCGCACTCCCAGAGCTCCGTCAGACGTGCTTCTTCTGCAGCAACTCCTCAGCCGACTGGAGACTCGCTGACGTCGAGAGATCGAATCGTCCCAGAACCTAGCGCCAGTGCTATGATGGAGATCCTAGGAGACGAACCTCAAAATCAAGAGTTCTTCGGCGTCTCGAGTGCTGCAAGTTTCATGAATCAACTGAAAAAGGCTGTCGATAGGCAGGTCGAATATCCACAGGCAACGCGCTCATTGAATTCGGTTACGACTCAAGTCCAAGTGCCGATGCTCCTGTCTCAACGGAGATCGATAAATCGGCCAATAGATTATGTTCTGCCCCCGCGAGAGGAGGCGGACGAACTACTTGCGACGTATTGGCGGGTTGTTCATCCGTTGTATCCCTTCCTTGACGAAGCTTCTATGAGTTCCGCGTATCATAATGTGTGGAGCGAAGAACGTCAGAGTTGTGGTGAGCCTACGTTCTTGTGCTTACTGAACCTTATATTCGCTTTGTCTTGCACGATAGTGGACTCTGTAAATGCCGAAAAGCGATCAGCATCTGCAGACATCTTCTTCGGCCGAGCGAGGGACCTGCTCAGTTTTGATTTGCTCCGTCATCCGTCACTCCTTACTGTCCAGTGTTTCCTCGTACTTGGTCAATACCTTCAAAGCACCAACGATCCTCAACAGTGCTGGATTCAGGTCGGCCTTGCAATCCGAGTAGCCCAAAGCCTTGGCCTGCATCTACCTACCACAAGTTCTCAAGCGGAGACGGGTCAGCATAGAGAGCTCCTCCGCCTTGTCTGGCATGGCTGTGTCCTCATGGACAGGGCTCTCTCGATGACATTCGGTAGACCGGCGATGATTACTTCACAAGCGGCTGCCACTGTACCCAGACCTGTAACTCCCAATGAGCTTCCCGAACAACCTGACCCACTTGGGCGGATCTCAGCTGGGAGCGGGCCTCTTTCGGACTTGAATTTCTTCATCCAGACTCTTCAGCTTTACGAAATCTTGAACGAGATATTACTCGACCTGTATACTCCCGCTTCATCAGGACCGTCAGAAGACGCCTATGAATTCTACTTCGGCACGATTAGTGTGGGGAAAGGCAACTCGATCTTTGAGCTGGAGAGGAAGCTACTGCGGTGGAACCAGGACCTACCGATACATCTACGATACGAACCTGACAGCAACAAGCACGAAATACACATCCGACAAGCAAATATATTGCGATTGCGATATCTGCACATCCGGATGCTACTCTTCAGGCCTACCTTGTCGCTGTTTTGCACGCATAACCAGGACGATCCCATGGCACGAGAGGACTCTATGCCTCGGCGACTTGCGCTCCAGTGCTCGATCATGTGTATCAAGGCCGCGCTGGAGGTGGTCAACCTCGTACGGTCAAACATGTCGTCCACGTTGGTATACTACAATCGTCTCCCTGCTTGGTGGTATTGCATCTTTTACGTCTACACGGCGGCGACTGTTCTGGTCGCCGCTCGACTTCGTCCGGAAATCGCTGCTGACATAGCCGATGCGGAACTTGTCAGCCATCTGCAGACAGCAATTGGCCTCTTGGAACATTTCAAAATCTTCAGCCAGAACGCCCAAAGATGTGCTACTGCACTGACGATCTTGTCCGAAAAGGTCGAACGACAGAGGGCATCCCAGACAACTGCACGTGCGGACGCAGCAATGGAGTCACATTCTTTGGGGACGATTCCCTTGGAGGACATCAACACTTCAGCACCAGATCACAATGTTGTAGCCATGGGGTTTACTCAATCATCTGCCCCGGAGGTCGATCTCAATGCGGTCCCACTCCTTGGCCTGGGATCGCATCATCATCCCGTAGCAGACATGTTCGACGATGTGGACTTCAGTTTCGATATCAGCGATATGTCATGGCTTAACAGCGTGCCTTCTCATCTCTACGATACCTAGCCAATGGCTCTGGTGTGCTCAAATCCCATGTTTCGAGGCATTTTTGTACCGTAAGATAGGTCCCTGGTGCAAGATAGTATGCTTTCGACGCGAATTTCCATGTAAAGCTAATTGTGGTTATAAGCCGTCGCATGGGATGTGCGCCTATTGCCGAGGCGACAAAGAGAGATTATGGCACCTAATGTGATGTGCAAAATTTCATTCCGCGGGAAGAAGCCGCCCAAAGAACCTGGAAGTACACATCGCTTGTTAGACTCTAATTCAAACGCAAAAACGCCACCGGCCATGGTAATACAAGTGGAAAGAAGAGATCTCCTCAGCTGTCGCTACTTCCCAGCAACCCGTCTAACGCACTTCGGGTGTGCTCGAACACGTCGTGCCCGTACAACCAGGGCTGAAATTCTTTCGACGACAAGGAATTTGGGTTCACTTTTGCAAGATCGTCCGCGCCTGAGTCCAGTTCCGCTTCTTTTCCCATCAGCTTGAAAGCCTTATCCCTCGCCACTTGCTTGGGACCATCGGGTAGGTGCCACACGGCACTCGTATCTCTTGAGCCCTGCTGGATTCTTTCTGCGCGAGGCTTCCTGATTGCCTCATATGCTTGCATTGTCTTCGGGATATCTTCTACTCCTTTAGCACGCTCTAGGCACTCCGCCAAACAAGCTCCGTCTTCGATCGCTTGAGCGGCCCCTTGTGCTAGGAAAGGCGTCATTGCGTGCGCTGCATCACCAAGGAGGGCCACTCTGCCACACTGGCTCAACCATGTGGGCAAGGACGGCAGATCCGCCACCTTCCAATTCAGACAGCTCTCGACTTTCGATAGTACTCGTCTGATTACGGGATCAAATTCCTTGTAGCATTCATTCATTTCGTCCAGGTTCCCCGGCTCGTTCCACATCCCCGCCTGCGCATTATCGCCTGCTGGATGGCTCAGCACGAGATTGTACATCGCGCCGTTCCTGATTGGGTACGCCATTACGTGACGTTGGTGTCCAATCCAGCAGTTCGCGTTGATGTCCGTCATGAGGTGGGAGATTACGGGATCGGCAGACATGACTTCGACCGGAACGGTGGCACGATAAGAATTGTTTGCCGAAGCGTTCGCCACGATGAGGTTAGCCGGAGCCGGCAGGATAGAAGAGCGAACTCTGGAGCGGATGCCGTCAGCGCCGATGATGAGATCGGCCTCGAGGCGGCTGCCGTCTTTGAGGGTAACAGATGGACAAGGACCTGAATCATCGACGGTCGAGATGGCCCTACGCAAGTGAACGGTAGCGCCGGCAGCAAGAGCGGCATCGTAAAGAAGCCGTTGGTAGTCCGCACGGTGGATGAGCCAATAGGGGAAGCCATAGCGCTCGGTCAGGTGAGGGTGCAAGGGAGTGGCACCGAGGAGTTCGCCTGTGCTGTAGCGGCGGAACGAGAATTTCTGCGGCCAGACGACTTTTTCAAGAAACTTGGGCGTAAGTCCGTAACGATCGAGAACTCTAGAGCTGTTTGGGGGAATCTGGATACCAGCGCCGACCTGAATTTCGAGTCAATACTACAGACGTTCTGTGGCAGGGGGACAACCTACTTCGGACAGCTTAGAGGCGGCTTCTAGAACAGTTACTTTATGACCTTTACGGGCGAGTGCTATTGCTGCACCAAGGCCACCCAGTCCGGCGCCGCATATTATGACCTCAAAAGCCGGGTTCTGATGTGAAGAGCCGTTGGTAATTCTCTGTGGCATTGTTACGGGGTAGTCAACGGAGGAGTTCTAAAGGGAGTTGGGCAAGTTCTAGCTTCCAGAAAGATGTGCTTTCAGCTATGGTATGCGGTTTTCGGACACAGACTTCATAGTGGCTACATGTTTATATATTGTATGATATCAATGACGAGAATGCCCTGCTCGGCTGTGGTAAAGGGTGTTTGGGAGACCGCTGTCCTCCGCGATTCGCAAACGCGGGGTCATTCCGGGGCTGGAGACAATGATCGCTTGTCTCCGGCGGAAGCATTTGTTCCGCGCCTGGAAAGCCTCCCCGTCAAGTGTCTCCGGACAGGGGTTACTCGTATCTCCACAGTATATTGCAACCATACAAGTCTTTGCATGCTGGTGTCCTCCCAGCTATGCCGTGGCATTTCAAATCAATCCACCAAGCGGGGGACGGGGCCAGCCCAAGTCTGAAATGGATACTCCGACAGGATACTGTACTCAAGATCGTGCCGGATGTTCCAAAGACATCTATCACACGTAACCATACTCCACACCATCGCATGGATGCTTCGCTGCCCCAGCCTCCTACAGCACTCAACCCTAATTGCATTCGGGGACTTTCTTCCGGGAGTATTTGGGGAAGCCCGGAGCGAGCGAATCTGAAGACATAAGGGAGAACAACCCCATGGGGTTAAACACGAATATAGCATCCCTTCGTTCTCGCCGCTTGCAGCCTCTCCACCGACCTTCAGATCATCATGACCTTCACCAATATGCAAGACATGGAGAAGAACGACTCCTCCCATTCCCGGATCGAGGATATCAGAGTGAAGTTCTCTGAAGACCATGGCATTCCGTCCACCAACCTCGAGGCCGAAGCCAGCCTTCGAAAGAAGTTCGATAAGCGGGTCCTACCTTTAGCAATTCTTATCTATCTTATGGCCTTTATCGACCGGACCAATATGGGCAACGCCAGAATTCTTGGAATGCAGGAAGATCTTAAACTTGTTGGGTACCGTTTCAATATTGCGTTAACCGCATTCTTCGTGACCTATGTGCTCTTTGAAATGTAAGGCCTCTCCTCACAGACCTATCAACATACAACTGACAGTCAGATGATAGCCCGGCGAACATACTGTGCAAGAAATTCGGACCCCGTTATTGGCTCAGCTTTCTAACCTTCGGGTTTGGTCTGATTACCATGTGCATTGCCTTTACGCAGAGTTTCCAGGCTCTCATTGTAACCAGAGTCTTACTGGGGGTCTTCGAAGCTGGCATCCTGCCTGGTATTATCTTTACCTTCAGCAAATTCTACCGACGTTACGAAATCACCTTCCGCGTTGGAGTCATGGCATCATTCGCGTCACTTAGCGGATCCTTTGGTGGTCTCCTAGCCACCGGGCTATCCAAAATACCGAGCAGCAGTCACCTGGACAGTTGGAGATACATCTTCCTCTTCGAGGGCATAATAACAATGGCCGTTGGTGCTCTGGTCCTCGCGCTGATGCCGAACGACCCTTCTTCGGCCAGCTTCTTGACCACAGAAGAGAGGATCATCGGTGCCGATCGTATTGCAGCTGAAGCAATGACGAAGGGCTATGAGCATATGACCCTCCGTGTTTTCAAACGGGCGCTTATAAACCTGAATACTCAACTCATCGCGCTCGGGATTTGTTGCTCACTTCTTGCCATGAACTCTGTTGCTCTCTTCATGGTAAGTGTCAATCCAAATCGCTCCCGAATCAGTCTCTATGTTCCTCATTGACTAACTCTGGCGGTGTATTAGCCGACTCTACTCAGGGGAATGGGTTACTCATCAATTCGCTCTCAGCTCCTCACGGTCCCACCTTACGCCATCGGTACAATCGTCTGTATCGTCGCCGCCTATATATCTGATCGGCTTCGCACCCGAGGGCCGGTTCTCCTTGTGATTGCGCCATGCATTGTTGTTGGGTTCGTTCTCCTCTCCGCGGTGCAAACCGTGGGCGTCAAATACTTCGCCATCTGTCTGGCTACGCTGGGGGCATTCACCAGCAGCCCGATTCTGTTGGCTTGGAGTGTGGACAACGCCGCTGGCCCGGCTGTCCGTGCCATAGTCTCGGCGTATTGCGTGGGCTTGGGAAGCGTGGGCGCTATTGTCTCGACCTGGACTTATCTCCCGAAAGATGCACCCAGATATCTGCAGGGACATCTGGTCAATTTGGGGTTCGGCTGTATGCTATTCGCCCTAGTCACGATTCTAACCTTCTACCTGAGGTGGGAGAATCGCCAAAGGGCAAACGGGAGGAGGGACTGGAGGTTGGAAAACGCAAGTGAGGAAGAAGTGAATCAATTGGGTCACTCGCATCCAGCCTTCAGGTATACACCTTGAGATGGATTTTTGTTGGAGTAGGTCTTGCTGAAGAAGATTCGGCTATCAAGAGCTTGACTCTTTACCAAAAGGTTCACTGTGTGTATATGCACGTGATCTGTAGACGGAAATAGACTTAATACAAGACTCATTGTCAATCTGCTCAATCTTCGCTTTGCTTCACCATCTAATACGGTCGTGATCTATAAGAAGCTTCATGTCTCGTACTCCAACATGCTGCTGTTCAACAGACTGCAATGGCTACGGCTGAGGGGCGGCGGATAAACCGCGAAGACCAGAACTAGCATAAGCAAGGCTCGGATTTTCAAATCCGATGAGAGTAAGCGACCCTTGGATGAAAGCCAGAACAGTCAAATTAAAGAAAATACTGTATGTCAGAGTAGCGTCTCAGTCACAACAATTGAGGGATTCTTTTAACCTACCTGGAGTACGGAAACGCGGCTCTGTACGCAGGGATCGGTGGCCGTCACTTATCCGCGGAGCTCGATAACTTGCGAAAAGCCCCGATATTCTTGGTGCTTTAGTGGAGCATTGCAGAGCGGAAGCACCTGGTGAGGCTTGGAGACTCTCAGACTCGTAGCACGTCTCTACTTTTTTTTGAAGTTTCAAGCGTCTAGGTATTTTTGAAGGCTTCGGCAAGTAACATATCTCATTCGGAAGTACCTATAGAGCCCTTCTACGCAAACAGTCATGATTACGAACCGAGCGCGGATAGCTACACAACCATCACTGTTCCCGACTCAATCCCAACGCCTCAACCATTGGCCGATCGTTGATAGCAAACAAGTACGCCTGACCCGCTTCGTGAGAACAAGTATGGGAGACTTGAGCCCAGGCCGGTACGGTGAACGTGTCCCGCGGGTTCCAGTTCACCACCTGCTCCGTCTTTCCATCTGGTAGCAAGATAGTCGAATACCCTTTGCCTTCATACACATGATATACAAATGACGTCGTCTCCCTCTTCTTCTTCGTCACTGTTCCCGCGGCAATTCTCTCCGCTTGAGCACTCAGCGTCTTGGACAAGTGGCTGCCATCCTCGTGGCGATAGTGGTAGATAGCATAGTCTCCCTCAACAGAGTCTAGTTGCCTCTGGACATTGGCCCAAGGAAACCGCAATTTGCTCTCTTTGACTGGTGTGCTCGGATATCTCTTTTCCGCATACGGCTCCGCAAAGTTGACGGGCAAGTACCGGTAAAGCGGGAGGTCGAGCCCATCAAGCCAGATCATGGGCTTCCCTTCCTTGTTCTCGTTCCCGTGGTCGTGCCAGTGCCAGCTGGGCGTCAAAATCACATCGCCTTTCTCCATGGTGATCTTCTCACCCTCAACGGCCGTAAAGCCATCGGTGCCTTCGATGATGAAGCGCAGGGCAAAGGCCACATGCCGGTGCGCGGGCGCGGTTTCTTCAGGGAGGATAAGCTGGAGCCCGGCGTAGATGGAATCGGTTGTATAAGGGGCAGTCAAGGATGGGTTGACCAACATCAGCACCCGGCGTTCAGCTTCTTCGGCGCCGATGATGTCGCCGGCTGAGAGGAGGAGAGGTTTGACCTCGTCGTACTTCCAAGAGGCAATGGAAGCGGAAGGATTTGGGTGGGGTGGGACCATTTTGTCTGTAGCAGGTTTGTGAGCCTCGGCATGGAGTTTAGGGGATTACTGAAAACGGACCTAGCTGTGTCCACAAAGCGGCAACATTCTGTTGTGGAAGGCTTGAGTAGAAAGACTCTACCGCATTGTTATTGTTTGAGTCAGACGTCGTAGCGGTCTCCGTCATCGTGGACATAATTGAACGTAATGAATATCTTGCTCGGAGAGGTCAATGATCAAGTAGCAAGCGCGTTGTCTTTTACATAAAGTGGAGAAATTCAAACAAGCACAGGCGGGTCTGATAACTGGAAGGCCTGAAGTTAAAAGCAATGTATATATAGGACGACTCGGAAGATGTTCTGAGTCGCCGCCAGGCTCGGCTCCCGGAGGGAGTAGTTCTGTACCAACTCATTGCTAGCACTGTATAGACCTAAATTGCGGGGTGAAGAAAGGAGGGATCCAGCATGCGGGACATTTGCCGGAGACTTTGTTCCGGAAGGTAATAAGTAACAATTTGCTTCCGGTTCCGGTTCCGAGTTCGCCCCAGCCGGCCACATCCTCCCCAACCGCCAACTCTCCCGAACTCTTGCCGTTCATGCAGAGTTACCGGATCTGGGAGCGGCGCTGTCAATGCCCAGGCATGCTATCGAACGATCTTGCCCCAGGAATAGGATTCAAGAAGCTTGGACGCAATGAGGCAAAAAACTCGGCTTGAGGTTTGAAATGTGTGGCTCTGTTCGCTTTCCATGAGTAGAACTTTCTTGCAGCTGACTCCTGAGCACTCACCCTTCGTCAACCAGCGAGGTTCTTACAATCATCTTCTCGCCGCCGTGATTCATAGGGATGGTCCACATGGTACATCCGCACTGTGAACAGAAGATTTTGTGCTTGTCGTGTCCGCTTAGAGTCTTCGTGATAATCCATGTCGCTTGCTTGTTATCCGGGTCCCGGATGGTGACCTGGGACCGGTCATACTTTGCGCACTGAACAGGATTAGTTGCGAGCTTCATAGTTTGTGCAGGACTCGTACAATCTGATATGCGCCTCCTGCATTCTTCGAGCAGTCCTTGCAGTAGCAAGCAAACACCTTCTCCGGCAGCCCGGTAAGATCAAAAGTAATCGATGTGCAGAGGCATGATCCATGGAAAGTTTCTGAAGCCATTGGTGCCGTAAGTTTCTTTTGCACAAGTCTAGGGGAATGCGCTGGCTGGAAAAAACTTGGGAGAGTCTTTAAGAGATAGACAATTGCTTTTATGCCTCTTCTTCCAATTTGCTCCGAGGCGGCGGAAGCAATCTGGAACATAACCACAGCACTAATCTCACTCACGGTCCGGCAAGAAGGGTCAAAGGAACTTCAAGTGTACTCAGATGCTAGGGGACAGTCTTTCCACGCTCGTATTACGAGATCATCGAGACATCAAGGCGGTGGGCGAACTTCTGGAATAGATATCTAGCGCAGAAAAACTCGTAACCAACATCTATCTACTTTTCGAAAGTCATGCGGTTCCACGTGCTCCCGAGGTGCTCGATCTTGACCACCACAACGTCCCCATCTTTCAGATACTTCGGCTCCGGCTTCATCCCCATAGCCACTCCAGCCGGCGTACCAGTCATAATGACTGTGCCTTTCTCCAACGTCGTTCCCTGACTAACAAAGCTGATGATCTCTCGAACGCCAAAAAGCAGATCGCTGGTGTTGGACGATTGCCTTATTTCGCCGTTCACAAACGTCTGCAAATCCAGGTCGTCCGCTGCACCAACAACCTTTGGTGATACAAGCATTGGCCCCAGAGGCGCATACTTGTCAAAGCCCTTGCTAAAGCACCACTGAGGAACACCGCCGGCAAATGCAGGATCCCGCTGCCATTTTCTTGCCGAAACGTCGTTCGAAGAGACATATCCCGCAATGTAGTCGAGTGCGTCTTCCTTGGAGATGTTCTTTCCTGTTTTGCCAATGACAATGGATAGTTCGCCCTCGTAGTCACACTGATCGTCCTGAGCTAGTTTCGGGATGGGAATATCTTCGTTGTAACTGGCCACGCAGGCAGATGGTTTGATGAAGATCGAAGGGTAAGGTGGTGGATTCCGCCCGCCTTCCTTAACTATGTAAAATTAGCTTGGGTTCAGGAACATTAAGGGGGAATCACTGACTGTGTTTCATGTAATTGAGGCCGACGCATTTGATGATTGGTACATCGCTTGGTTTGAGGATTCCGTGGAGCGATTTGACTTTCTTGCGCGCTCCCCTTTCGGGCGAGAGATCGAACGGAGAAGAACCGGAGAGTTCGTAGGCGTATAGAAGACCGTCCTCCGGTGCGGATAACTCTTCACTTGTCTGGATATCAGGCTCTCCGAAGCAGATTTTGCCATCTTCGTCCTCGAATCTGATTAAACGGGACCAAGACATGATGGATCTATGAGTGCTTGGAACGCGCGTTTGGGAGTGGGGCTGGTTGGCGAACTGGGAAAGAGGTGAGAGTGTTCTGCTTTGATATCGATTGTGATGGTCTCCGTAGTATTTATACACTGCAGCAGTTTCTCTATCCTACATTGCACGGATGAGGTCCTAAGCGCTAGGATCATACGGGCGCAGAAACTGTTGATGCTCGGAAGCAATCCGGAAGCAAAGGGTGATCCTTATCTCGATGCTCTGGCCCGCGGGAGTCTCCGGAGTTCCCTCTCACCTGAGTGACAGAAATTGCCGGACTCCGAAGAAGAGATGGGTCTTTAGTTAGCTTAGGAAGGTCATGAATAGGCGTAATCATTCACGATATGCTGCCACATAAACACGTGCAAGCTATACCTGGAGGTAAGATGGCTAGAGTAAAGATATTTAGAAACGTGGTGAATCTAATAGATTTCGGTGATTTAGGAGTGAGTTGTAAGTCCGCACGCGAGTGATAGAAATCGCCTAGACTCGCCAATCGCCAGACTTCCAATTCACTTCTAAATCCCTAAAATCTATTAAACTCACCACGTTTCTAAAGACCTTTGCCCTAGCCGTTCCACCTCTAGTTGTAGCTTGAACACTCATCATGAGATAGTATACTATGAGGAGTTGCTTCTATTCGTGACCTTTCCTCAGCTGAAGACCTATCTGTTTTGGAGTCCAGCGATTTTTGTCACTCGCATGGTCCGGTGGTTTATGAGTCCGGCGATTTCTGTCATTCACGTGCCTCTTAACCTACTTGTTGGGCTTTTGCGGTTCCGATTTCAAAAGTATCACGGAACGAAGCACATCCCGAATAGGTTTCGTCAAAGGCTGCATGTTCGAGGCATTGCAAAAAAAGATTTGTCTTGTGAGCTCATGAACGCACAAAAAAGATGATGAGAGTGGGACTTGAACCCACGCGGATTGCTCCACCAGGAATTCAGTATTGTATTAAGGTGTGACCTTAACCTGGCGCCATAACCAACTCGGCCATCTCACCGTGGTTGGAATTTTCAATCTCGGGTTTACAAAATTCAAGAATTCATTGACTTTGAGATGATCGGACTCGGTTAATCTCCGGGCCGAGCCACTTCGCAACACCAACTTCAAAAGCGACCGCATTCACGAAGAGAACAGTTCGAACATCATTGATACAGCTTATCAATGCGCAACACGACAAAATACTCTTCTACGCATCCAGAACCGCCGGCGAACGAGCGTGGTGAAGTATCTCAGGCTGTTCACTAGCCATCTTGATCGAGAGAACTGCGTCCCTCCTCGGGTGCCTGCCGGTAATTTGCGGAGACATCATCGATGGTTGCTTTGAACAATTCTACAGTCACGAAGAAGGCTGCGGAGGTATAGACAGCGAGAATTGCTTCCCAACTATCTTGCGAGCTTGTTGTTCCATACATTGAAGCCGGCACGCAAGCAAAACTAAATTACAAGCAGTATCTCCTGATACGGAGAGGATGGTGGAACACAAGGCACTCGTCTTACCTTTCTGTCGTATGAAGCTTCTGACCTCCGCAAGTTGTAGACCAGTCTTCTCATCGGAGCGTGCGCCTCCTGAGACTGTGGGGAGCCTGCCATATCCGTAACAGCCTGGGACGACTCACGGTAGGCAGCGCACGGGATCAATTCTTATAAAGCAAGGGTTGCTCCCATTGTTTCTTTGGTATGTCGCTCAACGACCTTCTCAAACTACTCGGTATCTTGTCGTATACATGAGTTGTTCAAGATAGCAACAAGACTTGCTACATACTCAAAAGCCTCGCTCCTCGTGGCGCTGGAGGTGTTTTCAGCCTTATATGCGTGGCTCTATCATGGAGTGTCGTGCTACGGTTTGGAAGATTCACATCGACCCAAGACAAACTTAGAGCCTAAGGTCAGATCAAGGTCACCCAACTATTGCGCAGAAATGCTTTCGATAAAAGGAAACATCGGCTCCTCCGTCGAACACCGCAGTTTGGCGGAAGGTGGCTCGCATCGTGTTCAGAACTTGCGCTTTGTTCATAGGAAAGGTCATGTCCAGCACAAGGGGCAGTCCGACGCATGGGTAGAACGGGCGAAAATGCTGTGTGGCTGCGTATCTACTAAACACTGCACAATGACGTGCGAAAAACTGAATAATGAATCTGGGCCTGCGAGAACACCGTTGTAATCGCGGTAAGCAGATACGGAGCCAGCCGACCGTTCGACCTCCATCTATTGTACCCCACTCAGCATGATCCTACAGGCACATGCATTCCTCGAACGCATCTTCGTCACACATCAAGTCCACTCCAATGATTCAGGGCGCGCTGGATGATAACGGTCCCTAGCGCACCAGGGTGACTGCCTGCAGGGTTGCAGATCTCTCCAAGATGAACGGCTTCCGTCCAACGGCGGGTTCAAATGCCTGTTGCCGTTCCTCGAGCTTATCGCACGTGTGAGGAGCGGCAACGTTCATTTTAGCTTGCCCTTGGTCCAACGGTCGACCCCGACACCTGCATGTGGGTTTGTAAACTCCAAGCCTGTAGTGTAGCGAGGATGACGGACCTCGTGAGCCATTGGGCCAGCCCTGAGATGTAGTTAAGCACGCCATGCCTCCCCGCGCTTGCTTCGAACTTCGCGCGATTCAATCAAGACCTCCCTCTGGATACGTGACTGTCGGGGTCCCCAGACGAGTACCTCCACGATTAAGCGAAGAAAGCTCCGACTCCCAGAACTGCCCCGATAACGACAACAGCGACTGGGAGTCTGAACGAGCAGTGCTGTTCGCTATGGCCGAGGATAAGAACATTCATGACAAGACCGATGTCGAGCGGGCATCCTTCGACACGGACTCGCTGGGAAAGGGAGATCTGCTGTCGTTGGAGCATACAGACCCTGTGCTAAATGCCAAGATGCACATGGTCAACAATGTGCGTGCTGCCTTCTCAGATTAACGGAGGAGAGGCTCACCAATAGTCGGAATGTCAAGGCCATCGACGAGATTGGCTTTACGCGATATCACTGGAAGCTATTTGTGCTGAATGGCTTTGGGTAAACACTACTCCTCCAGTCTGCAATCACAGGAGCACTGTATCTCACACCCAAGGACAGATACGCAGTAGACTCTTTGATCCTTCTCCTCCAAGGAATTACCGCCGGCCAAGCAGTGCTCGAGTTCAGGCCCTCTTTCATCCGCGGCCTGACCATTGCCGTATATGTTGGTATGTTGGTCGGCGCACTTTTCTGGGGCCTATCAGCAGACATCATTGGCCGCAAATGGGCATTCAATTGCTCGCTGATGATATGCTCCATCTTTGCCATCGTCGCCGGCGCTTCACCCAACTGGATCGTACTCGGTCTTTTCGTCTGCCTCAGTGCTTTTGGAGCAGGCGGGAACCTGGTGCTGGATACTGCGGTCTTCTTGGAATACCTACCTAGCAAAAAGCAATGGCTCCTGACACTGATGGCTGGGTGGTGGGGTGAGTCTCTCCAATATCGTCTTTTCTTCATCCCGAGACCGTCCCTATAGAAACCCGGGCTTTTGGCAAGTGAACTACGAAGCTGACCATGTATAGGGCTCGGTCAACTCGTTGCAGGCCTTGTTGCATGGGCTTTCCTACCCAAGTACAGCTGCCAGGATCCCAGCCTTTTCCCAAATGCCGAACCCTGCACGTACGGAAACAACAAGGGTTGGCGCTATGTCTGGTACACGTGCGGCGCACTCGTCTTTGTCATGTCTATACTCCGTCTCACAATCATTCGCCTCAAGGAGACGCCGAAATTCCTCGTCGGTGAAGGAAAGGATGCCCAAGTCGCCGAGGTGCTGCAGGGTATCGCCAAGAAGTACAACCGACCTTGCTCACTAACCTTTGAGGCGCTCCAGGCATGTGGTCAGACGAACATGGGTTCTCCAAGACGCGGCTCAGTCTCACACGCAAAGACTCGTTTCTCATTCGGCGAAGTCTATGTCCATCTCCAGGGCCTCTTTGCGACCAGGCGCATCGCCATCTCTACCAGCCTGATCTGGTTTTCCTGGCTCTGCATTGGTCTGGCCTATCCTCTATACAATGTTTTCCTACCATCCTACCTTGCGTCGCGCGGAGCTTCATTTGGCGAGCTCAGCCCGTCCGTTACATGGAGAAACTACAGCATTGCCAACCTCTGCAGCATCTTCGGGCCAGTTCTCGCCGGCTACATGTGCGCCACCCGGCTGGGTAGGAAATACACGATGGTGATTGGCGCGCTGGTCACCATGGTTTTCTTCTTCGCCTACACACAGGTACTGATCGCCCTTTCCCTCCCCCTTCTCTCCTCGCCCTTTCGCCCTTCCCCTCCCCCAATTAGGCACCACAAATTCTTACCTCACCCACAGGTCCGCAACAACGCGCAAAACCTCGGCTTCAACTGCGCAATCAGTTTCTGCCTCAACATCTACTACGGCACGCTCTACGCCTACACGCCCGAGGTGCTGCCCTCGGCCCACCGCGGCACCGGCAACGGCATCTCCATCGGGCTGAATCGCATCATGGGGATCCTGAGCGCCGTCATTGCTACGGTTGCGGACACGAATACGCCCGTACCGATTTACATCTGCGCGGCGCTGTATATCGTTATGGCGGCGGTGGCGGCGGCGTTTCCTTTTGAGCCGTTTGGGAAACGAAGCTCGTGAGGACAAGGAACGCTTGATTAGAGTGCGAAGGCGGATTTGTTTGGTTAGCGCTATCAGCTGCGTCGTGACGGCCTGATGGAACGGCTCTAGACTCGATCGCTGCAGGGCGGACAAGGGGTCCATACAGCGTTTACAGGTAGAATCATATATGTACTGCCCTTGATGTCAAATGACCCGCTCGCGTCGCAATTGCAGGCCTTCATGAGGATTGTCAACTACAGAGCTCAGCCAGTGATTAAGTAAGCACTATCTACACGCTACCCGTCCATCTACCTCGCATGAAGCACCCCTGATACAAGCCGAACCGGCGGAGGACCAGAGCGAGTTGGGCCCACGGGGCATACCATGCAATGAGACCAAAAGGCATACGCCGCGCAATGCCGCTCAAAGGAAAGACCACCAAGCCTGCTCAGTCAGGTCTCCGTCTTTTGCGAGAAAGTCTAACAACTGCATTAGCCAACGCGACACACCACTAGGCCATCCGCATCAAACTCAAGACTCGTAAGGCGGGGTAGGATAAGACTGATTGTCTGCGCGTCAGAGTCAGCCAGCTGCTGACAAGCCACGACGCGATTCCCAGCGTCTCACCATCTCAACAACTCACCTCTTCCAAACACCGGATCCACGCCCTGGGTCAGTATCGCCTTCTCCTCAACCGCATCCGGCATCGGCGTATCCCCACCCTGTACTCCCGAAAACTCGGGCACACGCTCGGCGGCTGCGGCTCGCTTCGACTCCTCCGGGAACGGATCCACGAGCTGCGCCTTGTCCTGGTCACGGACATAGACGGCATAAGTCGGCAGGACACCGCCGCTCTCGCCGTAGACCGCTGCCTCGCTGACAACACTCACGTTCTCGTCGTTGTACTTCCGCCAGACGTTGGCTTCGAAGTCGCGGATGTAGCAGAAGTAGTGGCCGCTGCCTGTGGTCAGGCCTGAGTGGAGGAAGAGCGCGAAGAGGCGGTAGGGGTGCTGTTTCATGTCTTTGAACGGCTCGTAGATCGCGGTTTTCAGGGAGGGGATCTGGGCCTCGAGCGTCTGCATCTCCTCGTGCAGAGCTGCGGCCTTTTGCGTCAGTTGGCCGGCCAGGCTTTCCGCGTCGTCGAGCGGCACGCCTTGTTCCTTGGCGGTGCCGAGGTAGTCCGCGACGGCTTCGACGGCATCGTGGAGCTGGAGTCCGTCTTTCAGCTCGGTTAGAGTGGCGTAGCGCTCCCGTGCGTGCTCCAGCTCTTCTGAGGCAGCGAAGGCGCGTTCGCGGGCCCGCGCCAAGGCCGAGTCACGCGGTGACTTCGACGGCGCGAGGAAGCGGTCCATGTAGATCGTGTCTTCCAGCGCCAGGTGGTGCATGACTTTGTATGCTTTTCCTTTCGCGGTGTCGAAGTCTGCTCGCATGATGTCTAGAGCGAGGATCGGTGGGAGGTGTTCGAGCCAGTCGTACCGAAGCTTGCCGGTCGTCTGGTCGGCTGATATGCCGAGGCGTTCGTCCAGGGCCTGGTCGACGCCTCGGGGTCCCTTTTGCATGTAGATGCTTAGGGCAGAGGCACGGTCGCGTCCTACTGTGTTGGTTTCGTCGCCCGTTGCCCGATAAGGAGTTGTGAGGATGGTGAAGTATAGGAGCCTGCGCATGGTCAGAGTTGTGTCTTCGAACTGCAGTGGGTACTTGCTCTTTGATCAGATCGAGCTGCTCGCCGTCTGAGTCATGGCCGTTCGGCTTAATCGCCAGCTCTAGCAGGTAAAGCATGTTGTCCATCACCTCCTTTGCATCTCGTTGCAGCGGCTTAAACTTTGACTTCTCTGGCTCGGGCTGTGGAGGCTGCGGAGCCGGACGATCTGGTGCAGCCCAGTCGGATTCCTGCTTGCTAAGTGGAACCGGTGCTTCGTCAAACGCGAACGAGTCCTTCCGTGGGCTGACGCTGTTCGCTTGGTCTACATCGCCACCAGAAACTTTGTCCTTGGACTCCTCGTTTTCGTCTTTGTCGACCAGAGTAGTTTGGCTCACATCGTCACCAAGTTTGACCTCCATATCTGACGCAGGATCCGCCACCGCACTCTCGTCCTGCTCTGTCGACTGCATGATAGTATCGGTCTGCAAGACGATGTCGCTTGGGTTGACGGTGGCTGGCAGGGCGTCCGGCATAGTTTCATCTGGTGCGCTTGCCACTGGCTGGTCTTCTTCCACTTCCAGGCCAGAGACCGCCTTGGCTGGCACTGCTTCCTTGGGTACCACCCACTGGTTGGGGGTGTTCATCATTTCCCTGAAGAGTGCGGCAAGCTCATCAACGACTGAGTAGTCAGTATCGCCCTACAAGGTTGCGATGCTCGCAGCAACTCACAATCCTGGGCCCGGTGTACGTGCTCCTTCTGGGCGGCTCGACCGACTCTCTTCCTTGCCAGCTCCTTCTCATCACTCATGTCCATCTTGTAGTTGTCAATCTCCAGGACGAGCTCGCGCAGAGGCTTGATAGCGAAAAGTAACTGCAGAATGCTGTTGAGGTAGCAAGTATTCCCGATATTCTGCAGGCCGGCAGGCTGGTTCCCTCGAGGGAACGATGTCGAGTCCATGGGCATGTTGTTTACGGTTTGCCGGATGACGGCAGCTGCTCGTTGAAATTCGTCGGCTCGGCCAGGTGCTTCGTCGAGTCGAACCGCAAGAATGGCGTCAAGACTGTCGCCGCTGAGAGCAGTGCTTCTGTCGTCGATCTGTAATATACTGTAGGCCTCGCCGACGTCGAGCTCCGGTTCCACCAGGTCTGCAGTTCGTAACCAGTTCCGAAGACCCACACTGTTGCGTGTTTCCGCAATGATTTCGACAGCTTTGCGACCGAGTGCTTCATCGCCAGGCGAGTCACTTATCTGTTTGGTGTTAGAAGCATTGAGAGGAGGGAGCTGCCGCCAAGGAAACATGAAAAGTTGTTGAAACCAAGGGCGTTGGGCTGAGGCGCCGAAGATGCTTGTGCTATAGATAAGGTGTTGTTCGGAAGACCTTCAAGAGAAATGGAATAACTACAAGCGCAACAGGATGGAAACTGACAAGATGCTAAACCGGGGCGCCTTCCGTTTGCAGCTAATGGTTGTGCCTACACCAGTAACACTGGGAAGGTGCGGTCGAATATAAGGTTGACTTACCTTGGCGGTATAGCAAGTAAGGATAAAATCATCCGTCAAATCTGCTGTGGCTCCCAGCCACGAGAGGGCCTGATCGTATGTTTCGAGGGCTGTTCGCCAATAAGCACGTGCCATACAGCGCTGCGACGCCTCTTACCGTTATCCGCGGCGTTAAGGATTTTGGGGCTCCCACGCGCTTCCCCGACGATTCTCAACTGCCGCCGCATTTCCGGCACTTGTGAAGCGGCTATATCCAAAAGACGGGACTGGAATTGCCCGATAATGTGATCGTCGCTGATGTGCGGCACGTGGCTCATTTCGATGTTGAAATACGCATACGCGTTCGAGACGTCCTTCCGACTAATCCTACCCTCCGAAGACAGCATTGCTACCTTCATGTTCAGTGTCTCGCTGTTCCTTCCCCTGCTGAGGTCCTCCAGGCATTCAAAGTAGTAGGGAGCATTGATAGGGTCGCATTGAACTTGTCTGTCATACGCGAAGGCGAGAAGATTGTCGGAAAAGTCACTGAGCGCTCCGAGACTAGCATAGTAACTATCGAGAGAAGTGCGTCAGCGGGTGCTAGCTCACACGTCAACCTAGTCAAACTGACTTACGGATGCTCTGGTTGAGTCAGATCGACGTTCCTTCGCGAAGAAGCAGCTCTCTCATCTACGCAAGTGTAAGTCTTCGAGCAGTCCTAAAGGCAGGATACCCACAGTCGGAGCATCCAAGGGCTTGCTCGAGCGACTTCGTCGCTGGTTGGAAATCGTACGCGAAGTTTCTGAGAGTGCGTACTTCTTCGATGGGTCTCTGATGTATGAGAGCCAACAGCTCTTCTCTGACATCTTCTAAGAAACTCCGTATAGCCTCAGCCCTTTCCGGATCGGTTTCTGCGGCTAGGTCAGGTGGACTCCAGAAGTCCTCATCATATGCACTCGCAGGTGGCTGCGTGAAAAGCGGTAAGCAAGAGAAAACGCCAACGGAGAGCATGCTGAGCGCCTACGATATAAGTGAAGTTCAAGTACTCCAGGATCTCGGTACAGTTCTCTCCGAAGGCGGTCATAAATTTCCTGTTCTTCCCCGGTATCCTTCTGTGCGGTTTCGTAACGTCCAGTGCGTCTCTCAGGTATAGGTTCAGGTTGTTCAGCACCTCGGCCGGCCTTGCGGGCCTTGCGTCTGCTCGATCTGGGTCCTTCAGAACGGCAGCTTCAAACCTGATTCTGAGAAGGTTGGGATCCGTGAGGAGTTCGATGTGTTCTGGCCTGAGTCTTGGTGATTTCAAACAAATCGATAGAGCTGCCGGACACTGGGGCGCTGTACACTCGAAAGCGAACCAGCGTGTCCGAACCTCCTGGTCACTATCCATGTCCATCTGTTCATCTCCTACCACAGGTTCATACACAAAGTGGTGTAACGGGAAGGACTTGCTCGGGCATGGTATAGTCCGTTGAAACCCATCTCCAGCGTAGTCGATGGAAAACTCAAGGTGATGTCGGCATTTTGGACAGAACAGCAAGAGCTCCGGTACAGCGGCACTCTCTGATGCTCTAGCTGCGTCTGCCGTCTTGGGCCACGTGGGCTTCGTCACGAAGAGATGGCGACAGCTACCCTTGGGTATAGGTGCAGGACGGCTTCGCTCGTCGAAGTGAGGCGGGAGTTCGGTGAGGATGTTGCGTCCATATTGGGCCTCGTACGGGGGGTCATAGCTGTAGAGGTCTTCGAGAAGCCGTGGCGCAGTCTTTCCTGGTCGTTCGTTAGCCTGTAAACTCACGCCGTTGCTATGAAGAGGTCCTGGAGGGTGACAAACCGGGCGCCGAGCGCATAGCAACCGCGCCTTTGGGCGAGAAGGGTGTTGTTCAGGTAGTAATGAAAGGGGGGTCTCTTGGATCGACTCGATCTTGCAGGAACAAGTGGGGGACTGGGATATGCAGCGATGTCAAGATGTGAGCATGCGAGAGTCACGCTTGGTCAAAGATGGCCGCGCCTGTCAGTGGCCGAGGGGGTGCGGCGATTATGTATGCATACAGTATGTGAGTTGCTATCTACAGGGCGGCTACGCGCAGCCTCTCGGACACAGACAAAGGAGGCGGCTGGTGGATTTGCGGCTGTTTTTACTGATGCTGAAGCTTGCTGAAGCTCCCCAAATTTGCTGGCCGTCTGGTCGAACAGCTTGGCGGAGAACGCCGCGGCCAGAGCCTCATCGTGCAGGCCACCTCCAAGCTCCCAGCTCCAGCTCCAGCTCGACCGCACACCATCCGAGGTCGCTGCCGCCGCACCATCACCCAACATGGCGTCCGAAGACCACACCTACCACCCCAAGGATGCCATTTCCGCCACCGTTAGGACGACGATGATCACAGGCGCGGCCGGCACCATCGTTTCCGGCATACAAAACACCCTCACGAAGCAGAATGTCGGCGCCATGGGCGTCCTCACGCGCACGGGAGGCACAATCGCCGTGTTCGGTATGTAGACATGCAGGCAGCATGAGTATACCCGATCACGATGGCTGATGCAACGGTAGCTGCGATGGGCGGTGCGTACGAGTTTGCAAAGGACGCCGCGGCCAACCTTCGGGAGAAGGACGACAGCTGGAACAAAGCCATTGGAGGCTTCTTCGGCGGCTCAATGCTCGGCCTCAGAGGTAGCGCCCTAGTTCTGTCGCAATAACGCGGCGAGTAGTCGCTTACTCGACCTCTAGCCCGGACACTACCATCAACACTCGGATACGGGGCTGCACTTGCGGTTATACTAGGTGCATTTGACTATACCGGCGGCATGCTGTCAGGATACACCAGGGACCCGACAGTGGATGAAGTGAGCAGGAAGGAGTACCTAAGGAAGAACCGAAGGAGACCAATTGAGCAGACCGTGGCTGAGTTGGGAGAGGGCCGAGGTGAGGCTTCATCTGCGTCATATAGAGGACATAAAGCGCTAACAGCCTATTTAGGAGTATATGCGCCGGGTTATGAGGAGAGAAGACGGGAGAGGATAAAGCAGAATCTAGGCATCGATGTGTCGGGGGTTCCGTCCGCCCACTAAACGCAAGGAAGGGCATCGAGTTCATAGTACCAAGCCGCTAGGGGCCCGCCCAGGTGTTTTTCCTAGATTCCCTCAACGCATCCTTGTACATACATGATGAATTACAGATTTTTGCAATACCCATATATCTCCTGTAGCCGTTCAACTCTAACAAGCAACGCTTGGGGTGGGCATGCGGTGCTTGCAGACAGGACGAATCCCTCATCGAGGATACTGGTTTTGTAGACAGCATATCATCAGACCGAACAGGAACAATGTTGCATAATCAAGCCATTCTACTGCCCTAGGTTGCTGTGTTCGTGAATGCCTCTTCCTGGTATATCGTCAGTCCGCCACTCGTTAAGATAACGATCGCTCTTCTATCAGATGTAAACAATACTCGGCAACATCCAATTGCCCTACTGTGACGGCTGTATTGCAGCCTCGGACTGAGCAATTCGCACTGAGATGGCAGATGCGGATGCGGCCCTTGCTACCCCGGCGATCCATACAGATCCAGCCCTACAGTCCCTCGTCCCCCACCTCGTCATCGCGGGCCAGGGGACGAGGGGGGTGGGGAGTGCGGCGACTTCACACAAGCAAATCACAACAGCCAGAACTGCCCCCGGAGTCCTCTCCAAATCACCGCTCGGTTTCAGGCTCTTCGAGCGGCAGATCGACCAAGCCCCGGGGCGCCCAAAAACCGTTTTTAAAGAATGATCCCATCCCGCACTCTCGTTGCTGCCGCCCCTCCATACAGCAACCTCGAGGACCTGCTGACCGGTGACGAAGTGGCCACTAGCAGATTGGCAGCTTCGAGACAAGTACCGTAGCTCAGCTAGCGAGACTGGGACCGTGGGTAGGCATCCCTCAGCCGTGCGAATCGCACACTGCTCACTTTCTCCAGAATCATAACCTCCCCCAAGCCCGCATCGTCCAAACCACCGACATGGCATCGACTTCTACACCCGCGCAGCAACAGCAGCCGCAGCTCAGCCAGAACGAGCGCTTCTTTCGCTACTTTCGACATGAGGTCACCGGTGCGTGATGCTGAGGCTTCATATGCATTCAGTCGCCGTCGCTGACGAACATGCAGCACTTCAAGAGCAGATGGACGGGCTGGCGGACACTGCGCTTGCGGGCGGCGAACGAGCAGATGCAGTAGACCATTGCCTAGCGGGCATCGCGCGACTGTCGCAAGAAGTCAAGGACGCGTCAAGCTACGTGCCCGCATACGACCAGCGGACCTATGCTGAAGTACCATTCCTCGCCCAGTGAGACATCCACGGAACACACAGAACTGACACTCCGCGCAGGCCGTCAAAGCCCTCACCGAAAAGCTCCAAGCAACCCGCTCCAGCTTCGCCCCGCGTACCAAATTCGCCTTCAAGACAACGCACAAGAACAACTCCGCCATCTCGCTCACCGACGCCGCGGAGCTCGCCTCGCAATCCCGCGGCCGCCTCCCAGGCTGGCGTTCCACACCCCCATCCACCACCGACTCCTCCTTCGCGCCCACGCCTGCCAATCCGATATCACCCTCCGAGGAGAAGTCGCAGGAGAACGCCGAGGCCCTCATGGATAGCACGAACACGCTCTCTGCGCAGGCGGGCGCCGCGTCAAGGAGCTTCTCCTTCTCGCAGGCGAGCAGTATCACGATAAGCAATCATCATGACCTGCACATCATCCTGCCGTCCTCGGCCGCCCACGCCACGACCTCGGGCACGCTGGGCAACCTGCGCCGCTGCGTCGTCGACATGTCCGTGCCCACCGCATCCGGCGCGCCGTTCGCGGGGCTGGCGGTCAAGAACGTCAAGGATTCGCTGCTCGTGTGCGGACATGTTGCTGGGCCCTTGCACATCACGAATGTCAGCAACAGCGTCGTCGTGGTCGCGAGCCGCCAGTTCCGGATGCACGAGTGCAGGAATGTGGATGTTTATCTGCATTCTGCGAGTCGGCCGATTATCGAGGACTGTGAGGGGATTAGGTTTGCGGAGTTGCCGGAGGCGTATGTGACGGAGGCGGAGAAGGGGAGGGAGAACTTGTGGGAGAGCGTGGATGATTTCAAGTGGCTAAAGAACGAGCAGAGTCCCAACTGGAGTATATTGCCCAAGGAGGAAAGGGTCAAGGAAGAAGTCTGGACGGAGCTCGTGCCTGGGAAGCCGGGAGTTGGAGTCGAGGAGATCTTGAGGGCAATGGGAGTCATGAAGGGTTGAGAAACTGTGTAGACTGGCGATTTACTGTCAAATTGTAGAGTAGATGGTAATCGATGCTGAAAGATGCGCTTGCTGCAGCATGCGGCTCTGACCCGCTCTCCTGTCAGCAGAATTGATTAAGGAATTTGACAACCTTGAACGGAATACTGCTAGGCTAGCCCGCCCGCTGAGTTCACAGCCTTGCATTAGTCTGAGCGAGGCATCGAATCACAGCGAAAGATATGTTTCTCATCTGTGCCTAATCGATGTGGATAACGGCCGAGTGCCTACGCGGCGGCTCAGGAAACAGAAGTTTGTGACCGAGTTCGCGGAGGGAGGTGGTGTTTATATCGCAACGCATATCGCACACGATGAGAAAGAAGCACGCCCTCGGATGCAGGAAGTCTAGCAACAAGCGGACACAGAGCTCTATAACCCCAGACACCGCCCTTAAACCCTCGCGGAAGCATACCCCACAGCCCTATCCCCACCCAGTGATCGAAGCAAAGAATACAAGTAAGACGTCTGTCGAACAACACCATCCCCTACACTATCCCACCCAAAAAGCCCCCCACCATCACACAACCGTCCCCCCCGCCAGCTGCACAACCGGCTTAGCGGCCAGCGTCGCGGCAATCTTTTCGCGCTCGCTCTTTTCCTGCTCCATCAACGCACGGTCAGCTTTCGTAACACGAGGCTTTCGCACAGTAGCGCCACCTCTGGAACCGCGCCCGCCGCCCCTGCTGCCCCGGCCGGATGTCTCGCCGCGCGTGCTGCCGCCGCGTCCTCTGCCGCGGCCGCGGCCGCGTGTGCCTTCGGGTCTGCGAATAGTGGTGTTAGCTGTGCTGTGATGGGGGCGCGCGAAGATAGGAGGCTGGGTATATGGGGGTGATAGTGACATACCTCTCCGCGGCAGGCTTCTCCTCCGTAGCAAGCGGTCCGCTGTACACGAAGAAGCCGTCCTTGGCCATCATGGCGTTCTGCTCCCACGCCTGCTCGGTATCGTCAATAAAGTCATCTTCCTTGTCGTAGTCTTCCAGCTTCCGTCTCCGCCGTCGCTTCGGCTGCGCGTCACCGCCGGCCGAGGCCTCGTCCTCGACCCCGCCCATCTCGACATTGCTGTCCGCCTCCGACAGGTCGAGCGACATATCGTCCGTGGACGCCTGGCCAGACGCCCCCTCCAGCGCCGCGCCCGCGGCGGCGATCTGGCGGCGTCGCTCGCGCTGTGCCGCGAGCCGTGGATGTAGGGCTGCGAAGCCGTATTTCTTCTCGACTTCCTGGGTGAAGTTGATGGTGGTGCATTCGTCGCGTTTGAGGTTGAAGGTTAGCCAGATGGTCGGGCCTTTGGTTACTGTGGTGCCGTTTGTGGCGGTCATGGGGCCGAAGGCTGTGCCCGAGAGCAGGCCGCTGCCTGTGGGGAGGGGTGGGGGGGCTTCCTTTTGGCGCGCGGGCTTGGCGGGGGGCGTGGCTGTTGTTGAGGATGTGTTCGTGCTGGGGGATTTCTTGGTTACGGGGGGTGCGGGCGCTTCGTCAATGTCCATTTCGGTGCTGGCGGAGTGGGTTGGCGTGGGTCGTTGCGCGCCGTTGCCTGACACTGTAGTCGAGGGCTTCATAGGGACCACGGCGGGCGAGGCGGGGGCTGATGTGACTGATATTGGTGCTTGCAACATTGCACTGCGCGTCTTCTCGGACGCAGTTGACAAAGTGCTGGTAGGCGGGGGATCGATCAGGCTAGCGATGGATGGTGATGCACTTGCCCGGTTTGCAAACCTGCTGGGTGAAGACTGCTGCGGCACATTGGTCAAGCTGGGCTTTGCGCCAGACTCAATCGTGGCGGAGCGGATAGGATCGTATACCTGTCCGCTCGAGGATGGGCGAGGTGTTGTTGCTGGCGCGGTTACAAGATGCGCCAGGGACGGGTTGTGTGTGAGTTCGGGATTGCTCGGTCGCGGCATTGACGGCGAGGTTTGCGCAGGTGCTTGAGCCGAGCCGACGAGGTCAGTGATTTTCGACTGGCGAGAATGCTGTGGTTGCGCGAGGGTTGTATCATCGCGAGGTGCATCTGCAACCTTCTGTCGCTTCCTGGGTTTAGAAGGTGCATTGGGATCTTTTGGTTCGCGTGGCTTGCGCGGCTTCTTTTCTTTTATTTTTTCGTCGGCAGTCGCATCAAGATCTTTCTTCTTGCGTGGCCGTTTGGCTGGGGCTGCAGTCGTGGCTATGTTGGCGATAGACGTTGAGTTGCTATTCTTAGCCGGAGTTGAAGATGCCGTGGCTGCGTTTGCGCTTGACGAGCGTCCTGCAACACCAACTCGGATTGTGGAATTCGGAAATGGAGAATTGCTCTCTAGCGTTGCGTCAGGAGAGCGAGGGGGCGTCGAAAGCTCCGGCGAGGAACTCGAGCCAGCTCCCTCATCAACTTGCCGTCCTCCACCATAAGCATCAACTCCTCTGTCCATGGCGACGGGAATGCGGAAGCTCTACACCATTCAACAACTCAAATGCCGCACGACTGAATACGGTGAATGGCCTATAACGAAAAGGCAAGTTCGAAAGGCCGATATTGTGTAAGGTCGTTGCTGCTCTGGGGTGCGTTGGCCGGAAACCAACTTGAATTACCAGCAGGCGGCAGCGTCGCGATAGCTTCACGAACAAGACAAGAGTCTTTGTCCTGGCTAAAGGCGCTCAATAACCGGTGCCCACGTTCCTATCAGGTCCGGGCAGCAAGAGGAGTCTTGTACGGGGTGCAGAATGTCAAGATGATGACGAAAGGAGAGCCGGGTAAGCCGCTGTGGATGAACAAGCTGTTGACGAAGCTGGAATTGTTAGAGTGAGGGAAGTTGAAAGAGTCTTGGAGCAGCAGAACAGGTGAAGACGGGAGCTTTCTGATCATAAGGCATGGACGGGCATGGCTCGAGGCGACACAGGGCAGACGAGCTTCAGGCCCAATGACCGGGACCACTAACGTAAAGGCAAAGCACAGGTACGAGACATCTGCTTCATGGGGGATCTGCTGCCGGCTCTGTTGCTCTCTAAAGCGGCCAAGCCTCGAGCTGTTTGGCCTGGTGTGCGTTCCATGCCTCCTGAGGAGCCAACTCTGGACAGTTCATCCACCGGGAAGGCCAAGTCTTGAGCGGACACGCACCTTCCTGGACGCACCGATGGGGGCAGGCTCTGGCGCCCGTGGTATCTCCAAGGGCTATGCAGTGCTGCCGTCTGGCTTCCTCGGTGTAGCTGGGAGTCCTCAAGCTGAGGATCAGGATCTGACGGGGTCGGTGGGTGAATTGGGGGCAAGCCACATCATGCACCGATTAGGAAGATGCGACCATATCGTCGGGTCTATCCACGCCCCGCCTGTCCATCATTATCACAACTCGGCCTGCCAGGTCGAAGACATGCATAAAACATATTTTTTACGTCCACGGTGAAGACATGTAGGTACAGATCGAAGCCCGAATCGATGGACAGCCGTATCCTGCACCCAGGCAATCCATGGCGTCGATAGGGTTGAGGCTTGCTGTAGCATGCCGCCCGGGATGAACGCCGCAGGGGTCAGGCGCTAGTCAGCACCGGGACATCTAACCGAAAAGCTTGGTTCTGCCAGGGCGTAGCATTGGTGAGGCGGGGGCGAACCATCGCCCGCTGGACGCTCGGCTTGCAGCAACCATGAATTTCTCCAGAGGAGAGAGATTCGAGTTGGCTCTTGACCAGGACGATGGAGCGCTCTCGGGTGCACCGTCTGCCTTCAACTCCATCGCCGATATCAAAGAGCGAACACCGGCAGCTCCGACGCCACCGCGCGCGCCCACCTTGAAGTCGACCACCACGGGTTTCCCAGCGCACAAGAAGCGGACCCGTACCTCTGCATTCAAACAGCAAAGAGCTGTAGCCGCAGGAACATCAGACAGTGGGACGCATACAACCGGTACGCCGCCACCAGCGACTACACGTGTTGCCCCGGAGCAGCCAGCAAGCACTGTTCTAGGACATGGCGGCGGCTTCGAGGACAGCGACCGGCAGAGAATCGACGAGGAGAACCGACAGCAGCTGGCCAGTATGTCTACGGCTGAGATCGAGCAGGAGCAGAAAGAGCTTCTCGCCGGCTTGAGCCCTGCCTTTCTCGAAAAGCTACTGAAGAAAGCGAACATCAACGACGGCTCGAGCGAGAGTGAACCTCACCCGGCTCCCTCTATCACACAAGAGCACATAGACGCACACGAAGAAGCAAAGCGCGCGCATCAGTCGAAAGCAATCAGAAGAGTTGCCTTTGCGGAACCCGATCTGTCCTCAGACACGGAACCCACCGCTCCCGGTCATCAGGAAACCCCAAACCTTCCACCAGCACCAGCACCAGCACCAGCACCAGCACCAGCACCAGCAATCCACTTTCCACACCCGCCACCACCCACCGAGCCTCTTGACGAAGACACCCCCCTTGACCCATCTTCAGACACCTTCCTCGCCGACCTCCACGCCAAGTACTTCCCAAACACGCCTCATGACCCCTCCAAGCTCGCCTGGCTCCAACCCGTTGACCCCTCAACCTCACCCTACAACCCCTCCGTCACCTCGCTTTCGCCAAGCGACATCCGCTTCTCCTTCACCGGCGCACTGATACCTCCGTCTGAAGCCGCGCTGATTCCGGTAACAAAGGGGCTGCACCACCACGGCGATGCGCCCGATGCCGCTGGATACACGATTCCGGAGCTTGCGTGGCTGAGCAGGAGTAGGGTCGCGGGGCAGAGGTGTATGGCGTATCAGACGCTTGGACGGATACTGTACAGACTTGGTGTGGGGGAGTTTGGGAGGGAGGGACATCAGGAGGTGCACGGCCCAGAGAGTCTCGAGGAGAAGGATGATGGGGAGAAGGATCGGGCTGATGCGGACTCTGTACTAGCACAAGGGCTGTGGGATTGTGTAGAGGAGAACAGGGTACTGGATACCTTGATGGAGGAGGCTGGAAAGGAAGGAGGGCATCTGTCGGCGAAGAGCTATGCGCAGGAGGCTTTGTGGAATTGGCGAAGAGGTGGAGGAAGGTTGAAGAAGGCTGTTTGAACACGTGCTGTACGTATATCTGGAGTTCTGAATACGAAGTTATAGATTCGGATCTAGAAGCTCTGGAAACTCTGGAAAGCCCTCCCGACTGACATATGCAAAGACGGTCGTCCGCCGTCGTCGCCTGTTCCGGTAAATCGAGCGCCCCATCAAGCCAGCCCTATCCCAGAACTATGATACACAAGTATGCCGTCCGCAGTGCCCAAAATTCCGATAATGCGCCATGGTGCCAGCAGTACCATTACAGCCGCTCGTGTTTCATAAGTGCTCCATCACCTACGAGAGCCTCAAAAACCCCTTCCACTTGTTGAACGTTCTCTGGAACCAGTTTCTATCAGGCGCTTGCTCAAGCTCCCTCATCAAATCCTCATAGTACGTCGGGTTACTCTTCGGCTTCAACAGGCTGTCCGATACGGGATACTACGCAAGGGACACGTCAGCCCCAGCTTTGCTCCCCTCCATCCTACAAAAGCTTTCTATACCTTCTTAGAGTACCGGTTGTCCAACAAGGAGTACAGCGCATTGATGTTCCTCTCCTCAGCCTTCGGGTCTATGGGCGACTTGGAGAGCGGTACCGAGGCTTCCCGCGGTGGAGTAGGGTGTGTAGAAGAGGGCGAGGAGGCTGGGTCTTGGGGTATGCGCTTCTGGAGGGCGGCTTGGAAGGAGATGGTTGGCCGGAGCGGGTCTTTGGGCCAAAGGGAGATGATGCGGGCGTAGTGTTTTGCGATGTTCTGTAGTATGTGTCAGTGGTGTTTTCGAAGACGCCTTTGAGGGAGACATTACTGAAGTGTTCATGTTGGTTGCTGGCAGGGGGAACTCTGAGGAATCTGAGAAAGCTGGAGCTGTATGCGAGAATGCGCGTCGGGATTATTCCTCCATGATGATGCTCGCGATCGACTCCGAGCTGACGGTCACAATGGCTGCAAGAGGCATAGCGTAATCTTCAGCCACACCGTGGCGTTGTCTCCCTTCAGCGCTTCCGCCCGAATCGCATCACGGGCAGCCTAACCGCTCCGCCCGGCCAGCCTGCCTGCCAGTCTCCTCCACTTCGAGAGCCTTCTCCACAACACCCCCATCTCCTATCCTCCTGCATAACTACACGCTTGTCTGCCTCCTGCCGCTTTCATTTGGGCCTTGTCCCTTTTCCCTTCTCCACCGCAACCTCAGTGACCGCGACAAAGGCACCAAGCCATGCCATCCCAGCGATATGAACGGGTACGTCGCCAGCTGTCCACCGCCTCCGTGGTCTCCGCCTCACTCAATACTGACTCTCTTGCCCTACAGGTAGCAGAACACGACGAAGACGATACTCCTAGCTCTCCCCACGCACCTGAACAGCCCTACCCGATCCCCTCCTCGCCACCCCCGTCCTTCCGCTCCCGCGCCTCTTCACCAACATCTCGTCATCTCCTCTCCCACGACCCGCTAGCCACAGACGCCGACCGCACCCTCGCAGACACCTTTGACTCGCCCTCCGACAACGATGCGTCGGACAGCGAGAATGAGGACGGAGTCGACGATCGGCAGAGGCTGATGCGCGGCCAGCCGCAGCGGCGGGATTCGGAGCCTCGGGAAGGTCAGGGTGCGAGCAGTGGAGGTGCGGAAGAGGTCAGGCCTAGGATCATTGAACGACGGGTCACGCAATTGCCTGTCTTTGCGCCTGCGACGACCGCCGGAAGTGGGCGGGTGTATGGCGGTGGCATGAACGATGGCGTGTTTGCGAACTTGAGCGCGAAGCCGACAAGGGGAGAGGAGGTGGAGGAGAAGCCGCCGGTGAGTGGTCCCCATCGCCCTCTACAGCAACACTACAGGACACACACACTAATGCGACTCTCTACAGACCTACGAACAAGCCGCCGCAGACGCCACGCCCCCCTACTGGGAAACCACCATCCTGGCACCCGGCATGGTCAGCGACGAGGTCTTCGTTGACGGCCTCCCCGTCGGCTCCGTCTTCAGCTTCGTCTGGAACGCCCTGATCTCCATGTCCTTCCAGCTCGTCGGCTTCCTGCTCACCTACCTCCTGCACACGACGCACGCGGCCAAGAACGGGTCGCGCGCCGGCCTCGGTATCACTCTCATCCAGTACGGCTTCACCATGAAGGGCTCCAGTAGTAGTAGTGGCGGCGGCGGGGGCTCCATGGGTGATGGCACCGGCAACGGGGACACGGGAATGGGTGGCGCGCCTACGGATCCGAATGCTCACGACTTCGATCCGAACATGGTTGCTGATGGCGTTGCTGATGCTGCGGCGAGTGGTGCGGGCGGTATCTCGACGTCGGAGTGGCTGGCGTATGTTCTGATGATCGTGGGCTGGTTCATACTTATCCGGAGCGTGAGTGACTTTCTGAGGGCGAGGCGGCATGAGCAGCTTGTGCTGCAGAGCCCGGATCGGGGCTTGCCGGTACCGATCGTGGCGGCGGGCGAGAGGCCGGAGCAGGCTGTATAGTAACGGTTTGGGTTGGCGTTTGTGCTGGCGTTTGGGGAGGGTTGGATAGTGAGATATCGAGCGTGTCGGTAATCTCGATAGGCTTTTGCTCAGCTTCTGCGCTGCTGTTTCGGATGATATCCTACCGCGTTTCTGTATACAACTGAGTCCGAATGATCACTTTGCACACCGGGCCTGAAGGTCTCATCATCGTTGTCACTTCGCCGTGTTTAGTCTGTCCGCGTGTGTTTCTCTGCTCAGTCGTGTCTCACTCGGCGAGGCGAGGCTGTCTTACTCTCTTTCACTCACATCACCACGTCTTCATGTCCTGTGTGCCTGCGGCATCTCCAGACTTCGAGGGTCATCACCATGGGCATAAGGTAGAACGTATTCGAGATTGTCTTCGCTCTCTCACACATTGTCAGGCTCCAAGCATTGTCTGCTTACACCATCACCACGCCCCGAGACTCGTCATCACGACCACAAAGTGAGTCATGCACGAGACGCAGTAAAGATCTTTCACGTCGCCACAACTCGCGCGACTGTGTTAGCACTGTCGATGGACGTGTCTCACTCCACCGTCTCAACGGCTAGACGAGACAGTCCACAACTGCTTCCTCTGGCTCCCCGTGCGACTATACCAAAGTCAACATGCCACCAGCTCTCCTCTGCCAGACATCGTCCACCAGCATCCCGTCCCTCCTGCGACCACGGCGCTGCCTGCCTCCAGACATACCACCACGACAGTAGCTGGACCATTATCGCTCGTCTGTCATCCATCCCACCCATCATGAAGTCTACAAAGACCAACAGGCCCCAACCAACATCCACAGCGGCGCCTCGCCGCTCCTCAGCGTAAGTATCCCTCCCACCGCACCTGCTTGGATCCACATCGTCAGACAACTGAAATTCTTTAGACGCATCGCCAAGCAACGCTCCAAACGCACCACCGAGGTCCAGGAGCACTCAACCCTAGCCAACGTCGCTCGGAAAAAGCTGGAGGACTATGGGGCGGAAATCGCGCGCCTCACGCTGGAGAACGTTGCGCTCAAGGACGCTGTAGAGCGGCTGCAATCCGAGACGGCGCGTCTTGGAAGCGGCGGCAGGACGGGCGTGTTTAAGGCCGTTGTTTGATCGGATCTCGTCACTGGTGCGTGAGGTGCTTGATGTGGGGAAGACGTGCTCGTTTGGTTGCTGGTGCGAAGCCTTGAGTCCTAGCCCTGCTGCAATGGAATCTCATACGGCGCGTGGAGCGATTGCTATGCAGAAGCCGCCGGCTGGTGCGCAGTGCGCGCGCGGACAGGGTCAGGTATGCGGCGGTCAAGGGTTGAAAGTGTGATGCGGGACTCAAGATGGATCTGAAGCCGGTCCACGAAGGCAGAATCTAAGTAGAAGTGCTCTATCATGTAAAGTCAAGGAGATTCGACACAGCCAAGTGAACTACGGAAAGACTAGAAATGCATCCACATGCCGAGAACATAACGCAGAACGAAAACCCCAATCACAAACGCCGGTCAAGCGGACAATTCAGCCGTGATATACTCGTACCCTTTCATACTCAGTGACACAGCCGTGTGCTCACTCCGGCCTCATCGACTGCTGAAACAGTCGATTTACCTCATCCGGATTCCACCTGTGCGGATACGCACCGCCCAAGCCATACGGCGGCCACGAATACAGCGCCTTCAGCCGCGTCTGCTCTCGACTCGGCAGCTCAGCCTGATGCGCATCCTTGATCCGCTGCCAGTGAGCCGCATCCTCACCAAGCGCCGAGCAGCCCATGCCACCAACACAAAACGGCCAAGGGGTGTTATACCCAGGGCCGTCCGCACGGCCCACGTACTCCACAAAGAACCTCCACCCGCTCTCCCTGTCCATGCACTCCATCACGTGACTGGGGTCAAACCTCACCACCTCCGCCACCCGCCTACAGCCAGCATCTCTGTCGTCGTCTTCGTCGGCGCTATGGGTGCCGTTGTCGCAGCCTCCGCACTCTCCGCGCCGGAGATAGAAGCGGAACGTTTCGTAGGGGCGGCCGTACGGCGGGTCGTCGTGGATGTTGCGGACGAGGAACTTGATCCTGGTGCCGAGCCTGGACGTGAAGAGGTGGCCGAACGCGATGCGGAGCGCGGCGGTCAGTTGGCGGAAGGTGTAGGTGGAGGGGATTGAGAGCTGGCGTGTTATCTGGGGGTCGGACGTGCCGTCTAGGGTGATGTGGAAGAGGTAGTTTGGCGGCCGTGGCGGGTCGGGCCTAGGGTATCGTGGAGTTGTGCTCGCGTTTGATGGAACTGGAGTCTGGTCGGGGAGGTCAGTGCATGGGAAGAGGGCATAGAAGAAGGGCTTTCTTGGGGTGGTCGACATGGTGAGAGTACTCTTGGTGCAGGAACTGTCACAATAGCGAAGTTCTGGGAAGGGCAGCGGCACTAACCTTTTCGGTACTCTCTCGATCATCTCTTCGGGTCTCTCTTCGAGTCTCTCTTGAACCACCTCCCTGCCCTTCCTGCCCATCTCCATGCCCTTCACCTTGGCCGTCTTCTTGGTCATTTCCCCGGACATTCCCTCCCTCTGATTCTGGGTCAACCCTGAGGTCAGGAGACGGAGAACCCAGCCTACCGAGCCTATTGACCGCTTCGTATCCTCCATGACGCTCTCTGTTGGCTTTCTTGGATGATTTCGGCGGAGACTCATTCCACTCCGCTTCTAGGTCCAGGTCTTGCTCATAAGATCTCTTCTTCGCGGACTTGGCATCAGCATTAGAAGCTTCAGGGGCGGTTGAACTAGTCGGGGACAGTGTGTGCCTGAAAGGGTTTGGCTGGACAGGATGCTCCGGAGCCTGTCGAGTGGGAGGCTCTGGAGTTTCCTGGGCGGGACGCTCTGGAGTGTGTCGAGTGGAAGGCTCTGGAGATTCGCCAAGTTCTGGGGGCTCCGATAGGTCGGAATCGTCGCTTGAAGAGCCAGGACCCGAAGAGATGCGATTCGAGTGGCGTTCTTCTTCTTCTTGAACGCCGAGTGGATGGCGTACGTCGGTCCCAGCCTCCACTTCTTCCGCTGCGGCTTCAGAGTCATCGATAGTGCCATGTTGTGACGCGTTGTCGTTGATGGCCTTCTTACCCTTTCTCTTGCTGACCCCCTTCGCTCCTCTCGTCGATGAGGTTGGGTGGGCATCGTCCTGGCGGTCCTGTTCCTGTTTCGCTATCCCGCCATGAGCGTCCGCATTCAATGCGGCAGCGCTCCTGGTAAGCCTGGTACTTCCAGTAGCGGCTGGCTGACTACGGTTTTGTCTTGTCATCTCTTTTGGCATCTGCTGTTTGCAGTGATACGAGAGGAATGACTCTGAGAGCTTTGCGGTCCAGTTCGTGTATATGTATGAGTCGGCCATTCTTTCATCCACTGGCGTTTGTCGGAGTGCCTTTCGACCTGCAGTGCAGGCAAACTCTAGCTGTTTGTGAAACATTACACGGCTTGATGTGCATAAACTTATGCTCATAAGAAGTTGATGGTATAATGATTGAAAGAGTCTTAAAAGACAACAGATGTTTATCAGATGTACTTGTACAAAGAGACGGCAACTAATGACAACCGCGCATCCTGCCGGACAAGGCCTTACGGCCGGGCCACTGCTTGAAACTAGCAGCGTTGGAGAGACACGTTCGGTTGAAAAAGATGGGGGACACTTTGAGCGAGGAGTCTTCTTCAGCGATCCACCGCATTTTATTCGGCTGCACTGGATCTGAACAAGCAATTGAAATCGGAAACCCATAACGTTCGTGGTTAGTGCGTGAAGGCTGAGCAGAGGCCAAATCGATACGACGCGTGGGAGAGGTAGGATGAAGTAAGGAGTCGTACGGGTATTTTAGCGTGCTCATGAATGACTATCATAGAGACCGTGATCTAGAAACCGACCAAACCAACAACGACACTGAGCCCATGCTTGTACCACCCTTTCGCCGCAGGCGAGACCCACCTTGAGCTAGAAAGACCCGAAGCCAACCGGAATAAGCTGGCAGCCGCGCTCATGCCCCCTATGCAAACTTAGCCTCGGTAGAAAGAAATCATCCTCACACGTCGTATCATCGCTGATTCCACAATCCCTGCTGCATCTCCCTGATCCTCCTCTCCTGCTCCCTGATCATCTCCTCCGTCTGGCCCCTCGCATTCCCCCGACTATCAATCTCCATCCTATCGCTCTGCTCCCTTTGCAACCCTCCTCTGGCCGCCTTCGTTGGATCCTTGCTCAGCGCTCCATCCATCATTGCCGCCCCGCCACCAGCCCTGAGCTGATTGATCGCCCTAATCGTATCAATCGCCGCATGCAGCGTCCTCCTCGCATTGAAGTTCTTCTTAACAGTTGGCAGCAAGTCCTCGCCCATCTGGTCGTCGCTGGTGTCAGCGATCCAGGGATGGCTGAGGGCTTCGTGGGCGGTCATGCGGGCGGTGGGCTCGGTCGTGAGGCAGCGTTTGATGAATTCGCGCGCGGCTTGGGAGACGCCGCGCCAGTATTCGACCGGGGTGAAGGAGTAGTCGGCGACGAGGATGGCTTGCATTTCTTCGAGGTTGGAGTCGCGGTCGAAGGGGGTGTAGCCGCAGAGGAGGAAGTAGGTTATGACGCCTATTGCCCAGACGTCGCTGTGGCTTGGTGTCAGCTTAATCTTGTCGGCTCAGGGTCAAGTGTTCGGGTGGACGGAGAGCATACACTGGTTTCCCGTGCCCCGACTTTTTGAAGATCTCTGGCGCCATGTAGCCGGGTGTGCCGCACGTTGTGGTCAAGACGTGGAACTGCTCCTCGTCCATGATCCTTGAGAGGCCGAAATCGGCAATCAGGAGGTCTGCGTTGTCTTCGGGCGTCCGGAAGAGGAGGTTCTCAGGCTTCAAATCGCGGTGTACGATGCCGTGATCATGCAGGTACGCTACGGCGGATAATGTGGCTCGGACAAGATCTGCTGCATCGCTCTCATAGTAGCTGCCTTTGCGACATATGCGGTCAAATAACTCGCCGCCCAGGGCGAGGTCGGTGACAAGGTACACTTCTACAAGTAAGCTTTGAGCGCAGAGGCTGCCGGGGCGACAGAGGTCGGAGGAGCTTGTTCGTACAGTTGTTCATCGTTTCGAAGTAGTCCACCAGCGTGAGGATGTTCTGGTGGCCCATTGACACTCTCTTGAGCACGGCGATCTCATTCCGCACCTGAGTGCCGTCACAGTCAGCACCGCCATTGTTGTCGCACGTTGTGTGTCCGGCGCACCATGTGCTCCCTTCCGGCCATAAGACGCTTGTTGATAACTTTTGCCGCATAGTATCGCCCAGTGTCGATGTGTACGCATTCTTTGACTACCGAGTATGATCCCGCACCCAGCGTCTTTCCCGTCTTGTAGCGACACGGTTGGATCTGCATCTGCTGCGACTGCTGTCGGGCAGCTGGATGGCCGTTCTGCTGAGTGGCCATTGTTTCATATGTGTCGAAGTACGGGGCACTGCAATGCTCGCGCGTGAGGCTGTGGAGGATCTCGAGGTCGCGATAAGGGCCCGTCCCACGTCCCGTCTGGGCAGGGTCTGAAGTTTGGATAGCTACTGTAGGTAGCGATGAAGAAGTGAAGAAGGCCTAACGTTATGTATGCGTCAAAACGACAGCGTTACCGATTCATCCATTGAGATAGAGGCCCCAAGGTTTAGCGCGGGGTGTGTGAGCTGAACAGTTCTCAAGTGGCCGATCCATGCAGGTGCTGTTCGGCTGCTTCCAGCTGAGGCTGCAGCTGCAGTGGGGACTCGGCGCCCTGGAGGAGCTGCCCCGTGTTTTTCAACGGTGTTCCAGACCGTGCTTGGCCCCTGCGTCAGCTCGCTCGGGATATCGAGGGTACTCGAGTAGCAAGCAGCATGTCTTATGTCTACATGACTAGCTATCTACATCTATCACCAAGCTCATGCGAGTCGTGTCCTCCTCTTCATCGTGTCGACGTCCACGAAGCTTTTGTGTCACGCTGCTCACGCTTTCACCAGCAAGCTGTGACCGGTCATCTCCTCTGGCTGCTCAAGGCCCATGATTTCGAGCAGCGTGGGAGCAACGTCACCCAACACCCCGTCCTGCTTCTTCAAGCTCCATCCTTTCGGTGCATTGACCATCACGAATGGGACCTTGTTCGTCGTGTGCGACGTTTTCGGCTGGCCCTCTTCGTTGAGCATCTCCTCAGCGTTGCTGCCACTTCAGTCAGTTCCTAACGCAGTCTTGCTCCGCCGTGTCCTGGCACCACTTACCCATGGTCGGCCGTGATGAACAGCACGTATCCACTCTCTTTGCACTGCTCGTACACCTTCCCTATAGCCTTGTCCGTCTCGGCCACGCCCTTGATCGCCGCTTCGTACACGCCCGTGTGCCCTACCATGTCCGGCGGTGCAAAGTTGTTCATCAGGAACTCGAACTTCCCTTCCTTGATCCTCTCGCACAGCTTGTCTGCGACGCCCATGGCGCTCATCTCAGGCTCCAGGTCGTATGTCGGCACCTTTGGGGAGGGAATCATGTCGCGCTCCTCGTTCTCGAACTGCTTCTCAACGCCGCCGTTGAAGAAGAAAGTGACGTGGGCGTACTTCTCCGTCTCGGCGACGTGGCATTGCTTGACCCCCTGCTTTCCTAGCCACTCGGCAAGAACGTTGCCCATGCGCTGCGGTGGAAACGCAACCGGGAAGGTGTATTTGGTGTTGTACTGTGTCATGGTCGTGAGCTGTACGTTCTTCGGATACGGGAAGTCCGGCTTTGGAGATCGGTCAAAGTCGCCCAGGAGCTGAGTAACCTCGCGGACCCGATCTGAGCGGTAGTTGAAGAAGAAGACGGTGTCGTCGTCTTGGATTCGGCGCTCCTTTCCGCCAACAATGATCGGCTTCAGGAACTCGTCTGTCTCGCCCTTTTCGTATCGCTCCTTGACCTTGACGACTGGGTCGTCGGCCTCTTCGCCCTCACCCAAGACAAGTCCCCTCATGCCAATCTCGACCCTGTCCCAGCGCTTGTCGCGGTCCATGATGAAGTATCTGCCGACCACCGTAGCAATGTCGCCAACCCCGATCTCCTTTGTTTGGGCGATCAGTGTTTCCAGGTGGCCTGCGCCGGACTTGGGATCAGTGTCTCGGCCATCGCCAAAGAAGTGGATGAAGACCTTCGGCACGCCCATCTCTTTGGCGACTTTTAGGAGCGCGATCAGGTGGTTGATGTGTGAATGCACGCCTCCGTCAGATACCAAGCCGCAAAGGTGCAGCCGGCCGTTCGTATCGATCGCTCGCTGAAATGACTTGGTGATGTTCTCAATCTTGTTCATTTCGCCTTTCTTGATGGTCAAGTCTATCCTGACAACATCCTGCCATACAACACGTCCGGCGCCGATGTTCAAGTGGCCGACCTCACTGTTACCCATGAGGCCCTCTGGTAAGCCGACGGCGAGTGACGAAGCCTCAAGCTCTGTATAGCCCTGGGCCATCTCTGAGCCTTCCTCGGCGAACCCGTCCATCCATGGTGTCTCGGCCGCGGCAATGGCATCGCCATCTTTGGGCGAGTTCTCAGTGGGGATGCCCCAGCCGTCAATGACGATGAGCACGGCTTTCTGGTCGACTTTGACCATGGTGAAGACTTCAATGGCGACGAGGTCAGTCCGGATCTGATGGCCACAACAAGTGAATGCCTACAAGGTATGTTATGCTAAGGTTCAGCAATATAATGCTATCTCAAGCGGGTTGCTTTGAATGGTGAAGCTTTGTGGTAGGAATACTCGATGGTGGGGCAGTTTGCTCGCGCAAAAGAAAGGGTCGCGGCTCGCAGTTCAACCCCTCCACCGAAGGAACGTCACTGACAGGGAATCGGCAATTACCAACGACCCGCGCGTGGGTTTCGGTCCCCGAGACGCGTCGCACTCACGACGGGCTTCAATCTCGACAGCTCTCAGCAATACCAAGTCACACCAGAAGTACCGGTAGGTTGACCCACTGAATTGACGACGTCAAGCACACGAGCACGAGCAAGTAGCCACCCTAGACATTGGTGCCTTGCATCGTTTCCTATCCTCCCTACTTCTTGAACGGCTTCGAGTGGCTTCGCTCGTCCTTGCGGAAGCCTCTGAGCATCGTCCTGAAAACAAGAAGCGCGTTGCTGATTTGTTCCTCATCTCAGGCCTTCTATTCCGAGTCAGAAATGTCTAGCCCGATGCAATCCTCCTTCAGCACGCCGAACGCCAGTTCGGCTCCTGCAGCCGCCCTTCCGCCAACCCAGCTCTCGTTTTCCTCTCCGCCGAGCTTACCTCCGCCCTCCACCTTCGACTTCCTCCCCCTGGTCCACCAGCTCCTCTCCCGCCTACCTCCCGCCGTCGCCTCAGCTTCGCTCACACCTTCTGGCTCCAGCAACGGCTCTTCATCCTATCCGGGCCAGCCGCCCATCGAGATACATCAGCTGGGCGCTGAGGCAGGCGCCATCAAGAGCCGCATACAGAGAGCGCGGAATGCGGTCAAGGCACTGCCGGATATCCAGAGAACTCTCCGGGAGCAGGAAGCTGAGATTGCCTATCTAGAGGACAGGATACGACAGCTGCAAAACGTCTTTCCGAGTAGCAAGAGTACAAACGGCGTCGAGGGTCATCCCTGAAAGCGGTTGCAACACGTAGGAACCCTAGTCAAGAGGGCGATCATGACCAAAGCTGACTACCTGCTCCTCGCACATGATGAAAGCAAGGCGAAGGGTCAGCAGGCTTGACGAAAAGGAAAGCGAGCAAGCGAATTTCCGGGAAATGTTCCAGGCTGGTTGAGAACGACGAACGCCAAGGAAGTTGGCCAATGTGACCCTGGCGCCCGTGCGATCTGATATTTTGCGAGGCTGTACTGGAGACGATGAGTGGCCTGTAGAGGCGCGGGTGTCTTCCGCACATATCTCTGCACTGTGAAGGTGAGGTTCGCCAGAGCTTCATAGAGCCACCAAAAGTATCCTGGGTTGTCGAGCAAAGAAACTCGACGCGGCAAGCCTTTTGTCTTGCTGCTACTCTCAGGAGCTACAGCATACGTCTCCTCCCATGGTGCACTAAGTGGTGCTCCCAGGCATATAGAGATGTTTTGTTAACCCAATCAGTCGGTGTAGTGCACGAGATTGGTACATAGAGGCTGCCGTCAACAGCGCTGTGAGTTCGGAGAGACCGAGCACTTGAAGAAAGGATACACAAGGAACAACTCGAAGAACCGAAACAGTTCAGCCCTAAGCCCGTCAAAATAGTACCGAACAGATGCCCCTCATTCGAATAAGCGTTACACGACGCCCTTGCTCGACGCTGCCAATTTTGGCTCACCCGCCTCCCGTTTGCTCCACCCTTGAAACCCGTCCCTTCTTTGTAATCCACACCCCTTCCCGTTCCCCTTAGTTACAACTTACTCCCCCCGCCATTTCCAGCCACAGGGCAAGCCCTCGACGTTGTGTCCGTCTGAGGCGCCAGCATTAAGCGAACCGTGCCAGTATCGCTCTGCTGCCCAGCAACACACAATTCCGCCCTGAGAGGTAGCGTGCCGTAATACTGTCCGCCGTCGTGCGGCACATCAGCATCCGCAGCCGGTCGATCAATTCGCCTCGGGTTGAGTGTATCCAGCACAATGCATCATCTCGTGCAGCAACATCTGAGCAATCTCGTCGTCCCCAAGCAGGAACAGGTTTGTGAAATTGCCTGCAATGCTCTGCCCGTTGACGTGTGCGCTCGCGTCGGCGTTGGGGTCTGTCGACACGCTGTGGGCGATGGGTTTGCGGTATGCCTGGCGCACGCGGTCCTTTTCGGCTTGGGAGAGATTCCCGCAGATGCCGGCGCGGTGGTAGGCCCAACTGTGGCGCTCGAAGAGAGTGGACTTTTGCGTGGGGTCAATGCCAGTGAAGGTGAAATTCTTGAAGAGGCCTGAGTTATACCAGCCGTAGAGGGGGACGGTTGCGGGGGAAGCAGTTGGATGCAGATACCAGGTTATGCCCTCGGAACGGTATCCACTTTTATGGGGCGGGTTCGCCAGCTGCGTCTGTGGTGTAGAAGTAGTCGCCGTTGTTAGTGTTGTACCAGTGGTAGGAAGTTGACGTTTCTATCTTTGAAAATGTACCATCCTATTCTTTCATAGGTGTAGCTTCGAGGGGCGAGCTCGCCGCTTGGGTCTGCGGTGCAGAAGTGATCGCCATTAGCTGGGTTGTAACAGCGAAAGATAGGGACTGTTCCTGGTTGTTGGGCGGCATAGACGTAGCCGGTTATTCCCTCTCGTTCGTAGCCATTCGCGGGAGCGATCTCGCCACGGAAATCAAGACAGTAGAAGTGGTCTCCAGACATATTGTAGGTTGCTCAGAAGGCTGGTCACGAAAAGAAGGAGATGGATCTGCCGATGTAAGAAGAGAGGTAAACTGTTGCTAATACAGACCGCGTGCCGTGCGGGGGGCCAGCGTGCTTCTACTGCTGCTGAGCGAGCCGTCCGCCTCTTTTCAAGCATTGTGTTTCAGTTCAAGCCTCAAGACTATACCAAGCGCTGGATATGCAGCCGCATGTCAAATTTGGCCCAAGAGCTCGCATTGAAAGAAGGTTGTGGATGCTGGGCGAAGAGCCACAGTCGTAAGATTCGGCACGCACGCACACTCACAACCGCGCGTGGGGGAAGTTGCGGCCTACCTAGGCACCCATAAATCGAGTGGTCAAACTATTGCTAAAACTGTCAATCCGATGTACTCGCCGTACCCACAAACACTCGAAAGGTTTTAAATCAACTCTTTGAGCCATGAAACAGAATGTCTCCCAAGGCGAAGGGAAAATGGGAGCTGATCGAAAGGAGAAGCGCAGACTGAAGATTTTCTCCACACGTAGAGGTGTCTGGAATCGTCTCCAAAATGGGCACGCTTTACCGTTCTCATCGTTGGCGGGATAAAAAACAACCATGATTCATAAGCTCTATTGATGTAGGTACAGTCTTTCATAAGTTAGGGAGTTCACCTACGGCTGAACAGGATGATTCCTATGGCGCTTCCAGATCTATTTACAAGCACAAGCCACCCTTCGCGTGCTTTTTGAAAGGCTAATAATGTCTCCATAAAAGTCTCCGGCGTGGGGAGACACCACCTGCATCATCCCCATCTTTCAGAGAAGCATGTTCAAAGTGCGCGGAGAGAGCCGGGTTGTTGCCATGGGATGTAGAGAGCGTACCTTACGGTCGGTTCCCATCTTGTGCTGCAACTCCCCTTCGCTAGCGCCTTAACAATGAGTCGAACTTTAGATTGATTGTGATATATGAGCACCAGAGTCAAGCTGGGAAGCAACGTCGGGCCGTGCTGGTTCGAAACTAAACCTTTGACTCACAGCCGTCGCAGCCAGTGTGGATATAACTGGCAGTCAACCGCGCTGCTTTGTAAAGTCCGAGATGTTACTTTTATGTTCAAATAAAACCTTGTTGGATCTGAAGTTACCGTTGCCCATGGAGAGCGGCCTATATATGAGGCGCCTCATCCGAAAGCCCTTTCGATGGTGAAAAGCGACAGTCACGTGATGTCACGGGGGCCCCGACTCGCGACCAAGGACCTTCTATAACGAAGGTATTGTCGGTCGGTGGACGGCTTTTAGGTGGAGAGACCAGGAACGTTCATCTCGGATGGCCCTTTAGACGTTCCTGAAGACGAGATCTCTTTCGGCGATGCCGTACTCGAGCCGCTTCCTATAAAGACCGATATTGTACGGCTTTGTGTAGCGCGAGATGAAGGGTCTATGGCGACATACAGCAGAACCATGGACGGATCGACGCTGTCAGCCAGCAATTCAGCTTCAACTCCAGGTCTCAAGAGTTCAGGGAAGGACGCTTCGTCTGAGGGTTGATGCCCGCATGCAACCATCCGCCGCAGAGAGACAACACGAGAGGACAGCGGAGGACTGCCCATTTCCACGAGTCTGTCGATCCCCCAGGATGCAGCGTTCTTAGCACCTTCCATATCCCTTCCATATCCCTTCCAAAAGAGACGAGATGGCTTATCGGGCGTTTCAGAGAGCGGGTGGACCGAGATATCGCCCACGTAATCGAACCCAATGGTTGCTCGTTGTCCACTAGTAGCGACAAAATTTGGCCTGCTTGGTCGCCGAACCCTGATCACCAGTGGCAGCCGACGTTATGCGCGCACACGGAGGACTCGCCGTTACGCCGTTTACTGCCCACGAGCTGGTACTCATACGAGTACCGTTCAGAATCAATGCATGCCCTGACAGACAGCAGATATCTCTGGCTGAAAAGCAGTAAACGATCACGAACGCCTCGGACCCGCCGTGAAGAAGAGAAATCGGCGGCAAAGGGTTCGCTGGCGCAATGATCCACTGTCTGCGGCGCGCCCCATGCTCTCCTTCTGAACCGCTTCTCTGGCTTGCAGAAAGCGTCCGGCGTGCAGAAGCTTGAGCTCGGGCTCTTGCCTCCTGCTCGACTGGCGCAAGCGCCACTGATGTCCGGCCGCCCGCTATCCGCCACGAAAAACGGGCGGCCGATATCTCATTAACCAGGACGGGCCTCGGGTCAGACTTCGGTTCCCTCGGCATCATCAGCTTGGCGTTCGTCGCTCTCCAAATCAGAGAGCAGCATGGGCAGAGTGCAACGTTGATCCTTAGCACATTTTTACTGTCGCATTACCACCTCCCCGATGAGGATGCGCTTGATTTGCGCTCGGGCTATCGCAGGTCCCCCGCTGCATTTTGCGTGGATGGCAAGCTGGAGCGGAGTGAAGTAAATGGCTTATCTTTGCTCGCCTGATCACGAATGCTTTAATCTGTGCGACTCCCCAGCCGGCTCCTTGCTTGACAGGAACATTCAGCAATCCTCCAGGGTCTCATATCACTACCTAGGTAGTCCCGCCTCCAACAGCGGAGAACAGCAAAGATGAATCCGGCAAACGACTTCGTAGAAGTAGCCAAAGGCCATGAGCCTACCTCTGCCCTCCCTGGCCTTGACACGGTGCCTGGGAGCAAAGGGCTGGGTGAATTCGACGAGAAGGGTGTCGTCTCAAGCGCAGGCTCAGTGAGCGACTCTGACACGCCCACGGAAGAAGAGCTCCACACGCTACACCGCGTGTCTGGCGCGATCCCCTGGGTTGCCTACACGATTGCCTTTGTCGAACTTTGCGAGCGCTTCTCGTACTATGGCACCACCGTTGTCTGTAGGTTACCCCCGATATCGAGCCGCGCCCTGTTTGCATTGGCCTAACTTGTCATCCAGTCGTCAACTTCATCCAGCAACCGATGCCGCCGGGGTCAACGACCGGTGCAGCTCCAGACGGCCAGCCGGGCGCGCTGGGAATGGGACAGCGCGCATCGACGGGGTTGACAACGTTCAACGCTTTCTGGGCCTACACGATGCCTATTCTCGGTGCCTACGTCGCTGATGAGTATCTCGGTCGCTTCAACACCATCCTCGCCGCCATTGGTGTTGCCCTTGTCGGGCACGTCATCCTCATCATCTCTGCCATTCCGTCGGTCATCTCGAATCCCAATAGTGCCATCGCCTGCTTTTCCGTCGGTCTTATCATCATGGGAGTCGGTGTGGGCGGTTTCAAGTGCGCCTCTGCACCACCTGTTTAGCGGAAACCGTGACGCTGACTCTGGTAACAGATCTAACATCTCTCCACTGATCGCGGAGCAGTACCCAGACACCAGGATGCGTGTCACTGTTGACAAAAAGACCGGTCAACGCGTCTTGATGGATCCTACGATTACCATATCTCGGATCTACCTCTATTTCTACATGATGATCAACATCGGCTCGCTTGTCGGCCAGATCTGCATGGTTTTCGCCGAGAAGTATGTTGGGTTCTGGCTCTCATACACTCTGCCGACCCTCATGTTCTGCCTATGCCCAATGGTTCTATTCGCATGCCGGAAAAAGTATAACAGAACCCCCCCGAGCGGGTCTGTACTGGCCAAGGCGCTTCATCTTTGGACTCTTGCCATGAAGGGTCGCTGGTCAATCAATCCTGTGCGGACGTAAGTAAATGCAGTTCTCAAACGTGAGGTGCACTACTAAGATTTGACCAGTTACAAGAATATGCGAGCAGACGATTTCTGGCAGAATGTCAAGCCAAGCAGGATCGAGCCAAGCAGGCGGCCAAAATGGATGACATTCGACGACCAGTGGGTTGACCAAGTGCGCCGTGGATTCAAGGCCTGCTCCGTCTTCCTGTGGTATCCTCTTTACTGTGAGTGCGGCCTACCAAAGCAGCCCCGCCTCCTCCGTACTGACCACTCAATCTCAGGGCTCTCGTACAACCAGACGGTTAACAACCTGACCTCCCAAGCCGCAACCATGGAACTAAACGGCGTCCCCAATGACATAGTCACAAATCTCAACCCGCTCTCCCTAATCATCATGATCCCAATCTTCGACCGGTTAATCTACCCCGGCTTCCGCAAAGCCGGCATCAACTTCACGCCACTCAAGCGCATCTTCATGGGCTTCGTGATGGGCATGGTCGCCATGATCTGCGCCTGCATCACCCAGCTGTACATCTACCGGAAATCGCCTTGCGGCGACCAAGCGAACAGCTGCGATGAGCCGGCCCCGATCAGCGTCTGGGTCCAGACACTTCCTTATTTCTTCATCGGCATCTCGGAGATCTTCGCTAGTATCACTGGGCTTGAATACGCATTTACAAAGGCCCCCAAGAACATGCGGAGTCTTGTCACCTCGGTCTTCCTGTTCCAAACCGCGTTCTCGAATGCCATTGGGCAGGGGCTGGTCGGCCTGTCGGAGGATCCGCTGCTCGTTTGGAACTATGGCGTTGTGGCTATCCTCTCGGCCATTGGCGGCATTGGCTTCTGGCTGACGAACAGGAAACTCGACAAGGAGGAGGATGCGTTGAATATGCTGCCGGATAGCGCGTACGGTGGTAAGGGCAGGCGCCAGTCTGTGGCTCCCTGAGTAGTTCTTGGGAAAGGAGGCGCAGTTGGATTTTTTTTACTTCGGCGCTACTCAAGATATTTATGGAGCGAAGCAAAAAAAGTGCTCTTGTGAATATACCCCTTACGATAGTGGATAAGTGACTCAGATGGCTTCAACGAACAACGTCTCCTTTGCCGCGTGAGTGTATTATCGTTGAAGATACGTGACTGATGTCAAGAGCACTCTGATCAACGACAATCGAAACCATCTCCCTCGATCAGTCCAATTAATCACTACGACCGGACAAGTAGGACGTTGGTCTGCAATGAGAGCACGTCTAGGCGTTTCTGACCTACTGACAGCAATGTTCGTAGCGTTGAACCGCGATTGCCACTTAATGGATTCTATGCTGTATACCACACTGTAGCCGCGATCGTGCAAGATCTGGCCGCTCGGGTTTACGGTCCAGCACAGCTAATATTACCGAGACATGTGTTCTCTATCTAGGTCCGCATTTGGCTGAGGACAGATCTTGTACTATCTATCTGAATCAAGGCTTCATATTCTACAGACCCTGAAGAAACACAAAACCGTAGAGTCTTTATCCTCAACCCATGGCTTCCCTGCCAAAATTTCCCCACTCCTGCTTTTCCCTAGTAACTTTACTGCTTCGGTCAGGCCGCCGATCAAGCTCCTCGCTCTTATCGTCATTTCTGGTAGCCTGTGCTGTTTCCGCTTCTTCGGAGCCGTGTTCGTCTTCCACGAAATTGAACCGCGCCTCGGGCGGCAAGTCCTTTTCGAAATCCTCGAAGCTCCAGTTCGTCGGCTGAGCCTCTTCCTGCTGGGCTTCTCCTCGCGTGGTCGTTTCCGCACCCTCTTCCGCCATCTCCTCCACATCAGCCTCACGATACCGTGCCTGCCCTCCCACATCCGGCCCCTCGTCCGGACGGCCTGTAGCAATGGGGCGGAACACCGCTGCTCTCGAATCGTGTTTCAGGATTCTAAACCCACCCTCCTTGGCCTTGACCTTGCGCGGCTGCGCCGATTCTCTAGCCTGACTGGGCTCCTCAGACATAGCCATGCCCCCAAACGCATACCGCAACAGCTTGTACACCGTATACCGCGGCATATGCTCAAAGATCCTATCATTCCGCAACGCCGCCATGACCAAATTCCGCGCGTCTTGCATCCTGGTCCGCTCTTGCGCGCCCGGCTTCCGGGCAAGAGGCTCATCGTGCTGGCTAAGCTCGATGCTGGGCCCGATGGTGCGGTAGGCTCTGTTGCCGTAAACCAATCCCCTGACCCGCTGCGTCGCCTCGTGCCCATTGATCCACGCATCCGCGTCCGCGTCTTTGTGTTCAACGTGCCCCGGCCGTATCCTGACGACCTTCGCGAGCACGACGGCGTGGTCGCCCACGTCGATGCACTTGGCGGGCAGGAGATCGCAGTCCAGCGCCATCAGGATCCCCGGGCCGTGGATGGCGGGCGCCCAGGGTTTCTTATCCTGGAAGGCTACGCGCATGCCTTGGTCTGTGAGGACCTGGAAGCCGGCTTCGGGAGAGCCTTTGGTGAAGGCGTCGGCGACGCGGGCGCCGGCGGCGTTGCCGGACAGAATCAGGATCCGGAAGACTTGGCGCGAGGCCAGGGCGCTGAAGGTCCGGCTGGGGACCTTGACGTTGAAGCTGACAATTGGGTCGGGGCTTAGTGTTACGGTTGTGAATGAGGAGACGGTCATGGCGCGGAGGTTGGGGGAGGGAGTGGCCGTGGGAGTGGGTTCTGTGGGCGGCTCGGTGGATGCTGGAGGGCTGTCTTCAGCCGGAGGCGAGGAGGTGGTGATGACGACCACGGGGTGTGCCATCTGTCGCATTAGGAGCCGCATGCCGTCTGCGATGTTGACGTTGAAGTCGAAGCTGTCGCCGAAGACGGGGACGAAACCCCTGCCGCTAGGGGCTGCAGATGGGGGGTCCGTATCTGCGGGGGAAGTTGTGGTTTCACTTTCTGCCGGCGTAGAGCTGGATGTTTCTGCGTTGCGCTGCCGTCCGAGCTCTACTGTATCGCCCTTGTAGAGCCTTCTTGAGGTAGAGAAGGCACATTGCCGATTTCGGGAGGTGATGATGCGTTGCGTATGCTTTAGCGGCAGGCCGTCTTTGTGCTGGTCGGCGCCTTTACACAGTTAGCTTTGAAGAAAACATAGAATATAGCTAGTATACTTAAGATGTTAGTCCATCGATAGAAAGCGCGGAAAAAGCGTCTCGCAGCACCCGCGGGCGCCGCGAAGGTTACGTGCTGCATTACTCTTCATTCGCCATAGCCGCAATCCGAATGATTGAATGCAACTGATTACAGTCGTCACAAAGAGCGGAGCTTGTTGATCAAATGCCCGAGTATGATATATACTGTACCGCAGGTTGAAGATAGGAAGCGTGCCGGCCGTTGAACTTGCGGAGCTTTCTCTCACCTCCGGGTGGGAAGTTCCGTCCTCCGCCCTTCTCATGCGCGAACAATCCTCAGAGCTTGCTTGCTTGCTTCCCCGTATCAAACACAACCCACAATGTCCTTAACACTATCAACGCCCGCCCGGCGCATCACCACCCTCCCCTCAACCATCCGTCCCATATCCCATCAACAATGCCGCCACGCCTCCCTGATCCGCCGCCAAAAGCGCCCCTACACCTTCACCCAGCTCATCACCCTGTCCGACGGCTCGACCTTCGTGCACCGCACAACATCGCCGATCGCGGTCGTCAAGTCAAACAAGGATGTTAAAAACTCCCCGCTCTGGAATCCGAGCAGTCAGAAGCTGCTGAATGTGGAGGAGGACGAGGCGGGGAGGCTGAGGGCGTTTAGGGCGAGATTTGGACGGGGTTGGGATGCGGAGACTGCGGCTGAACAGGAGGAGGTAGGTCGGCTGTATTTCCTTGGTAGAAACGGCTGATTATTGTGGGGAGGCTTGGGCAGATGGCGCTTTTGGTCACGGACTCTGGATGGAGACACTACACGAACAACAGCTGACAGAAGGCCCAATCACAGGTACGCGAAGGCGAAGACGCTTTCCCGCCAGAGGAAGCTGAGGACAGCCTCCTGGATCTGATAAGCGGTTACGGACAGCAAGCGGAGGCAAAGGGCGAAGCGAAGGGGACGCGGCAAGAGGCTCCGAAAGCTGCCGGTGGGAAAGGTACCGCGAAAGTATCGAAGTCGCGGGTTCCTTGATGTTGGACGGGAGCAGTTATCGCTGGATGGAATAGGTGGACTGCGTTGCGGGTGCATAGAAGAGTGGCATTTGGCATAGAAGGCGTAGGGCTGTTTCAGGGGATTCCCAGATGATACCAGGCCAGCGCCAAATACTACTGAATACTCTCGGCTAGTTCACATCATTTGGGCCAAGTGTCTTCGTCCACAACGCCATTTCTTTGGGATATGATGGGGTAAAGTCTGTACCGAGCCGACCCACGAAGAGAATCAGAGAATCAGTCGTTGAAGCAGCGGGCATTACCACAGCTGTCGAAAGATGCTAACAAGTGAAACGCTGCTCTCGCAACTGATACCTACCCACCTTCCACTCAGGCAGCGGAAACCCTTACGGACGGCGGGCAAGATTTATTTTAATTCCGCCCCACCATGACGTCCAGCGGAGAGCGCCCAGCATCCTCAACGCGTTGCGCTCCACGTACACTCGCAGGCTGCCATATCCCGAATCCTACCTACACCCTCTTACTCCTTTGCAGTATATAGACCTGAACTCTGACTGATCACGTCATCTCCGACTCAAACCGTGCTGTCTGCCTGATCAGTACTCTTAGTCAACACACCACAATTCACACCTATAATATTTCGGCGGCTGCGGAACATTCTTAGGCCTTGGAGACGATTCCTTTTAAACGCGAATATCGGAGACCATCATGGCTGCTTCTACGGCGCGTAGGTCTAGTGTCACGCCCATGAGCGTAGAAGAGGTGGTCAAGCAAGCCGGAAGCTTCGAGTACAACTCCCAGATACCGCTCAGATACTGGCTTAGGAGTGCTGACACCATACGAAAGGAGGTTTGTCGCGTCAACCGCCTCACACGACTATGGTTTGACTGACGGCGTTTCAGGCTCAAATCTATGAGCGCGAAGGCAACGACCAACAGACGTACCTCCTCCTCTTTCGGCATGCTATCCTCGTGCTCGAGAAGCTCTCAAAGCATCCCGAAGCCAGAAACCCGGAGCATCGACTAGCTTTGGCAGCAGCGAACGCAAGAGTGTCCCAGGACCTGGCGAAACTGGAGGTACTCAGACCTGGAATCAACGACCGGCACAGCAAATACCTCGCGGCCGTCGCCCGGCGCGATGCGCAGAGGCGAGAATGGGAAAATCGAAGGTCGGTGCAGCTGGACGGTGCGGACCTAGCTACTGGCTTGAACCGGCTGTCGATAGAGGGCCGACGAGAGTCCGATGGTGCGTTACACGGCGCAAAGAAAACGCTGGAGCCAGAGACGAACCGGGACCTGGCTATCAAGATAGCGCATAAGGAAATTCGGAGGAGAGACCATGCGCGGCGGGCAGAGCGACAACCGGATCCGTATGGGGAGCAGAGGACTGAAAAGCGAGCCTCGGATACGAGGGACACTCGGGGGAGCAACTCGCGTCGAATCAACGACGGTGAAGACGACGACCTCTCTCGCCGAATCGTAGAGGCAGGCCGGCTAAGATATCAGCCTGCCAGTTCGCCAAAAGGCAGGAAAAGCGCCGATGGGAAGACCTTCATACCCGAACCGTACCGCTACCCCAACGTCCCACAGAAGAGCGCCTACGAAGTATGGGGTGAAACCGTCATGAAGCCTCTACCTCCCAGCGCCGCCAAAGAGGCACCATCCAGGGGCATGCTCCGCGAACCTGGCATACCGAGCAGACCTAACCCTCCACAGCTACCTCAGCGACCACCTAAAGAAACCAACGGCATCTCCTTAATGTCTCCACCTCCCCTACCAGAAAAAGTGTACCAGTCCGATTTCCCAGAACCTCCATCCCGCTCCCTGACCACCTCACCAGCGCATGACCTCAACTCCCAGAACTTCACCTTCAAGCCCTCCGCAACCCTCGAAAACGGCAACCACCTCCGCACCGTCTTCCTCCCCCCAGAACTCCGCCACCAATTCCTCGCCATCGCGTACCCGAACACCCAGCGCAATCTCGAAACCTGCGGCATGCTGTGCGGGACGCTAATCTCGAACGCGCTCTTTATCAGCCGGCTCGTGATTCCGGACCAGGAGAGCACGAGCGACACGTGCGAGATGCTGAATGAGAGCGCGCTGTTCGACTACTGCGATAGCGAGGATCTTATGGTGCTGGGCTGGATACACACGCATCCTACGCAGACGTGTTTCATGAGCAGTCGTGACTTGCATACGCATTCGGGATACCAGGTCATGATGCCGGAGTCCATTGCTATTGTTTGCGCGCCTAGTAAGGATCCTTCGTGAGTCTCGTCCCCACCCGCCTTGCTCCCTCCCGTTGCATCTCCCAACCTTACTGTGCCCTAGAGCTCTCAGTGAGTTCCAGCCATGCGGAACAGCCTAGCTAACAACAATCACAGGTGGGGTATCTTCCGCCTCACTGACCCACCAGGTCTAAAGACGATCCTCAACTGCACACAGACAGGCATTTTCCATCCGCACACTGTGAGCAATGTTTACACCGATGCGCAGAAGCCGGGTCATGTATGGGAGTTGCCGGGGCTGGAGTTTCAGGTTGTGGATCTGAGGGGCAAGTCGTAAGCTGAAACACCTGTGTGTCACTTTGGACCTGGGTTGGGACTTGCATAGTTAATGCGCGGCGTTGAGGGCAGGATGTGGGCTATGTTATCGGTGGTGTAGCGGATTGCTTTGGCTTTATTTCTAAGGGTCACACGCAGTAAGTCTGCGGCGGCGCGTCCTTTGACGGGTCACAATGCATAACCGCTGAGCGGATTAGATTCGTATCCAGACTCCTTCCCAATGGAATCACTGGTATCGCTGCGCCTAAACAAACCCACTATGCCCCTCCGTAAATTTTGCAACGCCCTCAAACGTAGACCTTCAGCCCCTCCTGCGTATCTAAGCTACAAAATCTACGGCAAATACGCACCCCCCGCCAAGCAGAGGTTCATGTTCGTCATCCTGACCTTGTAAACCGGGCTCTTCTTCGTCGGAAGCGCTGAGATCTGATCAGCCGTAACCACCTGATCCTTCCTCCCCTTCTTAACCCCCCCTGCACCCGCCGCCCCACTATCTATCTTCGCACCCGCGCCCCCCTCCGCCACAACCTTTCCATTGCTTTCCGCCGTCGTCTGCAGCACGTCCCAGACCCTAACCGTACCGTCCGCACCACCTGAGACTAGAACCGTGGATTCGACGCTCCAAGTCAGCGACCAGATCCCGCCCTTCCCATGGCCCCGCATGCGCTTCTTCCTCGTCCCGTTCTTGAGGTCCCACAGCAGAATCGTGCCTGCATCGTCCGCGGACGCAAGCGTCTGGCCGTCCGGGCTACATGCCAGCGCGGTGATATTCCCCGTGTGGCTCGTGAACATCCTGACGGCGTTCCCGCGGCCGACGTCCCACATCCTGACTTGTCTATCACTGCTCCCGGTGAAGACGTACGCGCCGTTGGGGTGCCAGGCAACAACGTCGACGTCCTGGTCGTGGCCGGCGAAGATGCGCAAAGGCTCGATGAGATCGGTCGACCAGAGCCGCGCCGTGCGGTCGTGGCTGCCGGACAGGAAGTAGTGCCCGTGAGGGCCCCACTGCACGTCCCAGACGGGGCTGTCGTGGCTCTTGTACGCGACAAGGCAGGTCCAGGTGTCGAGGGACCAGAGGCGGATGGTTTTGTCGGCGGAGCAGGAGAGGAGGTATTGCGAGCTCGTTGAGGGCCCGCTGCCAGAGGGGTCGGGGTTGGCGATGGAGGGGGAAAAGGAGACGGCGTATACGGGGCCCGAGTGCCCAATGAGACGGCGGGAGGAGGACGGAGGGGGTTCGTTAGGTCCGGAAGGGAGTATGGAGAGGAGCGCCTTGCCTTCGAGCGACCAGACGCGGATGTAGGATTCGGACATCCCGGCTGCGACGAGGAGGTTGTCGCCGGAGAAGTCGAGGCAGTTGATGCTGTCGTAGGTGTTGTGGAATGTGAACATGGTTACGCTGATACCGGGACCTATTCCGCCTGTCCTTCCGTCAATCCGAAATCTGTCACGGTTTTCGCGGACTTTCTGGACCTCCATGGCAATGTCACGGGCGAGGGAAGGTGGTAGGGGTATGGCGTCTCGGCTTGGTGCATCTTCAACAGGCTCCCGCTTGATCTGCCTGTCAAAGACTTGCTCCAGTGACTCCTGCCCTGGCGCCGGGGGCTTTTTAGCGTCATCCTCTTGAAGTGCCGCGCGAACGTCTTCCATGAGTTCCGGCTCCATCGGCAGTGGGCCAAGGTTTAGCCTTGCGAGAACTGGTGGAGCGTTTCGATCGGTGTTGGCAGATCCGGGGTTGTGTCCAGGGATGCCCTCGTCTTCTGCTGGCATATCGTCCTCCGCACCGCCACGAGCTAGCAGAGCCGCGAGACCACGCTCGTTGCCGGCTGCCGCACGATCGACTGACTTTACATCGAGATGGTTCTGGATAATGCCGAGGATGATGCTTCCACCGTCCTTGGACTCGAGGAATTGTATGAGGTTAGTGAACGCCATCTTTGTCAGTGTGAGGCGGTAGCGGTTGCTGCGGTACAGCTGTGCTATGCGATTATCCGAGACATGCTCGGGAAGGCTGACGCCTTCCAGGCCACGAATGTCTTCCACATGGTCGCGGGTGAACAGGTTCTTGTAGAGGTTGAAGAAAGCTTGCGCATCTCTACTGTAGAAGTCGGCGGTAAGTTGGAGGAAAGAGTAGACGAAAACGGGCCAAAGCAGCTTTTGAAGTTCGGGCTGTAGACTGCAGTCAGTGAACTGAGCACAGAGCCGGACGTGTTAGCGTTACCTTGTAGATGTCCAGATTGTCGTCAATCCATTGCCGGAGGATCTCTTGTCATCGTCAGCTTTGACTAGACCGTGGAGAGTGCTGGTGGATCTCACCGAACGCTCTCCTGTACCTATCGCCTCCACTTTCCTCGATACTACTGATTATGGGTCGGCCTTCTGCATCTTGGTGGGCAGACTCCCGCCGGAGCATCGCCTCCGTACGGTTATAGCCCTTTTTGCTGAGATACTCGAGGACCTGCGGATGGTTAATCAATGCTCACGTGGAGATTGGTGCATAAGGAGATGAGATTCTGAAAGCGCGATTGCAAGATGTGATGTAGAGTGCCTTGCAAATTGGCCAATGCGCGATATTAAAGTTACAGTAAGCACCAGGCCAATTTAAGGAATATGTAGACGATGCAGCATGCAGAGCTTGGAAGCTTCAATGAGGTTTCCCCATGTGGCGAAAGAGCAATCTCTAGGGTAAGGAGAAGGATATAGAACATGGTCTTGGGAGCACTGAGGCATAAACAAACTGCAGAGGGTAACATGTGGATCTACATACGATGGCTTTTGCCGCCGCGGCTGATATTGGGGGTGGTGGTGCCATGGCGGCGGTTGAACGAAAGCAAATGTGGAAGGGAGGAAAGGCAAAGTACCTACGATCTGGTTGAGATTCTGCTGCGACGGATTCGCACCCGCCGTAGATGGAGGAGGTCCTTGCGCCTGTTGCGGAGGGAGTTGCGCACTGGGAGGTCCATTGCTGATTCCGCGCGCAGCGCCTGGGCCGGATGGCGCAGACATAATGATCGACTCGAGCCTCGAGCCCTACCGAACTTCCCTAAGCTCTTCACCTGCTACCGTCCTACTCGTAACTGTTTCCTCTCCTTGGCATCAAGCCATGCCTCCAAGGGCTAAGGGACCCAGGGGAGAGCTGTGTCGTGCGCTATTGGGGTACGAAAGCTACTAGAAACCACCGCGCAGTGCTCCAGATGCTCTGGTGCTCTGGTGGTCTTGAAGTCACTTGGAACTTCTTTTGGTTGATCTATATGGATTTCACCGGGCACATGAAGCTTTGTAGTGTTGAACGAAGCGCAACTTGGGCCAAGGTTAGGTAGCGTAGGACAGCCCACCCTGGTTCTGGAGATTGACCGGGGTAGCTTCCTCCACATTCTCCATCTTCACATCTTCACATCTTCACCTTCACCACATCAGTCCTCCACGTCCTCCACAGAAACCTTCTTCACTTAAGGTGGAACGCTACAGATCCTCGAATTGAGCGGGTAGCTGAGTGGGTCATCGCTTCGTTGCGAATGGCTTCATAGCCGCTGCACGTCGACCTCAGACGCCCCTTCCTTCCACTGACCATTCACGCCCTCGCACGCCGGCTCGACAAAATCTACACAATCCCAGGAATCTCTGAAATGACGTCCCCGACTCCCGCCTCACCCGCCGACAATATCCTCATCCTCAACACCCTCAAATCCTCCGTCCCCACGATCCTCTCCTCGGCCGGCCACGCCTTCTCCGCCCTCACCAACGCACCGCTCCCCTCCCCCCCGGCACCCGACCAAACCCCCCTCGACGCGCACAAGACCATCTTCCGCGCCAACACGACCACCTTCTTCACCCTCGTCAAGCAGCTCGGCGACACGCTAAAGGAGCAGGCGGCCGCGCTCGAAGAGGCCGGCATCATCCCCGCCGAGGCGCCGAGATTTGGCGTCTCGGATGGCGCGAGCGCGGCGGGGGAGGTTACGAATGGGGGGTTGGGGGATCTAGATGTTGGGTGGTTGAACTCGAGGAGGGATGAGGTTGGGAAGAGGAAGTATATGGAGTTGATGAAGGAGGTGAGGAGGGAGCTTGAGGGGATGGTGCAAGGGGAGCAGGGGAGGGATGACGAGATGATGGAGGGCGTATGATGTGGGGTGGGGGAGTGGCATAATCGTGCGATACGCTCGAGGGGAAGCAACTGAATTTGGTTATTGCATAGCGCTGGGGTGCAGGGTTTGCATGTCATGAATGCGAGGGCGGCGCTTCAGGGGGATACACCATGTGCATCAAGTGCAATCACGAAAAGGTGTACAACAACTGGTTATCCCAGGGCAGCAACAATTAATTACCGCCATTCGTCTGAACAGGGAATAGATCTAGTGGTCATTATCCAACTCTCTTTACAAGTCTTCTGCAGTGGCGGCGTAGCATTTGGAAGCGATTGTTTGGAAAGCTGTCTATCTGAAAGCAAAGCTGGGGCTCTCATACCAGTAGATATGGATGAAGTCCAACGCTATGGCGTTGCCTTGCTAAGGTCCGAAGCTCCATGCTCGCTCAACCCACAACGCTCAGCTTCGAGCCGCTACTCCATGCTCTCGCGGCCCCTTAAATCACCACCCCTTCTCATTTTCTCCATCCTCTCACCATCGCCAACAAGCTCGCTTTGCACTACTCCTTTCTGCTCATCCTCACGGATAGTGACACCGGCGCAGCCCATGATGAACTCGCAAAGCATCTCTTCCGCCCTTAGCGCATTCCTCGACAGCGCATGATTGTCCCCATCGAAGAGCTTCAACTTCCTATCCCCCTTGCTGCCATACATAGCATACAGTCTCTCTGAGCACGCCGGGCTAAGCGTGCTATCACCCGTACCATGCAGCAACAACACCGGCCTTGGCGCTAGGCTGCGTATGCCTTCCGTCTCCGCCGTCTGCGAGGCCACAGTGGCGCAGCCCACAACGCGCTGATCCGATCCACCGACCGTGAAGACAGGCGCGCCGCCGAAGGACCACCCAACCAGCACGAAGCGACTCGCATCATGCTCGCTCTCCAACCAGTCCATAGCAGCTAACGTGTCTCGTACGCAGTATTTGTTCCGCGCCGGATAGCGGAAGTCGAGGCGGAGGACGGGGATGCCGTTGCTGAGACTGGCGAGCTTGTCGGCGATAGAGAGGTACATCGAGGAGGGTCCGACGACGCCGCCACCAGCGCCTGAGAGGAGAATCGCTGCTGTTTTGCTGGCGGGGCCGGATGAGGCGCGTGAGGAGGGGAGATGAAGGAAGCCAGGAACGGCCCCATCGGCTGCATCGTTGACCTTGATGGACAGCGGCTGAACGGTTGAGGGAGTCCTTTTGGCGGCTCTCAGCGGAGTCAGGTGCGGCGCGTGGTCGAGGCCGGCGTTTTGATAGTCGGACAGCTTTGACGGCCGCGTGGGCGTGGAGGTGCCGCTTGTTGAGGAGAGCGAGGTTTTGGGTACTGTGGAAGACATGGTATTTCGTGCTCTTGTTAGGAAGCCCGAGATCAGGGTGCGATAGCGGCTCATGAAAGTCTCTGGAGAAGTTGGAAAACGGAGACAATGGCTGCTACCTACATGATCCGTACCTCACCTACAAGCGCATTGCTCAAGACCCTTGCGGTGATGTCGGATGATGTCACAGCTCGCTGAGCCGTCATACAAGCATGAGATTCAGTAGCGATCAGGATGATGGACCATGTATAGCAGCTGCAGCTGCGATAGACTCATCCGCAGCGCGAAGGCGATTTCCATTTGTGAGAAATTGTACAAGGAGGTGTCCAGACACCGACAAGTCAAGATGGCTTCCCGCATTGGTTTATTGTCCGGACAGTGATAACGTCGGCGTGAAGTTGTGTTCCACGTGGGATATCCTGTAGCCTGAGCAAGGTCATCGAAGCTGATGAATTTAGAGTGGCAAGCGCTAAGACGCATGGACAGGGGCGGGGTTAGGGGGGTGGCGAATATCACGACCTAGTCACTGCGCAGAGGAGCGACTCAAAGTCTGTTAAGCACAAGATCTTGGCTGATCCAGCGTGCTTTCAATCAATAGCTATCGCCAAATGCAGAGCTCGCTGCTTATTCCATAGCTAGTCAGGATGTTCCACACCCCAACTCCCCTACGCGCCTGTCACAATGGCCCAGATTTTTGAGATGATCTTCTACGCAGCCATGGAAGTAATCGCTAGAGACTTTCATGGTCGGGTTGACTGAGCGCAGTTCATCCTGATGCCTTATGTGCAGACATTCCAACATCAAGCGCACATCATAGACCAGCAGGATCCGTAGGGCCACAACAAATCTTCACGAGGTCGAACGTCATGATCCACTCAATGCTGTCCGAAATGTCGGCTGCATTTGTTGGATAACACTGTCAGAAGAGAGTCGTGCAAAGAAGTCCACATCTCTTCCTCAAAGTCCCGCACAAGGCGAAAACATCAATGAAAAGGCGTTCGCGTCAGCCAGAGGCAGTGCAATACTGGCGACACGGTGGAAGGCGACATGCGCAAGCGCAGAGGCCGTCTTCCGCATTGCAAAAATAAGTATAATCAATAAATGAGTCCGTGGACTCGTTTCAGAGATTAAACTGAAAAGAACAGATACTACACTTGATCTAAGCCAAAAGGCAAAGAGAGCTAAGGGAGAAAAAGGAGAACTCGAAGGAGTAGCGAGGGCGGCCGAGTTTATATGCCCACGAAAGGCCGCTACTGACGCTAGCGAGCTGATGCAAACACTGCTTGCTGCCTAGCAGATGGAACATCGTGGAAGCCTACTCATTGGATGCCGATCCGTGAATCGCGGTGAAATCTGCTGCGTTTCCGTGGTGCTGTCCTCGGAAATTGGGGGGCTGGGCCGGAGGCAACCACGGGAAAGCTTCACCAAGCGTGCCGGGGAGCGTCAGACCGGCAACGGTCGGCCCGAGCAACGATCAGCCGCTGAGCCGCAAGTTTTAGTGACCTTGAGAGCATTGCTGATGTCCGATTAACTTGATGTAGTACTTTTTGTAGAATATCATCAACTTGGAGCTGTAGGCGCTTCCTGAACGAGAAGAAATCATGCTTTGTAGCATGAGGCGAAGCAGTTGGGAATAGTCAATGATTGTTGGCTTTGCGATTCGGTATTTCGTGCCCATGTAAGATCTTGCTAAAGACACAGAAGCGACGGCAGTCAAAGTCTAACTCGAATACGAATCCGAATAAGCTTGTTAGTGGTTATGCTACCGATCAGCTGTATGCTAGAGCACTAGTAAGAGAAACCACGATCATTGATCGCGGATGATGAAACAGGAGATGACTAGAGAAAGTACGGATGCCGAAGTACGAGGCACGAAGCAATAGACCCAAGCCTTGCAGCATAGCATTGAGGCGCTTTCAACAGACCATCGATGTTCAAACATTACGGCAAACGCAGCCCTACCCCACTTACTGGCCCAGCCATGCAAACTTAGATGCCCCCAAAAGTTGTGTTCGGGTTGTAGCCGAAATGTCGGAGCGTCGATGCGGCTGTTTCCTAGCCTGAGATGCCATCTGCGTGTTCCAAGAAGCGGACTATACTCGCAGCACCACCACGACTCTGATTCTGCGTTGTACTCTCACCGCCTCCATCAACCAGCCCGGGCAAGCCATTGCCGAAACATGCCAATTGGCGCTTTTGCCAGTGAGGAGCCATCATGTCTGAACCAGCCTTCAGCTGCAACCCATAGGCAAGGTGGACCGCGGGACGGGATCCACAGATTGGGTGGTTTCTAAGAACGCAATCTCCAATCGTGAGCCCATCAAAATCTGGGTATTCTGTGGGAGGTATGGCGGTGTCGCGGCAGTCCTCGTCCTCGGATGCCGCTTTATCAAGGGGGATACTCGTATCGAACAGGTTTGGTCGTGCAGTAAACTTATACCTGCACATTAGATCCATGAGCCGGCACGGCAGTGTGGTGAGAGGGGTCCCCTCAGGAACGGTGATCCCCCAGAAACATCCGTACCAGTCTATGGTAGTCACCTTGATCTGCAGATCAAGAACCAGGAGATTGGCCGCTCTGCGGAGACGGTCCTCAGAAATTGTCGCACCTTTTGCGTTTTCCTCATTCAAAATCTCCTTGCCCTGCCCAAGTCGGCCCATATACGGGCCCCTAGACCACGGATCGGCGGTGATGTAGAGCGGAGCGCCTCCGACGCGTAATGGCCATGGTTTCGGGGGAAGCGGTTCGACGACAAGGACCAAGAATGGCGTCATCCATGTCACGAATCGGGTCCCTGGAAAAATCATCCCGATCTTGTCATAGTTTTCCCTCGAGCCTGCTCCAACGTACAAGCCGTCCTTCACCAATGAAAAGTCCTCGAACTCGATGTCCGGTGCTGTGGTCGCCATGTTGTGTCGTTCTGTGGCGAGCTTTGCTTAGAGTTGCGGACGTTCTCTGGACGCAACTGTTATACCAGGCCGAAGGAAGCGGAGTATCGCTGTGGACGGTATCGGAGAATTCGACTCTCTAGGCAGCAGTATCCTGGGAGTATCAAGAGCGAGTTTCTTCACTGTGGATATTTCCGTGCTGGTAAAGTGAACAATGCGACAGGGGCGTGTACGTGATACCTGTGTTCATGAAGTACTCGCGGATCGAAATCGTTGGCGGAGTTGCCAGCTCTCTTGATAGATTCTGTCAAGAAGGTCTCGGCTTGCTAAGGTAGGCATCCAGGTGGACTCGCGGCGCGTCGTCCCTAGGGTGTCAATAGAGGTGCTGTCTTCCAACCAAGGTACCACAAATCCTACCCGGGTTGTTGAGGAATAGCGTTCGCGCTAGGCAACAGCATTCGACTCATCGTAGAGGTCGGCTTTTATGGAGGCTCGTTTGAGAGACCGGGGGATAACCAAGTCAGAGTTTCATGTAGGTTTAAGGGTAGCCCGAGGGAGGCTTACGATGGCTTTTTTGAGGGTGCCAGTATGGACGCCGGTGCAGCTGTACCGTGTTCAACGGGCGGGGTATCAAGAGTTCGAGGTTCTGAAAACGCATCATCGAAGTTCCAGTAACGAGCAGAGCCGATAAGGACTGATCTACTATCGCACGTGGCCCGTTATGAAAGGCACAGGCTGTGCTTAAGCCGAATGATAGTGGTGCCTCGCAGGCTTGCCATTTGTTCTTGGTCGGATGAAGGAGACGGGCCGGCGACAAGTCTCGGCATGAAAAGCAGGCTCACCAGTTGGAAAGACAAATGCGATCCGAGAGCGCTTTCGTAGCTGTACTGCTATCCCCCTAGTAGTGAAGTCAACCGACGAGAGAACAGACTATGCACGCATTACTCCAAAACCACGCGCTTCAAGCATCCTGCCCCGTGCCACCTTTTCCGTATCATAACGCCGAACCCGATGCCCGCTAAGAGAAGCATATCAATCCGAGACCGAAGGCTTAACGGCGTGGAGGGCCCCCTTTGATCTGATCCTTGACCTCATCGATGAAGTGTTTGAATAACGACGGACGTTGATCTGGAACGAATAGGTCAGCAAATGTTGCCATCACCTTCACGAGCATGCGGTCCTACGGTCGATGTTTGTCCCGCCCATCTCTTCCATCGGTTTGCCATCCTTCAGGCGGCGAAACTGCTTGTGCGCATTGTGGACGGCGCGGTGGAACGCAGGACTCGAAAGAAGCTGGAACGTCGCTCAGTCGGTGTCTTAGAAGGTACCTAGTTGAAAATGGTCGCAACATACTCGAGCGGTTGCCCATGCCTACTTCCAGGTCAGTGTTTCATGTTTTGTATGCGCCGCCGCGGGGAGGAGGGGCAAACCTCGAAGACTCGAAGCCACATTATCGATGTACCATACAGGCTGATTTGACTGGTGATGCAGCAGTTGATCAACTCGGATAGTGGACGGTGAACTGGCTAACGGAGCACTGGGATGGAGAGGCGTGGTTGTTATCGGCAGGACAGCAGCTCTAGTAAGAAGTGGTGATGAGTGATATGTACTGGAGCGGCTCAAGGTGGCCTCGGCGAAGGCGCCACGGTGCCAATCGCCGTCATGCGTCACCGTCAACAGTCCCGCCTTCCTCACCTTTCTGATAGTTAGAGATAGTACTGGACCATAGCTGAGACAAGCCGCCTACCACTTCGTTGTTATACACCAACTATCCTTGTTCCTTCCACGTCCTATCTGCCATCGCTCAACCTCCTCCGCATCCGTCCTTTGTCCCGTAGCCGCTACCATTGAGAGCCAATCTAGTTTACGCGCACCGCTCTTTCGTCCTCTACCTCATACTCCATACCACCCTCCACGACAGCATCACGCGCGTAGACCAATCCATCGGGCCGTCCTCACACGCACAGCGGCCGATCCTGTACACTCCTTCAGCAAGCTGTTCGGTCTTTCAGCAACCCGCACCGTAATCTCTACGCCCTTCCACCACAGCCGTTTGCCTGCCTGTTCTACAAACACGCAAGCCACGTACATAAGAGCTCGTTCTGGACATTGTCTCTGGAACAGCTACTATACAGCGTCACTCACGCTGCATCACATCCGCGCCCTCCGACGCAAAGCCGTACGCAAACCCTCCCCCGGCTCCTCACCATCTCCTCCGCCGTCCATCATGTCCTCGCCCCTATCCGTCCCTGTTTCCATGCTGTCCTCCAAGCGTTCGAGGTCAAGAGACAGCGCCAAGTCCTCCGCCGGACTGTCAGCCGCATCCACCATGTCTCTCGATCCCTCGGATACGGAGTCTCCTCGGAAACAGCAAGAGATGGACACTGAGGGGGAGCAGCCGCCGTTACCAGCTTTCCTACGGCAGACGAGATCAGGCAGGTAGATCTACGCATGTGCACACCTCTGAGGACACCCGGGGCTGACCAACAATGCAGAGATCCACAGCAAGTTCGTGAACCTTGAGTGGCAGCAGCGAAACCGGCTAGCATTAGGCGCCAACCTCGACGCAGACCCGCCATCGCAATGGGCACGCGTAGCAGGTGACGATGTGATCAAGCGTAACCGCTACATGAACGTCGACCCCTATCTCAGCAACCGCATCAAGCTGAAGGTGCCGGAGGGCCATAGCGACTACATCAACGCGTCGCCCATCTTCCTGCGCCAGACGCGGTCAGGGACGGAAAAGAACTTCATAGCGACACAGGGTCCCAAGGAAGGCTTACACGGCCACATCTACCGCATGCTGTGGCACGAAACGTCCTCTCCTGCCGTGATAGTAATGCTGACCCAGACCCACGAGGCCGGGAAAGAAAAGTGCTTCCAGTACTTTCCTCACTCGCTGGACGCCCCTACTCTCAATATCAACGAGAACGACGAGTTCGAGGACGGCTTCATTTGCACAGTAACCCTAGTCAACATTACCGAAGACGCTGCAACGAGAAGTACGATCCGCGAGCTAGAAGTCAAGCTCACAACCGGCGAGACCAAGACAATATGGCACCTCCTCTTCGCAGGCTGGCCCGACTTCCTCGTGCCAGAAGGCGAAGAGCGCACCGCACTGCTCCACCTCATCGACCTTTCGTCCGCGAAAAACGCGCTAGGATCGCCGAGAGTGGTGCATTGCAGCGCCGGCGTCGGGCGCTCCGGCACCTTTATCGCGCTGGACTGGCTGCTGGCGGAGCTGAGCGAGGGAAGCTTGGACGAGGTCCCGGATGAGGACGATCCGATTGCGGACGTTGTTGACAAGCTGCGTATGCAGAGGATGATGATGGTTCAGGGCGAGGCGCAGTTTTGGTTTTTGTACGATGTTGTCAAAGATCTCTGGGTCGAGCGGTGGAGGCAGAAGAACGACTTGTCTGCGCCGGCGCCAGTGGACAGCCGAGCGGGTGAAGGTGAAGCGTCTGGCAGTGGAGGGGAGAGGGAGAGGGGAACGAAGTTTGCAAAGCTGGAGGCTTTGGAGGCAGAAATGAGGATGAATGTCGAGAGGTTATAGGATCATCGACAGGGTGAGCTGTTCGTCTTTTGGTGGCATATTTTTGAAGTTCTTTGAGCGATCTTTGGATACCATATTTTGTTTTACATCCGCGCGTGCATTGTTTCAGTCTTGACATTTCTTGCTTGAGCTGCGCAATCTGCATGCTAAGAACATTGTACCCGATGTAGCGCGAGCTTCGAGCGCTTTTACACGCTCGACCTGAAGTGTCCCGACTTGAGTTGCAGCTGCAACGTCCTTCCTCAACACGCAACGTGCCGAAAGTCCGTGATTGGCTGAGCACAGGCACTTTTACTGCAGGTTAAATGGCAATAACGAAAACTCCAAACGTGCCCACGTACCTGTTGAAGATATGTAGAAACCAGGCTTGGAAGCCCCTCTGGTAAGGGCTCACCGTTTCCCCTCCCTCAACAACGAGGGACCATACTCTTCATTAGCCACCACTGCCTGTCCAATACTCTTCAACAAGCTCCTCAATGCACTCTCATCCTCCTCGTCGCATTCCGGTCTCGGCCCCAGCTCGGGTGCCTCGGGATGGTACTTCTTCCAATCACCACGTTCGCTGCTCGGCTCGTCGGTGAACTGCGAGGGGCCTATACCCTCGTCGTAGGCCATGTACCTATCAGGGTACAGCCCTGCTTCCATGGTTTCAGTGTCTTTGAACGCATCACCTGGCTCCGGGTACTCCACACCATCCCAGTCGCCGGAACCGATGCGGAACTCACGTAGCTTGGGGAGGCCCGATTGGATGCGCTCGAAGTACTGGTGCCAGCGGGCTTTGTACGACCAGACGTTTTTGCCATCAAAGGCTGTGAAGGTGGACTTTGTTGGGTTGGCAGGGTATCCTTCAGAATCGACGTCGTCGTACACCAGGACATGATATAAGATGGGACAGTCATCGAGGTATAATTTCTCAAGAGTGGAAGAGTGAGAAAGTATCCATTCCAATTGCCAGTTGTGCGTAAAGGTGTAGTTGCCGAATGCGAGGGACTTCAGCGCAACAAAGCGGGTGTTGCGCAGGTCGAGCTTGGGTCTGTAGCCGAAATAACTATCGGAGTACAGCTTTAAGCTGGTAAGGTTTGATGTCGTGTGCGCGAGCCACGTTATTGGAAGCTCTGCCATGAACCTATGAGGCTCGGGCAAGGATATTGCGTTCTCGGGTGCCGCGTCGTCGTCTTCACTGCTGATGAAGAGGCGAAGTGTGCGGAGGCGTCTGAGTACGCTTTTGAAGTCGAAATGAGAAACGACTCGTTCATCATTGACGTTCTGGAGATGTTTTATGGACAATGTGCGAATATTCTCAACGGCCGGGTCAGTGTTGTCAAGTTCATCGAAGAGCATCAAGAGTACATCGGTTCGAAACTCCAAGTCCTCATGGCACTCGGACCACTTGTATTTACCCGCCTCCTCAGGGCCGACGCAATTCCTATCGAACTGCAGGGTGATACCGCTGAGGCTTGGGAATTCGAACACTTTTCTGAACGCAGCTTTGAAAAGGGGGGTTAGATCTGTGGTTCCCCCGTTGGTCTGCTATACTCAGTCAGTGCTGGCTAAGCGAAGGTCTGGTTTCTGCTGAAAACTGCGAAGAGGGATGACTAGGCGGGACGCGTGCTTGGATTTCATAATGGATAAGTTCGCGCAATGTCGCTGCTATGTAAGACTTCGGACAATCTTCTCAATTCGGACTGTCTCACAGTTTGGCCACAGAGCAGTCTTTTGAAGTACCATATATAGGCAATAAAACATAACAGGGAAGACCGCAAACAAGGTCGCAGAAGAGCAAGGACTTCGAAGAAAGGCTGCTTTCACAAAAGACCGGTTCCTGAGTAACACCGAAGTTCCTTTGACCATGCCGAGGATGATTTGCTGTTCGGCGAACTTACGTATTGGTCCTGTTCGGAAGTCTCAATGCATACCACACGCACACAACCGGCTAGGTTCGGCGTCGAAATGACGTTTAAGAACTTCGCAATGCTCTTGTCGGCCGGGGAAAGCTTGACGTTCGAGAAGAGTGCGCTCGTGGCGGCCTGGGAGACGGCTTTGCATACGGTTCGAAGCGTTGCGGCATCTCCTTTGTCTAGCAATGTCGCAATGTTGCAAAGAAGCTCTGCTGGGAGTCTGTCCATGGCTTGCTTCCGACCTAGAGTAGACGGAGTCCTTGTGTTTGACGGACGAACAGGCCGGTCGTGAGCTTGATAGAATAGCTATCTTGCGACTTTTGGAACTGATTCGGGCTCTTTCAGAGTGTGAAGTGATGAGAATCGAGTGAGATGAGTAAAACAAACGTCGTTCGAGGGCTGGGGAACGTATCTATATACTTCCACGCTCCAAGGCTCACACCTCACCTTGCGGCCCAAGCGTTGCACTCCACCATCCTTTAGCAGGCGGCATTGTCCGGTTAGCTTCCAAGAACATCAGTGATAACTAGGCTACAGCGCTGGCCACGATCGTTTGTACACTATCACAGCGTCTTGATCTAACTGTTCGCCGCAGGGCGTACGAGACGAAGCCGCCGGCCAGCGACAACAAGAAAAGGTCCGTCGGATACCCGTGCGGCTGTAATGACGTCAACGTATTCATACCCCTCAAGAATACCTAAAGTTGTACGGCACAGCATGGGAGAAAGGAGCAGTTCATGTTGTCGAGCTAGAAGTGATCCGCGGACTACATGGAGTCTTTGGTCAGACTTGAGCTTGCTTGTATCCCTCCACGCTCCTTACCACAATGAATTGCGAAGTGATTTAGTCCGGCCAGCTTAGATCTCTAACTTATGTACAGGCCACGTCTGTGCCAATCCTAAACAACAGCTACTGTGCATATTGAGGTGTCCACATATTCTCCAATGCATAGACATGTGCAGCCCCATCCCTAAGAGTCATCTACCACCCATCAAGTGCCAGTGACGAAGTCGTGCTGCAGCCGCACGGTTGCGATTTCCACCAGAAGCGCCCCGACCTGTGTCGTCGGAGACACGGCTCTGTGCAAGCTCAGTGGTGGAACAGTCGGACATACTGCTCGACGAAAGTGATCCCCAGCTTCTCCGCCGTCTCGAACACAGCTTGATCATTCTGGCTGCCTGTAGGTGCGGCTACATAAGTAGCGCCAGAGCGAGCAGCTCGGAAGACGTTGTCAATGAAGGGGAAGAAAGCATCAGACGATACTGCGACGTCCTTGAGCTGCTTCAACCATTCTCTCCTCTCCTCCTGTGAGAAAACTCTCGGAACCTCTTCAAAATTCTTTTCCCAGTCCTCGCGCTCGATGCCTTCTTCGGGAACTAGTCCGCTGCATAGAAGATCTATGGCGTTGCTCTTCTCTGGCCGTTTTGTCCCTTTCTTCCACTTCAGGTTGAGTGATCGCTCGTGGAACCGCATCCACCTATAAACAATGTGTTAGAAAGCGGATTCGGAACAGAAGGGGATCCAGATGCAGGTCGTTCTCTCACCAATTGTCCGCCTTGTCGCCCGCCAGCCTTGTGCAATGTATACGACTTTGCTGTCCAGCGCCGAGCCCTATGACCTGCCCATTCAGCGCATAGCAGACGGAATTGCTCTGCGTGTATTTCAGTGCAATCGTCGCAACTGTCAGATCGCGCATCGCGCTCTCCGGCAGCGCCTGTCCGTCCTTGTACTTCTCCTTCTGGGTCATGATGGCGTTGAATGTGTCCTTTGGCGAAATCCTTGCATCGTTCCTGTGCTGGCTCATCGAAATGCCACGGACTGTCCGGACTTCTTGCAGGGCTGCTGGCTCATGCTCCGGGTCCATTTGGATGACCAGGTAGCGGCCCGCCTTCTTCTTGCGGAGGATCTCAAGCGCCTCTGAATCATATCCGGGGGCGATAATGCCGTCGGATACTTCCCGAGAAATGATCTTCGCAGTCGGCACGTCGCAGACGTCAGATAAGGCGATCATGTCACCAAAAGAGGACATGCGATCAGCACCCCTCGCCCGTGCGTATGCTTGGGCCAGAGCGGAATTCTCCAGTCCCTCGATGTCATCCACCATATACACCTTGCGTTCGGCATCGTGTAGGGGTACACCGATAGCCGCACCAGCGGGAGAGACGTGCTTGAAAGAGGCGGCGGCGGGAACGTCAAGCGCAGCGCGGAGTTCTTTGACAAGTCCCCATGCATTAAGTGCGTCAAGGAGATTGATGTAGCCTGTTCAAGGTTAGCTGCACGAGAAGCAGTGTCGTGACAATGATGGTTCTTACCGGCCGCTCCGCTCAGCACCTTGAAAGGTAACGGCTCGCCACGGGTAAAGGCTGATGCTGGCTTTTGGTGTGGGTTGGTGCCATATCGCAGAGAGAGGTGTTGCATGCCATCGCCGGAACAGGCATACTTCCGACGGAAGAAGTCTGAGATGGCTTTGTCGTATGCTGCTGTGTGCTCGAAAGCCTTCAATGCATATTTCTCGCGAGTCGTCTGCGATATCTCTCCCTTGCTTTCGAGCTCCGAGAGGAAGTCGTGATACTGATGTGGTGATACCACGACGGTGACCCTCGCGTGATTTTTGGCGGCCGCTCTTAGGAGAGTGACGCCTCCGATGTCTACGTCGCCGTTAGCCAGGCCTCGACATCGTTCAGCTGCGCTTCCGTACCTATCTCTTCAACAGCCTCGTCGATTGTAACATTGTTCTTAGCTGCCGCTTCTTCGAATGGATACAGATTACAGATGCAGAAGTCAATCTTCTGGATATTCTGCTCGGCTAGATCTCGCTCATCTGATGCAATGTCTCGCGCGAGCAGGCCTCCGTGCACGCCTGGATGTAGCGTCTTTACTCTGCCCCCCAAGATCTCCGGCGCTTTCGTTATGGCAGATATGTCGTCGACAGGAAAACTCGCCTCACGAATTGTTCTCGCCGTCCCACCGGAAGCTAAAATACGTACACCCAGTCTGTTCAAGCCCTTTGCAAGATCTAGGATGCCTGTCTTGTCCGAGACTGACACGATTGCTGGGAGCGGTCAGTACTGGGATGACCTGGAGGTGCTGCGCCGAGGCTTGCCTGATCTCTGAGATGAATTGGCTTCGGCCATTGTGGTGGGTATGTAGGCTCTAAAGACAGCCCGTAGATAGGTAGTGATCGATTGAGCGCTTTCCTGATTGTGCGTCTCCCCTGTCGCTATCTAAAGTAAAACGAAGATATGGAGGGGCTAAGTGTAGTGGGGCATTTGGCTACGTCACGTGAAAACCTGAGAAACGCGCTGGCTAAACGCGTCGCCTCGAGTCGTCCATCTGTTGCTGTAGAACTATCAAATCATCAGTCTGTTGCTCTAGAACTGTCCAGTTACGACGACTATGGCAAAATAAGAGCCCGGTTTTCTGTGGAGGACTGACAGTAAATACTGCATCAGTCGCGGCGCCAGATATCTAACAGCGTCGCACGTTTCTGGCATCAGAAGACCGGATCCTAAGAAGTCGCCCCACGCCATCACCACACGGCGTTTCCTTCGAGAATTCCAAGTGTACAGAAGTGGTGTAGTGCGGTCTCAATGGCTCCTCTTCACAGCCTCCAGGACGCGTGGACAGAGGTTTATCGCAAGCGGCTACCTGCGCTGGCCGCACAGCGTGATCCGGCTCAAAAGCTGTGGCCGGTGCATCTTGATCACTGCTTTGCCCGCGTTGTGCTTGACAACGCCATCGGGAAAGACAGACCCTGGACTGAAGTTGTCAAGGCGCCGGCGGTCAAGAACATGTCCGAGATGCAGCTGCAGGCAGCTCTGTCGCTGGCAGACGACATCGCAACTGGAAGAGCGAGCTTAGTGGCACTCAATCAAACAAGTTTGGCATTGAGGAGCAAAGCTTCAGGAGCTTCCTCGAATAAGAGACACGCATCTGAGGTACTGGGAGATGATGGCTTGAGTCGTCCTTCGAAGACAATCAAGAAGGCAGTGGTCAGAGGAGAAGCAAGCATATCCAGATATTTTACGACGACTGAAGGACACGCGCAAACGCCTCCACAGGACGAGCCTGAAGACTTAGACTTCGCACGACGGCTCATCGCGGAAGCCAAGGACCTCACTCCCTTCCGTAAAGAGACCCTGACGCTCTTGACACTAGTACCACGTGGTCGTTATACGACGTACGGGGCCATGAGCGACTATATCTCGCGGACCCATCATCCGACTTGCGCCCGTGCGGTCGGCAATGCCATGCGCAACAATCCTTTTGCACCACAAGTACCGTGTCATCGAGTCCTAGCGCACAATGGGCGGATAGGCGGCTTTGGAGGCGATTGGGGCGAAGACGGGAAGCATGCGGATCAGAAGAGGAAGCTGTTGGCGGAAGAAGGCGTGCGATTCGATGTCAAAGGCAAAGTCTTTGGGGCTCCATTCAAGGACTTCGATCTCGTTCAAAAGAGAATACAGTCGAGTTCGACGACTCCAGCGGATTGAGCATAAGAAGCGAGGCTCCGGCTTCCCTCCGTATGAGAGCGGGCTCCAAGAATCAGCGAGAGCGCTTCGATCGTCCTTCCATCATCTCAACGGACACCAAAGACTACTACCTGTCTGTGATCATGTCACCGTTACTCGCGCAGAGTCTTCTTGGAGAATAGGCAATTGGTCAATGGGCTGATTATGGCTTTCACTCCCTTGATGACATGTCCGGGGGCTGTTACTTCGGACCTGGAACGAAACGAACTGTGTAACTGATAACGATGCTCATGTGTGATGGTGGTCAAGCAGTAGCCAAATAAAAGTGATTTTGATCTATAGTAGTTGCTTCAACATAATCGTTCCTGAGTATTCTGGTCAACGTAATAGACATGGTTATATGGCCACGCTCCAGTGCACCATACAACTAGTTCATAATGAACACAGTCTTATCCGTCATTGATCTGCTGAGGAAGTCACGTGCTATGGTGACTGGCGATGCATCTGGACGCGAAACACTTAAACCCCACTACCCTGGCCCAGAGTTTCGACTGGCTTGCAGGAAGTCTTCAACAACGCCTTAGTAAACAGTCCATATCCATTTGCTTTCTCGGCTGTGCGTCTCTAGCCACCCGTGAAGTATCGGTGGGCGGTATTGCGGCCGTCCACAGTTGCCGCCCGCCGTCAGCAACGAACGAGTGCTCTCTATTCTTCAAGTTGGGTAATCTACAACACCCATCGTCATTCAGCCACCGCAACTGCAGCCCAGAACGCGAGTCCCACCATGCCCCTCGGGTTCGAGCGCCTAAACGAACGTACCACCCGCCCCAACTCTCTCATAAACTTCATCAAACCACTGCCAGGCCCCACCTCCGCCACCGCCCAAGACTTCCTCGAGCGCGTCGCTGCAATATGCTACCCAATAATGAAGGCCCGCCACATCGCCGTCATGGCTCTGGAGGAGTACGAGCCCAACCCCGAGTTCGTCGGCCGCAACTTCAATGCCGGAGAGGTCATACAGCTGGTGCTGAAGGGGAGGATGGTGGGTGGCGGATGGCAGTGGTTGAATCTCAGGAGCGTGCAGATGGTTATGATGCATGAGCTGGCGCATTGCAAACAGATGAATCATAGTGGGGCGTTTTGGAAGGTGAGGGATTCATATGCAGGGGACTTGAGGGATCTATGGGCAAGGAATTACACGGGTGAGGGGCTCTGGGGAAGGGGGAGGGCGCTTGAAAATGGGGCGTCCATGGAGGATGGTGTTCAGGCGCGGCTGGAAGAGCCGAAGAGCTTGTGCGGAGGCACCTTCAGGAGCAGCGGCCGGAAAAGGAAAAGGAAAAGGAAAGGCGCAGGCAAGGAGAAAGAAAAGCTGAGCTATGCGGAGAGGCAGCAGAGAAGGATACTGCGGAAGTTTGGCACTGGCGGCACTGCACTAGGCGCAGACGAGGATGCGAAGGTCAAGCTGGAAGCAGGAAAGCCATTGAAGGGCAAGCCACGGGTTGCCAAGAGCGCAAGAGGTAGGGAACTGCGAGCAGCTGCTGCGCTGGCAAGACTCGACCAAGCCAGGACGGTGGATATCAAGAACGAAGAGGAGGGCAGTGGCAGTGAGACCGACTCTGACTCCGATGAGGCATCACCGAATGAGGTTGCTGCTCTTGACTTAGACGGCAAGGCGATGCTGGACACACGCGGTCACGGCCTTGTCAAAGTCTGTGAAGGCGAAGACGGCGATGCTGAGGACGCTCGCAGAGAGATGGTGGAGCTACAAGAGCTTGAGATTACACCGCTGCCTCACAGTTCGGATCGACAGGAGCCTTCGGAGAAACAAGCGGTTAAGAAGGAAGGTATCTCCTCTCTAGACAGTCAGGGACTACCTGGAAGCACAAAACCTCGACAAACGGGCGCTCATACACTACGCAGCCCGACGAAGCCAAAGGTCGTAATGCGTGAGCCGCCAAATGAATCAGAGCCTCGCCCACCAACAAAGACAGACTTTTCAGCTGCTTCTGTGGGGTCATTAGAACCCACGGACCGCAGCACGCTATGCTGTTGGGTCTGCTCGTTTGCCAATGACGCCGCCAACCCCACTTGCGCAGCTTGCGCTAATGTTCTCGACCTCAGCCGAGTTCCAAGCTGCTGGAGGTGCCAGAGCTTAGCCTGCCGCGAAGGATGCTATGTAAACGCAGGAGATTGCGGCAGATGCGGCGCATGTGGAGCTTCAAAGCCGGTGGGAAGGGGTTGAGCTCTTCTGATTCCTGAGTGTCTCTTTTCCTGCTTCGCTTATAGCAGGGGTCAATGGCGTTCTGTTTGGCTTCTGCTCTCCTCTGGGCCTTTCGCATTTACCCGCGTCGCTTTGGCGATAGAATTGTTGTGTTCTTGCTTTAGCAGGTACACTCCCAGGAAGTGGAAACGATCAATCAAAGAGCAGGGCGAACTTGCATTGCAGAGTAAATAGAATGCTACCTTACTGTGCTCAGCAGCCCCCTTGCCCCTGCTATGACGCCCGAGCCTCCGCCGAGAGCTCTGCAACAACCAACATCCAAGCTCCGGACAGCTCCGCCAGCAACAAGAACCTCAAGCGACAAGCAAACTCCGCAGAGAAGCTCGGCCTGCGACTTGAAGGCGCGTAGCTCAAATACAGCTTCAGCTTCAGTTTCAGCATTGAACCCCACGCTTGACGACCCCTCAACAATGGCTTCCCGCCTCCTCTCACGCGCCCCGGCGCTCGTCACCCGCAATGTCGCAAGTTCACCTACACTCCGTACACCTTTGCGCAGCTTTCAGACGACGGCGAGATTGATGGAAACACCTACCGGCGCATTGCCGGTCAGGAAACCGGTAGGAGCTTTTAGGGGAGGGTAAGCTGCGCTTCCATCCATCGCTCGAGCGAGCACAATTTGGAAATGCGGTTGGGTTGTTGCGACTGGGAACAACAAGATCACATGGCCGATAATGCCCGGTACGGCGCACGAGGAGGATGCATTGGTTTTTGTAGTCTCAGTCCTCGAGCCCCGTTCACGGCTGCTGGAGCGGTTGGCCATATCCGGGGCATGGACAGATTCGCACATGCAGCCATTATGGAGTTTGGTAGCAGAGAATCTATAGAACAGTGTTAACTCGATGAGATGGGTTCAGGCTTTTCGGATTCCTCCTCGGCACGACGTCCGCCGGCGCAGCAATGTACTACTATGTCCTCGACGAATACCGGGTCTCGAATGAGCTTCTGACGCAAGACATCTATGTACGCCCCATCCCTGCTCCTACAATTGAACAGGCTCGGAACAACTTCCCGCATGTACTTGGTTGTCTGCACTGTGTGCCACGGTGGTGTACATAGTGTTTAGGTGCTGATGTCGTACTCGCAGACCCTGCAAACAACGGTGCAGCGGATAGAGAGCTACGTCAAGGTTCTGGAAGACAAATTCGAGACCATGTCGAAGAAGAAGTAGGCTACAGACGGTCCCCAAGTCCGACAGAAGGCACTTTTGATGGGAATAATTTACTGGGGTTTCTTCAAGATGACGACTAGCTGGCGGATGTGGTGCCTGTCGATATCGGAATACCCTGACAGGCTTTGACGGAGCCGCTGTCTGGTTTATCCTTGGCGGCTATGTGTAAGCCACTTGTACAGACTCTCTCCTCGGCCATTTGACTAGGTTTTGTAAATAGCAGGGTTTGGTGCAGCAGATTATACCGAATACGTACGAAAGCTATTCATGAGCGCTTCGAGGTAGCTAAGATCTGTTCAGAATATCCAAAGACCGCTATCCCAGTTATGGACAAAACGCCAGCTCATGTAAGCAGTGCACCCAGACAGCGCTCGCCATAAGGCTATGTGTACAAGCAGTGTGGACAACTTCATGAATCGAACAACGCTACTGACCACTCTATCACTTCACGAGCACCGGTGCGGCCTGCTTGGCCTTACTCGCAGCAGCATCTGCCACCTTCCTCGCTCTGTCTGACGCCATTTCGGCGTATTTCTGTAGCTTCTCTGCCCGGACCTTGCGGACGTAGCGGAAAAGGATGAGGAAGGTAAGTTCCATCCTACAATTGGTGCTGGAATTAGCACTTGCGCTCTAAGTTATACCGGAGTTGGGCCAATACACACCTTTCCTTGGTCATCATTAATATACCCTGAACTAGCAGGCCTTTCAATATCTGAGGTCCAATGCCCTTGAAAAGCCCGAGTGGGCCCTCATGTTCGATTATGTACTGCATCACCTCGATGAAGCTCTTGAAAGGCTTGCCGTTCCTTGATGGCGGAGGTCTTGACTGTAGGCCTACCTTGGCTACAATAAGCGGCTGGGTTACAATGGTGGCCAAGGCCTTCGACATGGCACCGAGGGCTACAGATATCACAAGTGAGCTTTGCACATTTGCGTCTTGTTTGCACAGAAGAGTGTTTACCGAAAGCTTCCCAAGGCTTGAGATTCTTCTTGCCTGGGAACAATACGTCCTTCAGTCTCTGGTACGCGCCGTACGTGATGGCCGGGTTGACCACCAACACCAAGCTCGCCTTCAGTCCTCTCCATAGACCCGTCCATCCATCTTCGCTGTCGACAACTTCCCTGCCCGTAGCAATCAAGCCTTTCCGCTCATGCCTCGGCTGAGTTTGTTGCCGCGTCGTCACCACCGCAACGGGTATCGTGAATAGCTGGGCCACCGCTCCCGCAGCAGCGCCGAGGGATAGCTCAACGGCGGTGCTCGGTGGCACTGGGGTGGTCTGCCGGGCTAGATAAAGTGACCTGATAACGGAGTACCAGTAGAAATATGCAAAGTTCGTTGATCCGACGCCGATCAAGGAACCCGCCATGCCGGCATAGAGGCCTGACAAGCCCTCTGAACTGACGATTTTGGAGATTGCATCGAGGGTCGAGTCGTAGTGGTCTGATGTGGCGGGGTTGGAGTCGGAGGCTTGCGAAGAGCGCTTTCCCTGCACTTGTAGGCGAGTCTTGACACTGGTAGTCTCACTTAGCACCCAGTGCGGACCGCAATTGGCAAAGGAACGACGTCGAAGCGTGCGATGTTCCTTCTTATAGAATTTCTGCAAGATGAGCAGCACTCACATGTCCAACGGGTATACGAGCGCATTGGCAAGCACCGCTCCAGTTGCGCCGGCGACAGCGCCACCCCAGGGCGGAAGACTATCGATCTTAGACTGCACTGCCATGGTAATGCTTTCTTCAAGGGCGACAACGGACGAAGGGTCGCGGTCGTCCTGCTAGCAATGATGGGTCTGGCGCCTGGCAGGTGGGTGAGGTAGACTATGCCGGCGAGAGCAAGGTCAGGATAGCAGACGGAAGGGGGGCTCTCCAAGACAATCTCAATGCATGTCAGATGAGTTTTGAGTAGACAGTTTCGAGCGTTTGCGTATGAAGCACACTATGTTAAAGCTGGGCCTATCGTGCTCCAGCTCACGGTGGATGATGTCCGGCAGCTGCTCCGCCCAAAGGATTCCAGGCCGAGGTTGCTTCTCGGCACGCTGAACGGCTTTTCTCGATTTGGTTTCCGCGATAAGATAAGATGAATCGATAAGACGTGCTTATATCATCCACGAGAGCACACGTCACGTGAACTTCGACCATCCTGCAATATCAACCAACCTTAGATCTACGAGTAGTCAACTACCACAAGCGCGAAGTTCTCACTGTCAATGGCCAGCCAGACATTGTCTCTGCAGCCACAAACATCGCGCTCAGGCGTGAGGTTGAAGAAGAATGAGCGCCACCAATGGTCAAGTGGCCGCCATGAAGGCTGAGGCTGTGGTGAGGCCGACCTTCATCTGTCACTAATGCTGCATATTCACCTCGATCTTAGGACCTGCAAGCATCAATCGCGAACGCAACAACTAAAGATGAGGCCCTGGAGCTGGCTCTGCAAGCAGCGGAGCTTTGTATGAAGGCATTGAAGATCGCAACAGACCGCGAGCAGAAGTCTGATATGACATCGCGATGTCAGAACCTTCTCACCGAAGCTGAGCGCATCAAGACCATCTCACAATGGCCCTTGACTCCAGCCATGACTCCGGGCCCTGCCAGTAGTCCACCCGCGAGTCCGCTCACGCTTCGTTGTGGAACCGAAACCATCGGAACGCCAACTTCAGCGCGCATCAGGCAGCTTGTCGAGCCCGTCTCGTCTCGCGAGGTTTCGAAAGCCGAGCAGATCATTCTTCTCAGGTCTTCGAAGCTGAATGGCTTCACGTTTCCACCATGGCAGGGAGCCCCCGAACCAGATGAGTTTGCACTCAGTCAGGGAGCTGAGGCTTTTCGGTGTGTGTTATCTCGGGACGCCATCCATTCCAGCGCTAACTCAGTGCTGCAGTGACACGCCGCAGCTGGGTCTCTCTGCCTCTCAGATTGAGTTCTTCGACGGATGGGAGCGCGCCCACAGTGCCATTCCACCACCCACGTGGTTTCCCGGAGAGCGGAAAGCATTGGGTCCTACCATGTACTCTCGTCGCCCGGTAGATCTGGTTCAAGATCTCGCTTCTGACTGCTCTGTCGTCGCGAGTCTCTGCTCCTGGACCGCTCGAGCGGAAAGGGGTAATCCGAGAGTAAGATCCAGCCTGTATAAATCTGCATCTCAGCTAACACCAACGGTTCAGATGCTCTCCAAGATTATGTACCCTCATGACGCTGACAATCTGGCTCCCAGAATCTCAGCAAACGGGAAGTATGTTGTCCGCCTCAACTTCAACGGATGCTATCGCAAAGTGATTATTGACGATCGGCTGCCGTTGTCCAAAAACACTCGAGTGCTGCATGTTATTGACCGTCGGAACCCATCACTACTGTGGCCAGCGCTGCTCGAAAAGGCGTACCTCAAAGTAAGGGGCGGCTATGACTTTCCCGGTAGTCACTCCGGGACAGATTTGTGGATCATGACAGGCTGGATACCAGAGCAAGTCTGGCTCGAAAAGTTCGTCAGATGCTCGTAAGCTGTTACAGCCGCTAATCTCTTGATAGTAGCGAAACCGATGCAGACCAGCTTTGGAGCAGAATACTAAGCGCGTTCAATAAGGGCGACGTGCTCATCACTCTGGGGACGGGCAGAATGAGCCATCGCATCGAAAGACAGCTAGGTCTCGAGGGAGAGCATGACTACGCCGTACTCGACCTGAAAGAAGAGGGATCTAGCAGATTGTTGCGTCTCAAGAATCCGTGGTGTGAAGGGACGTCCTGGAAGGGGAAGCTGCCCGAATCGTCTACCACTGAGAGATTCGAGGCTGAATCCGAGCTCAGTGCGTGTCACTCTCCTGAACCGTTTGAGCAGGCATCATCTATACAGTCATCCTCGCGCAGCTTACGTCATGCGCGTGAGCAAGGCATCTTTTGGATCGACATCAACAACGTTCTTCGGCATTTTCAGTCCATCTTCCTGAACTGGAACCCAGGCCTGTTCTCCTACCGCCAGGATGTTCACTTTACATGGGATCTCTCCAACCGACTTGACTCAGTAACTTGTTTTGTCAACCATCCTCAGTTCAAGATTGTTGCCAAAGGCGAAAGCATTGTGTGGCTTCTTCTTTCCAGGCACCTCAAGGACAGAGTCCAAGACGCTGAGGAGCCGCCGCTGGATGTAGCTAATGAAGAGGACGGCCAATCGAGAGTAGCCAAGGAGGATCTAGCAGGCTACATCAGCATGTTCGCCTTCGACAGGAAGGGAGCCCGGGTTTACTTAAGAGATGGCTGTCTGGAGCGCGCGCCTTACGTAGACTCTCCACATACACTTCTCCGCTTGCAACCCGACGTCGATATCACCTACAGCATTGTGATCGACGAGGAAGACATGTCGTCTACTCCGCACAGCTTCACGCTCTCTACTTTCTCTACATTACCCGTCGTACTTGACAAGGCTTACAGTCCCTACTCTTCTCAGCGGTTGATCAGTGGTGCATGGACTCAAGCAACGGCTGGCGGCAATGTTAACGATCCGACTTACTCGGAAAACCCCCAGTTCAGCCTCAGAGTGGTCGAGCAGATAGCCGCAGCTATCCTTATTCAGACGCCCTCAAATGACGTCCATGTCCACGTCAAGCTCGTACATGGCCGCGGCCGACGCGTTTACACGCTGACAAGCAAGGATGTGATCGCTGATTCAGGCCAACACCGAAGAGGCAGTGCTGTAATCGAAATCAGCGACCTCTACCCGGGTAGTTATACTCTCGTCTGCTCCACCTTCAAAGCCGGTCAGCAGGCCGACTTCACCTTGCGAGTCGATTCGACGTCGGAATGCGAGCTCAGGCAGCTTCCGGGTGAAGGTGCCGGGCGACTCAGACTGCCACTCGCAGACGTCCGCTTCGGTTACTCCGTGTCGAGAATCGCTGCACCTCTCGTGCCACGCCGTTTCGTGTGCATCAGCGTCGTAGCTAAGTTCATCCGCAGCGTCGCGTTTCCTTCTAACGACCTCTTGTCATTCGACGAGGGGCAGGCCGGGGCTCGCAGCCCTCTGCGCGTTACGGTCGAGCTCGGCACCGGGCCGAACCGTCGGGTCCTGATCGCCAGCTCCGGCGGCGCGTACAGTGACGCTGTGAGTGGAGTCAGGACGGAAGACGTGGATCTGAGCCCGCAGATGCTCTACACGAGCGACATGTGGCTCGTCCTAGATCGGCTCTGCGGGCCAGCTAGTGGGAGCCAGGAGATCTATGGCGTGGAAGTGTTCTGCGACCAGCCGAAAGCCTTGGATATCGGAGTATGGCGGAACTGGGATTTCTGAGGGATGCTATCATTGCCGGTTTGCATAGCGAGGCGCAAGAGGCGGGTAATCTTGCTTGGATTGCTAGGGGCGTGTGCTGGATGGGAGATGGGGTTGCCCTCGGCGGAATGATACCCTTTCTGAATTCGGCGCTGCTTATGGAAGGCCGCGCTACATGGCAACTAGGTTGCCGGATCGATTTCAAAAGCGTCTATAGCTGACTACTCGTCCTTCTGTTAACCCGATGAACCCTCAGTAACTAATCTCTGGCTGAGGGAGCGTTACGAGCGCCTCCTGGAATAGGCGTATGTAACCTACAGGCTCCCGGAGGCCTGCCATTGCTGGGCCGGCCTGCACGTGCTGGATTGTTGGAGATGGGGACGGCCCGGGTGGCCCTCACGTGGCCCTCCACGCCCTTCTGACCCCAGAGCACCCTCGATAACGATAACTTCCCGTTAGTTAGCGTGAAGATCTCGGCGACCTATCACGACGTCAGTCGGCGGGACCAACTCGGCTTCCTTTGGCTCAACACCAGACCCTGATCACTCTTTACCCTTGACTGAGGTCTCCTCCTTTGCACTGCTATAGACCTACAGCACGACCCCCCCGCATCGCCCCCGTTGACACCGTAGAAGCTCCAGTAGCCCCCATGGCGTCCACGTCGTCAGGGCCGCCTTCCGAGCAGCCCTCCGTGGTTGCGTCCGCTGCCAGCTCCATCAAATCCTCCAGACCCACGACCCCCTCGAACGCCCCGTCAGAGAAAGCGCCGGATGACTCCTCCAAGCTCAAGACTTTCCTCGGTATATTACGAAGGTACTGAGCACCTCTCGGCTCTGTGCCTCTTCTCCTACCGCCAGCACAACCACAGTGGTCCCCTGGAGATGGATTTGGGTCAGCTTTTGGGTCATAGGTGCTGACGAAGGGCAAAGATTTATAGGAGTCTCCGACATCGCTGCCGTCAGGTTCTCCCTACCTGCCCAACTCCTAGAGCCTACGCCAAACTTGGGTATGGCTCCGATCACCAGTGCACATATAAAAGGCTGTCACGTCCGCTGTTTGGATAAGCTCCTGACGCAATACAGAATACTGGAATTACTTGGATAGACCGGAGACGTTTGTCAGGCACGTAGCTCCGCAGACCAGTCTGTGCAGAGACCTGACGGCGGAACAGCATCGGAGATTCCCCAGACCCCTTGGGTCGCATGTTGGGAACGCTCCGCTTTTGGTTTACGAAAGACTTGGTATGGCGTCGACTTGCGCGGGTTCGTTGGCACTGGTGCTGACCAATTTCCCAGAAATATGTCAAGGGCAAGCCGTGCAAACCGTACAACTCGACGTTAGGCGAGTTCTTCAGGGTGCCTTACCTCGATGATGCGCTTCATCTACAACGCTGACCGGGAAAAGTGTAATTGGGTAGTGGAAGACACGGCTCCATCGATCCGCTTACCTTCCACCGAGAAGCCGGCCCAACCAGACGGGGTCGGCCCAAAGTCCAACGCTTCAGGTCGACCTATCAAGGTCTCCTATCTTACCGAGCAAACCTCGCATCACCCGCCAGTTTCCGCGTTCTTCATCGCTTGCCCCGAGAAGGGAATATTAGCGCGCGGCTTTGATCAGTTGAGTGCGAAGTTCACGGGCACTAGCGTCAAGGTCACTCCAGGGGCGCATAATCTGGGTATCTTTATCACACTAGAGAAGTGGGGTAATGAGGAGTACCAGTTGACGCATCCCGCCGCGCATCTTGGTGGCTTTCTAAGGGGTGAGCACATCCTCAGTCACTCTGCTGCGGCCCAATGTCACGCCCTTCGTAAAGGATATGGTCGCTGACGGGTGGATCCAGGAAACCTCAATGTGACTGTTGCCGATTCGTGCTTCATCAGTTGCCCCAAAACCGGAATCAAAGTGATTCTCCAGTATCTCGAAGAAGGATGGCTTGGAAAAGCTCAGAACAAGGTTGAGGGCGTAATTTTCAGGTATACCCCGGCGACGGAGACGACCACCCGATTAAAAGATGTTCCGGATAAAGACATACTCGGCCGCGTGGAAGGGTGTTGGCACGACAAGGTGTACTACACACTGTGTAGCGAGTCCTTCGGCAAGAACAAGGTCAGCCACGTCCCTTGCCGTACTCCCACTTGTTTCAACAGAGTAGTTAACGTCTCGTCGCAAAGGACAAACACTTGCTCATCGACCTCAACCCGCTCTACCCAATCCCCAAACTAGTCCCACCCGAGGATCTCCAGCTCCCGAACGAATCCCGACGCTTCTGGTACGACGTCACCGCCGCCATCAACAACAAGCAGTACTCCCTCGCCACGCAGGTTAAGCAAGAAATAGAAGAAAGGCAGCGGCAGAAAGCAAAGGAAAGGGAGACCAGGGGCGTCGAGTGGAAGCCGCGGTTTTTCACCAGCACAACAGCGCCGGACGGTAGGCCGGATCTAACAGCGGACGGCTGGACCGTGCTCAAGGGGATGCAGATGGATGACTTCAGGCTCACGGCAAACGAAGAGGCGGGCGCGTATTGAGCTGATTGGGCAGAGTAGGTGTGGGGGCCGTTTTGGTCGGGCGGGTGGGTTTGGGGGCTGTATAGAGAAGCAGGATGATTTCTCAGCGACATTTCCTGCTGATGTTTCACCTGTTGTTCGTCTTGGCAAGCGGTTATGAGCATTGAGAGGAGTCTGGCGTTCTCACGCATATGTGACTGGTAGAGCCTGGAAGCGTGGGTTTGGTTAGAGTAGACCCGGTCTTCTGCTTGGCATATTGATATTAAGGAAACGCTAGCGCGATCCATGTAATACAGATTGCAGATGTCGACAGACGCCTGGGACGCTTCACGACTGACTTGAACCCTACAATCGTATCAAGGGGTGAACCATGGCTACGTTCGCGCATATAGGAGTTCACTACATCTAGCGGTGTTGTGCTGCTATAAATAGTCATCCGAGGTAGCCTCGAGCTATAAGCCATGCACAAGGCAACGAGCTCTAGATCTGAAAGTGTATGATTGACCGTGGTGCTCCGGGACCTCCCCGTCTTGTAAAGCACGCCGTCGGAAAATGGATTTCATATCAAGTATCAAGACCGCTGTCGCTAATGCAGTAAACAATGCGAGTGCTGCGGCCTCATCCCAAAGTGTTGATGCACGTCTCGCCGCACGCGACTTGTTCACCTATACGGCGCTACCTCTACGGAGTGCGCGGTCAATCCGTTTGCTGGAGCTCCATCCGGGTGCAGGCGACATCGTGTGCTCGTTGCATACAGTCGATCTAGATACAGCACCGCCATACGACGCGCTCTCGTATACATGGGGTGACGCTCGGCCTCCGCTGCTGCAGAGTGTAGCTCCTCAGCTTTACAGTCGGCGGTTTCCGATCAGCTGCAACGGATGCTTGCTCGAAGTGACCGCCAATCTGTATCATGCGTTGCAGAGACTGGTTGCCATAGATCGTGCCCGGCCCAGATGGGAGAATATCTATCTGCAGAGACTCATTTGGATCGATGCCATTTGTATCAATCAGGAAGATGACGCAGAGAAGAGCACGCAGGTTGCCATGATGGAGGATATCTACAAAAGAGCCAGCTTGGTGGTCTGTTGGCTTGGTCAAGAAGACCGATACACGGAGCCCGCATTGCGCCTTGCCAATTATCTAGCTCAGATCCCCAGTGAAAACTACGGGCAGTACAGCGGGCTTGGGCTGAACCATTCCGGCATACCTTCCAATGATTGGGAGGCTCTGGTTGCCTTGTTTCGACGGCCTTGTTTTAGGCGCGCGTGGATAACACAAGAGATCGTATTGGCTCAGAAGCTGCTCCTGTTGTGTGGCTCCTTTGAGATCTCTTGGTCCATGCTAGTCAAGTGCTCAGAATTTGTCTGCCAGACGCAAACCTGGCGGCATCTGTTCGTCATGTCAAGTCGGTTCTCCAGCATCCAAGACTACATCAGTCGCCGCGAATTGAGGCCTGTAGGGGTTTCTGTGCAAGGACTGGCACATATTGAAAAACAACTTCCTAAGGGAAAGAATCCGTCCATCATGGTCCTGATGATGGGCCGAGGTACAGATGCTAGTAACCCGAGAGACAACGTGTATGCCCTGCTTGGCCTGACCAAGGAGATGATCAAAACGCGCCAACCATCGACAGAGAGATCCGATCCGTTGGGCCGACTCACCTTAAGCCAGCTTCCCGTACCGGATTATAAAAAGCCGGTGGAGCGCGTGTACTCTGACTTCGCAAAGTGCGTGCTTGAGTGCACTCAAAACCTTCTCCTGCTGTCGCTGGTTGAAGATCGGTCAGACCGCCGGAGTGCTGGACTTGCAAATAGCCTGCCGTCTTGGGTGCCGGATCTAAGTGTTCCACTGCTACCCATGCCCCTAGCAATAGAGGGTAACGCAGCACGCTGGGATGCCGCAGGTCCTGGCAGCGCAGGCCAAGGCATCGCGCTCGATAAAAGATACCTTCTCGTCAATGGAGCATACTTCGACACCATCGCTGGCGTTGGAGATCCGTTCCACGAGCTTGAATCAAGTCACAACTGGCTCAGTATCCTGAATCTCGTCCGACCGCTCATTAGCCTTCCGTATCCCACTTCTGGAGGCTGCTATGCGGAGGCGCTGTGGCGAAGCATCATTGCGGACTTAGACAAAAGGCGCATCGATGGTGATCGACGTCAGAGCCCTGCTGATCCAACTCTCGGACAAGCTTTCGGCGAGTGGCTGGTCAGCAAGCTCATACAATTGCGCTTTGCTGCACTCGACAAGTTTGGCGCGCAGTCCTACTTCTCCATGAACTGGAAACTTGTGCAAGAAACGTGGAACCAGTTTCTCGATGACCCAAGCGCGCTGAGGACAGACATGGAAACCTACAAAAAGAGTGCAACTGAGAGACATGAACATCATCGGACCGTAAAAGAGAAATTCGACGCTACATGGCAGCGCAAGGAAGAGTTCGCGGGGCTATATCGCGCGATCTTCGCTGCACTCACCGATCTTTCGCAAGCGGATCCTAGCGGTACTATCTTACCACCAGAGAACGTCCTCCGTATTCTCATAGCCCCTGATAGTCGAGAGAAGGAAGAAGCTTTCGCTCGAATTGAGACCTTTACAGCTACTACGAAAGGAATTACTAGCGCGAGACGTCTCTTCCTTACCAGATCTGGATACCTCGGTATTACGGCAGAAGCCGCCCAGGTCAATGATCAAATATGGATTTTGCCCGGTACAAGCGTGCCCTTCACCTTGCGACCTGGACAAAGTAACGGTCGTTTCCAGGTGGTAGGAGAGGCGTATGTGTATGGGTTGATGCGCGGGGAGGCCGCTGCTGCGGGTGGATTGCAGTTTCAGGATATTGAGCTCGAGTAGCGACGGCTTCTGCCTCATCTAGCAGGCAGAGAAATAGTTCTAAGCAGGTGTGTAAAGTTCAGTACTTCACATTACACGGCCTAGAGCTCTTAATCTCGGTGTCTATTGTCGTGCATCAGATGTGGTCAAATGATATGTCTTTTACATCGACCTTGGATGAGAACAACGAACGCGCTTCGGCTACGAAATTAATGACCATGCGCCTATGGCGTCACGTGGCCAGTCACAAGCCAGAACATTCAGCGGCATGAGAAGCCGCGTGCTTGACCTGACAAGACAGACGCAAGACCGTGACAAACAACGGATTAAGCTGCCTCGGGTTGATTTCTCGTGATTGCAGTTCTCACACATGATAAACCCGCGTCTGCCCGAGAGACAAGACCGTTATCCTGAACCCCGAACCAAGCGCCCGTCAAAGGTCAAGCGGGGCGGCCGTACTCGCAGGTAAAGGATTGGAACATGGTGATTAAGAGATGCGACGTGCTACATCGGGAGCTTTTCTGTTCCGCGCCCGCAGTTTCGTGCCTCTCTAAAGCTGTCGGGTGTGGCCCTAGCAAAGTACATATTGCCTGGAAGATGATAACATGCGCAGAGTGAGGGCGACATGCGATCGTACCACACCATAGAGAAAGGGCGTACCCCAAGCTTATAAATCTTTCACTCACATTGACACTGCTGACGGGTGAACGTAGAGACGAACTCTTAGTGCGTGGTCAGAAGAACCTCGTATTGCCCATCATGCAGGGCTGCAGTCAGCCATGCCGCCATACATAAAGCGTAAGCAGCCTCCTGCGCCGAACTTGAAACGGTCGGCTGTTGCGAGCTCTCGCGCGTATGGACCTGTGCTGCGAGTGTCGAAAACCTTGGCGATCCTGGCGATGGACGTTTGTCGCTGACAAACCAGCCGAGCGAACAGGGGAGGGATTCTCCAGATCTTGGCTCAAACTGTCGACGTCCAACCCTGCCACTGGCTGGCATCTTGCCTGGGCGGATCACGGCACTGTGCCTCAGCAAGCACAGGGCAGGCCAGCCCTGGGGACGACCTGATAGGGATGTGAGGTGTTCCATTTCCGCGGCGGAGCTGTGAACGTTCCGATGGCCGAGTGGAGTGGGTCCTCTGCTTGTGAGCGAGGGCGCTGAAGATGACGATACGAGTCCAGACGAGCGCTTCTCGCCTAGACGCTTCCTCAACTTCCAACACAAGAGGGCAGGCGCGTTTCTTGCGCTTCGTGCGAGCTGGCGGTGGTAGCAGAGCACGATGGAACAATGATGCCGAGTGGAGGAAGGGTGTTCGGCATCCTGCCAGCAACCGCTGGACATGCGAGTAATGAGCAGCGGCGCAAGCTGCCTGCTCCCCTTGGCTACTGCTCTCTTAGAGCTGCCTTTCGGACCGTTTCGTGGCCGGAACCAGGGTTCCTGGCTGGAGGCGATGAGCGTTTTGGTACGCAACTCCAGAAGACTCGAATGACTGCAGGCCTCCCTTGCCCCCCAATCGGGGGTAGGTGACGCTAATCTCCGCCGAGGCTACGATGGAAACGCTCAGGCTCGCGCGTTCACTACTCAGCATGACATTATCACCACGTCCAGGGAACGCTGTGACATCTGCCTGTAATCTATGTAGCCTACCAAGAAGCTTACCAAGAGACTTGGATAAAATGGCGCTCTGCCCAGGTCGTTTAGGCGGAGCTGCCATGCGTGATATATTTCCTGCCCACCTCACATCTACATATCTCACGACACGACAAAACATCTCGCTTTCCAGTCTGACGTTGTTCTGCCGTACTACTCTCCCAGCGACTTAAGCTCAAGAATACCCAGTTCATACGTATACCGTGGCGGTACACTGAGCTCAGGTTGAAGAACGATGGCTACACCACGGCGCACTTCGTCCGACGACTTCACATCAGCCGAGGGCAGCGTGCGAAAACGAGTCTGTAAAGCCTGCGATCGATGCAGGCTCAAGAAGTCAAAGGTTCGTCGCCCCCCTGGGACCCCACGCTCGCAATATACTGACCATTCTACAGTGTGACGGTGCCAGCCCCTGCAGCCGATGCAAAGCGGACAATGCCATATGCGTATTCAGCGAGAGGAAGAAGAGCCACGACAAAGTCTATCCGAAAGGGTGAGCAGATCTCTCTGTGTGGTCTACAAGCACGCGATAGTAACGTGTTGGCCAGCTACGTGGAGATGCTCGAGCAGCAGCAAGGACAACTCGTAGCGGGCCTGCGAGAGCTTTACCGCCGATTACAAAGCGGCGAAGGCTGGCCCGGCTCACCGTTACCAAACGCCCAGAATGGCCACCCTTTGACTCACAACATCCTTGAAAGACTCGATCTCCTTCATCTGTTTGACGAGACAATCAGCAATTACGAGGGGTTTGAGGAAGACTGCACACGCATGCAGCAGCGGCTACTGGAGGGCGGAGCACAGTACGGCCACCGAAGAGGTTCGATAAGCTCCGATTCCGAACACGAGCTTTCTTCGATATCTTCCTTGGGAACCCCGTCACCGCAGGCGCTGTCATTCAACAGCTCGTTCACACATGGCCCGCAAACTCCACATACGACCGGTGCATTCTCCCATCATCCACTTCCGAACTGCGATACGCCGGGCAAGTTCCATCCACATTTGAGCATGCAACCAACCATGCGGATAGGTGTAGATCCTGCGGCTGCACTACGCTCCCCGTGGGCCGTGGACGCGCCGTCGATGGGTGGTCTGTCAAACACTAACTATCTTCCGCAATTCGAGCCACCTATGGGCCACAATCCGTCCGACTTGGCCTACGATCCGTTTGCTCAGATCTTGACGTCAACTCCCATCACCATGGCTGAGTGGAACGATGGCGCCGACATGGACTTCAGTAATTTCATCACGACGTAGTTGCACCGTCACCTTTCAAGGAGTTCAGAGTCACTCTGTGGCCGTCTCAAAGACTGACAGCGTTCAAACGTGGGGTAATCAAGGCCGATGACGGTACATTGAAAAGCTGGAGATGGAAAAGGAAAGGGGAGTTCGATGCATCCATGGGGAAATGGAGTTGGAGGCGTGCTGCTGGTGGGCGACTCTTGTCCGGCAATCGCCGTCCTGGCGGTGTTGATTGCATTGCAGTAGCACCAGAGAGTGCAGTGGCCAAGGCTACGTGATGTTGTGCTCAAGAGCTCAGTAGATCACAATGAGCCGACTCCTCTTCGCTCTCAACCCCAGACGTTGGTCCGCTATGGCACCGCGTTTGATTAAGCGAATTTACGAAGAGCGGCTAGATGCAAGATGTGGACCGAATTGCTTCCAAGATTAATGTGGAGCTGCGCTTGCGGACATGTGGCCGTGCAGGGGCTGCGAACTCTCCGCATGAACCTCAGCGCTCGGTGTGGAGCCCGCACAATGTTTGCTGACTGCCTTACCCGTCTTACTCCTTCCGGAGACAGCCTTATGCAAACTCCATCCACGCCCATTTAATAACCGCCCCATCCGTACTGTATCCGCAAAACACATCACTTCCCGCTGCAGCTCTTATCTGTCAAGGCCAGAACGCGGACGACTATCGCACTTCTTGGTCCTCCCCTGACGGAACAGTGGAGCATCTCTATCCGCATCCACTAACTATTGCGGCACCCCTTTCCTGGAAATTATCTGTACCTCACGTCATGGATCCTTCAGAGTCGTCATTCACCTTCCTGCCTTTCGGGTCCATCATCCAAGAGTTTCGTGTCAACGGCCTGAACATCGTGCAGAACTTTCCCACGGAAGGGCTGTACAGGGAACATAACTCGCCCTATTTCGGTGCAACCATCGGACGCGTTGCGAACCGCATCGCCGGGGCCAAAATTGGCTCACTGAATGGCAGATCGTATGATCTGCATGCGAATGATGGACCGAATTCCCTGCACGGTGGTCGCGTAGGTTGGGGCAGGAGAGACTTCGAGGGTCCAGTCCCACTGAACCGCGGCGGCAAAGAGTCGGTAATGTTCAGGCTTCTGAGCCCGGACGGCGAGGACGGCTACCCCGGCACGGTGGAGCTTCGAGTTTGGTACGCAGGCACGAGGGAGCAACAGAATGGCATTGACAAGACCGTACTCGAAGTCGAATATGAGGCCGAATTGATGGGAAAGGACAGTGTGGAAGAAACAGTCATCAACGTCACGAACCATAGGTAAGCCTGACGTGACCTGTTGACGCGATGGCAGAAGATTCATCTCTTGCCGCACAGTTACTTCAAGCTTACCGATGCGGCGACCTTCTGTGGGACGGAAGCCATTCTGTCGACCAATCAACACCTCGTGGTCGATGAGCTCAGCATCCCTACCGGGGCCATGGAGCCTCATCCCAGTATCCCATCCACCGGCAGCATCGCCCTGGGCGAGAAAGAGCCGGCTATTGACCACTGTTTCATCATAAACGCAGAGCCTGCCACTATCCCCCTCGATACTAGATCAAATCCGCTACGGATGCTAGCTTCGTTTTGTCACCTAGAGACTAAGATGCACCTGGAAGTTCTCAGCACCGAGCCAGCGTTCCAATTTTACACGGGCGACGGTATCGATGTGCCAGCCGTAGATGGCACCCCAGCACGTGGACCACGCTCTGGCTTCTGCGTCGAGCCGAGCAGATATGTCAATGCAGTGAACATGGATGCATGGAAAGGCATGGTCACGCTGAGACGAGGTCAAAAGTATGGCAGTAAAATTGTTTACCGAGCATGGCAGGAGTGAGCCGTTAGTCGTGCCGGTATTCGCTACCTCTTTCTCTTTTTACGCGTGGTCCACGCCTGAACGTGCATGTATCTTAGCAGGCCTATAGGTTTTGATATAGCAGCCACTATTTGAAAGCTTTAAGAGACATGTTCGGCTCTAAAATTACTATAAAACTACAATTTATAAGTAAACCACTCTGACTTAGTTATACAAATAAAGAACTATTATATAGATTAGTATCTTTAAATATCTAATTCTAAAATTATATATATATATATAGAATAAAGAATATCTACAAGCCTGGTAGTTACTTAGAAACTTATAATACTATAAAGTATATTTATAGCTTCTAGTAAGAAATATCTAGAAAAGATATTAAAACTACTATTATAAATTTAAATCTCTAGATATAAAATATTAATTAAGTGAGTTAAACTACTATATTAGTATATTAGTAATATATTACAATTTTAGATTCTTAGTATTATAAGCTAGCGCTTAGTATAGGGTTTACCTAAAGCTAATAGAGTTACTAAGCCTATTACTGCTATCTATATTATCTCTAATAATAGTAGATAATAGAGACTATAGAAACTATAGATAGAGTCAAGTATATAGATAGTACTATTCTTACTTCTTAGAATAGTATATTTAACTTAAAATAAGAACTTACTATTCTTATCATGTACTTAATTAATTACTGTATAATATTAATCTAATTTTATTATATTTTATACTTTTATCTAAATCTTCAATTAGAATTACTACTTTAAGGCAATATATTATTATACTTAGATAGTAGAAACTAAATTAGCAGAAGACGTAATTTTCTAACTAGTAGTAGAAGCTTTCTATCTATATATTCTTTTTACTTACTTCTAGAGTGATATTTATTAAGTTTCACTTATAGCTTTATTTAAATAGAAGTAAATAGAAATACTAATGGAAATAGTAAGAGCTAAGATCTCTATTAGAAATAGAAAGAACTTAGAGCTTATTTTAAGATAAAGAATCTAATTAGAAATAGAACCCTTACTTAGAAGTAGAAGCTTTATTTAAAAATAGAAAATATAAAACTCTTTCTACTAAGTAAACACTAGGGAAATACTAAGCTAGTACTAAGCTAAGAGTCTTAGAAATTAAATTCTAATCCCTTTTCTTAAGTTAAGACATCTCAAGCTTACTATTATAAAGAAGTAATTTTTTAATAACTTAGTTAATTTAGCGAATCTATTATAATAGTATTCTAGGAATTATAGCCCTACTATTCTCAGTAAGTTAGTAATAGTAGTTTTAGTATTAGTAGTATATAACTAGCCTAATCTAGTTATAAAGCTCCTAGAATCTTAGCTTAAGTAAGCTTTTAGTAGATCTATCTATAATTAAATTAGCTACTTCTAAAAAAGGCTATAGTTTACTTTTTTTAGTTACCTCCTAGATAAAGTAATAATATATTCAAATAAGCTTAATATATAAGTAACTATATTAGGAAAAAGAATTTAGTGCTTAGAATTACTTGGAGTCTTTAAGTAACTCTATCTGCTTGCAAGCGGCTTATAAGTAGTTTTATAAGGTATATAGTATATATATTATATGTATCTAAGAGCTTATATAATACTTTATTCTTTTATTAAGTAGAGCTTAATACTATAATTTTTTAGGTCAGTATAAATAGTTAAGTAGGTAAAGCTATAGCTTATATTAGATTTAAGTGCTTTGAATAGATCTTAGTATACTAAACCTACTTAGTAATTAATAAGAAAATTAAAAAAAGCTCTAAGTCTAATCTAACTAATAGAATAGAGAGAGTTATATAATACAGCTAGTTTAGAGGTAAATTTGTAGTAAAATTAACTATTATCTACTTAACTTTTAAAAATATAAATACATTACCTATTTTTATAGAGAGATAGAAGCTAACTAAGAAAGAAGATTCTAAGGTATTTTATATTATCTAAATTCTTTCTACTTACTAAGTATTTTTAAATTAGCTCTAAGTACTCTAACTATTTTACATATTCTAGATACTTAGAGTATTTTAGTAAGTACTTAAAGAATACTTAGAGCGTCTTAGATTTCCTAAACTATTGCTGATATAATAAGTGCCTGAATTTTTCCTAATATAACTAGATTTTTAATAATAGTAACTAGATGTGCCCGCTTTATACTAAAACGGTTTAGAGTATTAGTAGAGAGTATTTAGTATATCTATATTTTTAAGAGTATAGCTCTTTTTTATATCTTTATATCTTTCTTTTTCTTAGATATAAGGGGCGTTCCCTTGAACTCCCTCTAGTTTTCTTTATTCTATATTTAGTCTATCTCCTAGTTTATCTCTTAGTTTATCTCTTAGTTTGTCTTTTAGTTTATCTCTCAACTTAATCTTTAGACTGCCTTTTTATTAATATTTCAGCTTTATTTTAAGTATAATCTGTATTTAATTTACTTTTTAGCTAAGATTTTAGCTTTATTTTTAGATTAGTTTTTAGTTTAGCTTAGAGTATAGTTTTTAGCTTAGTTTTTAGCTTAGCTTGGAGTCTAGTTTCTATTTTAGCTTCTAGTTTAGTTTATAGTCTACTAGTTATTCTAGCTTTTAGTCTTATTATATTTATTAATCTTTTTTACTTAAGTAGAATTATATATTTTCTTTTTTTAAGGGGGATTCTCTCCCTTAAACTCTCTATTTTCTCTTTTAAAATAAGGGGCGTTTCTCCCCTTAAACTCCCCCTAGCTTTCTTTATTCTACATAAAAGAATTTTTTTTTATCTAGATTCTAGTACCTTTAGAGCTTCTTATTTTTCTATTTTTAGTTTACTTTCAATTATGTTCTCTAGTATATCTTCTAGTATATCCTCTAGTATACTTCCTAGTATATTTGCTAGTATATTTGCTAGTATATTTCTTAATTTAGTTCTTAGTTTATCTTTTACTAAATCTTCTAATCTTATATCTAGTTTACTATTCAGTTTATATTTTAGTTTATATTTTAGTTCGCGTCTTAGTTTATATTTTAGTTTATATTTTAGTTTATATTTTAGTTCACGTCTTAGTTTATATTTTAGTTTGTCTTTTAGTTTACATCTTAGTTTATATCTTCGTTTATATCTTAGCTAATATCTTAGTTTATATCTTAGTTTATATCTTAGTTTATATCTTAGTTTATATCTTAGTTTATATTCTAGTGTATGTTTTAGTTTATATTTTAGTTTATCTTCTAGTTTACTTCTTAGTTTATCTCTTAATTTACTTTTTAGCTCCCTACTAAGTTTACATTCTAGCTTATCACTTATTTTACTAAATAGTTCTATTTCTGGACTTTAGTGTACTCTAACTTTTAGCTTACTTTTTAAATAGCTATTATTTCTAGTTTTTAATAGAGTTTCTTCTTAGTTTTTTTTAATTCTAGTTTTTAGCTGAGTTTCTAGGTAAGTTTTAGTCTAGTCTCTAATTCAATCTCTAACGTAGTTTTTAGTATAGTTTTTAGTTTAGTTTTTGTTTTACTTATTAGTCTAATTTCTGTTTTATTATCTACTTGACCTAAAAGTTTTCTTTTTCTAATATTCTTTACTCTAGTCTTTTTATAGAATTATAAAAGGTAGTTAATATTAAGTTATATCTAGAATATAGCTTTAGTTATAGTTTAAATTATAGTTTAGCTCTTTATATAGTTTAGTTCTTAGTATTTAGCTTAGTTATTCTAGCTATTAGCTTACTTTATTACATAGTTTATATTCTATTTCTACTTAGCGTTAATAACTATATAGTTTAAGTAACTTTAGAGTTTCTTAGTTATGTAATATACTTTACTCTTATTAGACCATATCTTCATTTTATAGCTATATAAGAAAGTTATAATCTTACTATTAAGTATATAAATTTATAGAATTTTAAAGTTTTTTATTTGAATTTTATACTCTCTAGATATTTTTAGAGCTAAATAGATACTTTTATACCTAAATAAACCTTAATAGGCTATATAATACCCCTAAGAGTCTATATCTACCTTATAGCTAAAAAGAAAAAGTGCAATCCCGCTAGGAGTTGAACTAGCAATCTAAGGTACACGCGCGGTCGACGCGGTCGGCGGTAAGCGTTTTAGTAGCTAAGCCGCAGTACTAGCTACAGCCGCAGCGTACTAGCCGCAACCACTAGCTCCACGGTCGCAATTAAGCCTCAGCCAAAATTTCAAAACCCTAAGGCTTCTATAGCAGCAGTCGTAGGGCGCTATAAAGTGGATGCATTAAAAGCACAAGGCTAAACTAAGAAACTATAGTACCACTTTTTACAATTTCGACCTACAGCGTTTATTATCGCGTTATAAGCGTTTTTACTATAGAAATTTTAGATGCAGTTAAAGTTTTCGCTAAAGCCACGCATGGTAGAAAAACCTATTTTATTAAGTATATTAATAGCTCTAGTATTATAGTACTATAGAAGGATTATAATATAGAAGTTAGTATAAGTTTCGTATATAGAGCTTTAAGGGTCTCTAGATAGTTACTTACTAGTTATATTAGAATATTAAGTAGTATTATACTTATTCTATATACCGCGTAGTTCTATAAAATCTATTACTATAGTTCTAGTACTATTATAGTACTATAGAAGGTTTATCACGTGGGAATTAGTATCAGGTGCGTATATAGAGGTTTAAGGTTCTTTAGATAGTTAATTACTAGTTATATAATAGTATTAAGTAGTATTATACTCGTTCTATATATTATCTAGTCTTATATAATCTATTACTATAGTCCTATTACTATCTTAATAGTTCTACCTTAATATCTTGCCTCTATAGATATATATAACCTACTTACCTAAGTCTATACTTAAACCCCTTATCTATAATATCTTAGTAACTATGCTAGGAGACTTATAAGGTAATAGATAGGTATATAATTTATAGTTAAGAGCTGTTATAAGAATTAGGATTTATATTAAGGATAATATATAGGCTATAAATATATTATAGTAAGGAACTACTAATATTATAGACTCTAAGTGCTCTACTAGACATA